GAATGGAGGTTTTTTTCAGACAAGTAGGATTATATGATTTAGCAATACCAAGGGAATGGAAATCAGTATATCAAAAGACAGCTACACAGCCATGTTTATTATTGTATTATTCATGATCTCCAAGTTATAACAGCAGAAGTCTCTGTCAATGGATGGATGGATAAGGAAAATGTGTATGTTCACAGCTAAAGATTATTTTAGCCTTAAAGGAGGAAATCCTATAATGTGACAATATGAAGGAAATAGACATTTTGCTACAAGAAATAAGCCAGGCCCAGGACACACATTGCATGATCTCACATGTATGTAGAATATGAGAATAGATGTTTCGAAGTATATAATAGATTGTTGTTTGCCAGAGAATGAGACAGAGTAGGGACAGAGGGATTGCTAAAAAGGGTATAATATTTCTTGATGTTGGGTTGTAGGTGCCACAGTAGAGAGAGAAGCTCACCAAGATGCTAAGCCTCCATTTTCTGAAGAAGCAGAGGGGCTCAGGCTTCTTGGAAAAGAGTTGACACCCAGATAGCTCCCTCTAGTTACTTTATTCAAACAACTACAAGGTTAATTGAGGCTGGGAAAGGCTCCAACTACCAAAGTCATCTTTCTCTTGCTGCCCGTGAGAGCAGACAACCCACACAAACCCAACCCCTTTTGATTATGGCAGCCATAATGAAAACTAAGAAGTCCGGATCTGCCGAGAGTGTCTAGCACCAAGGTTGATTCGGCAGCAAGCCAGACAAAAAGGCTTTACTTACATATCACTTCATTCCAAAGTTTCTGCTGGCTAAGAGGGACATAGTTTGAAATCTATTTCATAGCATTCAGTTACTATTTTATGTATTCAGGTATTAACATGCATTTTATCTTTTCAAAAAAAATTGCCTGGGGAGTAAATTTCAAGTATGACTATGTTAACAAGTTTGGCTCAATTATCCTACTCTTCATACATATATTAATAAACACTGTACCTCAACGCATAGTAGTTATGAATTGCTAACTTATGAGTTGCTAATTAAAAAATAAGTGAAATAGAAGTAAAGTTACTAAATGTTTACAAATCAGGGTTTTAAGGCAGAAATGGGTATCACCGAATGAATGAAATACTGTAACATTTGCTAAGCACCACAGGCATTTGTTTTAAATTCTTATAACTTTGGAAGGATAGAAAAGCAAAAGAGCATAAGAGATTTGTCCATTGCACACAGTAATGGCAGAATCTGAATGGCAGTTATCTATCTAAGGCCTGGGTTGTTCACCCGGATGTAGATAAAGGAGAATTCAGGTTAGGCTATTGCTTGGGTTCAGGTCCTGAGACAGGGAAGAAGTGTTGGCACAAGGAAAAATTCTGACCACCAGGTGGATTGCTCTCAAGTGGCCCTGAATAGTTTGAGCCATCTTTATTTATACTTAAACTGTTTTCTTACCAGGGTTACATGAATAGCTTTATTATTGACTCCTACTTTTGACCTTTTAAGAAATACTGATGTGTTATCTGGTCGTTTTTTTTTTTTTTTTGGTTTTTATGAGACAGGGTTTCTCTGTATTGTTTTGGAGGCTATTGGTCCAGCCCAGCCTCGAACTCACAGAGATCCGCCTGCCTCTGCCTCCCGAGTGCTGGGATTAAAGGCATGCGCCACCACCGCCCGGCGTTATCTGGTCATTTTAAGGAATACATTGTAATCATTATGAAAGCCTCCATTGTTCCCCTTTATGCTTCCCCAAATACACTTTGCCACCCCTACATAACCTTATTCTAGACAGAGTTCAGCATTTTTTGCAGGCTTAACTAACTGCAGCATTGTGTCAGCCGGCCGTTACAAAGTTAAAAATTAATAGACATGGGTAGAACGCTTTAAGGACAACAATATTCAAACCCAGACAGTTATTTCATGTCTGAAGATACAGTTCCCTCTTCTACAAGAGGGTCCCATGTCTCAGTCTGTAAAAGGCAGACTTTGGTAAGGCACTCTTTCCCCACCCCCTATTCCATACCTTCCCCCCCATTATAAGCTCCTGTGGATGGTAAAGATGGGTCTCTCCATCCCACATTTTGTATTGCATTTTCCCCTCTTGGAGCATACCAGATCCTACCATTGGTTCTATATTCTTGATGCCCAGGGAACTTACTCTCAACAGTTGGCACTATGCATATTCCTGAGGCTTTCCCCCTATTCTGGGTATGCATGCCTTACTCTCCTTTCCTGAACTGGGAGACATGGTTAATGCTCCAAGTGCTGTTTTCTTATATGCACCTAAGTGTCTCTATTGAGTCAGAAAAGCTCCCAGGATTAGGAGTTGCAGTTAGCAATTCCAGATAAGAGATTTGAGAAGCACTAGCCGCCTGCTGATTCTAAGGGGGAAAACATTCAAGAAAGGACAGAATTTCCAGGGAAATTTACAGCTGTCGCATGTGTGGCTAACAAAGTAAAACTAAAAACCACCCAAAGAGTCGACAATATAATGAGAGAGAAAAGATCCTGCAAGCTACGCTAATTCTGCAAATTCCTATGCTGTCCCATGGTTCTTGCCAAGTGAAGAGTTCGTTTCCCTGGGTTCCTTGCCCCAAGGAAACCCATTGGACAGGCAGTGACATGCTGATCTGAGACTAGGCTGCATGGCTCCCGGCATGTTACACTGACCTGTTTGTAAAGGTAAGATACTTGAAGGCCAGCAAGACAGTTCAAGAGAATGAAGGTGTGTGCAGCCAAACCTGATGGCATGAGTTCAGTAACTGGAACCCACATTATGGAAAGAACCATTTAAATCCTTTTCTGATCTCCACATGTACCCTATGGCAACTGTATCACATTCCCCTTAAAAATAAAAACATGTAATAAATTTTTTTATAAGACTCTGTCACAGACTTTTGAAGAAAAAATTTCAGAACATTCTTTACTTCACAGAATTTACAAATTCAGCAAGCCCTAAGAAATGCTTATATTCACAGAACTGGATTATACACTTAGGGATCTAGTAGCGATGGGAGCCAGGAATCATCATTTTGGGTCTTCCTGCTAACGTCGTTTCCTCTGTAGAAGGACCCAACCCCGCCACCCCATTCGCAGACTCAAACTCCTCCACAAAGGAAGCACTTGGGCCTAATGACCTTGAGCTGCTGTCCATTGGAGAACAGGAGGTATGGAAGGCGCTAGAAGGGAGGATGGAGGTAGTCAAAGGCCGGACAGAAGACAAACCTGAACTTGTGGCACAGAGAGCGCAAGAGAACGACAGAGGGCCGAGCAGGAGGCAGTTAGAACAGCAGGGGAAGGACAGTCTCCCAATGGTGTCCACAACCGGCCTCGGTTGGATCGGGTGAGGTCACAGGCCCTTGTGAGGTGTGGGGGTGCGCGCGCCGCCTCAGCGCTTTCCAGGAGGCGCCCAGGCGGCAGGCCCTCGCCGGCTCAGCCGCTTACCCGGAAGCCTGAGAGGACCAAGTGGCCGGGTCTTTGCGCCTGACCTCCTCTGGCAATTACATGGGCGGAGCTTAGGGCTGATCAGGTGACCTTGGGGGCGGGGTCTCGCCTCCAGGGAGCAACCCCTGAGAAGACTTGAAGTGCGGGTTGGAGGACGGGAGGGCAATGGTGACCAGGGTTTAGAGGACAGCGCTAGGACCCTCAGGTGGCAGAGCCGGAGAGGCGAGACTTGCTGAGGAAAGTGTGCCGTCACCTCAGAGGCTGAGAGAGAATGCAATGCTAAAGGAGAAAGCGAGCCTCGGTGTAACTGGATGAAGGGACATTCTGGAAAGGTGGAGAGGTATCCAGGTGGTCAGTCAAATGGTTGTCCTAGTTAGGTGGAGACTTAGTGGTTGGGAAACTTGCCTGCGCCTTCAGCTCTACGGCTGTCAGATCATTTGTTGTCATATTGAGGAAATTTTCTGTGTTTTCGTGTCCACTCTCTTCAAGTTTTTACTTCACAAAGGCAGGGCTGGCGGGAATTCTCCATGGCCTAAGTTCTTGCATAAGGTGGAGGCCCTCTTGTTAAGCAAATATGATAAACGGAAGTTAATGTTTGAACATTCATCAGTAGCGTTAGCCACAGTAACACTCGGTCTGCAATTGTGGAAGTCTGTCCTAGAATATTAGTATTTTAAAATAGAAAAAAATTCACTGATGGTTGCAGCTAGCACTGTTATACAACTAACTGTAATCAATGAATAGCTCATCAAATGTGGATTGGTTATTGGTAAAATAAAAAAAAATCAAAAAACCATTGTGAATTAAAAATGTTGGCTATTACATTTGTAGAACGTGAATGCTTTTGGTGCGAAGCCAGGTTAAAATATCTTTTGTTTGCAACAGCATTGCCCCCCCTCCAGTTTTTTCAAAAAGCTTTGAATTATGTGTGTCTGTATGCGTCTTTACGGTTTGCGCTTGTGAATGCAGTGTCCGAGGTAGCTGGAAGGGGGCATCGGATTTCATGGAGCTAGAGTTACAGGCAGCTGTGAGGTGCCTGACATGGGTACGGGGACCCTTCAAGCCATGTCTCCAGCCCCAAGCAACAGTAATGTTTTGAGGCAATATTGTGTGGTACGGGAAACCAATGGTTTGGGAGCTAGATTTCCTAAATTAAATAATTCTATACCTCTGTTTGCTGGTTGCATGTTTCTTTAAAAGAGTGACAATGACAGTTCCTTAAAGGGTAATTATGTGAAATATGTGAAATAGTTCATGTCAATGTGATTATCGTAATGCCTAGCACACACTCAACGCTCAGTAGCACTTCTGCGTCTTAGGGTTTGCTTGAGTAAATATAATTTGGCTTCTCCTTCATATCATTTGAGATATGTGTCTCTATTTCTCTATGTACTAAAAAGGTAAACTTAAGAAGCCGGTGATCTCTCATTTATCATCCATTGGTTGCTTGTTCTAGCTGCCAATATTGGTTCCGTTTATTAGGCATTGTACTCTGAGCGTTACATTGAAGAGGCAACTTCAAGTAAATAAATATAATTGCTTTGTCTTTTAAACAGGAGTATGATCTTTCTTTTTTCTGTTATATTTTCTCAGGAAATCCTTTTATATTATTGCTCATTTATATTCATTCATCAAGGCCTTTTGGTCCCGAAGGACAGAATTTACCCCTAAACAGAAAAATGGAGAAAACACATTTATTTTGTAAGGTAAATCATTCAAGACTTTAAAAAAAAGATTTCTTCTTTTAAAATTAGTTTTATGATCATTATTCATAATATTAAATATTTAGATATATAAAATTTCGATGAACCTCCCTAATAACTGATGACCTTTGGACTCTTTTAGTTGACATATGTTGGACTAATTCAGCAATAATGTAGTACTATATCAAAAGAACTTCTATGGCATATCATGGAATTCTGTATACAGAAATTAATGTATATAAACATAATATATTTTCTCTTTTTGGTATGATAATTTTTAGGTGGTCAAACAATTTCAGTGCTTTGTCAAGGTGGCTATTTCATTTTGCATTCCCATCACCATGAGATAGGCTCTTCAGAGTGAGGTGGGGTTCCATTAGCCCCTCACCCTCTGTGACAGGATGGGGATAGGTTCAATCTTGTAGAGATCGTGTGCAGATAATCACAGCTGCTGTGGCTTAAGAATCCCACAGAGGCATCATGCCTGGATGTCAGAAATCCCCACTACTTGCTCCCTTCTGGCTTTTTAATTCTTCTTACTCCTCCTTCTCTGATGTTCCCTGAGCCATTAATGGTTGGGTATTTGTTTCAGTTACTGTTCTATGGCTGTAAAGAGACACTGCGACCAAGGCCATGCTTACCAAGGCAAGCATTTAACTGGGGGCTTGCTTACAGTTTCCGAGGGTTAATCCATTATCATCATGATGGGAGGCAGACAGGTGTGGCACTGGAGCAGTAGCTGAGAGTTTTACATGCTGTTCCACAGGGGGGCAAAAAGGGGAGGGAGGGAGGAGAGAGAGAGAGAGAGAGAGAGAGAGAGAGAGAGAGAGAGAGAGAGAGAGAGAGAGAGAGAGAGAAAGAGAAAGAGAAAGAGAGAAGAGAGAGAGACTGGGCCTGGTGTCCACTCCCAGTGACACACCTCCCCGAAACAAGGACACAACTACTCTAACGTGGCCACATTGGCTGACCCTCCTGCAACAGCGGGGACTAAGCTTGCAAATATAAGAGCCCACGAGGGCCATTCTCTTTCAAACCACCGCAGCATCCCTTAGTCATTTATATTTTGACTAGTTTATAGCTTGACTAGCTTTGACTAGCTATGACTAGCTGTATTTATATTGTGACTAGTTATAGTCACCAAGGGCCACTGTAAACAGAAGCTTCTCTTATCAAAGCTAATAGCCCTTTCGTGTGGGCATAAGCACAGTCATTTAGAAGGCAGTTAGACAGGAACATCATGTCCATTCAGCGAGACAGCTTCCCCACCAGGGCTTATGGCCCCCCTAGCTCTTGACCAGGCTTACCGTTATACCTGTGTCCCCTTCTGTGGAGCAGGCATCAGGTCTGATCAGAAAGCAGTTAATTATCCCCACAATTGGGTTGCCATTATTTTACCTGTGAGCTCATCTTGCCTGTGTTGTAGCACACAGGGGCCACAGCCCAGGAAGACAGTTGTTGACAGTTCTCTTCCCACAGCCTGCATAGCAACTTCTAGCACCCTTGGAGCTAGCCAGCATGAGGGAGCATCCAACTGAGTTTCAGCTTGGTTGGTTTTCCCATGTGTGTGATGTCTTTGGCAGTCATCTTACAAGCTAGGTCTGGTGGCAACCAACAGTCATGGCAATTGATGGTAGCATATATTATTACAAGTACAGTCACCATGCACTCAGTACATTAGATTATTAAAACATTCCTTCAGTTTAACTGAAACTTTGTCCCCTTGGATCCTTATCTTCTCTTCCTCCTTCATATCAGTTCATTTCTATTGGAGAATTTCATATGTGCATACACTGTATCTTAGTTATAGCTACCACCCCCTTCCTCCCAACTCCTGGCTGGACTCTCTCTTGACATGTCTCCTTCCTAACTTCATGTTGTTTTGTTTTTTAATAACTCACTGAGTTCAGTTAGTGCTGTGCAGATGCATCTGGGTATAGCGAGCTGCCAGCATCTTTAGAAAAATTTGCTTTTAATTTCTCTCTCTCTCTCTCTCTCTCTCTCTCTCTCTCTCTCTCTCTCTCTCTCTCTCTCTCCCTCTGTGTGTGTGTGTGTGTGCACGCGCGCGCGCGTGCGTGTATTTACATTGTCCATGAGTACAGATGTCTGCAGAGGTCAGAGGACAGCATTGGATACCTTGGAGCTTTAGTTATAGACAGCTGAGAACTTACTGATTTGAGTGATGGTCTCTACAAGGGCAGTGTGCACTCCTAACTCCTGAGCCATCACTCCAGTTACCTGACACGCCTCTTGATGAGCACTTTTCTCCCATATTTTGTGAGACCAACAAATGTAACCAAGACCTTACATTATTTATCTCTCTGTGCCTGGCTTATCTGATGTAGCATATGCCTTTCAGTTCCCTTCATACCTTTGCGGGTGACAGAGCTTCTATTTAAGTCAGTATGGTATTGTATTGTTGTCTCTCTATATATTTCCTTTATTTGTTTGCCAATTGGTACACACTAGGGTTGATTCTCCATCCAGGTTGTTATGAGTCCTGTTAGAACCAACATGGGAATGCTGATGTCTCTTCAATACCTTGGTTTTAGTTTTCCTGAGCTGCTGTATGATGTGACAGTTATGTTTAAGGGACATCTATACTATTTTCCAAGTTGACTATTAAATAATTTATGGACCCACCATTGTTGTGGGTCCATATTATTTTAACTGTGTAAAGGTGTGTCACACTTGTTTCTGTTGCCTTTGTTAATGATGCAAAGATGTGATACATTTGTTTGATTAAATAAAATTAACCTGGGATCCAGGAGGCTAAGTCAGCAACTAGCTGACAGGAAGTGGTGTGGAGGGGCCAGGTGTAGCCAGTCTTCTTAAGTAGGGGCTGAGCAGAAGGCCTTGGTTTTTTGGGAGTGGTGAGCAAGGAGAGAAGGTTAGCTATTTGCTCTCCAACCTATGAGATAGACTTTCACCTCAATCTTTGAATCCTGAGTTCTGTAGAAGGATAGAGATTTATATAAAGCGTCTTTTAGTGGCTTCCATAGAGCCGGTGTCTAAGGGAACAGAATTCTGGCCTGGCTGCTGCCCGTGTGGCCAAACTGCTGCTGGTAGCTGTGGAGTTGCAATTGTGTGTTGCACAGCAGTTGCTAAAGGTGCAGCCACTGTATTGAATGCAACATTTGGTGTTCAAGGTAGGGTACCAGAATGTCATTGGTTCTTTTTTTTTTTAATCCTTTGGGGGCTTACCACACAGCTCCCAAATGAATGTACAGAGGGTTGCACTTACAAATGCCTAGCCCTAGCCTGGCTTGTTTCTAGCCTGCGTTTCTAACTTAAGTAGTCCCATTTCTTTTTAACATTGTTATTCTAACAGGTGTGTAGTGGCATCTTGTTTAATTTGCCATTTCCTAAAAACATGATGTTGGACATTTTTCATAAGCTTATTTTGTATCTATACGTCTTAGGTTCAGAATGTTTTTTTCCCATTTCTAAATTGGTCTTCACACATGCAACAAGAATGAGTGCATCTGCATACACATACACGTGTATGCACACATACATGCAACACGCACAGTTCTTTGTATATTTTAGAATGGCGATTCTTTATCAAATGTGTTCTTTGCAAATGCCTTCTCCCAGTAAATGTTTGGCTTATCCTTTCAGTCTATTGAAAGTGTTTCTCACACAGTAGATACTTTTTTTACTTAATGGAGTGTGACTAATAATTTTTTATCTTGCATGGACCATACCTTAGGTTTATATCTGAAAATAATTACTTCTGTGATAAAATGTTTTGAAAGCATATAAAAGTTTGCACTTATATATATATTCATGAATGTTATGCATTTTATAGTTACACAATATATTAAGGGATATATATTTCTATAGAATAGTAATGTTTGAATGAATAAGATCCTTTTGAAACCCAACTCCATTTAGTTGAATGTTATATTTAGTATGTCTGTGGGAAAGAATACTTATGATTGTGACTATTGATTATTCTCAGATGGAAGAAAGCACCGATGGATCACTTCAGGACTCTGATTCTTCCACAACTAACTTGTCATCGAGAAATACTGAAAGCAAGAAATGCAGCAAAATTTCTAAACCAGCAGGGAAGAAAAATTCATCTGAAACTAAGGGTTTAGTCCCAGAATTTAAAAAAACGTAAGTTAAAAACTTTGAATTTATACTATGAAATTATTCTTTTCAAGTTTAAGAAACCCAGACATGCAGTTTATGTGTTCTAACAGTATTGTGTTATATTCATGGCCATTCTTTTAGGAACATAGTTTTAATTGTTGCACAGCTGTTCTTAAACCTCTAACTTCAGGTGCAGCTACATGGCAGTCTAAAAGGTTTCATGGAGTCCCTTTTAGTTGGGAGCAGTGATTCATGGTCTGCAAGTTTGTCTTAAAGAGAAATTTCTTTTTTGGTTTTTACGAGACAGGGTTTCTCTGTATTGTTTTGGAGGCTATCGGTCCAGCCTGGCCTCGAACTCACAGCGATCTGCCTGACTCTGCCTCCCGAGTGCTGGGATTAAAGGTGTGCGCCACCACCGCCCAGTTTAAAGAGAATTTAAGAAGGACGTAGAAAGGCTCTTCCATCTGGGCTTGGGTTTGTGAAATTAGGCCATTTGAATCCTGTAGTTCTATTCTCTCTCTCCCTCCCCCCTCCTTCCTTTCTTTCTTCCTTCTCTCTCCTTTCTTTCTTTCTTTCTTTCTTTCTTTCTTTCTTTCTTTCTTTCTTTCTCTCCTTTTCTCTCTTCCTCCCACCTCCTCTTTCCTTATACTTTTAAAAATATGAAAGATCAGATCTATGTAGCTCAGTGGGAGCTATGCATAAGTCAGAAATAGGAAGACCAAACCTCATCCAGGATATCGGGGTTGGGTGTGGGGAGGCAGAGTGGTAGGAGATTGCAAAGTATGGCGGGTGAATGGGTTATAACATCAGTTCAGGAGGTCACTACCAATTTTTCTTTTGTAAGGAAATAAAATTGAATTGAAGAAATTGGATTTTTTTATACAACTGCACTTTGTAAAATAGGTTCTGTTATCATGTATGTGGTCTCCTTTTCTGTCTCTATTTCTTAGTAGAAAATAGATTTTAGACTGTGAGTTATAGTCAAAATAGTTGAAAGCCATTTCCTTTGACACCAGAGGTCTGTATAGGTGACTAACCAGGTTTTTTTTTTGTGTGTGTGTGTGTGTGTTGGGGGTGATGATAAGAACAAGGTATTGAGCTCTCAAGATAGGACTTTGGGAGGGCTGGACTAAATGAGAATATAGTATCAAAAAGGGAAAGGTATCTGCTAAGAAAGGAAGTGGATAAATGAAGAAATTGTCTCTTATTTCACAATTTTGTTTAGGATTAAATTTACCAGTAGCTGCAATAGTGGAAAATCTACAGGACAAAGAACCCAACAGCAGCAGGACTAATAAATAAAAGGAGAGGCTATGTAGATGAAAAGAGATTTAAAATACAGTCCAGCCAGGGATGGGGGACTTACTGCATCCTGAACCAGAGTTTTGAAGTTTATAATATTTAGTAGACAGGTGGAAACTTGGACACTGATTCCACATTTGTTGATACTAACACATGTCTATTGCCACCTTTAGTTCCCGGTGGCACTTGGGAGGCAGAGGTAGGTGGATCTTTGTGAGTTCCAGGACAACCTCCAAAGTAATACAGAGAAACCATGTCTCAAACAAAACAAACCAAACCAAACCAAGAAATGTCTATCAATTTTTATGTGTCATAATGGTGTTTTAAATGGTTTTTCAAAAAGAAAACATACTTTATAGAGATGTTTATAAAAATTGTTACAAATGAAACAATACTTATAACACATATGCAGATGAAATAAATATTTTTTAAAGGATAGAAGCAGGAATAATAGGTATAATGAGGCAGTCATCGTAGGCCATTATTTAAGTGGGGTGATGGTAATGGGGAAATTAGCATATTATATTATTTGGAAATTTCCACAATCAAAGGTTGAAAGGTAAAACCAGAAAAACAACTCAGCATTATTCTAATTTCTTTGCCATTTAGATATGAAACATCATTATACCTGTTTAAAGAATTAAAATTCACTGAGTTTTCGGGATCAAAGAAAATCAGGAAAAAGAAAAGTTTACAAGTGCAGTTTCATAGTAAAAGAACTGAGGTAAGTCCAGACTTTTTGAAAGTTTTCTTTTTGTCCTTAGACCCCAAATACTCTTGGTGTTTTGGTCCAAGTATTGAAATGTTAATATTTTAAATAATGCTTCTCCCTCCTCCTTTCCTTTTCTTATTCTTGTGACGGTTAGTGCCAGTTGTGACCTGGATAAAATATAAGATTGTCTGTCTCAGAGATGGGCTTCTGGGCATGTCTTTGGTGGAATTCTTGATTGCACTGAGGTAGGAAGAGCTGACCACTGTGGGTGCTACCATCCCTTAGGCAGGGAATCCTGTGCTTGCATAAGAGTGGAGAAACTGAGCAGGTGTGCATGCGCTCCCTGCTCTCTGTTCCTGATTGCGGATGGGAGCAGTTTCCTCAAATTCTTGCTGCTGCTGTGATGAGCTACAGTGAGGAGCCAAGACAGCCTTTCTCCCTCAGGGTGCTCCTTCAGAGTATTTCATCACAGCAACAGAAAAGAGACTAAGACACCACCCCCTTTATTTCTGCTTTTTGTGTCCGTTTGTTTTGGATAGGTTCTCACTGTGTTGTCCATACTAACTCAGATCTTGGGCTCAAGTGATTTTCCTACCACAGTCTCTTCAGCAGCTGCTGGGACCATAGGTGTGCACCACCATGGGTGACTCTTCTCCTTTCCCTTTCTTTATAAAAAATAAGGCATTAAATCATTTCAGAAAACTAGATTCACTTTAGTTAATTTTTTCTTTTTTACTGTGTTGTGTTACTTTTGTTTTCCAGTTTTAACTTGATCCTAGGCATTTCTTGGTTGGTGGCATGTGCTGCCAGCATTTGCTTTCACGTTCTCATGGGTCTTCATATGGCCATCTTCCCTGTGTCTGGATCTCATAGTCTCTCTTTTCCTTATTCTTGTGTACACACCAGTCTTTGGACGTCTCCTGTTGGCGCCCTCAATTTATCACATCTGCAGGGATTATTTTTCTCTAACTAAGTCACGTTCACGGGTCTCTGATAGTAGGATGTGAAACCAACACGGGAGTTTCGTACTACTTGTGAATGAAGAGACAGGTACTTCGGTGCGCATTTCTTTTCATTTCTCTGTCTTGGTATTTGTTGTCCCTTCTTAAATCTGAGAATGAACACTTTCCTTCTGGAAACACTCGATCGGCTGTCCTTTTTATTTTCCCCGTCTCTGGAGCCCCGTGCAACTCCAGCCAAGCCCCTAACTCATCTCACGGGCGGGCGTGTCGCCTCCTCCACCCCTTTGCGGTCCTTCAGCTCCTCTGCCGCGTGCGCGTGCGCTGAGCCGTACCGTTCCATTCTCTGTGCTCCATGGCATTTGCATCTGTTGCCTTTTGCCACACACTGTCTGAGGCCATTAGGTTGTGGTTCTGGGTATTCCGGTCCCTCTTGGTTGGGCAGCATGCCGTGACAGAGACATAGGCCAAACAAGCTGCTCCCTTTGTGAACTGCTGTTCATAAAGTGAGTCAGGAAGATGCCAGGCTCCTGCAGTCCTTCTGCAGTTGCACCCCAGTGTCCGAGAGGTTTCCCACCGCTTCCTAGTGGTACCTCCCCGGGCAAAAAGTCTCCAGGGCGCCGACCTTTGGAGGAGTACTGCCCATAGTCACATTGGTTTATGTTTTTCCCCTTCTTGACTTTATTTTTCTATTTTTTCCCATGTATATTTTGTAGTTCACTTATTATCCAGCTAAATTTTATGTGCTTTTTTAACCTTGTTCATTGAGAGTTTAATTTCAATGATTGTTTTATTTCCAAAAGTTTTGTTTGGTGGTTCCTAAAACTCCACCTATATCTCATACTCTGCTCACTTCCCATAGTTATCTCAAGAAGGTGTCTGATGAATCCAGTGTATAAAGTCTTTGGAGCATCCAAATCTTGTTATTTTGCTGATCTTGCTCATGTGAGCCCCTGTCCCTTCATTCACAAGTAGTTGAACTACACTTGTTGAGAAACTTGTGATTTATTATATATATTTAGAGACAGGGTCTCATGATGTAGCCTTGGCTACCCTGGAACCTTCTATATAGACAAGGAGGACCTTGAAGTTTTAGTGATCCTCCTGCATCTGTCTCCTCAGTGCTATGATTGCAGGCATACAGCATCGTCATGTCTGGCTGCAAAAGATTTTCTTTTAGAGAGAATTCACCCATTTCTGCCTTGCATTTCATGAGTTTTTACAAATTTGTGAGCACTTTAACATGTTCCAGTTTTCTTGGTTTATACATTTGAATTAAATATTCATACATGCCTAGAGATTGGTCATAACCAATATGAGGAGGGGTTTTATTTTTTTCCTTTTCCTCTCTAGCTTGGAGCTGAGACAGACAAGACTTTATTTATTCTGTGTATCCCTCCATTGGAATTAAGTTTTGTTATTGTAGCTGTTTTTCCTGACTTGTTCTTAGAGAGAACATTACTTTGGAGGACATTAGGTTTATGTGGGACCTCAATACCAACTCCCATTAGTCTCCTGGGGCTTGAATTTCCTCCACATAGTCTTTAAAGCCCTAAGTTCCATGAAAAACTGAAAACACACATAATGAATCCTTATTTTCTGATGTGGTATTTTTCTATCAACCTGGGTGGTTGTGTATTTTGAATCTTCTTATACTTTATACTTGTATTATTTGAATAACCATTGGTTCCCCAAGGTATTTTGGGTATCTATACACACACACACACACACACACACACACACACACACACACATATAAAGCCTGTATATGAGCCTAAATTGGTAGCTGAGTTATATTTTTACTTTGTTTCTCCTGTTCTGTAAAATCTTTATAATCTATTAATTAAAATGATGTTAATTAGATGGTAATTAGTTATAAACTTAAGAAAAATGGTGTGCCTCCAAAGAATATGATATAGTTTTAAAAAAGTTTTAAGTGCATACAACATGTAATGTCATTACGAAAAGCTGTTTTATACCAGGTGTGTATGTTGGGGGGTAAATGAGATGCTGTGGTATGATTATCTTCCAAGAGGCTTATTATTCAGGGATGCTGGATGACCATGATGATCTCATGCACCAACATACTTGCTTTTGGTTCTAGATTCCCTCTCCCTCTCCGAAGGTGTTAAAGGAGAAGATAACTGGGAAAGAAAGCCCTCTATACAAGTCACCATGCCAGTTTGGTAGTCACAAGACTTCACTACTGCCTCAGGCACCTTCCTCATCTTTTCGGTATTCAGATCATTGTATTCTGATTTTTAAATGAGGGTCTTGAATTTGGAGTTTTTCTCTGCAATTATGTATCTCTTCTGTGTACAGAATGCCAATAATTTGTTTAAATGAAATGACTATGACCTTAAGAAGGCTCAGATAGAGGTAGGAGCACTGTATGTGGGATTGGAGGACTTAGATTGTATCCTAATTGGCCTCACACCCTATTTTAGTGCTTGTAAAATTCACATTGCATCTTGGGCCTTACTTTCCACTTTTTAAAAGAGAGGGTTTCATGATGTAGCTCTGACTGACCTTTGTAGACCAGGCAGGTTTCAAACTCAGAGATCCTCCTGTGTCTCCCTCCTGAGTGTTGGGATTAAAGGTGTGCACTGGCTCCATGTATGTGTTTGTGCACACATGTGTGAGTGCCTGTGGGGGCTAGAAGAGGGAATTACAGATGGCTGTGAGCTACCAGATAGGGGTGCTGGAAACCGGACAGGTTCTCTGGAAAAGCAGCAGGTGCTCTCTGAGCCATCTGTTCAGTCCCTCACTTTCCATATCTACAAGAATCTTGTATTGTATGGACTCTTAAGATTCTTTCCAACACTAATAATTATGATTTTAGTCATTTACATTTTACAGTAATATCAGATGACTCCTTTTTTTCCCAGACATTTTATTAATGGGTGATGATGGGATCTGGGATTTCTTACTTTCTTTTTGTTGCTGTTTAAAGATGGTCTTATTTGCCATATAATGCCTTTCTTTGAAGAATTACTGTGATTTGTGTTAACAGCAGGAAAAACTGGGCCAGAACCAGTGACTAATGAGTCAGGGTGTTGTCAAGGTTAGATTCTGCTCCCTGTAGAAACAGTCAGAAGGAAGCAAGGGGAGATTGGGTGACAATAACAACTCTAACCACCAGGGAGCTCGTTAACAAAGGTTCTCTTGGTTGAGTTAGCACAGGGCCATAGTCCCAATTTTTGTGAGATTAAGGCAGGAGGATCACCAAGAGCTAAAGGCTAGCCTGGCTATGTGGTGAGTTTGATGAAGTCTGGGCAACTTGATGAGACTGTGTTTCAACAAAACACCAAAATAAAACCAGGCAAAAATAAAAAGTCTTATGATTCAGGATATTTATAAGTTTGCCGGTACTTTTCTGTGGGGTTTTTATGAATTATGCTTTCTAATGTGGCCCTTTCTCTGACAGGAGGAAGGAGACAACTTCTAACCTCTACATGACATTATATGAACAAATACCTGAAGGATACTTAAAATACCAAGAAATAAGTGGTAATAAATTCTAGAATACCTCCCTCCCTCCTCCCCTTCCTCCCTCCCTCCTCCCCTCCCTCCCTCCCTCCTCTCCTCCCTCCCTCCCTCCTCGCCTCCCTCCCTCCCTCCTTGCCTCCCTCTCTCCCTTCCTTTCTGATAGAGTCTATGCAGGTCATGCTGGATCTAGACTTGCCACTCTTCTGCGTGCTTGGCATTCCTTTTAACATTTCACCTGATTTTCTTGTGTTTCCTTTGAGTCTATTCCACACTTTCACTATTTGCCTCAAATTTTCAGTCCTGTCACCTAGTCTTTAATTGAGTTAAAGATATAAAAAACTAATTAAAGCTTGCTTCTGTCTTAGGGCTCCAATTCTCTCTGAGAGCTCAGTTGGTAAAGTGATTGCCATGCTAGTGTGGGGACATGAGTCAGTCCCTGCATTTACATAAACAAGCCTGGGCATGTCAGTGCACCTTGTCAGGTGGCAGAGATGGGCAGATTCCTGGAGTTCACTGCCCAACCAGCCTAGCTTAGTTGGCAAGCTTCAGGTCCCAGTGAAGAGACCTTGTATCAGGAGAGAAGCAATGACTCATGAAGAATGACACTGAGGTTGACATTTCATGTGTGTACACACACACACAATTTGCTTATCTAAAATCTATGAAAGTAAACATTTTACTGCTCATTTCTTTCTAAATTTCAAGAACGTTTAGCATAAGAACTACCTCCTTAATGTATTTTTAAGTGTACAATGCAGCATTGTTATGTATGTGCAGAATATTGTATAGACCTCTAGGGTTTATTATATGTGATTAAAATTTTATATGCATTGGTGAATGACCCCCTCTTTCTCCTCCCTCAGTCCTCCACAGCCACAATTCTAGTCTTTGCTTCTTATGTTCAACTATTTTAGATAACTACTGTAAATAGAATAATTTGTCCTGTGACTGGCTTATTTCACTAAACACAGTATCTTCCAGCTTTCTCAATCACTGCATATTACAATACTTCTTTTTTCAGAAGGCTAAGTGATTGATATTCTATGTGTATGTGCCATGCTTAAAAATTAATTCATCTGATGGATGTGGTCTATGTAGTTTGTTCTATGTGTTGTCAACTGTGAATACTGCTGGTCACAGATGTTTTAATATACATATACATATATACATACATAAATACACATACACATACATACATATATATATATATACATACATACATACATAAATACACACACACACACACACACATACACAGAGTGATGATTTCAAACTCATAATGAGGCCAGGGATGGCTTTGAACTTCTGATTTTCCTGCTGCTACCTTACAAGTGATGGGATTGTAGACATGCATCATCATTCTAAGTTTATCTGTTTTCATTTAAAAAACCCAGAAGTAGGCCTACTAGATCATATAGGTTTATTTCTTTGTTGACAGGTAATAAAAACTATTTGGGAAGAATCTTCCTAAATATCTTGTTTTTCCTACCCATGTACTTAGTTATAAACATCATTCACATTCTTCCCTTTTCTCTATTTGGAAATGGTTCCCTTTCAACAGACGAATCCCTTTACATTTCATTTATATTTATTTATGTTTCTACTTCTACATAGTCACATGTATATATGTACATGAACTTTTATACATGCATATGATTATATATGTATATGGTTTGTTTTGAGACAGGGTCATACAATGTAACTAACTGACCTGGAATTCACTATGTAGACCAGGATGGCCTGGAATTCATAGAGATCCACCAGCTTCTGCCTCTCAAGTGCTGAGATTAAAGGCCATCATTAAGTATAGCTATGCTCTATATTTGAAGTTTCTCCTCCCATTCCTCATTCTTTGTGCTCCTCCCTCTCCCCATTCTTCTTTTTAAATGTGTATAGGTGTTTTGCCTGCATGTATGTCTGTGCACCATATGTGTGCAGAGCTCATGGAGGTCAAAAAGGGGCATCAGATGTCCTGGGAACTGGAATTACAGAGAGTTGTGAGCTGCCATGTGGGTGCTGGGAATTGAGCCCTAGTCATCTGGATGAGCAGCCAGTGCTCTTAACCACTGAGCCACTTCTCCATCCCAGAGAAACTTCTTAAAATAGTTTCATTTTTCTTTAGTATCCCTTGATTTTTACTTCCCATTTTACTGAAATCTGTCACCTATCTCCATTCCTCCATAAACCTTTCATCAACATCCTAATGATACTATTTTCAGTGTATTTTCATTTTTTTCCTTTCCCCATTTCATTTCTTCCTTCCTTTTTCTCTCTTCCTCCCTCCTTCTCTTGGCCCATCATCCTCCTCCCCACCCCATTTCTCTCAGGGTGTCACTTATAGCCCAGGTTAACCTGGGACTCATTATGCCACTCAGGCAGTCCCAGAGCTTTGATATCCTGTCTTGACTTTCCTGGCTATTGGATATTTTTCTTAAATACTGGTTTCATGAAACTAAACAGAATTCAACTCAACAGACATTCTTTTGAGGGGAAGAATCTATAAAGAAGTACCAGAAAGAGGAAACAGGAAAAATCTTGCCTTCTAGAAGCAATAAGAACACAAAAGGTTTTTGATGTGCTGTTATCCTGAGTGCTACAGGAGCGGAGAGGACAGGTTCAATGTTCTGGACATACCTAAGTCACAAATTAGAGTCTAAAGGGACAATTTGGGTAAACAAAAAGGTCCTCTTCTTTCTCATCTTAGCGGTTATTACTGTTTTCTCTTGTGAGAGTGTGGGATAATTAGGATGGGTATTCATTTTTAACTAGCTGTTTTGTTATGCCCATGCAGCACTTCCTAAATCCTGCGCAATTTTTAGTAAAGTTCGGCAAGGTAAGATATATGTGAATGATTTGCCAGGGATTCTTAACATCTTGAAGATTCCTATGAATGACTCAGAAATGCGACAGGTGCTGAAGACTGTTGACATTGATGGTGAGTTTTCTCTTAAGCATCTTGCACACATGAATGTAAGCTATGTTTAGATGATTAACTACAGATGATGGGAAAGCTAAATGGCAGATATTTACATGATATAATTTTTATTATGTTTTAAAAACATTGTTTACAAAGATATTAAAAGCTATACTTCGCCAGCTGTTGGTGGCGCACACCTTTAATCCCAGCACTTGGGAGGCAGAGGCAGGCGGATCTCTGTGAGTTCGAGACCAGCCTGGTCTACAAGAGCTAGTTCCAAGACAGCCTCCAAAACAATACAGAGAAACCCTGTCTTGAAAAACCAATAAAATAAATAAGTAAATAAGTAAATAAATAAATAATAAATAAATGTTATACTTTAGGTGAATGTAATTGGTTTGATTACTACATTGGATTATGAGACAGTCTCATCTTTGAACTATGAGTGGCCTATTTAGATTTTTTTCTTTTTTTCATTTATTTATTTATTTTTTTGGCCTATTTAGATTTTAATAGTAATACTATATTAATGATGAAATAAGTATCTGACCCAGACTTTCCAGATGAAGCCTAAGACTATGGCAATAATTTGCATCTATCCATAAAATTCATGAAAGAGTCCATTTTCTGGTTTGTCCACTTTGAGGAAAACACTGTCCTAAGTTATATGTTCTTTATTCCCTTTTATGTATTTTCATTGTTATGGGTACATGTTATTAAAAATACTTAAAAGTTGTTTTTAATCTTTTTTTTTACAAAGTTTGTTATGATACATATAATCCTTGGGTTTTGTAGTAATATTATATAAAAAAGATTCCTTTTGTGTTTTTGTACAGTAACTCTTGTTTGTGTAATCAATTGTATCCGGTGTGAATACATCATATTTTGTCTTCTGTTTTCTGAAGGTATAAGCACTCTGACGTAATGAAAGTGGAAGCCAGGGTAGTTCCTGAAAGGCCTGGTTCACTGGTGACACCAGTGAACTAACCTCTCTTCACTGTCATTGGTGTTGGAGTCCTTATTCTAAAAGAATGCCGGCTACCTGTTCACTATCTCACTGACCGGTGTTGAGCTCTTTTCAAGTCTGCCTGTTTCTTGATGTGTGTAACTTATTATTACTGAAACACTGTTTATTATTTAATAAGGCATTCAAATTCTTTCCTGGTAAGTTCTCTGTCTCTTTCCTTCACACAACGTGAAAGTGTTATTGCTTTTGCATAAAAGGTATGCTATTCAGTTATAAAGATACGCTTTATCAGTTAATTACACTTAAATTTTCAGTTTACATTTTCAGCTTAGTGAGTTTATTAATTGACTTTTTTCTCCTTGTTTCTGAACCATTTTTATAGTCAATGGAATGCTGGATTTCACATATTTTCTTAAGGCCAGGAATGATGCTTCTCGTTTGACCTCTCAGGATCCAGGTACAAATAATATCAAAAGTATAAAACAGAGAGGTTTTGACAGTAACTGGTTTTAATGTGGGGCTAGATAGTTGAACTTATGTCTTTTTAGAATCTCATTTTATTTTATTCCACAGTTTAGTGTAGGCAAATTAGACATGGGTATAAAGTTTTTTTTTATGTCTCTCCTGGATCACTGTTGTATTATCATAATTTTCTATTATCAAACTCCTGTTTTCTCTGTATGTAACTGCTAAGTAACTACTAGATGATTTTATTTATTTATTTATTTATTTTGGTTTTTTGAGACAGAGTTTCTCTGTATTGCTTTGGAGGTTGTCCTGGAACTCACTCTGTAGACCAGGCTGGTCTGGAACTCACAGAGATCCACCTGCCTCTGCCTCCCAAGTGCTGGGATCTATTTTATTTTTATGTATGCATGTGTCTGTGTTCATATGTACATATGGGTGTGCACATGTCATAGTGTGTGTGTGTGTAGGTCAGAGGAGACCTTGAGGGTTGATCCCAGCTTTTTACCTTATTTGAGACAGGGTCTCTTTGTTCTTCCTGCTGTATACACCAGCCTAGTTGGTTTGTGAGCATCCAGTGAGCCTCTGTCTTCTTCCCCATGTCACTATAGGGATTAGAGACATGTGATACTATGCCTGGTATGATGGGGTCCTTTGGATCAGAACTCAGGTCCTCACACTTTTCCACAAGCTTCTGACTAACTGAGCCATCACCCTAGCCCTTAGACTAATTCATGTATAAAAATTTAATTTGTGTGTATATGTGTTTGCACTCCAGGGTGTGTGTGTGTGTGTGTGTGTGTGTGTGTGTGTGTGTGTGTGTGTGTGTGTGTCTAGGTCAGAGGGCAACATTAAAACTTTTGAGAATTAGTTCTCTCCTTCCACCATGAGTCCTATGTGCAATAGGTAAGATACTTGGCTTGTTTTCCTTTTTGATTCTTTACTTCCTGTTTAGCTTTTCCTTCAAATTCCCATGACATTGGTCTTCTTCGTATCCTTGTTTTCTGCCTTTTTATCTGACAGTAGATTTATATATGTAGACTCCTAATACTTCATAGTTGTTAAACCATCACTTATATTTAAATCTCTATTTCTTGGGTTTTAAAATCTTGGTTTCCTGTATTTAGGGTTAAAATATTTTGAGAGTAATCAGGTTTCTTTTGTTCCTTTTAAAACAATACACATAATATATTTTTAAAAATTTAGATATAAGATATCTGTATATTGAACCTAAAAGAACTTCAGCCCCTCCTAGCTCGTAACAAGTCTAATAGTGATTTTGGATTACTTTTGTTCTATTTTGAGACAGGGTCTCACATCACGCAGACTGACTTTGAATTTGCTATGTAGCTGAATCTGGCTATGAATTCTTGATTGTCCTGTCTCCACCTCCTAATAACTGGGATTACAAGCATGTGCCACCACACCAAGTTAGAATACTTTTTATTTTATTTTTTACATTAACCATAGAGTTTATTAAAGGGTGGGGAGTGCAAGAGGGGGAGAAGAGAGAGAGATGAAGGGAGAGAGGTAAAAGAAGAGTAAAAGGAACAGGAGAGAAGAGAGAAGAGGGGTAAGAAGAGTGAGAGAGGAGAGCGTACGTGGGCGGGGTCTGTCTTTTAAAGGGGACCTTTGCACCTGTGTGCATACTGGTCCTCATGTTTTTCGAGACAGGGTTTCTCTGTGGCTTTGGAGGATGTCCTGGAACTAGGTCTTGTAGACCAGGCTGGTCTCGAACTCACAGAGGTTCACTTACCTCTGCCTCATGAGTGCTGGGATTAAAGGCGTGCACCACCACCGCCTGGTTTAAAATACTTTTAATATACTGCTACTAACATACATGCCCACAAATACATGTATACATAATGCAAATGTTTTGCCAAGGCAAATGAGTTACCAATTAGTAACAACGGAGAATCAGAGGACCTAGATCTTATAGTATCTAAAAAACAAAACCAAAAATCCTGCAAAACAAAACAAAAACAATGAAGCATATTAATGGGAATCGAGACCTCTCCCCATTTTTCTCATTGATGCAGCCCATGCTCCCATAACCATAATTAAACTCATTGGTTCAACAATAGCAACACAAGACCTGAAGGTAGAAGGGGGAGGGATTGGGAAGAGTAATCAGGTGGGGGAGGGGAAGAAGAGAAGCAGGAGATTAAGGTTGACATATTGTGTATGTGTGAAATGTCACAATGAAACCTGTGCGTCTGGGGCCACTTCTTCCTTATTGGGTTACTTGTACACAACCAGGCTGGTTTCTAGGAAAAGATGCTGATTCTCACAGTTCAATCATTCTTGTTCATTTCTTTTCCTCCAGAATTTCAAGATATCTTGAAGACTTTTTCTAAGATGAAAGGTGGTCGTGTGGCCATTGATGAAGTGGCTGCTTTTTTGGGTGACCTGGGTATTCCAGTAAACCCTGAGACACTCAAGGACGTGATAAATCACTCTTACGTGGACAGTGAGTTATTTGAATTTTGCTGATCACGTTTATTTCACATTATTTGCCTCCATGTCTTCTTTTCTCTCTTGATTTTACCTTTTTGCTACTGGTACTGCTTACTGATATTGGTAGTAAAAATTAGTGTAGAAAAATGAGAAAGTTCTAAAATTGTTCTATTTTGGTATATTTCCCCAAAGTTAAGAATAAAATGAGCTTGCCAGGCAGTGATGGCACACACCTTTAATCTCAGCACTTGGAAGGCAGAGGCAGGTGGATCTCTGTGAGTTTGAGGCCAGCCTGGTCTACAAAGCGAGTTCCAGGACAGGTTCCAAAGCACAGAGAAACCCTGTCTTGAAAAAGAGGAGGAGGAGGAGGAGGAGGAGGAGGAGGAGGAGGAGGAGGAGGAGGAGGAGGAGGAGGAGGAGGAGGAAGAGGAGGAATGAACTTTAAAAATTTCAGCTTTTCCAGGCATAGTGTCATAACACATTTAATCTGAGCACTTGGGAGGCAGCGGTAGGTGGACCACTATGAATTCCAGGCCATTCTGGTTTCTGTGAGTTCCAGGCCAACCATGGTTAGCCACATAATAACATTGTCTTAAAAACAAACATCTCAACATTGGGGTGGTGAGATAGCTCAGTTGGTGAAATTCTTGCCTTGTTATCATGCATACTGGGCTTGACCACACACATATGACATATATATATATATATATATATATATATATATATATATATAGGCCCATATGCACATGCACATTAAAATTAGTTAGAAGTTATAATCTGAAAACATTCAGCATCATCTCATTTTCATTAGTCATTTCTTGTCTTTATGATGGGTCATTTCTTACAGTAGGAAGGAAGAGTGTTGACTTCAGAAATGAGGAGACACAGGATTCTTGAATTCTCAACTTTATTATGTAGTTTTGGTTAAAATTCCCTATCCTGTTTGGTTATTCTCTATGCATCATAACTTGATTTAAAATATTATAAGGATATATGAGAGATCCTATGTTATGCTAACATTTGACCAAAGGATAGCCTACAATAATAGATTGGTTAGTATTTAAATGATTTATTCATTCAGCAAGCCAGTTAGTCATTTAATATTTACTGTGCATGGAGTAATGATAGGTGGAATAAAGATGCATAAAATACAGCTCTAGTGTGGAGAGAACCATGTAAATTGTAATGCTCTGTGGTAAATGCCTGTAGTGGGGTGTTTGTAGGCTGCCATTGGAGGCGCCAGGGAGAGATGATCTGAGGTTATAGCTGAACTAAACACTAAAGGGGCAGTAGGGTTATAGATGAAGTGACGATGTAGGCTGATGCAACAATTTGTATATACATGGCAGGAAAAACCCAGATATGTCGTTTTAAGTGGGTTTCACTGGCCTTTGTCATTTTCTAGAGGTGACTTTGTAGTGGTTTGAAGATAGATCTAAGCTGTGTATATTCCTATAGGCTTGTTAATTATTTGTTTGGTTTAAAGTTTTTTTTTAATTTATGTGAATGAGTTGTTTTGCCTGCATGTATGTATATACACTACATTCATGCTTGGTTCCCACAGAGGCCTATCCTTTGGAACTAGAGCTATAGACAGTTTTGAGCAGCTGTGTGGGTGCTGAGAACTGAACTTTTGGTCTTTTGCAAGAGTAACATGTGCTCTTAACTGTAATCTCTCAAGTCCCATGTCCTTTTTGTTTTGAAGCAGGGTCTCACTCTGCATCTCAGACCTGCCTAGAACTCATTTGTAGCCTAGAGTGGCTTTGAATTTGTGAGAGCCTTCTTCTTCCGCCTTCCAGAGTTGTAGGCTATTATTTATGATGAGCTCTTGGATGGTAGATGTGAGTAGAGTTCATAAAAGTGGAGATTTTTAGAGGTAAGTTTCAAGCCATATTATTTGATAGTGTTTAGGGTATGCTGTACCAAAAACAACAGGTTATATGTGAAACTTTTGCAGAACCTTCTGTTTTGGTTTATGGTTTCTTGTCTAAGTCTTTGGGTCTCTAGGTCTCCCATATGATTTGGAGAGATAGACTGAACAAATGAAACTAATTTCCAAGGATTGTCATAAAAATTGACTATAAACATCTATCACAGAGTTTGTCATTATGAATAGAGGGGTGAGGCAGAAATCCAAACCATCCCCAACAGCTGTATTGTGAAGTTCTCGTATTTTAAACTCTGAGTTATCTCTGATACTTACTTCCCTACTTTAATCCACATGAACATACCTTTTCTTTGGAACTACCACAGTTCAGTTTCCCAAGTCTACCCATACCAGCCTGGATCCTTTTACATAACAGGCAGAGTAATCTGTTCAAAACACAGGTCTGATCCTATTACCTTCCTTGCTGATTGTTCAACAATAGCTCTTGGGATAAAGAACACTTAAAGTTGATGTACAAGGCTGTGCTATCTGTTTTATGTCAACTTGACAGAAGCTAGAGTCATCAGAGGGGACATCAGTTGACAAAAAGCCTTTATAAGGTCAGGCTGTAGGCAAGCCTGTAGAGCATTTTCTTGATTCGTGATTGACGTGGGAGGGCCTAGTTTATTGTGGGTGGTGCTACCTCAGGGCTGGTGGTCCTGGATTCTATGAGAAAGTAGGTTGAGCAAGCCATGAAGAGCAAGCTAGTAAGTAGCACCCCTCTATGTCTTCTGCATCAGCTCCTGCTTCCAGGTTCCTACCCTGTTTGAGTTCCTGCTCTGACTTTCTTTGATGATGAACAGTGATGTGGAAATGTCAGCCAAATAAACTCTTCCTTCCCAGGTTACTTTGGTCATGGTGTCCATCACAATAACTGTAACCTTCACTAGGAAAAAGCCTTGTATTATCTGGCCTTTACCCAGATCTTTAGTTGTATTTCAGATCATGTTCTTGTTTTCTGTGTCCTTCTAGAATTTCAGCTATATACCATGCCCCTTCCTGACAAACAACCATTGCTTTTTACAACTGTTCCTTGAGCATTCTTCTCCTCCTAGTCAATCTCTACTTACACTTTAGATGTAAACACAACTGTATACATTTAAGATGTTTTGCCTGATCTCTGACTAGACAACATTCTTATGTTGTATAGATATATACCCCACAGTACTAATTACAGTGTGAATTACGTACATATTGCTTTTTAAAAATATTTGTGTCTTAAACCTAAGTGCTAAGTGTACAAATGTTAAGTTTGTTCAAGGTTTTTTTTGGTGTGTGTGTGTGTGTGTGTGTGTGTGTGTGTGTGTGTGTGTGTGTGTGCCTAAGCCAGAGGTTAAATTTGGGTATCTTCCTCTATGCCTTTCCTTTTATTGTTTTTAGAGAAAAGATCTCTCGCTGAACCTACAGCTTGTCATTTTGGTTGAACTAGCTGGCTGGTGAGGCTGGGGATCCAATGTCTTCATCCCCTCCAGCTCTGGGTCTACAGCTGTGCATTGCTCAGACTTTTGTTGTGGGTGCAGGGTACGTCAGCTTAGGCCTTTATGCTTTATGCAGCAAGCCCTTTACCCTCCCCAGTCCCCTGCTGTTGCTCCGTATTTTATCCTCAGTATTTACAAGAGTGCTTCCAACACATACAAACTGTGAACACATATGTATTGAGTTAATAATTAGGACCTTTTTGTTCCATCCCCTCCAACCAGAGAGGTGTTCTTTGTCATGTTAATAAGTTAGCTAAAATTTAAACAAAATTCCTTCTAAAGAAGGTCCTTAGGGTTTGGGAAATGACTCAATGGGTAACAGACTTGCTTTGTTGAGTATGAGACTTGAGTTTGGATTCTCAACACACATGTAAAAGCCAGGCATGCATACTTGTAATCCCAGTGATGGTGGGGGTAGGGATATGGAGACTAGCACATCTTGGGAGCTTGCTGGCCAATCAACCCAGAACAAATGGTGAGCTTTAAATCTTGTCCCTCCAAAATAAGGTGGAATGCAATAAAGGAAAAACTTCTAATGTCGACCTCTGATCTTTACACTTGTATGCACAGGCATGCTCACTTAAATACACATGTACATACCCCCTACCCCCTCACACACATACGCAGGCATCCCATCATAAAGAAGCTCCTGGTCTTTTAGCTATTGAAATAATGCCTCTGTGTTAGGGGTATTGGGATTTGAACCCAGAGTTTCAAGCATGCCAGACAAACACTCTGCTAGTTCCATACCTCTTGAACCCATGAAAATAATCTTAATTGGTATGTTTGGTGATGAGAGTTAAAGTCAACTTGGAGCAGAGAGGCAAGTTACAGTTCACTGAACAAGAAAAACCAGGAATTTGGTACAGAGCAGTGGCTCAGCTCTATAAGAAGACTGTTACAAAAGTGGATGGGTAGGGATCTAGCAATTGATAAAGAATAACCATACAACTTCAAGCTGTAGCATAATTGCTTTTTGTGCTTTTCTCATTAATTACAAATAATTGGTAAAAGTTGATTAAAGGAGAAAGGCCTATAGGTTATGTGTTGACTCTCCTGGAGGTGGAGAGATGATAGTCTATAGATACTATGTGAGATCAAAAAATCTGTGGGAGCTGGGTGTGGTGACACATGCCTGTAATCCCAGCACTTGGGAGACAGAACCAGGAGGGTTGCTGTGGTTTAGGGCCAGCATGGGCTATTCAGTGAGTTCCAAGTCATTGTGGGCTATTGCATGAGATCTTATATAAAAAACAAAGCCAAACCAATATACAGAGCAGAAAAGTTGACTGTGGAAGTAAAAACTGCTCAGGAATCTTCAGCATTTGTGTAGATACTGATTTTTGATAGTGTGTGCTATGGGGGTCTCAACTGTTTTGTTTAAATATTAAGGGAAATAGTGACCTTAGGAAACAGATTTGGACCACACACTTAGTATACATATGTAGAGGGATTGATGCTGTAGGTGCTCTTCAAGCATCTCTAAGTGTGTGCTGTTCTTTACAGCTTTCAGATACTGTGTTTATTAAAATTCATTTTTAAGTGATAGGAAGTAGAGATTTTGCTAAGAATTGGGGAGGATAATTAAAATACATATTTTCTGTTTTTGAGGCCACAATCTAAAAATTGAGACAAAGGAGTAAATACTTGAAGTGATATCTTAAAAATTTTTATAAAATGTTAATCTGATTGTCTTGTATAAATACTTAAAATGTGGCTGTTTCTTTTGATAAAGAAACCCTTAATACAGGTGACAGTGGTGTGACTGGGACAATATATGAGGTCCAAGATCTAATTCTAATGCACAAACTGACTTAGTGGAGCCCATTCTATATGGAGAGATACCTTGCTCATCCTAGACACAGGGGTGTAGGGGGTGGGGAGGTGCCTTGATCCTGCCTCACTCAACGAAGTGATGGGACAGACTTAGTAGACTTCCTAGGGGAGGCCTTATTCTCTCTGAGGAGCAGAGGATGGGAAGTGGGATGGGGGGAGTGGGAGGAGCAGGAGGAGAGGAGAGAGGGAGAGCTGGGATTGAAGTGTAAAAATATATTAATAAAAAAGACAGACAAAAAAGAAACTTTTATTAAAGGGAAGACTTATGGTCTTAATTTCATACTTCATTGTGTACTGAGCTATTAATGAGCAATTCCAGATAGTACTCAAAACTCATAATGGCTGGCCTCCTCATTCTACCTGTACACTCTTCTGAATCACATTTCTCTTATATTAATGTTGGTAGCTGTATGTATGCTTAAAAGTAAATGGAAGTACTTTGAATTACTCTTTCTGTTTTAGGTAACAACACGGTGGATATTGGGGACGTTATACTTACCTTGGATGATCTGCAACAACAGTATGAAGATGTTTGTAAGGGATCTTTGTGGCTATATGTTTTGTTTATAAGTAATCTTTAAGTTAACTCCTAGCCCACAGCTTTTTAAGCTCTTCTAATGGGTGTTGAGCCTCTTTCCCTAGTCTTTTAACTAGGGAGACCAAATAGACATTAAGTGTTCCTTCTTGATATTGATTACATAACACAGGTATTTCCCTGGCATTAGTTCCTTACATATTCTTTACCATTCCTGATTATTTGGTGTTGTTCTCCATTAAGTGCATCCTTTTTTATCTTTTACTGCACTTTATGTCACATTTTAAATTTCCCTTTCATTTATTCAAATGCAATTTGGTCAATATTATCTCAATAATTATAAAAATTCATAGCACAAAAAAATAAATGACCCAGAGACAGATATTGGGGTTCAAGTTTCAAGCTGAAGATTAGAAAAGCAAAGCAGCTGGTCACTAGCTCTCACTCTACCTCAGACTGAAAGGTGATCCTGGCTCCACCAAACCTCAGATGGTAATCCCAGACTGTTATGCTCTCTTTGATGTGGCTGGAGAATACTGAGACTGAATGCCAGCTCTGAGACCTTGCTTCTGTCTTATATATCTCTCTAATGCTGGGATAAAAGGTGTGTGATCCAGGTGCTGGGATCAAAGGCATGAGCTCTGATAGTCTTTACTCTTTGGAAGACCATGGTGGCCTTGAACTAACAGAAATCCATCTTCCTCTTAATCCTGAGTCCTGGGATTAAAGGTGTATACCACCACTCCCTGATCTTTATAGCTTGCGGCTGACTTTTCTTTCTGAATCTTTAGGCAAGCTTTAATAAATCATAAATAATATAATCATCCAAAATTCTGTAGTTAGATTAGCTTATTACAAAAAGGTTTCCCCCACCTTAGGTTTCCTAGGGATGGTAATTGATATTTATCATTATAACTAACTTGTTGATTTTTTACATTAAAAATTAATTGAAACACACAAACACATACACACATGTGGAAAGTGTGATAATTTTTGTAATGAGCATACTTTTTGATTCAAGATAATCAGCATTTCTATATCTCAAACATTTGTCATTTGTTTGTATTGGGAACTTTTTCTGTATAACCTTAGCCCCCCTCCTTTGAATTAATAACTGTCATTTATTTATTTGCTTATGGTTTCTTTTTTTAAATTTTTTGAGACAGGGTTTCTCTGTGGCTTTGGAGGCTGTCCTGGAACTAGCTCATGTAGATCAGGCTGGTCTTGAATTCATGCACCACCACCACCTGGCCTTGTTTGTGTGTCTGTGTTTTTGTTTTAAGATTTTTTTTCTTTTACTACTGATTTGACTTCAAATGCTCTAAAATGTCAAAAAGTCATCATAGTAAACTTGGCTGTACCAGATATTCTGTCCTCTTTGTCATATTTTGTTGACCTTTATGTCTTATAGACCATTTACACTCTAGGCTTTCTTTTTGTTTGCTTTATAGATGCTTCACCTCTATTTCTGGTTTTGTCTTTGTGTTTGACTAATGGATGTATATTTAAAGTGTTACTTCAGTTTTTTTTAAGTGACATATGTTTTAGAAATTAATTTTTTTAAGATGAGTCTTTCTCAAATTCTTTTAGTCTCTAGACTGTTATTTCCTGGACTATTTAGAAGCTTCTTAGTTTAATATAATCCCATTAATCTACTAGTACTTTTGACATTATTTCCCATATTGATGTCTTGAAATATTATCCTATGTTTTCTTCAATTAGATTCATAGTTTCAGATCTTACATTTACATTTTTGATCTTTTGATTTTATATGATGAATTTATGAAATCATATATACTTCATTTGAAATATTTTATTAGTTTTAATGTGTTACAGTGGAGTCTTTTTGTTTGCTTGTTTTTTGAGACAGGGTTTCTCTGTGTGGCTTTGGAGTCTGTTCTGGAACTCAGTCTGAAGACCAGACTGTTTTTGAACTCACAGCAGTCTGCCTGCCTCTGCCACCTGAGTTCTGGTATTGAAGGTGTGTTCCACCATCACCTGCTATGCTGGAGACTTAAGGGGCTTTCTGTTTGTAAGATCTTGTCATCTGAAAACAAGGACAATTTATGCCTGCCCCCTCCAGTTTGGGTGCATCTTTTCTTTTCTGTTTCCTAATTGCTATGGCTAGGATTTCCAGTGTTATACTGGAAAGAGTGGGCCTGATCGTAAAGGGAGAGTTTTCTATGTTTAAGTATTGAGTAGGAAGTGAGGTAGGGGCTTGTCATATGTGGCTTTTATTGTGTTGAAGTACATCCATTCTGCATCTAACTTGGTAAAATGTTTTAATATTTAATTGATCAATTTTATCAAATTCCCTTTGTGCATTTATTGAATTTAATACATTATTTTTGTCTTTTGTATTGCTTAAAATGGCCATGGTGTGATGTATGTGTGCAGGTCATAGGACAATTTGCAGAAGTCAGTTTCTTCCTGCCACCATATGTGTCCTAGGGATCAAACTTAGATTGTCCAACTTGGTGGCAAGCACCTTCACCCACTGAGAAATCTTGCCAGCCCTTCTTTGTACTGTTAGTATATATTTATAGGTTTCTATGTGTTGAACCATCTTTGCATTCCAGGTATAAATGCCACTTGATTGTGGAGAATCATCCTCTATATATTCTGTTGAATACAGTTGCTAGTATTTGTTGACAAATTTTACATCTGTATTTATTGAAATATTGTCCTGTAATGTTCTTTTCTTCTTGTGTGGTCTTTGGCTTTGATGTTAGAGTGATCCTGACCTAGAGTTAAGTGGAGCTGGAAAGAGATGGCTCAGTAGTTAAGAATACATACTACTCTTATAGAGGACCCAAGTTTGGTCCCCAGCCCCTATGTTGGGTGACTCACAACTGCCTGTAATTCTAGGATCCAATACCCTCTTCTGAACTCTATGGGCACCCACGCTCACATGTGCAAACTTCCCTATACATATAATTAAATGTAAAAATACATGAATAATAAAATGAATTTGGAGATATTTCCTCTACTTTACATTATTGGGAAGTGTTTGAAAAGAACATGTATTAGTTCTTTAAAAGTTTGTTAGGGGCTGGAGAAATGGCTCAGAGGTTAAGAAGAACAATGGCTGCTTTTCCAGAGGGCTGGACTTCAATTCTCAGCAACTACATGGTGGCTCACAACCATCTGTGAGATCTGGTGCCCTCTTAGGCATGCAGGCACACATGCAGGCACAACACTGTATACATAATAAATAAATCAATCTTTAAAAGTTTGTAGGTAGTTAGTAGTGGTACCATTGCATCCTGGGGGTTCCTTTGGTGATAGTTTTATCCTTGATCACTTGGTATTGGTCTGTTTAAATATCCCATTTCTTTATGACTTAATTGGGAAATTGTATATTTTTGTGATTTATCCATTTCTAGATTATCCGATTTGTTGAAGTGTAATTTTCTGTAGTAGCTATTTGTGATCATCTGTGTTTCTGTGGTATGAATTATAATGTCTTCTTGCCAAAGTTTTTATTTTTTGAGTCTTCTCTATTCTCTTAGTTTAGTTTTAAATTCATTTTTTTGTGGTACTGTTAAAAAAAAAAGGAAAGAAAAAGAGTGCTGTAGCATGCGTTTGTAATCCTTGTTCTGAAGGGGTGGAGACAGATTCCTGGGGCTCACTGGCAGCCAGCCTATTCTACTTGGCAAGCCCAAGGCCTGTGAGAGATGAAGTCTCATAAAACAAGGTGCTTGATACCCAGAAAAGAACCACCCCTGATCCCTGATGTCGTCCTTTGGCCTTCATGTGCGTACACACACACACACAAATCTATGATGATGATATAAGTGAGTTACATTCCTATATCAAAAAGCAATTAATAACAGACACAAGAAACTATAATACTCCTGTAAAAGTATACCAATTTAGACTAGTCTAATACTATAATTGATGGTATTGTTGCTTTGTCAATTGGTGTATTTTCTCTGATTTGTAGGTGTTTGGCAATTTCATAGATTTAGCGAATCTTTCTTGCCAGACTTTCTTTGAGACTGCCAGCTCCCAATTAATGACACAGAGACTTCTTATTAATTATGGAAGGTTGGCCTTTAGATTAGGCTTGTCCCCAACTAATTCTTAAAACTTAAATTAACTTGTTTCTATTAATCTACATTCCGCCATGTGACTCTCTATCTCTCCTCCATTCTATACGTTCAACTTCCTCAGTGTCTCTCTGACATCTCTAGCACACATAGATTCTAACCTTGAGTTCATCTCTCTCCTCAGAAGTCCTGCCTATTCTCTCCTGCCTAGCTATTGGCCACTCAGCTCTTTATTAAACCAGTCACAGTGACACGTCTTCATACAGTGCACAAATATCCCATAGCAGATAGAGTTGGGTGGAGGATCAAGTATAGAACTCTTGAAATACTTGGTGTTTTCATACATAAGTTATCTTTCTGAACCATCACATGGATTTTTATAAAGGAAGTTGTGACTTCAGACATTTTGTTTTCTAATATTTTCTAGAGTTGTGACTTTTGTATTGGATTGTTTCTGCTTACAGACATTGAGAGTACTCATGAGAATCACTGTTTGAATTTTAACTTTATTAATAAGAGCTTGCCTTCTGTGGCTTCTTACAGTTCTGCACAATTACAATGAGGGTATTTCTAACTCTATTGCCTTACTAACCCATTATCTTTCTAAATTGTGAAGTAGAGAATAATGCAGCCCAACAGAGTATTTTATTTTAACTTTAAATAGATTTGAATAGGTGTATTTAAATATAATAATCTGTAAGACTGGACTGGTTAATAGTTTGATCATTTAATAACCAGCCCTTTCAACTTTGTTAAGCTTTGTTTTGTGTGTTTAAGCAATTCATAAGTTCTGGATTGGCCTTTATGAGGACTTACTTGATTTGTTTGAAATATTGTACAAATCCAACAAATAAATGAAATCAATAAATAAAACAATATATTTCTCTTACTTAGCAATTATGGATGAAGCCACTTCAAGTAAAAGATTATCAAGTATACCAGAACAACCTAAGAAGAAAGACAGTTTACTTTCCAGATTGTCCGAAACTCTTCCAGCAAAAAAACAAAGTGTATCTGCCCTTCAACATCGCAGTAAAACCACGGAGAAACACTATGAGCCTGAATTTAAACGATCAAAAACTTCCTTACAAACAAGAAAACTCTCAAGTGGGGTTGACATTGATCATGTGGGAGTTCAGGAACCATACCCCAAGGGTGAAGATTCAAAGTCTAAACCACCTATCTTGAGGAGTACGACAAGCCTCGATAAGTTTCTGGATAAAAGTGATGCTTCTAACATCTCAAAACTTGAGAAGCCATCTGTGACAAAGCAGCCCAGCCCCCTGAAACCCGTTTCATCTAAGGAAAAAGATGCAGTTAGTGTCTTAGGTCAGTGTCACATGCCAAAGTCAGGACTTAGGTTCTAGAGTGTTCAGACTTTGCAGAAATGGGTAGCGTGAGCCAATCACTGATTGCTTACACTTTGCCCCCTGAATAGTTAGCTTTTTAGTTGTCAGCCTGTGTAACCACTACTTTTGATATGCAGAGCAGTTGATATAATTCTGTGATTTTGGTGATAATTCCTGGGAAAGGGTGGAGACAGGCGGATCTTTGGAACTTGCTGGCTAGCCAGATTAGCATAAACTAAGATCTCTATGCCAGAGAAAGACTCAAAAACTTGGCAGGTGGTGCCTGAAAAACAAGTCCCAAGGGTTGACCTTTGACCTCCACATTCACATACACACATGTCCATATTCAGTCCCACAACATGCACACTTACAAACATACACACACAGATACAGAGAAAAAGAGGAGGGGGAGAAGAGGTGTAGTTTTCTTTGATAATTTTTTTGGGTAATTTATTTGGATATGCAGGAAATATATGAAATTTTTGTTTGAGTCTCACAATTCAAATATGTGAAGATATTACTGGTATTTCAGGTATTACTTCTTATGGATGGAAAATATTAAAGATAGAATAATGAATACTATACATCTTAGGTAGAAGTATATCTTAGTGTGCATGGCCCTCATTAAAGATAATGATTTTCCTTTTTTTTTGTTCTACTTCCATCGCAGAGGTACCTTGTATGGAATTTAATTATTCTCTTCTTACAATCTGCTGAAGTTATCATGTCTGCTATCTTTAAAGAATCCTTAAAAACACACTATCATTTAATGTAGTAGTTTAAAATAGAGATTACTGAAAAATAATTCCTACACTAACATGTAGCTCAAATAGTTGAGAAAAGAATATGATCCAGTGAGGAAGACTAGGGGTATTCATTCTGATTCCTCTACTACTCTGCTGCTATTACTGTGTGTTAGGTAAGAAAGTCCTGGGTTTACACAATGTGGTAAACATTTAGTCAGCCAATAGGAGAGGCCTCATGAGCCAACGATATCTACCTACCTTACATTACTAAATCAAATTATGTCATTGACCGCTTTCATATCATGTTCTGCATGCAAGGAAAAATGAAGTAATTCATTAGGTATAAATCACTTCCCTAAAAATAGCTGTAGTAACAAGGACTCTATTTCATGGGACTGCTTTAATGACTAAATTAAAAAAACTAAACCTTTACTTAAAACTGACATTACTCTCACAACAGTTGCAAATATAGTGAAACACATTTGCAAATAACCCCATATATTAATATTTTATATATCATGGCACAATGAGCTAAATCAGGGAATTAACATTGATACAACAATCCTTCCTGACATTTGACCTTACTCAGATACTATCAGTTGTCTCAGGAATGTCCTTCTGATCACAGACTGACCCAGGATTACATATTGCATTTAGTGGCAAAGTGACCCTCATCTATCTTTCTAGGATATCTTCTGGGTCTTTCATAATCTTGACATTAGAAAAGCAGTGTCCCATTATTTTGTATAATACTCCTCATTTTGACTTTTCCTTATATTTCTTTGTGAGTAAATTCAGATTACACATTTCTTCCCTGAATATCAGAAGTGATACTGTCCATGTGTATATGCCTCTAGGATTTTTATTAAAAGTGTGCACTCAGAGCATAGCAGGGTCAATTTACAGGAAGGGAAAGAAATCTTAAAACTGTGCTTGGGGTTCTGGAATCTAAACAAAATTCATTGATGTTTTGGACTCGTGAGCCGTATCTAAATTAGAAACAAGCAGCCTGGGTTACTGGAACAGGTTGCTCTTCTGAATAGACTTTTGTAGAGTTGTAACAGTTTTGTGCTTGATCTAAAAGCAAAAGTATAAGGGAACAGAAAAAGCAATCTTCCTGTCATGTGGTATTGAGTAGATGAAACCTCTCCTCAGATTACTCAAGATTTTAGGTACCTGTAACCCCATCACTCAGGAGTTCAAGGTAGGTGTACAAATTCAAGGCCAGACTGGCTATGTAGAGGGTGCTAGTCTAGTCTAAGATGCATAGTGAGATTTGTCTCAAAACATATTAAAAACTAAACAAAAATATTTCTGTAGCCACTATTAGATACTTATAACATTCTGATACTTGGTGTGTTTAGAAAGTGTTCATGATGCTATCAACAAGCTCCAAGGAAGTTACATTTCTCCAGAGGAACTTCAGTCGGCTTTATCCACAGTAGGGATTACCGTAGCAGATAAAGGCTTCCAGAATATTGTACCAGAGACTACTAATGTCGGTGAGAACTTGCTAAGTCTAAATTTTTGAGAAAGTACTTTTGTGGAGTTAAGTCGGGGGTGGGGGAATTCTCTTTTTGAGGAATGGAATGGGTCATTCTAAAGAGTAAGAAAGAACAGATATGGGACTGTGGGGATGACTTGGTGGATAAAACTCTTGCTCTTCAACTCTGAGGACCAGAGTTCAGATCCCTCCAGCCCCCCATAAAAGTTGAGCAGGCATGGCAATGTGTGAACACACACACACACACACACACACACACACACATACACACACACTCCACTACACCATCTACACACTCCACACACTCAGGAAAAAAAGAAGCATAGTAGTTGCAAAAAGCCTTGTGAAGTCTGAGTTACTAGATTGCTTTGGGAAACTAGGCCTTGTTTCAGCAAGGCTCCACATTGATGTCTGTGCTGTGTCTTCTAGAGTGGGAATAGGCGCTGGCTGAGCTAGCTGCAGAAGTCAGGGAGTGAAAAAGGGCTCATAAAAATATCCAATCAAGTATCTTGGATTTAAGGAGAAGTGGATGAAGGTTCCACACACAGGAGGGATTTGGAGTAGTGTCGCAGGCTGGACCCTTAAGTTTTTTCCTTCTTGAGAGGGCTTTTGTATTAGGCTTTTTCTTTTTTTTTTAAATTAATTTATTTTACATCCTGACCACAGTTTCCCTTCCTTCCTGTCCTCCCATTCTCTCCCCTGACCACCTCTCTGTACCCCCATCCACTCCTCTGTTTCTGTTTAGAAAAGGGCAGGCCTCCCATGGGTATTAACAAAGCATGACATATATCAAGTTGCAATAAGACTAAATGCTTCCATTTGTATTAAGGCTGGGCAAGGCAACCAAGTATGAGGAATTGGTTCCCAAAAGCCAGCCACAGCATTAGGGACAGCCCCTGCTCCCATTGTTAGGAGTCCCACAAGTAGACCAATCTACATAACTGTCCCTTATATGCAGAGGGCCTAGGTCCATCCCATATAGGCTCCCTGGTTGTCAGTTCAGACTCTGTGAGCTCCTATAAGCACAGGGGGATTTTCTTGTGATGTTCTTGACTCCTCTATCTTATACAATCCTTCCTTCCTCTCTTCAGCAGGATCCCCAAGCTCAGCCTAATGTTTAACTGTGGGTCTCTGTATCCGTTTCCATCAGTCACTGCATGAAGACTCTTTGATGATAATTGGGGTGGTCACTAATTCCAGCACATCCCATAGGCAGGACAGACAGTAGGTCAAAGATGGTGTGGCTGGTTGGTGTCCCAATCCCTCTTTTGGAAGTCTTGCCTGGTCATAGAAAATGACCAGTTCAGGCCATGTATCCCCTGTTGCTAGGAGTGTTAGCTGGGGCTAGAGAGTTATTTTTTTATCAGTAACTAAGAATTATCTACTGTAGAAGCTCATCTGGGGAGAAAAAAGGAGGAACATTCTTTTTGGGAAGAATGACTTGGGAATACCAACATTAAAAGTGAATTTTCAGAGCCTGGGCATAATTTCTTAGCTAATACAAGTAAGAAGAAAATTTGATTTCAAAATGTATCAGGAGTGGGTGCTAGAGAAGTTATTGAACCCACTGCTTCTTATCATGGTTGAGTGGTTGCTGTTGGAGGGATTATATTTAAAAACTGGTAGTGAATTGGACCTCTAATCCCAGGGGTATGGGTGTGATACTTGGTTAGTGCTGGTTAATACTGTCAAGATGTCTTAATGAATGCCATGTTGACTGGCTTTTCACCTTGGCATGAAATTGACTCCTCAACTTTCTCATATTTATCAAATCTTAGCAACCAATCCAGTCCTTTGCATGTAGTAACTATTAAAAAAACAGGGCTATGTCTTACTTATTTTTGTGTCCTTGGTAAATAGTTTATGGCACTAATATGCTTCCGGTGGTTATTAAAATAAAAGGTGTGTGTTTGTATATGCACGCATGCAATAACAATTTATAAACAGGAGTGTTGTTGGTTGTTTTTACTCTTTACGCTCTTAGGAGCCTGCCACCCAGCTCCCAAATAAACAAACGAAGATTATTATTATTGATAAATATCCGACCTTAGCTTGCTTATTTCTAGCCATATTTTTTGCTTAAATTATCCCATCTACATTGCTTCTGGGCTTTTATCTTTCTCTATTTTATATACCTTTCTTTACTTCTTACTCTGAGGTTGGTCCCTGGAGTTGTCCTCTCCTCCTTTTCTTGCTCCTCGATCTTCTCTTCCCAGATTTCTCCTCTTACTTATTCTCTCTGCCTGTCAGCCCTGCCTATTCTTTCTCCTGCCTAGCTACTATACTTTTAGCTCTTTATTAGACCAATCAGATGTTTTAAACAGGCAAAGTAACACAGCTTCACAGAATTAAGAAAATGCAACATAAAAGAATGCAACATATCTTTGCATCATTAAACAAATATTCTTCAGCATGAACAATGTAACACATCTTAAAGTAATATCCCACAACACAAAAGAGGCCACGAATTTGAAGGAGAGCTGGGGGGAGTATGTGGGAAGGATTGGAGGGAGGAAAGGGAAGAGGGAAATGTTGTAATTACATTATGATCTCATAAATTAAAAAAGGGAAACAATGATGTGTGTAATGTGTAGTCTTCCCGCCAGCTGCTTGGGTCCCACTGCTGTCTCAGCCCCCAAATAACACACGAGACACTATATTAATTATGAAGCTGTTGGCCATTTGCTTTGATTTCTTATTGGCTCTGATTTAATTATTAACCCATCACTGCTAATCTGAGTATTTCCACGGGGTGTTCTCTTACCGGAGAAAGGGTTCGGACCTCTTACTCTTCTGGTGTCCTTCATCGTGACTGACTGTGCTTCTGTTTCCCAGAATCTTCTTCGACTCCTAGTCCCACCTATCTTGCTTCCCTATTGGCCAACAGTGCTTTATTTAATAAACCAGTAGGATAACATATACACAGAAGGACTTCCTTCATCAGATATGAACTGATCTAATTCAGAAATACTCATTTTAGAAGAGAGTGTATGAAGGCAGAATAGGATGGTGAAATTAAGGATCAAATAAGTTTTTTATTTTAATTTAATAAAAATGAAAACATACTTTTAATGTAAAATGTATCAGAATGTGTAACTTAAATTCTTTATTTTACAGAAAATGGAATGGTGAATTTAAATGACTTTATTATGGCAGTCTCCAAGGAGCACAATATTTCTGGATACGATGGTAGGTAGAATTTGATTTGAAATGACTTTGAGGAAAGCAATTAGGTTGAAAAGAAAATTGAATAGATGGCAGAGAACTTGCTACTGTGGGGCATGGCAGAGCATAGCTCTCCAATTCCCACATCTGGAAGGCTGAAGCAAGAGAATGGGGATTCAAGGCAGAGCTACATAACTTGTCTTCACCACAAACAAAACAGATAGAGCACAAAATGAAACAAAACTAAGCCCAAACAATAGAACTGGGCTTGCTTGGAGATGGACACTGCCTGCCACATTTCCTGCTGCTGTGAGTCTTAGTCAGGTTAACAGCCAACTTATAAGAACTTGCTGTCTCAGGGTAATAACAACTAACTTGCTCCTCTCATAGAGCTGTCATCTGAATTGTGTAAACCCAAAGTGCTCCGTACAGGTTCCACAGTACAAGTGATAGCAAGAGAGCAAACGGGTGATTAGCCTCATTGGTTAGGAACTGATTTTCAACTATTCATGAGGAATTTGTTTGGATGAAATACTGATATCATTTACTTTTGTTTTAGAACATTTTACGACGCACTTATTAGGTTATAATTTATACACATAATATTGACCCACTCACTGATTTTTAAGTAAATTTATAGAGTTGTGCAATGTTCACAACAATCCAGTATTGTTTTCATTTTGTTGTTGATTTTTGTTTGTAATTATTTTGCTTATACAAATAGTTTTTAAAACAAGATTAAAGTGAAATAAAATACTTGATCTGAATTTTACATTTGAGAAGACCTTTTTAATTTTTCCCAGTGTGCGAGTGTTATTTTTCCAGATCTCACTTTTTCTACAAATGATTTATAATGCCTTCTCCTACTTAAAAATTTAAATTTTTGTTAGACCTTTGAGAGTTTAATAAATGTGCTTTGATTATATTCACCACCACCAACTCTTCCTAGATCTATTCTACTTCATTACACATGGACTTTGTGTCCTTTTTTTTTTAAAGACCAGTTTGTGTCACCTAATTATTTTTGGATGTGTGGTACTCCCCTGGAGCGTGGGCGTCTCACTAGGAAGTACACTCCTAGAGAAAACTGCGCCTCCAGTCCCTAGCAGCTAACATTTTGTCAGTAGTTCCATGGCTAGGGATGGGATTGCATGACCAGCTTCTGTCTCCATGCTGGGATTTGGCCTGACTTGGGCTTACACAGGTTTTATGCATGCTGCTGCAACTGCTGCGAGTTCATAGGTGCAGCTGCCCAGTTGTGTCCAGAAGACAGTGTTTCCTGTAGTCATACACTGCCTCTGACTCTTACGCTCTTTCCATCCCTTCTTCCACAGGGATCATTGAGCCTCCAGAAGAGGGCGTGGGTATACATGTTCCATTTAGGGCTAAGCATTCTCAAATCTCTCATTCTCTGCACCTTGGCCAGTTGTTCTCTGTGTTGATCACCATCTGGCCTATCAACCATTTTAAAAACTGTGCATATGCAATGATATTTGCTTGATTTCTTTATTAATTTCTTTTTTCACTTTTATTAGTTCTTTGAGAAATTTATACAGTGTATTTGGATCACATTTGTCCCTCCTATTCCTCCCAGATCCCCCCACCCCCACACTCTTCCCTACTTACCCAAGTCTGTGTCCACTTTTAAAAAAATACTCATTAAATACAGTTGACACTGCCATATACTCTTGTGTGTGTGGCCTTGCACTGGAGCGTGCTCAACCAAATCTTAAAGAAAACTGGCTCACTCGTTCCCAGCTTCTGCCAATTGTCAATAGCTCCTTAGCTAGGAGAAGTGCAGAGAATAAGGGACCGTGGAATGTTTGCCCTAAATGGGGCATCTTTATCATATCCCCTTTTCTCAAGGCTTAAGGATGGTGGGGGGAGCAGAAAAAAATATAAGGGTCAGAGGTGGTTTATGACTATAAAGAATCAGTGTTTTCTGGACACAGCAGAGCAGTACCACACATGAACTAACAGCAGTTGAGACAGCATACTGAAGATCTGTGACAAGCTCAAGCTAGACAGAATCCCAGCATAGTGAGAGGAGGTAGGCATGAAAACATGTATATTTTGGAAGAATTTCTTTTAAGAATGATTTTATAGCCAGACATAATGACGCACACATTTAATTCCAGCACTTGGAGGCAGAAGCAGGTGGATCTCTGTGAGTTCAGAGCCAGCCTGGTTTACATAGTGAGTTCCAGGACAGCCAAGGCTACATAGTGAGACTGTATCTCAAAAAAGGAAAATGAAAAAAAAGGAATGCTTTCATTACAGCATAAATTTAGCAATTTAAATTTAATGAAGGAAAGGAAACACTGTCCAAATTATTATAGATTTTAAGGTATTATAAGAGATATAGGATAATTATTTCTAAGTAATCATATTTATATTTATAGAAGATTATACTAAATGAATTTACCATGGACCAAACTACACAATCCACAAAATATTATCTCAGTTATCACTAAGGACTGAAGGTTTTTTACTTAGGTTTTTGTAATATGAAATGAATCACCACAGAATTTTAACTTGTTGAATTTAGTAGGACATTCTCATAATATTTTTTGTTTCTATATGTTTTCAGTGGTGATACTGTCAATATAATTAAGTTGGCATTTCCTAGATTTAGAAATCACATAGCAAAGTAGAATATTGCTGACTGATTCTGATACTTATTGACTTTTAGCACTGAAAAATTAGGCTCTAGAGATGCAGCTCAGTTGGTAGGGTGTTTGCCTGGTATGCATGTGGTTTGATCCCCAGCATTGCAGAAACCATGCATGGTGATTGAATATTAGAAGTTCAAGGTTATCCTCAGCTACAAGGGTAGTTTGATGCCAGCATGGGCTACATGAGACACTGTTCTCAAACACCAACAAAACCCCTTAAAGCATTCTGAGTATGCTGTTACTATGCAGCATGTCTAAAGTGATTTGTATTTTTGTTTAATGATGGCCTTAACATTCATCTTAATACTTGTATTTTGTTTGGATTCAATTTTACTTAATTCTAATATGAACAAATTTATTTTCAGCATTGAATGATGCCATTGAAGGCATTAATAAAATTGAGGATGAAAATGTTGCTTATGAGAATGTAGACACTTGTCTTCAAAATTTTGGAGTTTATCTTCCTAAGTCAGAACTAAAGAAGATCAAAGAATTAACTGAAGTTGATGGTAAATGATAAAATTTCAAGGAAACTATTTCCAGAATAATGACTTTATTGTTTTTGTTAGAAAAAGTATTAAGTCAATAAAGGAAAGTTCAAAAGTACAATTTAATGCTCACAATTCATCATCTAGATATAGCCAGTATTAATCATCTTTTCAGATACTTTCTCCTAGGTAAAACTGCAAAGAAAAAGAAAGCAGAGTTTTGATTTTGCTGCCTGACAAGATGGAAGTCAGGACACAAGGCACTGGAAGGGCAAAGGGGCCTTCCTCACGTCAAAGCTATCTACTCACAGTAAAGACTTGCTAGATTTGGGGCATCAGTGCCCATGTAACTGAGCAAGAGTTTTCCTAAAGGGAGAGATAGAGGTGTGCTAGTCAAGCAAGTGGGGTTCCACATGCATGAATAGTTGAGTTAAAAGTCGTTGTTTTTAAGGACACTGTATGAGAATTCATTATAATGTTCTTAGTTGTATATATTTAAAACCTTCATAATAAAAAAAGAAGTAGAAAATATAATCTGTATAAAACTTATATAGAGAAAATGTGACTTTGGATATAAAGGATGGTTTGAATGGGAACATGTCCTATGCTGATAGGTTCAGAGACTGAAACCAGTCAGTTCTTCTATCCAGTGCTATTCAGCTTTTGGGATGAGCTGAGATCTGGGAATGCTGAGGGTGCTATAGCCATAGACTAAGACTGTCATTTCTCTAATTTGTTTGTTTAAAGAAATTTCAACAAGATTCAGGCTTTTTTGAGCCAATTATAATGTTTGTATGAATGAGCAGAGTCCCTGGACCATGTGTGCAGAGGTATGCACATGTAGATATGTTTTTCTTGAAAGGTTATTGTAGTTATAATAGTGAGAGTAGTACAGACAAAGAAAAAGTGATGGAAGACAAGATAAAGAACTTCCAGACATTCATGAGCTCACATGGACAAAATGAGATGCCAGGTGAAATATACCGAAAGTTACGCTACTGGGTACTATTTTGAACAACCTTCTATTAAGTGTTTGAGTTTTGCTTCTAAATTGAATTACCTTTTATCTTTCTAAACATATATTTTAGTGATTAGTAGTGAATGATAGGTATAATTATATCTTCACATAATTTAGTATTTGTCATAGTAATTGGATACTTGAAGATATTAAAGAAAATGTTTCTCTTCCCTTTAGAAACAAAACAAGTAAACTTTAAAGAATCTATGGATACCATGATGAGCCACACAAAATACTTCTCTGAAAATTTATGTACGTATGAATGTTACCGACACTTGGTGTTCTGAAAGATTTTAGAAGATATCAGGCTTTTATAAGATACTAAAAGAATTAGTCATCTGACAGATTGTCAAGCAATGACTGCCTGCCTTTGTGCTGCTAAGTGTGGCTGTAATCTTTTCATTACTGAGCCCTAATTTTAGAATAACTTCTACATGCAGGTGACATGAGAGCTATTACACTCTTTCTTACTTTGACCTCCATAATTACTGTAGACATAACCACGTGTGCTATATCCATTTGGGGTGGGGGGTGGAGATTGAAATGTCTTCTCACTCTGAGAAAGTGATACAATTTGAATCTGAAAACTAATATGCAGAGTTTATGGTTTTCAGCTGTTTTACCAGCATTTCTTTCAGTATTCTAATCTACTTAATAACATTCAAGAACCATTAATGAGGGCTGGGCATTGGTGGCGCACGCTTTTAATCCCAGCACTCGGGAGGCAGAGGCAGGTGGATCTTTGTGAGCTCAAGACCAGCCTGGTCTACAGAGTGAGTTCCAGGACAGTCTCCAAAACAATACAGAGAAACCCTGTCTCGAAAACCAAACCAAAACAAACAAAAAGAACCATTAATGTGTACCAGGCTTTATGTTAAACTGCCAGTATGCTAATATGAGCTAGTATTTGACACTACTTAGCATAGAGAAAAGGCTATAACCTCTGTGTAACAATATTTAATTATATGTTGGTGTCTGGGGTGAGGGTTGGGTATGTGCACATGGGGATGGTTCCCTGTGGAGGCCAAAAATAGATGTTGGATCCCCTGAAGTTGTAGTCTCAAGTAGTTGTGAGCTGGTGACATGGGCGTTGGGACCTGAACTCAGGTCCTCTAGAAGAGCATGGCATACTCTTAACTGATGAGTCATGTCTCCAACCCCATAATCATCTATTTTTAAGGACTGACATTAGTATTTTAAACATTGTGGCTGGATTTATATTATTTGATGCTTATATATTGAATGGCAGTGGATTTTAATTAAGAGTTATTCTTAGTTATTAGTTATTCTTGTATTATCAGCCATTTCAATTTTTCACTTAGGATTTTCACTGTCAGGGAAGTTAAATTTTTCTTAGCACAATTACATAATATATTTTCATTCAAATTTTAGTTATATTTTCTTTGCAAGTTTAATATTATATATTTATGTTCACTTTTCCATTTTTATCAGATTGCTCACTTCATATCTTTTTTTTAACTTTTCTTGATTATTTGTGGGTTTCACATCATGTATTCTCTCCAAATCCACTTATTTCCCTGTCCCCTCGAATCCATTCTCTGCCCTTGCAACCTCCCCCTTCTCCAAACAAAAAGAATTTTAAAAGAAAAACCAAAACCAAACCAAGACAAAAAAAAAAATAAAAGGAAAAGGTCTTGTCGTGGAAGTTGTGTGTGGCCCGTTGAGTCACAGTTTATCCTTTAGTCCACTCATTTTTACTTGCAAGTGTTCATTGCTACAAGTCTTTGGTCTGGCTTGAAGCCTCTGGCTTCCATTACACAACTGGTAATGGGCTTTCACTGGGACTCCTCTTGGCTATCCTGTTGTCATGGAGATCCTGCTGTTTGGATCTGTAGGGTCGTCCCCTTCACATGCCCCAACAAGTTCATAGATGAGGTGGATGTTGGGGTGACCTACACATAACTCTGGTTCTGGGCCTGGGTGGTAGCTGCATCGGTCAGACTACCAGCTCTTGCTCATGGTCACTACTCAGGCCAGCTCTCCAGCACTGCCTGGCGGCACATCCAGTGCAGGGGCCTGTCCTCTTACTGGTTCTCTACCCCTACATGTGGACTTCAATCCGTTTACCCTTGCACTTCGCATCAGTCTCCGCTCATGTTTGCTTTTCTTATCTGATTTAAATCGTCTGTTATATATATTTACGCAATACCCTAAAATCTCTAGCCTTTCTGTACTTCATTGGAACCCATGCAGTGAATCTGCCAACTCTGCATGGGGCTGATTACAATTAGCTTATTTCCCACTCTCTGAAACAACTGTTTAAAATCCCCATTTTTCTCCAACTTCCAACCCTATTCCAGTTCCTACCCTTTTCAGGTTTAGCCTCTGGCTTTGCCTTCATATGGAAAATATCTCAATTTTGATCTTACTAAGGTAATTACCAGTGCCTTCCAGAGGTTTCAAGTTTTCTTTTCCTATGTAAAACTCCGATTTCCTGGAAATTGCTTTTGTGTAATAAGTGATATCTGAATCTAACTAAACATTTTTCTCATAAGGATAGTGAACTGTGGCACTTTAATGCTGAATCTTGGCTTAGTGTTATGTGAATGTCTGACATTTATAGATAGTAATCTTAGGCTTTAAATTATCAGAAAAAGTTTCCCTAGTTTAGTTCTTGGAGTTTAAGCTTTTTATTAAATTCCTGAGAAAAAGTAGCAAAGGGCTGGCCATGGTGGCATACATCTTTAATCCCAGCATTTGGGAGGTAGAGACAAGTGGATTTCTATAAGTTCAAGACCAGCCTGCTCTACATAGTGAGTATCAGGACAGGGCTATAGAATGAGACCCTGTGCAGCAGTTTGAATGTATATGGCCTCCATAATCTTAAAAGGAGTGAGTGACACTATTAGGAGATGTGGCTTTGTCAGAGTGGGTATGGCCTTGTTGGAGGAAGTGTGTCACTGTGGGGGCAGGCTTTGAGATTTCCTTTTCTCTGGATACTGCCCAGTATCTTAGTCTACTTCCTGTGGCCTGCATATCAAGATGTAGCCAGCACCACATCTGCCCACATGCCCGCCACGCTCCCCACTATGATAATAATGGACTGAACCTTTGAAACTTAAGTGAGCCACTTCAACTAAATATTTTCATTTATAAGAGTTGCTATGGTCACAGAGTATCTTCACAGCATTAGAAACCCTAAGACACACTCTCTCAAATAAACAAATGAGCAAACCAAAGTAGTAAAGGTACATTTAGTCCTAATTTTCAAATAGACTTTGTAAACATTTCAGTTGTAACTATAGACTTATATGTACTACATAATAGCAATTATAATTATTGTATTATTGTTATACATACATAGTGTTTATCATGCATTAATATTAAATATTTTTCATTGCCCCATAAATTCCCATATGAATGCTATAATATTTTTTAGAAGAGAAAACCAAGGTACAGAGTTCTCCTTGTCTTAGGCCTATTTAGTGCCACACATCTGGTACACACTACCATTATGATTAGATCTCAGGTAAAGTTGTGTTTGCCAAGCTCCACGTTATACCATCCCACCAGCATACACACAGTACTCTTTTCTGTCGTTTGGTGCCCCCCCTTGAGCTTCGTATCTGCTTGTGTAGACCCATAGGGAAGGACCATTCTTAAGCAGCTTTCCCACTTTGGCCTCAATGCCACGCTGCCCCCTTCATCTCATCTATTACACTGCTTTGTATGAGATGAGGTCTGTGATGTTTCCCAGACTGGTCTTAAACTCCCCAGCCTGGGTTCAGGTGATTCTCCTGCCCTAGCTCCCTAGGAGCTAGTGGTACAAAGACATGTGCCAATTTGGTATAAAAAAACATGCTTCATGACTGCAATGAAGGAAAAGCTTGCTGTTCCTAGTCCACAGTTTTTCTAATTGTTTGTTGGACTATGCATTTATTTATTTATTTATTTGCTTGTTTATTTATTTATTCATTCATTTATTTGGTGGTAGAATTGGGTCCAAGTCTTAACATGCTAAACTACATCTCCAGCCTCAGTTCTTCCTATAAAAAGATCCATTACTCCACACTAACTTTCTATAAAAACTTAGGGGGTAGATTGCTAATTCAGTTTCATCTTCATTTTGTTAACCATTTAATCCCTGCTGCTTCTTGGAAAGTTTTCCTTCTGGTACCCGAGATAGTGTTGGCCTCTAGTCCTCCCTACCCACTGCCAGTTTATCAGTGTTTACTTCTTGGCCTTGTTTACTGGCTGCTACTTTGGTAGTTGATTTTTAAATGTCAGCACGACCCCAGATTCCATTCTGGGTTCCATTCTTGACGGTTCTTTCTGAGTGATCTTACTGCTTTAATACATTCCTCTATCCTTGACTCCCAGTTCATCTGCAAGTCCTCCCCAGTAGCTTCTTCTTCCTGTGGGAAGCTGTGAACACATGACTATTAACTTAGCATCTCAGGACTCGGTGGTCCCAGTCTCTTCAGCCTTCCATTTAATTCTTTGAACACATCTTAATTCTTAAAATACATCCTGATTTGTTGCCTTCTCATATCTCCATTACTATCACCCTTGTCACAGCCACCAGCATCTTTGTTGTTGAACCATTACAGAATTTTCCTGTCTGTTCTTCCAGAGACTCCACTTTTTATTGTGAAGCAGGGTGGTTTTTCTGTAACCAGTAAGAAGATAATTTTACCTTCCAGTTTAAGATTATACTAAAATCAAAATCAAAACTTCCACTATAGGAAGAAGGAGATAGGAGAGAATTTTGGGAAAGACATGAAGCAAAACTAAAATGAGCATGGTGATTGTGGCACACACCTTTAATCCCAGCATTCAGGAGGTAGAGGCAGGTGGATCTCTGTGAGTTTGAGGTCAGCTTGGTCTACAGAGTGAGTTCCAGGACAGCCGGTTTTGAGAAACCCTGCCTCAAAAAACAAAACAAAACAAAAACAAACAAAAAACAAAAGCAAAACAACAACGACAACAACAAAATTGGGAACATGAAGCTGGAAAGGTGGCTCAGCTGTCAAGAATGCTTACTTCTCTTGCAGAGAACCCAAGTTGGGGCCCCAGCACCCACACTGTGCAGTTCATAACCACCCTTAACTCCAACTCCAGGTGATCTGACACCCTCTTTCTGCCATCTGTGGACACCTTCATGCAAACTTGTACCCCTACACATAGACACACAATGAAAAGTAAAATCTTAACCTTTTCTGAAATGTGTTGCTTGGGTTTTCTTGTTCTACCAGGCCCCACTGCCCCTCTCAGCCCCAACAAGACACATGGACACTATATTAATTACAAAACTGCTGACTGATAGCTAGGGCTTCTTATTGGCTAGCTCTGTCTTAATTATTAACCCATTCTATTAAATCTGTGTATTTTCATGTGGTCATTGCTTACTGGAGAATGCCCAGACCTCCTTTGGTGGCTACATAGCATCCTCCTCCTGGTGGGCTCCCTCTACCTACCTTTCCCAGAGTTCTCTTCATCTCCCAGTTCTACCTATCTTTCTGCCTCTATTTGCTATTGGCCAAACAGTGTTTTGTTTATCCACCAATAAGAGAAACATACAGAAGGACATCCCCTATCAGATATGTTTGGGAATTCAGACTTTTATAAATCTAAAATTCAAGGAAAATTGTTTCTTTCTTTGTGTGTGTGTGTGTGTGTGTGTGTGTGTGTGTGTGTGTGTGGTGTTGAGGATTGCACTCAGGCCCTTGAATATGCTGGGAAACTGCTCCAATGATTTGAATTCCCAGTTAAGAGATGATGATGATGATGATTGTGATTACCCAGGGGTGAGGGCATATTTTCTTGAAACAGTTCAGAAACTTCTGAGATATATTGTAAACAGGTTAGATAATTTATTATGCCTTGATGCCCATTTATTCTATATTTGATGTTTATCTTAGCTCCCAAATCCTTAATTGTTAACTATTAAAATAATAGTTTGTTGTGTTGATATCTTGGATAAATATATTATAAAGCTTGTGTTTTTGTTCATGGTTTTAGTGTTGCCGGATGTTATTGAGATCCTCCACGACCTCAGCAAGGACCAGATGGATGTTTCTCTCTTGTGGAACTCTCTGTCTAGTTTGAATAGTCATTTAAAAAAGGATGAATTCTTAGATGTGGTGAAATTAACAACAGTTGATGGTGGGTATTCCAAATATTTAATTAAGAGATATACAAAGTTTAGTGTCTGTTTTTAGCGATAAACAGCCAAACAAATACCAAGTGGGATCTCACTGTGTATTCAGCTTGTGTTTCTCTGATGCTTAGAGTATTTTTCATACAGCTGTGAGCTACCTATGTATTTTCTTGGGGGAAATATTTGTTCAAGACTTTTGCCCATTTAAGAAATAGGGTTATATATTTTCTTGCTGTTAAGTATTTTGAGTTCATTATATATTTTAGATAGTAGCCCTCTTATCCAATGTATGATTTTAAAATATTTTCTTTCAATTCATGGGTAAGTGGTTGCTAGCTTCCTGCCCATAGTGTGTGTGTGTGTGTGTGTGTGTGTGTATGTGTTTCTCTCTTTGTCTATCTTTCTCTTGCTCACTCTGATTATTGTTGTTCTGACAACTCTTTTTATTTTGATGCAGTCCTGTTTGTCTATTTTTTGGGTGGTCAGCTGTGCTGTCAGGTTATACCTAAGAATTCTCTGCCTAGAGCAGGTGGCACAGAACATTTCCTCTGTTTTTTTCCCCAGCAGTTTTATAGATTCGGGAGGGGTTCTCTGCGATCTTCATGGCCAGCAGAGTGACAATCTGTAAGAGAGAGAGAGAGAGAGAGAGAGAGAGAGAGAGAGAGAGAGAGAGAGAGAGAGAGAGAGAGAGAGAGAGAGAGAGAGAGAGAGAGAGAGAGAGAGAGAGAGAGAGAGAGAGAGAGAGAGAGAGAAAAGGCAGTTCAGCTCAGTGTGACTCAGTAGCCAGTGTTGGTTCAGCCACTCCAGAAGTCAAACTCCAGAACTGACTCCAAGTGGTTTATTTTAGGTATATTTGGTGAAAATTATTATGGCAATAATTAACCATATACTGCATGCACAACAAAACATACACAAATGTCCTTAAGGAACAAAGTAATCTAAATAAAGTTCAGACGTGACTCCATCAAAACTCTTTGTAAAATCCACAAAGACTGACTGAGGAAAAACAAATTTATGATAAGGATCTGGGAGAGGGTCTAGTGCTAGCAAAGTATCCACACAGATGAGTGCAAAGCCACCAGGATAGAAAGCATGCCAACTCCAGCCTTTTGATTGGATAACAGGTTTTGTGTTCCTTCCCTTGAGGGAACAACCCTGTGGCCTTAGCATTCCAGGTTTCCTCAGTGTTTACCTGTGAGTGCAAAGACCTCCATGCCTCCTCCAGATTCAGATCTCAATGAGGTGGAGTGTCTGACAGCTGAAATGATAATACATAGACTTAGTAACTATAAAGAAAGTTCATATAATTTGGCTGTTCTATATTAAACATAAGTATATTTTTTATTTCAATACATTCATGTTGTGTAGTGTGTTAACAGCAAGTAGGTACTACCTGGCAAGAACATGCCCAAGAAAAAAGAAGATAGGGTGTCTGTTCAAACTTTATGGTAACATTTTATTATTACATTAGTCAGGATAGCTGACAGATTAAGAGGCATTTGTAGTTAGGTAGATTCTGGATGTTTCTATAAGAAACAGCAAAGCGTACTGCAGTAGAGGAATACAATTTTATTATGTAGTTCCTAGGAATTCAAGAGATAATTTAAAACATATGGTGGATGAAAGACAAGATATAATATTTATAGCTACATTGGAAACCTGTAAAGTAGGATTCTGACTGCATGGGCATGCGCCTTGCTGGTCCCTGTGCTTTGTTCTAGTTTTCGACCATCAACCACAATAATTTTAAGCCTCCAGCCTAAGCTTCCTGGATGGTCGTTAGGAAATAAAGTTGCTTCTGCCTCCCATGTTCATCCCTTGGCAGTAGTCTGGTACTTGCATGCTCTTGCCTAAATAAAAGCTCCTGTTAGATTTTATGTTCAAAGAGCCTTTTGGGTTGTCTGTCAGGCAAACCATAAACTAAGACTGATACCTAACTCTTATTTTTATTTAGGACTGTATTTGCATTTTATATGACTATGGATCGTATGGTTTCTATTAATTGATGGAAATTGAAAACTCATTTTACATTTTATAGTCTTTGCGCTCTTCCCATAAATCAACCTGTTACTAAAAAATATGATTCTGAAGCATATACCAGATAATTTACATTTTTATAAGCTTGCTTCATTGGCTCTGACTTTTGCTTAATGAGGGTAATCTAATAAAACATTTTTCCCTCAAAAGGTGACAAAGTACAACTTGAAGAATTTTCAAAAGTAGTAAAGGATATGCGGGACACCCTCAGGGCAAAAGGTAAATATGGGTTTGGAGTGGGGTGGGAAGATGGCTCTGCTGATAAAGTGTTGCTGTATACGCCTGAGAATCTGAGTTTGGATCCTTAGAACACATGAAAATGCCAGGTAGATACGGCGTCTGCCTATAATTCTAACTCTTAGGAGGCAGAGACCTGGGACACTCAGAGTAAATTGGCTAGCTAGCCTAACCATATCGATGAACTCTGATTTCAGTGGAGAGATCCTGCCTCAATGAATACAGCGAAGAGTGAATGAGGAAGACTCATCATCACTCAATCTGGACATGCATGTACACATGTACCCCTGAATCTCCATATGCATATAGCCTCACATATGTGAACACACATACAAGCATACCACACACATGCAATAAATATGAGGGGGGAAGGAGAAGGATGAAGAGAAAAGATGTCAAATCTGGGATTGTAGCTTGGTAGAGCCCTTGCCTAATGTGCACTGAGATCCTGGGTTTCATACCCTAGTGATAGTTAAGAAAGACAAAAAAAAAATAGCCGGGGACTTTGGTGGCACACACCTTTAATCCCAGCACTCGGGAGGTAGAGGCAGGCAGATCTCTGTGAGTTCCTGGCCAGCCTGGTCTACAGAGCGAGTTCTAGGACAGCCTCCAAAACAATACAGAGGAACCCTGCCTCAAAAATGCAAAAAAAAAGACAAAAAATGAAGATAAGTAGATTACTTATGACTGTTTAAACTGATTTTTTGATAATTTGCTTTGATTTCTAGCTAACACATTTGCATTATTCTGATGTAAGGCAGGCAAAGCTTTGTTTGATTAGAAATTGGCACTTCTTTCAGAAGAAAAAGACTTAAAAAAAAAACAGTTTAAGCCGGGTGTTGGTGGCACACGCCTTTAATCCCAGCACTCGGGAGGCAGAGGCAGGCAGATCTCTGGGAGTTCGAGGCCAGCCTGGTCTACAGAGCAAGTTCCAGGACAGCCTCCAAAACAATACAGAGAAACCCTGTCTCAAAGAAAACAAAAAACAGTCTATTAAAAGATATTTTAAATTCCATCTTCACTTCTTGGATTCTGGGAAATCTGCAAGTTTTTTAAGATTTATTTTTATTTTGTGTGTGAGTGTGTTGCCTACTGATATAATGACATGTGTGTGTCTAGTGCTTTTGGAAGTTCAAAGGGAGCATTGGATCCCTTTGATCTGGAGTTATGGATAGTTGTGAGTCACTATGTGGGTGTGGGGAACTGAACTTTGGTCCTCTATAAAAGCAGTCAGTGCTCTTAACTGCTGAGCCATTTCTCCAGCCCCTTTATTAGTTTTTAAAAAAAGTTTCCAGGTATAAAATACTTTAGAACTATTCTATGGATTGCTTTATTTTATAGAATCTCTCGTAAATCTACTGTTTCCTTTGTTAGACATTCCTCATCGCCTTTCTGTAGTTCAATACTTGTTTTTTTATGTTATCTGCCCCTTAATTTCACTTCCTTATCTTCAGAATTAAGAAGCTAATGGCATCATGTTTATAGAACTGTTAGGATCCAATGTAGTAAGTCATGTACAACTTAGAACATGGTATTGGGAGTATATTGTTTATCGAATAAAGAGCTGCAACTTTATATCTCATTTTGAAATGGGGGGCAGTGCTCTGAAAGACTTGCTCAGGATTGTTGATATTTTATAAGGTGGGGAGCAAAGTAAACGTAGTCACGATGTGCTGATGTTGGTTGGGAACCTGAATCTGAGAGATGGCCACAGAGATGAGGAAGATGGCATCGCCACCCAGTGCAGAATAGGGCTGGGAACTTCTAGGAAGGGTTATAAAGGGCAAGAAAGAGTTAGTACAATGGAACTGAGGCCGCTGTCTTTGGAAAAGCCTATTTGGAAGTTTGCTGGCATATGGGAATTTGACTTCCAGAATGTTTTTTCCATTACCAACTTACTATGCCTAGACTACTTATGGGAGAGCTTGGAAGCATCAGAAAATAGTGTTTATGAGTTTCTGCGCTTTCCTTCAGTATGTACGCATAAAGGTATATGATGATGATGATGTTGTGTGTATATGATGATGTTTGTGTGTGATATACGCAAATGGGCACATACATTCTACAACAGGTGTATGGAGGTCAGAGAACAACTTTCAAGTGTTAATTCTCTCCTTCCACTGGGACTTTTGGGATTTAACTCTGGTTTTCTTCAGGCTTATGTAGCAAATGCCATTATCCACTGAACTGTCTTGAGACCCTAAACTCAGGATTTCATAATTAACTATGGACTGCACAGACAAAAGTCTTTATTATTCTGTTTTGATAAACCAGAGCTCAGTTCAATTATCAAAATGTCTTTTTAAATATATATTTCTAGAGTTTCAGGACATAGCCTTAACTCTGAATTCGGTTGAAGGGGAGAAGGTAGCTCAGGAGAACTTGGAAGATTTTCTAGAAAATCTTGGGGTTACGTTATTTAAAGACGAAGTAGAGAAAATCCGTCAATCAGACATGGTTTCTGGTGAGTATTTGCACTCTTCTCAGTGTTTATAAAGTTTTTTGGTTTGTTTTGTCTTTTTTTTTGTAGGAGGACCTGCAAAAATTGTATGCATGTCTAGAGATATTTGGTTATGTTTCTGAAAATATTATCTTTGAAAAGGACTTTTCCTTTAAAAATCTACTCTTTTGCAGTTATATGAATAAAAAAGCCTTTTAAATAAACAAGCCGAAGTTCTGTGGGTAGCACCCTTGTTAGAATCCTTCTGCTTGCAGATGCCTTGCTCCTTTCAGTGAAGAATGGCTTGAGAATTTTACCTGAGCAGAAATAGTGCTTTGCCACTTAGGTTACCAGCCCCTCTTGGCACTTGAATTCCATTTTGGAACTGGTATGTCTGCAGCCTTGTAGGGCTATGGTAAGAAATAACAGTTGGCAAAAAGGGACCCAAAGGTACTTTGTAAATAAAGTGTTTATAAATATAGATATTTTAAAATGTTTATTTTGATACTAGTTTTTGAAAAATCACATTGCCCAGGAATTCTTATATTTCACGTCTCTCTCTCTCTCTCTCTCTCTCTCTCTCTCTCTCTCTCTCTCTCTCTCTCTCTCTCTCTCTCTCTCTCTCTCCCCTCTCTCTTCTAGAAGACAACATGGTGAATGTTAAAGAGTGTATGGAAGCCCTGAAAGAGACTCGGGAATTTTCTAACTTCACTGGTAAGAGCTTTTCAATAAAACTATTACAAGGCAACAACTACTTGGAGTCATTTAGAGGTCATTTAGTCAAGCATCATATTTAATGCTTGCTCTACATACCTGTTGTTATTTGTGAAGAGAGTGGAAACTCACCTGACTGTGGTGTTTAGAGGTGGGGCCTTGGGAGCTGATTAAGATTTGACAAGCTCAGCAAGGTAGAGCCTCAAGATTGACCCCTGGTGGCTCGAGCAGTGAGCGCTTTACTCAGTCCCTGTTGTTTTCTAAGTATTCCAGTTGTGCGTTGATTTTCCCCGTGACCTAAAAGTAGCTTAGGAGGTAATTTAAATCCCACAGGGTTGTCGCTTCACTGCTGCCCCATGCTTCTTACTTCTAGTTTTAGATTACTTGAGTTAGAGAGTGAGGTCTCCAGGAGGGGCCTATCACTTCATTAGTCCATTAAAAGTCAAGTTTTTAAAACTTCTATTGTTATCTTATGGGCATGGGTGTCAGGTCCCCTGGAACTGGAGTCACAGACAATTGTGAGCTGCTATGTGGGTGCTGGGAACTGAACCTAGGTCTTTTGGAAGAACAGTCAGTGCTCTTAATCACTGAACCATCTCTCCAGCCCCCTCTAAAACTTTCATATGTTGGTTTAAAATCAAAATCAAATTTTCTGCAGAGATAGGCTAAGGACCCAGAAAAAAACCTATCAACATGGTTACTTTTACATATAATTTAAATAATTTATTATCTATTTCTCCCACTGAATCATTAGGGTAGCCTTTCTAGATGTATATTTTAGATGTAGGCTCTCTTTCCCTCTGTGTTTTAATGTCTGTCTGTCTCTTGCCTCCTTTCTCTGCTTGTCTCTTAGTTACAGGAGCTTATTGGCTGTAGGCTTCCTAGTTCAAATGTCTACTAAACATGAGGAGATTAGGGTTGTTTTCAATGATAGGTGAAGTTAGCTGGCAGGAGCAAGGGATACAGGGAAGGAAGGTGGAAAGAGGAAAATTGGGTTTGGAGGATGCTTGAGGATGAAGGGAACTTTTAACTGAAAAAGTAGTATGCTTTTGTGTATATTTTGAAACAGTCTGTCCAAATCCTAGGTTTTACAATATAGTTTTGAACATAAACAAAGGTTGTTCTCTGAGCATAGTGGGAGGATTGCAAGTGTAAGCCCAGGTTGGGCTACATAGTAGACTCTTAAAAAAATGAGAGGTGGGTCTATCTATAATGATCAAAGGATTAGATAGAAGATGGTTAGCATGAAGAAGACCATCAGAGTCAGGTGGAGTGCTCTACTTACATGTGGTTAGTGAGTGTCATACTGGGCAGTGAAAGCTAAAAGAGGTCATAGATATTCTGACTGTGCTCAGAAATTTAGATCCTCAAACCGAGTGATGTATTGAATACACCATATGTGTACATTGTATGTGTATGCCATTTGCACATTTTCTGTACTTGTAGCTTTGAAAGAGGCCATTGATATGCTGGACTCCACAAAAAGAAGTTACCGGTCTGATAAAGACAGACCTCTGGAGGGACTGGAAAATGTCAAGGGTAAGTTGATTAAGCAGACAGCCAGCATCCTGTAATTAACATTCATTTTACATTTTTTAAATTAAGGGATCTTACCCAAGTGTTTTCCATTTTAACAGTTAACATTACTGTTTTTCTGATTTCCCCTAAAGATTATTTTTAATTATGTGGATGTCTTTGTGTATGGGTGTGTGCACACAAGTTCAGGTGCTGGAGGAGATCAGAGACATTGGATCCCCCTGGATCTGGAGACACAGGAAGTTGTGAACTGCCCCATGAGAACAGAACTGAGTATCTCTTCCAGAGTATCTGAGCCATCTCTTCAGCCCCCTTTCTACACATTTAGTCAAGGATTACCAGATAACAACTCATTCTTAATAGTTCCTAATAATGGAACTTTGGAATATTATGTAGTATAGATTAGATTTTGAACTACATATTCATAGAGATTATTTTTTTTTTGTTTATTGAGACAGAGTTTCTATGTATAACAGCCCTAGCTGTTCTGCAACTTGCTCTGTAGACTGGACTGACCTTGAACTCACAGAGATCCACCTGCCTCTGCAGTGGGGATTAAGATTTTTAATGATAGATTTATTTTTATTTTACATGTATGAGTGTTTGGTATGCATGTATGTACATGTATCGTGTGCATGACAGGTGCCTGTGGAGACCACAAGGGGGCATTGATCTTCTGAAGTGGTGTTTCAGATGGTTGAGAGACACTTTGTGTGTTCTGGGAATTGAACCTGGGTTCTCTGCAAGAGCTGTTAACCACTGAGCCATCTCTCCAGACCCTAAAGAATTTTGTTATGCAATGAAATGCCTAGGTGATCCCATGGGCTGTCTTGTAAACTGGGTCTCAGGTTGTTTCACCATGCTGTTGTGTGTCTTCAAACTGATGTTTATTTCTACATAAATTTCCTTCCCAACTAATACATTTTTGTGTGTATTTTAGATGATCTTAATGCTGTAATTTCCCACCTCCTTCTCTCTCCTCTCCTGATTTTTCTACCCCTCCTTCTTGTTGAAGGCCATTAGGTAAAGTTGAATAATTCAATTGAAGCATGCTTATTTTGTAGTCAATTATATTAGCTGTTTATTTACAACAATTTTCTTGATCATCTATATGATTCTTAACTATATTTTGAAAGTCACTAACTGCATTTGAATGGAATTTCAGCAAAAAAATAGTTGAAAATTTCCAAAGGGACAGCCAGTGAAATCGCTCAGTGTGTAGATTTGTTTGACTACCATAGGCTAGTGCCTTGCCCTCTAAAATTTCCTGAGTGTATATTTGGCACTCCAGGACAGTTTTTGTTGCTAGAAACAATGAGAAAGGACTACATCTAGAGGGTAGCAGCAAGAGGCATGGGCTAAGCATCCTCATCCTGCAGTACCTATGTCAACACGACTGCCATTGCTGGTGATCTCGGCCAAGCGTTAACAGTGCTCAGGTCCAGAAAAATTTTCAACCCTACCATTTTGGAAGTATTTATTTTTATTTTATTATTTTAATTTTCAATAGCTTGCTTCACATGCCAGTCCCAGTTCCCTCTCCCTTCCTTCCTCCCGCAGCCCTCCACCATCCCCCCCCCAAGCCTCCCACTCTATCCCTACTTCCTTCCACATAGGGGATATCTAGAATCTGTCATTTCACTCAGGGCAGGGGCCAGGCACTCCCCTAAGAGTCCAGGGTGAGAGAGCATCCCTCTTTGTGTTATGGACACACGAAGTCCGTTTGTATGCCAGGGATAAACACTGATCCACTTCCCAGGGCCCCATAGGTTGCCCAGGCCTCCTCACTGACTCTCACACTCAGGGGGTCTGGATCAGTCCCATGCTGGCCTCCCAGTTGTCGGTCTTGGGTCCAAGAGCTCCCCCTTGTTCAGATCAGCTGTCTCTGCTGGTTTTGCCAGTCCATTCTTTGCCAATTTGCTCATCACTCTTCTCTCTCTGTCACTGGGTTCCTTGGGTTCAGTTCAGTGTTTAACTGTGGGTGTTTGCCTCTGCTTCCATCAGTCACTGGATGAAGGTTCTAGGATGGTTATAGACATTAGTAAGGTTATGTCATCCTACTCAGACAAAAAATTAAGGTAAGCATGATTTATCTGTGTTTTTACCAACCTTTTGTTTCAAGTAATATCCTGCTGATTATAAATTATCCTCAAGCACTCTTCAACTGTAGCCAGACCCGTTTACACAAATAGAGTTGGGGAGATGGTTGTTCTCCCATGCGCCCACAGGACAGCTCACAAATGTCTGTAATCGCACTTCTAGGAGATCTGATGCCCTCTTCTGTCCTCCATAAGTAATAGCTGTGTGGTCACTGACCTACATACCAGCAGAACATCCCATACATATAAACTAATAAAAATTAAAAACCAGAATTACTTCTTTTCTATGATCTATCCCTCAAATAGATTTACAGCTCTGTAGAAAGGATGTGGGATAATGAGAATTGTGTATAGGAAAAGTGCCAGGATTAGCAGCTCAGCAGATGAGAGAGGAAAAAGAGAGGGTGAGAAAGAGAGGAAGGGAAGGAAGGAGGGTGAACGCGATTGATTTCAGAGCAGTAAGTCAATACGTTATTGAAAAGAAGCTAGTAAAGCAGGGGCACGTGTTATCTTAGGAACTGCCACATTGAAGGAGTTGGAGAAGGAGATCACAGAGGAAACTAGAAAGAGTGAGAGTGCAGAATGAGACTGTGGTTGCCTGAGGAGGGAATGGTCATCACTGGTCAGTGTTATCAAGAGATTTGCCACCTTGCTTCCTGTCCGAGTAGGTAAGGTCAATGCTGTTCTTCCTTTCACTGTTTCACTCTATGTTTTTAGGTCTTATAAAGGAAGTTTTGTCTCCAGACCTGAAGTTACCAACCATAAGTGGTGAGTATGAACTTTATGTACAATATATACATACATATGAATTTCATACAGCAAGAGAGTTTTTAGATGGTTGTCAAATGTTTATGCATGTCTAATGTATCTTGCCCAAATCTAGAATTTGGTTGTGAGAGAAAATGTGGTATTTATTTTTCTCTGAGTCTGCATTTCTTCTCTTTACATAATTTCCCTTTTCCTTCATTTTTTTCTGAAAATGTCATGAGTCCATTTTTCTTTACAGATGAAAACAATTCCATAGTATATGATAACCACATTTTCTTTATCCATGGACATCTAGGTTCCATTCCTTAGCTGTTGTGAATGAGGTCTTTGGGCAGATGTGCAGGAGAGGTGTAGCTGAGTCATGTAGACGGTCTGCCTTCAGTTTTTTGAGAAAACTCCATACTGTTTTCCATGGCACACATGCCATAATTATGTAACATTACTTTGCACCATTTCTTTTTTCTTTTTTTGCACCATTTGTTTTGCAGTCTGTACAGCTTCAGGTGTATTGGTTCCCCCTGCCCCATCACAGATTCCATACTTTCTTTTTACTCCCAAACATCGATATATTCTGCTTCTTGGCATATTCTTCCCTGATTTGTTTTGCTCATTTACATTTACTGGCGAGCTTGCTTCCTTGGAGGCACCTCTTCCTCATCTGATAGCTTAAATTAATTTCCTTTGTTGTGTGATCTTACTAGTTCATTTCTGCTTCACAGTACTTATTCCACATAAATAGCTGTTCATGGTTTTAATTATTTGGTTAATGTTATTGCCTCCTATTTTCCTGGAAGTGCCATTGGCCTAGGGATAATTGTAGCTCTAGAATGCAGTGAAATCTTGGTTCTTATCTTACTGTTAAGAAAAGCTAATGTTTATAGCTAATTAAATTTAGTATGCCAGATATTGTTTTGAATCTTTTATGATAACCGATAATTTTAAATATTCATTGAATAAATGATCTGATTTATCTCTTTAGCTTTGTTGTTCATCATACTTACATTTGTATTTATTATGTAGCAATAATACTTACCATAATTTAAATTGCTTCAGATTGCTTTTGGGTGGGTGTTTTTATGTACTCTATTTACTTTGTATATATTTCCTGTTGGAACAACTTACTTCCCTCCTCCACCCAGGAGCTTGGCTTAGATGTCATATTCCATTTCATAGAGCCTTATTCCAAGTTTATCGTGCACTAATGATGTGAGGTTAATCTGAGATTGGTCTTGTGTATCCTTTCTCATAGCACCAATTAGGTGATCGACTTTAATTATGTTTACGGAGACGGCAGCGTCAGTCTCTCTCATTAAGGAATTTACAGGAAACTTTGATAAAGAGGGATTGGTTTTTCAATGTCGCTTGTTAGTAACTGTAAAATGACTGTTAGTGGAAAGGATGATGATGGTGGGTGTTTTCTCCCAACTGACTTTCATGAAGGCTTGAATCCCTTTGTATAACTTCAGAGTAGGGAAATATACACAGCTTCATTTTGGGGTTAAAAGAGAAATGGTATAGCTAAAAAAATTAAAGCACTGATGCTTTAAAATATATTTTATATTTTAAATTGTTTGAGGTAATAGAACTGCCATTTTGGCTGTAGAGGTTGTTGTGGGCAAAAGACCCTGGTTGAGGAGGACATTGATGACTGATGAGCTTACAGTGAAACGCTATGAAATGGAGCAGGTCCCTGCCCTGACTTCCCTTCACAAAGGACTATAGTTGTAAAGTGAAGTAAACGTTTAACTCCCAAGTTGCTTGATAGTAACAGAAAACAAATAGCACATCCATCACCATTTGTTTGCCATAAACTTTTAAAAATTTAAATATTGTTTGACATATGGAGGTCTCCAGGCGTTGGTGGCACATGCCTTTAATCCCAGCACTTGGGAGGCAGAGGCAGGTGGATCTCTGTGAGTTCAAGACCAGCCTGGTCTACAGAGCGGGTTCCAGGACAGGCTCCAAAACAACACAGAGAAACCCTGTCTCGAAAAAACAAAAACAAAACAAAACAAGACATAAGGAGGTCATCATTGCCAACAGAAAATATTTTACTTCTAGATTTTTGGTTCCCGTAAATAGTAGGTTTGAAATAAATTGGTTTGTCTGTATGTTTTTTTTTTTTAGACAGGTTCTCTATTATGTGGCTTTGGCTGTCCTGGAACTCTCTATGTATACCAGGCTGGCCTCAGACTCATGGAGATCCACCTGCCTCTGCCTCCTGAGTGCTGGGACTACAAATGTGCACCACAATTCCCATCCCTTTATGTACTTTCTTATGACAGTATGTGATACATTTTTCTTTGTAGAGATCACAGAAGCTGCTGACATCTTGTCACGTGTTGATAATGGCAAGATCACTATATCTGACTTGGAGCATGCCCTGCAGTGTTTGAATGCCATTTTACCTGAAGAAGACGTCAAAGAAGTTCTTGAGCACTGTGATACCAGTGGTGAGCTGTTACGTTTTTGTTTTGTTTTTGGCTTAAGAGAGTCTTCATTTTTCATACTCCTGGGAAATGTAAAATGTACATATGAATCAGAATCTTAATTTCATGTGCTGATTAAATACAACATTTTAATATCAGCATGTTTGATTTTGACCTTCTAGATAACATGGAGGTGGACTTAAGAGATTTCTTAACGGAAATGAAAAATACTGCAAGCTTTCAGGATTCCATAGGTATGTGAATACTTCTGGTTCAAGAAGGTGACTGGAAATTTGCTTTGTAATCTATGAAAATTTAAATTAGTTTTGTATTTTAAAGAAGTGTGTGTGTGTGTGTGTGTATGTGTGTGTGTGTGTGTGGTGTGTGTGTGTGTGTGTGTGGTGTGTGTGTGTATGTGTGTGTGTGTGTGTGGTGTGTGTGTGTATGTGTGTGTGTGTGTGTCTGTGTGTGTGTGTGTGTGTGTGTGTGTGTGTGTGTGTGTGTGTGTGTGTGTGTGTGTGTAGCAGAGGAGCTGCCAATGGTGGGCTTTCTAAGAAGGACAGGGTGCTGGAGGAAGATGCTTCCTGGGTCAACAGATCCCAAGAGTGGTGTCTATTAATAACTTACAACAAAACGGCAGCCTGTTTACATTTTGCTCCTCAGGCTAGCCCTTTTGTTGTATCACCTGTCTTGTTTCAGCCTGTTTACATTTTGCTCCTCAGGCTAGCCCTTTTGTTGTATCGCCTGTCTTGTTTCAGCCTGTTTACATTTTGCTCCTCAGGCTAGCCCTTTTGTTGTATCGCCTGTCTTGTTTCAGCAGCACAGCCTTAAGTTAGATACTGCAGTGTATCTTTGGGTTAAAGGTTATTTGTGACTCCTCAGAGTGGTCTCAGGGGCCACATGTGAAGTAATAAATAGGCCAAGGAATAGTTTGACGACCCCAATGTGTCTGTCTGAAAGGTGTAGTCTTTAAAAGCTTTGGTTTTGGACCTGTATTGTCCGAGTTTGAATCTTGTTCTTATCATGTAGTTGCCAATGTAATTACAGCAAGTCAACTTAATCTTGCCAGCCTCAGTCTTCATCTGAAAAAATGGGTATAATGATTACTTTTAAGATTATTGTGAGATTAAATAGGTAAGCTGAAAGTGCTTAGAGCAGTGTTTAGCACTAAGGTTTTAATGATTGTTAACTCCTGGTTTAAAGCTATGTTCAAATGTTCATGTCCATTTCCATTATTTTATGCAACCCGAGTCAAACGGTGGGTAGTGCATGGTGTCTGCTGTTGAAACATTTCCTTCTACTGTCTGTCTATAGCCACGCAGCTACTCCTAACTGCTCTCCAAGTTCTTCAGAACGATCTAATTGATGTCTCTGACCTCAAGAAGTTACTGGTGAATGACGACCTTCATTTAGCTGAAACCATACTGAATGAAGTGTTAAAAGATGTTCCCGAGCGTGGTGCGTACTTGTAATCTACCCACCTTAAATGGGCTGTTCTCTCCAGGTGAAGGAGAAAGATGTCTGGGTGGAGCACATGGGGTGGAGGGTAATCCTGTACCACCTGCAGTGGGATGGCTGGTCACACTACCCTACTGGTGTGCCAACTCAGAACTCCACAGAACCAAATAAATCAGGGAATCCAGGGCCCATCCTGTGCCTGTGGGAAGCCAGCGGTAGTGCTTATGGAGGACTCTCATGGGCTGTGATCAACCAGGATTCTCCCTGTAGGCAGAGCAGGTTCCTGTACTTCCAAACCAGGTGCTAACCCAGAAGAAGCTGCATCATGGATGATATGGGCTGCTGCCCACAGTAGTGGCTCAGATATGCAGATAGTTACTAATGTACAGAATGACTTTATAAACAGGTGTGATTGGATGTTTTCTTTACCAAGTTCTTAAAATGATTTGGAGAATATCCTGTCTTATTTTCTTCCTCAAATGTTTAGTAGAACTCACAAGTGAAGGCTTTTCTAAAAGTTAAGTGTGTGTGTGTACTCTGTGTGTGTATTCTATGTGTGTGTGTACCCTGTGTACGTAGACTCTGTGTGTGTGTGTGTGTGCATGTTGGGAAGGTGGTGACCATGGAGGCCAGAGGTATCAGATCCCCTGGGCATGGAGTCACAGGCAGTGGGAGCCGTCTGTAGTAGCCCCACATGCACAAAATAGAGTCAGGAGGGCAATCCAGTGAATGCTGAATGCCCCAAGTTTATTCTTATATACCCAACCAAAAAGGGGAAAATTTCTTTACCAAGATACAAGAAAGAAACAGGCTTTCTTCCTTAATTCTCCAAACATTTAGTAACCTCGTCTTAGACTAAATCTCTTGTTATTTAGATAAGAAATCTATGCCTAAGACATCCTACAATATCCACACCTTAGACCTTTAGGTCTTATGTCTTTAACCTTGGCAGACCTTAGGGCAAGATGAAGCCAAGCCATTTTTATGAAACACCCGACAGAGTTGCCTGGTGTTGGGAGCTAGGAATCCAGCTCAGGTCCTCTGGGATAGTAATAAGCAGCCTTAACCACTGAGCAATCTCTTTGGACCCAGTACTGAAAGTTTTGTGTGGAGTGACTTTAGATGGTATTCACTTTTCTTAATTTTGGTAGGCTGACTTTTAGAAGAACATGTGCATTTTCTCTTCACTTTAAAGCACGTTGAATGTAATTATTGCTGCTTTCTTCTTATCTTTTTGTTGTCTGCCACGTCTATAATGATACTTCATTTTCATCACATGTTACTGGGATGTAACCTTTTTAAAAATCCCTGTTGATCTCTACATCATTTTCAGTCTTATTTTTCTTTGGAAACAAAAATACAACCTTTATCTTGATTGATCCATCTCTTAAATTCATGTTCTTTTTTCTGTTTTCTTCTTTTGATGACATCTAGTGATGAATATTTATCTAAATAATTTAAAGGAGTTAAAGCTTTTGTACTATATGTCCTGGAAGAACACTCCTGCCCAGTACTGATTTAAGTACATTCCAGCAAGTTTTGATATGTAGCATTTTCATTGTTGCTCAGCTTAAACTGTTTTTTTGTTTTGTTTTGTTTCTTTTTTATTTAATTTAAATTAGATACAAGTTTGCTTCACATGTCAAACCCAGTAGTTTAAACTGTTTTAAAATTTCGGTGATCTCTCTTTTGGCTTTTGGGTTTAGAAGTATATTTTTCTTCCTTCCTTCCTTCCTTCCTTCCTCCTTCCTTCCTTCCTCCCTCCCTCCCTCCCCCCCCTCCCTCCCTCCCTCCCTCCCTCCCTCCCTCTCTCCTTCCTTCCTTCCTAAGATTTATTTCTTATGTATAGTGTTCTGCTTGCATATATGCTTGCATGCCAGAAGAGGGCACCAGATCTCATAGATAGTTGTGAACCACCATGTGGTTTCTGGGAAATGAACTCAAGATCTCTGGAAGAGCAGCCAGTGCTCTTAATCTCTGAGCCATCTCTCTAGCCCGCCCCAGGAGTATATTTCTAAATTTCCAAAAAAATTGATGATTTTATAGTTGTCATATATATATATATATGTGTGTGTGTGTGTGTATGTGACAATTATAAACAAAAATTATATTATTTAAATTTTTTGTAGGGAAAATTTGTTCTTCCCCCATTGACTTACTAATAATATGTCATTGGATTAATATTTGGCTAACTTATATTTCATGATATTACTAATATATTTGGGCTTAAATAAATATCATTTTACCAAGTAAAAATACCTCTCCTTATTCTCTCTCTCTTTTTTTTGTGTGTCTTCTTTTGTCTTGTTCATTTAAACAATTAGGGCAGTTATCTCTTTCTTAGCTTGGAAATTTGGTTTTCTTTATAATGAAATAGGTTCCACTCTATTTCTCTTTATTACAATAATAATTCAGTTATATTTGCCATCTTTCAGACAGTGCAAGAATTAATATTTTAATTTCACTCTCAATTTATGTAGTATTTTTGTTAGTCAGTTTTTTAATTATACAAATAATTATTTTGAATAAGTTTACTCATGTATTTATTCTTTTAATTAATTCGTGCATGTTTAATTTCTGTTAGAATTTAGTATTTCCTTTAGATAGGAACTGACTGACTTTCTGGCTCATGGCATCTTTAATTTTACCCTTGTAAGTGAGGATTATACTATTTTCTACAGTTGTAGAATCTAGATTGTTAGTGTTTTTCTTTCAGTAATTTTCTTTGTGTTTGTATTCATGTATGTAGAGGTGGTGCACATCCCTGTGTATAGCTTCATGTGTACATGTATCTGGAGTCTAAAGGTCAGCCTCAGTGTTACTCCTCAGGGGCCGTCCACCTTGTTTTTGAGTAGGGGTTGGTCATTGGCCTAGAACTTACTGATTTGGCTTAGTGGTTGGCCAGTTTACCTTAGGGATCTGTCTGTCCCCAACTCTTTTGCACTGGGATTCCAAATGCACACCAGTGAGAGTGAATTTTTTTTTTTGGTTTTTCGAGACAGTTTTTCTCTATATTGTTTTGGAGGCTGTCCTGGAACTTGCTCTGTAGACCAGGCTGCCCTCGAACTCACAGAGATCCACCTGCCTCTGCCTCCCGAGTGCTGGGATTAAAGGCGTGTACCACCAATGCCCGGCTGAGAGTGATTTTTTTTATGTGGGCTCTTGGAACTGAACTTGTGTACTTTCCCAATAGAGTCATCTGCCTAGCCCATACATTTTGTTTCGCTTTCTTTTCATAGTAACTTTGTGTGGATGCTAGGTTCTCTTTTTTGCTTATTTTTGTTTGTATTAGACTTTTCTGGATCAGTAATAGTCGATGATCTCAAGGAAGGGTGGATAATATTGAGTGGCAAATCTAGATCAAGAGTCCCATCTTCAGTTCCTATAGTAAACTACAATACTTTAGCATCCCTCTTTGAAAGATGACTCTTTCAGCCATTTGATACTGTTTGGTAGGGATTTCATCTTTAATTGAGTTCTGTCCCCCAAGCTCTATGTAATACTGTTCGCTTCCAGAATTTGTCTTCTAAATTTTACCTTGCTTTACAGAAAAAGGCAAAGTTACCATTGAAGACTTTCTGACCAAGTTTGTGGATACCTTGACGACTGTAAAATCTGAACGTGAGTTTTACTTAGAATGTCTTTACTGCTCACGTTTGGAAAGACAACCTGTGGCTTACATATTAAAACAGCCTAGCTTTAGATAAAGCACAAGTAATATGCAATATGAAGGCAGAACAGCACAAGGTAGATTATTTGTTACTTTTCTTTAAATTATGACACAAATATTACTAAGTGTAACGTAGACCTAGAATTGTGGTCAATTTTACTGAGAGTGATAGAAAATTATCCAATGATGCTTTGTTCTCTGAGACTATTCAGCATTCATATTTGATTTTCTGAAATTATTAGAAAATTAAGAATAGTTGGGAAATAATTTTAAAAGATTTGGCAAATTGAGTGGAATATGCCTTTAAGACTATTATTTTTTCACATTATCAAGTACTGTATACTGTGTTTTTCACAAATTCATGAATAACATATAATGTATTAACTTTGTTAGCAATGTGGCTGTGTGTAAATGCTACCATAAACAACATGTGAACAAACCACCCATAAGAGCAATACTGTGCTGTTTAATGACCCACTTCCTACTCTAGCCCTCAGTGTCCAGGAACCACTGCTGCTTTGTGATAAACTTTCAGAGATTATCATATCTAATTATAGCTTTGTACCCTTTGTCCAGCATCATATTTTCCCTTCTGACAGCCATCATCACACTCTCTGCTTCTATGACAGTGTTTTTAGATTCTGCACAAGTGATATCCTCCAAGAATTGTCATTCTGGGCCTGAAATTTCACAAAGTAAAATGTCCCGTAGGTTCACCCATGTTTTTGCAAATGACAGGATTCCCAATTTTTTGAGGCTGAAGAGTATTCCATAGTTATTTTGCTTTTGAAACAGGGTCTTGCCATATAGTTCAGGCTGTCCTGGTATACACTATGTCCCTCAGTCTGTCCTTAAACTCAGTAGTCCCCCTGCTTCAGTAGGTATAGCGGTGCACACCTGCAATCCCAGTATCACTATATCTGATTTTTCCATTATGTTTAAACACATTTTTATTCATCTGCTTCCTAAGAAATGTACAAAACTCTGTAGAACAAAAATTCTAAACCATTCCTGAAGAACACAAAAAGTGAAAAATATGTCTTTTCTGGAGAGGTCTATCTTAAGGTCAATAAGATGTCAGTTACTTTCCCTGAAATATGTATTTGATACAGTCTCAATAAAGGCATCAAGAGCGTCCTTGTAGAACCAGACAAGCTTGTTGTAGATATAAAGTAACATGAAAACTCTGAAAGGGAGGAGCTGCTAAAAGCCTAACTCACCAGGTACTCATGCCTTTATGTCTTTGTACCACAAAGTCTTCATAATGAAGTCACTTGATACCATTGCATGAAAAGATCGAAATGATAGAGAAAATCCAAAAATAGACTTCATTACCTTTAACATTTGTTAAACAGTTACAAAATAGTGGTATCATTTCAGGTTGCTATACAAAATAAGATTGGTTATCTTCCAATGAGGTTGGTATAAAAACTGTGTAGGTAAAGGGGAAATACATATGTATATAAAAATACTATATATTTTTCACAGATAGTAATAAACAACACACCTTTCAGTATTTAAGCACAAAAATGGAATCCCAAATGCCTCAGTGATTTAGATATATGAAAAGTCTTTCTGGTTTTGTTTCAAAATACAGATGAAATTACAATGTTTATCTTTTTTGCTTCTTTTCTACAAGAATATGGTGTTTAATTTTTAAAAATTATTGTTTTGCTCTTTTGTGTGTATTGGTGTTTTACCTGCATGTACATCTGTGCACTGCATGTGTGTCTTGTGGCCATGGAGGCCAAAAGAAGGCAGTTACAGACAGTTGTGAGCCACAGTGTGAGTGCTGAGAACTGAACCCAGGTCCTCTGGAGGAGCTCCTAATGACCTAGCCATCTTTCCAGGCCCAAGAATACAATGTTTATATTTACCTCATACTCTATAATCTTATGAAATTACGATTTTAGGAGATGTTTCAAATGGCAGAATTGTCTACCATAGATGGTAAATTTTCCTCTTATTTAGCAGATGGTTGCACTTTATCTCTTCCTCGTGTGCTGGCCACAGTCTCTGGCACAGCGCTGGGTAAGGTACAGTCTTTCCATGTACAGTCTTTCCATGTTTGTCAGTCAGTGTTTCAATGTTAGGCTTATGATTAAACTGCAGAGTGTACAATTTTTTCCAGGTTGAATAAATTCTCTTCTAATTCTGTGGTTCTCTAACTGAAAGTCATTGTCTCGTCCCAGGAGAGAAAGAGAAGCTTTACAACACTGACATTGACAGAAACGATCTTAATGCCATTTCTGACATCAAGCAAAATTTAAATGCTATAGGAATCCACCTAACAGATGGTGAAATACAGGAGGTGTTGGATAATACTATTCCTCCCAGTGAGTAGCTATTTCATTTTAAAATAGAGTTTTAGGATATTTTACTTTAAACGAGTGAAGGTGCCATATTGCTATGTGTCACTCATCATAAGTGTCCAAGGAACTGCAGCCAGCCTGTTTCTTTTTCCTCCTCTTCCTCCTCCTTTTCTCAGAAAAAAGAATATTTTTTCTTTTTAAATTAATGCATTTGTATTAAAGGACATATTTTATTTATTTACTCCACTTTTGGGGGGATGGAATTTTCACTCGAACTTCCCTATAGCGGTTCAGAATTGAAAGCAGTTTGGGCAGGAACTCAAGCAGGGCAGAGACCTGGAGGCAGGAGCTGATGCAGAGGCCAAGCGGGAGTGCTGCTTACTCTCTTGTCCTTAGTACTTGCTCAGCCTGCTTTAAAATTTTTTGTTTGTAATTTTTTTTTGGTTTTTACGAGACAGGGTTTCTCTGTATTGTTTTGGAGGCTATCGGTCCAGCTCGGCCTCGAACTCACAGAGATCCGCCTGCCTCTGCCTCCCTAGTGCTGGGATTAAAGGCGTGCGCCACCACCGCCCGGCCTTTTGTTTGTAATTTTTGAGACTGTAATTTTTTTGTTGTTGTTTGGCCTTTAGAGACAGGGTTTTCCTGTGTAGCCCTGGTTGTCCTGGAACTCACTCTTGAACTCAGAGATCCAGCCACCTGTCTCTGCCTCCTGAGTGCTAGAACCCAAGGCATGTGCCACTGGTGAGACTTTATTTTAATTTCAACATTTCTCTCTTCCCTTTACTTCCTCTAAACCTCCAAGATATCCCTTCCTGCTTTCTTTCATTTCCTCTTTTTTCATAAATTGTTACTGTATGCATATATGCATTTGTATATACATATGTTCATAAATATAACTTACTGAGTCCATAAAATGAAGGGACATATTTTAAAAGAAATATCTTGATAGCTTTTATTCTAGATCTGCTTATCACATATTCCAAGATAATTGTTGGGTTTCTTTTTTGTTTGTTTGTTTGTTTTGTTTTTATCCTTACAAGTTTCCAATTTAATTTTTAAAAGTTTTTAAGAAATGATATCAAATTATCCCTACAAATTTGAGCCATCTTACTTCATACATGGCATATAAAGATTTATCATATGTTTGAAATTTATTATGGTTCTGGTAGGTGTTGACTATTATTTACCTTCCCCCTTTCTTTTGTTTTTTTTTAATTTTTAAATATAAATTTAAATTAGAAACAAGGTTGTTTCACATGTCAATTCCAGGTCACTCTCCTTTTCCCTCCCCTCCTCCTGCTCCCTCCCACCAACCCCCTCCCAATATCCCCTCATTTCCCCAGGGAGGGTGAGACCCTCCATGGGGGTGTCCATAGTCTGTCATTTCATCCAGGGCAGGGCCTAGACCCTCCCCCAAGAGTTCAGGGTGAGAGTTCATCTCTCATTGTTGGTTGGGAGCCCAAAGTCCGTGTGTATACCCGGGATAAATACTGATCTACTACCCAAGGCTCAATGGATTACCTAGACCTCCTCACTGACACCCACATTCAGGGGATCTTGATCAGTTCCATGCTGGGTTCCCAGGCATCAGTCTGGGATTCAAGAGCTAACCCTTGTCAGGTCAGCTGTTTCTGGGGGTTAAACCAGCCCAGGCTTAACCCATTTGGTCATCAGTCCTCCCTCTCTGTTACTGGATTTCTTGAGTTCAGCTCACTGCTTAGCCGTGGGAGTCTGCCTCTGCTTCCATCAGCCACTGAATGAAGGTTCTGTTTCCCAAACTCTCTGGCCATGGGATTGTAGGCTGGCACTCCCCAGATCAATGTCTAAAATCCATATATTATAGAGTACATGCCATGTTTCTCTTTTTGTGACTGCGTTACCTCACTCAATGGTTTCTTCTAGTGTCATCCATTTGCCTGCAAATCTCAGGATTCCATTGTTTTTTTTTTCTGCTGAATAGTACTTCATTGTGTAAATGTACCACATTTTCTCTATCCACTCTTCGGTTGAGGGGCATCTAGGTTGCTTCCCAGTTCTGGCTATTACAAATAATGCTACTATGAACATTGTGGAACAGACATCCTTGTTGTATGAATGGGCATCTTTTGGATATATGCCTAAGAGTGGAGTTGCTGGGTCTTGTGGTAGATTTATTCCTGTTTTTCTGAGGAATCTCCATACTGATTTCCAAAGTAGCTATACGAGTTGGCACTCCCACCATCAATGGAGGAATGTTCTCCTTTCACCACAACCTCTCCAGCATAAGTTGTCATTGGTGTTTTTGATTTTAGCCATTCTGACAGAAGTAAGATGGTATCTCAGAGTTGTTTTGATTTGCATTTCCCGGATAGCTAAGGATGTTGAACACTTTCTCAAGTGCCTCTCAGCCATTTTAGACTCCTCTATTGAGAATTCTCTATTTAGTTCTATAGCCCACTTTTTAATTGGATCCTTTGGTGTTTTGGAGACTTGCTTCTTGAGTTCTTTGTAAATTTTGGAGATTAGCCCTCAGTCAGATGTGGGGTTAGTGAATATCTTTTCACATTCTGTGGGCTGCTTTTTTGTCTTGATGACTGTGTCCTTTGCCTTACAGAAGCTTCTCAGTTTCAGGAGGCCCCATTTATTAATTGTTGATCTCACTGTCTGTGCTACTGGTGTTCAGGAAGCTGTCTCCTGAACCAATTTATTCAAGGGTACCACTTACTTTCTCTTCTAAGAGGTTCAGTGTGGCTGGATTTATGTTGAGGTCTTTGATCAATTTGGGCTTAAGTTTTGTGCATGGCGATAGACATGGATCTACCCACATTCTACTACATTCCAGCATCCAGTAATGCCAGCACCATTTGTTAAAGATGCTTTCTTTTTTCCTTTGTATATTTTTAGCTTCTTTGTCGAAGATCAGATGTTCATACATGTATGGGTTAATATCAGGGTGTTCAGTTCGATTCCATTGGTCTACCTGTCTATTTTTTGTGCCAATACCAAACTGTTTTCAGGACTACAGAGCTATAATAGAGCTTGAGGTCGGGGATTGTGATGCCTCCAGACGTTGCCTTGTTGAACAGGGTTGTTTTGGCTATCATGGGTCTTTTGTTATTCCATACAAAATTGATTGTTGTCCTTTCAAGGTCTGTGAAGAATTGTGCTGGGATTTTAATGGGGATTGCTTTTGGTAGGATTGCCATTTTTACTACATTGATCCTAGCTATCCAAGAGTATGGGAGATTTTCCCATTTTCTGAGGGCTTCTTTAATTTCTTTCTTTAAAGACTCAAAGTTCTTGTGATACAGGTCTTTCACTTGTTTGGTTAGTGTTACCCCAAGGTATTTTATGTTGTTTGTGGCAATTGTAAAGAGTGATGTTTCTCTGATTTCTTTCTCAGCCCTTTTATCATCTGTATACATTAGGGCTACTGATTTTCTTGAGTTGATCTTGTAGCCTGCCACTTTGCTGAAGGTGTTAATCAGCTGTAAGAGTTCCCTGGTAGAGTTCTTTGGGTCATTTATGTAAACTATCATATCATCTGCAATTAGTGAAAGTTTGACCTCTTCCTTTCCAATTTGTATCCCCTTGATCTTCTTTTGTTGTCATATGGCTCTGGCTAGAACTTCAAGCACAATATTGAAAAGGTATGGAGAGAGTGGACAGCCTTGTCTTGTTCCTGATTTTAGAGGAATTGCGTTGCGTTTCTGTCCATTTAGTTTGATGTTGGCTGTTGGTTTGCTATATATAGCTTTTATTATGTTTAGGTATGTTCCTGTTATCCCAGATCTTTCCAAGACCTTTATCATGAAGGGATGTTGGATTTTGTCAAATGCTTTTTTAGCATCTAGTGAAATGATCATGTGATTTTTGTTTTTCAGCCTGTTTATATGGTGGATTACATTGATGGATTTTTGTATGTTGAACCGTCCCTGCATCCCTGGGATGTAACCTACTTGATCATGGTGAATGATTGTTTTGATGTGTTCTCGGATCCAATTTGCCAGTATTTTATTGAGTATTTTTGCATCAATGTTTATGAGGGATATTGGTCTGAAGTTCTCCTTGTTAGCTGTGTCTTCGTATGGCTTGGGGATCAAGGTTATTGAAGCCTCGTAGAAAGAGCTTGGCAAAGACCCTTCTGCTTCTATTGCATGGAATACTTTGAGAAGAATTGGTATAAACTGTCCTTTGAATTTCTGGTAGAATTCTGCACTGAGGCCATCCGAACCTGGGCTTTTTTTGGTTGAGAGACTTTTGATGACTGCTTCTATTTCCATAGGGGTTATAGGTCTATTTAAATTGCTTACTTGTTCTTGATTTAATTTTGGCAAGTGATAGCTATCCAGGAAGTCGTCCATTTCCTTTAAATTTTTGAATTTTGTGGAGCACAGGTTTTCAAAGTATGACCTGATGATTCTCTGAATTTCCTCAGAGTCCGTTGTTATGTCCCCCTTTGCATTTCTGATTTTGTTAATTTGCATGTTCACACTCTGCTGTTTGGTAAGTTTGGACAAAGGTTTGTCTATCTTGTTGATTTTTTCAAAGAACCAACTCTTCGTTGCATTGATTCTTTGTATTGTTTTCCTAGTGTCTACTTTATTGATTTCAGTTTGATTATTTCCTGGCGTCTATTCCTCCTCGGGGAGTTTGCTTCTTTGTGTTCTAGAGCTTTTAGCTGTGCTGTTAATTCTCTAGTATAACTATTCTCCAATTTCTTCATGTGGGCACTTATTGCTATGAACTTCCCCTGTAGCACTGCTTTCAAAGTGTCCCATAGGTTTGGGTATGTTGTGTCTTCATTCTCATTGAATTCTAGGAAGTCTTTAATCCCTTTCTTATTTCTTCTTTGACCCAGGAATGGTGCAGTTGTGCATTATTCAATTTCCATGACTTTGTAGGGTTTCTGCAATTTGTGTTGTTGTTGAATTCTAATTTTAACGCATGGTGGTCTGATAAGATGCATGCAGTTACTCCAATTTTTTTTGTAGCTGCTGAGGTTTGATATTTTGCCAAGTATGTGGTCAATTTTTGAGAAGGTTCCATGTGGTGGTGAGAAGAAGGTATATTCTTTTTTATGTGGATGGAATGTTCTGTAGATGTCTGTTAATCCCAATTGGGTCATAACTTCTATTAAACCCTTTGCTTCTTTGTTGAGTTTCTGTCTGGTATTCCTGTCTAGTGGTAAGAATGGGGTGTTGAAGTCTCCCACTATAAGTGTGTGGGGCTTTATATGTGATTTGACTTTTAATAATGTTTCTTTTACGAAAGTGGATGCCTTTATATTTGGAGCATAGATGTTGAGAATTGAAACTTCATCTTGGTGGATTTTGCCTGTGATGAGTATGCAATGACCTCCTTCATCTCTTTTGATTGATTTTATTTTAAAGTCTAATTTGTTAGATATTAGGATTGCTATCCCTGCTTGTTTCTTGGGTCCATTTGATTGTAAAATCTTTTCCCAACCTTTCACTTTCAGGTAATGCCTGTCTTTGAGGGTGAGGTGTGTTTCTTGTATGCAGCAGAAGGATGGGTTCTGGCTTCAAATCCATTCTGTTAGCCTATGTCTTTTTATGGGTGAATAAAGGCCATTAATATTGAGGGATTTTAATAACCATTGATTTCTCATTCTTCTTTGATTTGGAATGGTTGTTGTTGGTGGAATTATGTGTGGAATTCCACCCCTTTTTTCTTTTGGCTGTTGGTAAAGTGGGATTATCTAATGCCTATGTTTTTCTGGATGTAGTTAACTTCCTTGGGTTGGAATTTTCCCTCCAGAACTTTCTGTAGGGCTGGGTAGTGGATATGTATTGCTTGAATCCAGTTTTGTCATGGAATATCTTGTTTTCTCCACCTATAGTGATTGAGAGGTTTGCCAGTTATAATAGTCTGGGCTGGCATCCATCGTCTCTTATTGTTGGTAGAATATCTATCCAGGACCTTCTGGCTTTCAGAGTTTCCATGGAGAAGTCAGGTGTAATTCTGATAGGTTTGTCTTTATATATTACTTGGCCTTTTTCCTTAGCTGCTCTTAATATTCTTTCTTTATTCTGTATATTTGGGGTCTTGATTATTATGTGGCAAGAGAGCTTTTTTTTTGTGGTCCACTCTATTTGGTGTTCTATAAGCTTCTTGTACCTTCATTGCCATGTCTTTCTTTAGGTTGGGAAAGTTTTCTTCTATGATTTTTTGAATATGTTTTCTGTCCCCCTGAGGTGATTTTCTTCACCTTCTTCTATATCTATTGTTCTTAGGTTTGGTCTTTTCATGGTGTCCCATATTTCCAGTCTTTCTTCAAATTGTTTTTTTATTGTCTCTATTTTAGTTTTCAACCCTTGCACTATTTGAATTGTTTCTTTCAATTTTCGTTTTATCTTTTCGTCCATTTGTTGCATTTTGTGAATTTTTTGGTTTGCTTTTTCTTCCATTTCTTGCATTTTTTGGTTTGTTTTTTTCTTCCATTTCTTGCATTTTTTGGTTTGTTTTTTCTTCCATTTCTTTGAGGGATTTTCCTATATCCTCTTTTAGGGCTTCTATAATTTTCATGAAGTTGTTTTTAAGGTCATTCTCTTCTGCTTCATTTGCGTTGGAATGTTGGAGTCTTGTTGGTGTGGAGTCTCTAGAATCTGGAGGTGTCATATTTGTTTTTCTGTTGCTGAGTGTGCTTTTGTTTTGTCTCTTTCCCATCTCTTCTTCTAGTGGGTTCAGAAAGAGCCCCTTACTGGTCTGGTGGTTAAGGAACCAGAGTTCCCTTTCGGTGGGTGCAAGGAAGTCCAATACTGTGGTAGTTCTTCTATTCCTCATCCTAGTTCTTGTCCCGTGGGTGGAGAAGAAGCCCAGGAATCTGGGGTGTGCAGTCTCCCACCTGGTCCCCTGGACTCGTTGGTGGAAGAGAAGACCTGGGATCTGGGGTGCTTGGCCTCTGCCGGGATGGGAGGCTTGTGGCAGTCCCTAGGCAATACCCAGGCACTGGAATGCAGGTCTGCATGCAGTGCCTGTTTTACTTGGTCCTGCTGCAAGACCCGCTGGCCCCCTGATCTTGTTGGTGGAAGAGAAGACCTGGGATCTGGGGTGCTTGGCTCCCGCTGGGATGGGAAGCTCTGTGGCAGGGGTTTCTTTTTTATTTTTGCGTTTTACAATGCTGGCTTTATAAAAGTAGTATTTTTTTAAATCAAAATATCTAAATTGTTGTTTCTTTTTGTTCCAAAGGTGATGTGGTTCAGCTTAAGGATATCATCAGAGAGCTGGCTCACACTGATGTATTTAATGAGTGCCAGAGTAAGTATAAATTTTGAAAAAATGCAAACAGAAGCTTCATGCTTGTAGGCTTACATATGAATTTGTGTTTTTAGTATGTTTGTATGCAAATGTGTATGCATGCTAGCATGTGTGTGGGTGCAACTTTGTATTCGAGAGGCCCGAGGTTGGTGTTGTTATCTTCCTCGGTCGCTCTTTACCTTATATATTGAGTCAGGGTTTCCCACATTAGCCAGAGCTCACTGATTGGGTCTAGTCTACCTAGTCACTTTGCTCTGGGATCCCTTGTCTCTTTCATGGACTGGGATTACTGGTGGATTACTATGTTTGCTAGTCATTTCTGAGGGTGCTGGTTATTCAAATTCTGGCCCTCACCATTGTGCTGCAAGCACTTTAACCAGCTCCCCAGCTCCCCAGTATGTGTAATTTTTAGCAGAATCCCATCTCACCTTCTTGCCTGCACCCCCCCAGGTGCTGGTATGCATCATGCTTATGTGGTACTGGAGACTGCATGCCAGGCAAGCATCTAAACTGAGCTACATCCACGGACCTTAGCACCATTAGGGGTTGCTTTGGTGGTTGTTGTTTAGCTTTGTGAGTTGAATGCTTAAGATAATGTCTTAATTTATGTTGTTTTCTAATTGAGCATCAAAACCTCTAAATTTTATAGCACTCCCCTTTTAACAAAGTAAAAAAAACAGGTATTCTGGAAAATGAATGCATTTCATTCACATCAAGTTACTATGGGACTGGAAAGAGTTCAAGAATTAGGACCTGAATTCTATTGGCTGTGCTCATAAAAAAAGCCTGGCATATAGCATGCAGAAATAATGATAATGCATGCTTTTAATCCCAGCAGTGAGAGGAAGTGGAGATGGGAGGGTCCCTGATCAAATGTGTAGCTTAACTGGCCAACCAAAGTCTCATTGAATGACTCTTTCAAAAAACCAAAATAGAAAGCTAAGCACCTGTGCACAAGGGCACACGCGCAATCAGGTTGTTATGTGATTAGTTGGATGTAGTAACCCTGCTTTTATATTTTGCCATCAAAATAGGAATAGAGGACATATGCAACGTTGTCGATAAAATCACTGATGGAAAAGTTGAAGTTAACGACCTTTTGTCTGTCTTAAAGAACTTTAAGAAATCTTTCCAGGAGAAAGGGCAGCCTGAGGTGTTTCCAACTTCTGAAATGGATGGTGAGTGCTTCAGTTTCTACTCAGGTCTTGCTTTACAGGCTGTATAGCCTCACAGGCTCTTTTTAAAAGAATGATAATACCGTATGTTAGGGAGCTCTTTATGGAACTGATGCCCACATATTAGTCAAAATGGAGAATGTTTAGAGAGTGTTTATTTGGTTGAGACTAGTAGAAGCAATCTTGTTAATGCTTTGAAAACAGATTCTCATTTATTGGAATGCAATAGTTAAAATAAAAATATGGCATTTCTATTTCTTCAGCCCTGGATTCTAGGGATGACACATGCGTTTTTGGATTCTTTTGATACAGAATATAATACTATTCTCTTCACCATTATCATAGTCATAGAATGCTTAGGCTGGGGAGCTACTAAAGGACAAGATGTGTGTGACTTCTGGAGTCATCAGAAGGCATCCACTGCCATGGTCCCATTTTCTTTGCAAGGAGAATTGATGTGCACAGCTTGCAGTCTGTATCAAGGTGCACAGCAGCAGTGCTTGTTACACTCTTAGCTGGCTGCTCCGAGAGGAATGCAATCAGAAACTTTTGTCTCTCAGTTTTGTAATTCCATCATTCTTTATAATAACTAAATGAATCTGCTTTTTAATATTTACTTAACTGAGAAGCTTTGACCTGATATTTGTATCCTTGAATTACGTTACGTTTGTTCAGTATGGGATCTTTGGGATATCTGCCCTGTTGTTTCGTTTTGCTGTTCCTAGGTTGGCCTCAAATTTATTTTGTTCGAGGATGCTCTTGAACCTCTGATTCTTCTGCACCTCTATCTACAAGTGTGCACCGTCATGCCTAGTTCATGCAGTCCTGGGAATCAAACCCAGGGCTTTGTGTAGCTAAGCAAACACTTTACCATTTGAGCTTTATCTCCAGCACACAGGATATCTTTTTAAATATGCATATATGTATACCATATGTATATATGTATACTTATCTTGCTTATATATTCTAATGCATAATTTAACTAACTATAAAGTACTTGAATTTCAGTTGGTATTAAACACTCTTAGAGGATAAAGAATGTAAGGAGTGTGACAATTTGCTGAGATTGTCTTTGTTCTATCATATGATACATTTTGGATAAAAACAATGGCCCATAAAACTTAGTTAATTCAGAAATTTACCTGAGAGTAATGTTTTAAAAGCAACAAAGAGATTTAGGAATGAAGATCTTCATGGAAATATAATGAAAATATGAGAACAACCTGAGTGTTCACTAATCATGCAAATTATCTCCTCAAAATATAACTCTGCAAGCCATTGAATACAAAACTGCAATAACATAAAAAATGAAAGGTAAAATATACAGAAAATACATTGACTATAGCTTCGTGAATAGACTTATTTTAAAGACGTAGATGGCAGAGCACTTGGGAGAATGGAGGAGAAAACATGAGGAAATGATGGGTAGACACTGTCACTATCTAGGAGTAAGCTTGTGTGTTCCGATGTCTGGACAGCAGAGAGTATCTGTGGCTGTGAACAGTCTGAGCTGACCTTCCCCTGGCCTTTAGGAACTCTTCTTTTCAGCGTGTTTGGGAGTTGAGGTTGGTTCCCCTTGTTATTTACTTATATTTATATCTCAAGGCTTTTAATCTGACATTCCATAGGCTGTCACTCCCCACCACATACCATGAATTGATTCTTTGTGGTTACTGAAGTCTTTGCCTTGTTATGTCTAGTGTAAATATAGCCTTCTACTGTATTTTCTCATGTGTTTACTTTTTGTTGTTTTAATTTTGTGCATTCTATTCTACTGTTTTGTATTTAATTAAATAAGTTGATGCTAATGTACAAGAGAAGCATAAACATTTTAAAAATGAAGAAATTTGTAAAAAATGAAAAATTTGAGAGACTAAAAATATTCAAATTAATCATCTGCTAATGATACTAGTATAACAAATAAAAAGATAAACTATATATATATCCTATATAACCTGTGTATGAGTTTTAAAAGTGGGGGGGTCACATGAGTTATTTAATAAACGTGATAGATCTTAAACAGCATTAAAAAGAAGATGGAATACTCGAAATATCACAGGTGGTAAGGGTAAGTGTTGTGTGAGAAAATTAGATTCTTGCTGGACAGTGGTGGCACATGCCTTTAACCTGACACTGGGGAGGCAGAGGAAGGTGAATCTCTGAGTTGAGGCCAGCCTGGTCTACAGAGCAGGTTCCAAGAGAGCCAGGACTACATGAACCTTGAATCTCTGTGTGTTGTGTGTGTATGTTGTGTGAGTGTGGGAGATGTGTGCTCATGCATGTATTTGCATTCTCTCAATCTAACCAGTGTGTTGTGATCACAGAGATATTTAAGTTGAGTGGAATGATAATAAACACAATTATTGCTTTAATTCCTACAAAAGATTTTATTTTGTGTGTATGGATATTTGCCTGCATGTGTGTCTGTGTACCACATGCCTGGCTGATACCATCAGAGGTCAGAAGAGAGTCAGATCCCCTGGAGTGGGAGCTACAGATGGTCATGAGCTGCCCTATGGGTGCTGCAAGTGAACCCCAGTCCTCCACGAGAGCAGCCAGTGTTCTTAGCTGCTGAGCTGTCTCTCCAGCTTCTGCTGTCATGTTTTAGATCGACTCATTTAAACCCTACTTTTTGTTAACTTTGCAGAAAAAGAAGTGACCTCAGAGGACACAGTTGCTTCTTTAATCAACTCGTCTAGTCTAGCAACACCATTCAGCAGTAAGCATAATAGAAGAATAAAATTAAATTTTAAAGATCATCTTATGGTATTTTAAACATTTCTTAAACACAATATGTTTTATCTTTATTTTTAGCGTTTTCTCAAAGTTTCCTCTGCCTTATTTTAAATATTATCTCTAGACTTCTCACTCCCTATCATACTTAATTTGTGCTTGCAGTATAATTAAAATTATTCAGAATTTCATACCTATAATGACTCTGTAGGACAAATTTCTTGTCTCAGTATATGTAAGCTGTAGTGTAGAAATACCCCATGTTACTCCAGTGGCACATTTCCCCCTCATCTCTGAGAATATCGACGTGGTTATTGTCTCATATATGACACATGCTGTGGAACAACACTGGAAAGCTAGCAGACGTGCTTGTGAAGGAGGATGGCTCCTGAAGTCTAAGAAAAGCTCTCTCCTGTTGGTCTACATCAGAGTTTTCTTTCATACTTTTCCTTTCCTCAACTCCTTGACTTCTGTTTCTGCTCCTGGATCTCCCGCTCTGAACTGCTGCCCGGCTGTTGGCAAGCTTGAGTGCTGCTGTTGTTACAGTGCAGTGTGGAGCAGCAACACCTCTGAGAGCAAACAGTTGACGGCCAAAATGAGCTTCCTCAGGAATTGAGCAGCAAAGGAGCTCTTACCTAACAGCCCTTTGATTTTGTTTATTGTTTATTTGACTTCTAAAGACAAGACCTGCTGATGTGTTTTAAAAGGTTTTTCACTCAGAATTCCTTTAAAGATATACCTGTTTCCTTTTTGTAGGCTGGGTACCAAGAATTAAAAAGGACTTGATGTCAGTGTTAACATCTATTCTCATTTCCTCCTATATTTGCAGGTTTATTGAAAGCGATTACATCTTTTGAAAATATCAGAAATAATAAAATGCCTGCAAAGGAACTGATCTCGAATCTCAGCAGTACTGGAATTCCAATAAGCTCCAATACAATGCAGGAGATCCTGAGAAAGGCCTCTATTGATGGTGAATTCTTCTTTCCTATTGTATAGTCCTTCTTTGAAACTATTCAGTGTCTTTTTAACATTGAGATATAGTTTACATGCTGTATAATCTACCCCAAGATGATGATGATGATGATGTTGATGGGTACATGTGTAATGAGCCTTTCTCTGTCCTGCCAGCCAGCTCCCAAATATGGCATGGAGACTTATTATTAATTATGAAGGCCCAGACTTAGCTTAGGTTTGTCCCACTAGTTCTTGTAACTTAAATTAACTCATTTACATTAATCTATGTTCTATTGTGTGGCATTACCTCTCTTCCATCTTGCACTTCCTGTTTCCTTTCCATGTCTCCTGGCTTCTCTGCTTTTTTTCTTCTCAGAGTTCTCTCTGTCTCTGGAAGTCCCACCTACCCTCTTCCTGCCTAGCTATTGGTCACTCAGCTCTTTATCACACCAATTATAGTACAAATATCCCAAATTTCCCTGTTTTTGTCTAAATTAAAAGGAAAACTTTTAACTCTAACATAGTAAAACTATGTACAATAAAGAACAATACCAGGATTACTGCCAGAAAAGGTCCTTCAGAACAGAGCAGCCAAGATGTGTGACTTCACTGAAGACCAGACTGCAGAATTCAAGGAGGCTTTCCAGCTGTTTGAACAGGTGATGGCAAAATCCTGTACAGCCAATGTGGGAACGTGATGAGAGCCTTGGGCCAGAACTCTACCAACGCCGAGGTGCTCAAGGTCCTGGGGAGCCCCAGGAGTGATGAGGTGAATGTGACGGTGCTGGACTTTGAGCGTTTCTTGTCCATGCAGCAGGCTGTGGCCAACAACAAGGGCCAGGGGATCTGGGAGGGTTATGTTGAAGGCCTTCATGTGTTTGACAAGGGAGCAGTAGCATCATGGGTGCTGAAATCCATCATGTTCTTGTCACACTGGGGGAGAAGATGACAGAGGAAGAGGTGGAGATGCTGGTGGCAGGACACAAGGACAGCAATGGTTGTGCCAACTATGAAGAGCTTGTCCAGATGGTGCTGTATGGCTGAGGACGTTTCCATATGCTGAGCCTGTGCCTTGTCCAGTGGGAGATTTCTATGTGGCTCCTCCTAGGCCCTTATCACAGCACATGGCCCATCTGGTCTCTTCTGGATGATCTTTGCCTTCACCAAACAAAATTTTCTCTCTTTGCCCTAAAAAAGAACAATTATCAGATAAGAATTACATTCACAATATCCAACCCATTTGTATTTGGCACATTCAGAGAAAATACATTATTATCTATTCTATCTTGATGAATTTAATATTTAATATCTAAACCAATTTCTGTCATAACTTGTACCACCATCTTAAAACTACCATACCAGACCTCAAAACATTTTCTTAGATAAACAATTTAAACTCTTATGTTTCTCAACCTTAAAAACTTTACATTTTTTATGTAAGCTTCTTTTGAATTTGGTAACAAGGAAAATTGTAAAACTGTAGCTATCTTGTCTTCAGTTCCATTAAAAACCTGAGACGAATATAATATTACTTGAGTAAACAGGAAGTATAGAGCAAGCATAACCTATCCCCTAACACAAAACCTGGCTTTTCTGGAGAGTCAAACTCAGATCCACCTGCACGGACAGTCACCAATGATTTGTCTGTAATGTTGGGGCATCCATCTTTGTTCTACAGGCTTAGAATATCTATCAGACTTTTTGTGAAGCAGGAATTTTGAATTACTGTCCTACCTTGCCTTGGCAAAGTTTGACAGTTGCCTTCTTTTGTGTTCTGTGTGTCCAATTTGGACAGCATACTGTCAGCAGTTGAGGCAAGGGCTAACTTTGCCATGAATGAAAGCAAACTCTCTATGGTGGGTCCTTGATGCCCATCACCGTCTCTGAAGTAGTTTGATGCTGCCAGGAGCAGACATGTCTCACTGTCACGAAAATCCTTATGTTATTAAAGCATTTTGAATGTCATATTCTGTAGGTCTTCGAAGTATTTGAAGACCATCTATTTAAAATATATCTCTATTTAACCTTGAAAACATACCTAACACTACTATAAGTTTGATTGTTATAGATGACTAACTACTAGCCTGTCTTTCTTTATTATCCTAAATAGGTTTCAAGGACTAAAACTTTACATTTTTTAAAAGAGCTGCATAGGTACAATACCTTAAGCAAGAGTAGAAACATATACAGTATAACAAAAATAACTTTAAATTTGTATCTGTACCAATGTGAAATACTTGAGATTAATAGCTACTTTTTAGTTTAAAGAAGATTCAACTTTTATCCTATCAATTGTGTAACCCTTTTTTCTTTTCAGAAGGAGGTCCTTGAATCTTACCTCCCTTGCTTAGTTTCTTCACTTGCCATGACCAGTAATAATTTGCATACAACCCCCCTAAATGGTCACAAATATCCATAACCCACCAAACAACCAAAAACTACCCACCCCACCCCTTGGGAATCATTTTCTTAAATTTCTTTCCTACTGTCTCGGGACAACAGTATCGTTAGGGGACCCCAAGAAAATTAAAATAGTGTCAAGTCTTGAGAGAGCTAGCTGTATTATTTTTTGTTGTTATTTAATCTGTGTGTAATGGGAAAGTGTGAGCTTATCTGAAGTCCTGACTGGATAATCTGTGAGGCTGAAACATCTCAGCCAGCAGCTTTAAAGTTGTTCTGGATACAGAATTTTGAGGAAGCTGCAACAGAGGCATTTTGAGACTGGATCATGTAGTCTACTTGTCTTCATTGTTGTGTTATTTTTTTTCTGAAAATACAGAGTTTTAAAGGAAACATACATATATGCATTAACACAAGTATGGAATGTAAAGTGTGTATAGTTAGTTAAAGATGACTTTTTGTTTTATGTTGGAGCAGATAAAAGGCATCTGTCCACTTTATAAGTCTATATGGATTACATAACCAAACTGTCATAAGGACTCTGTAGCCAACAAGATTTATTATGTATCATCCAGTTTCAGAGAAGAGGGATCAACTTATATGACACCTGTACTGTAGTCTTCCTTGTTTTTTTTTTGTCTCCCCCAGTCAAATCTGGTCTTTATCAATTTTGAAGATAATGATAACTTTTTGTTTTCTGTGGAAGCAAAGGCATAACCTATCCCCTAACACAACATATTTTTTAACTTCTATTTTGAAGTTAAAAGACATTCTTGAAATATATAGGTTGTTTTAATTTAGCAGTTTTCATAATACAATATCTCTCAGTAGCTATTGTTTCTTGTACATTGTCATTTAAAAAATTCAAAGTCAACAAAGCACCATATGGAATCCAGATACCCTGTGTATTTCCTATCTTTATGTGGCCTTTTAAAAATTATTTTGCTCTTTCTTTAAAGACTTTATTATTTTAAAATAAACTTAAACATAAATTATTATTTATTATTTCTATTATTGTCTATACCCATTTTTTTCTTGCATCTAAGCACATTTTAAGCATACTATATATATGTGTTTTGTTTTGTTTTGTCTGGACCTGGCTTTACTAAGCACCCACAGTGTTATCTGAACACATGAACCAAAGCTTAAACTGCTAGGTGGTGGTTAGGCTCTTGCCACTTGACTCTGGAGGCTGACTGTGTCCCCCTCAGTTCTCTTAGAGTCTAGCCTCATGCTGGTGGGTGAGGATGGGAGCTGCTGTTTACTGCCACACCTCTGGGAAGTTGTTGAGCCTAATTTCCCAAGTCCCTATGAGCAGCAGCTGACTGTTGTAAGTGCTCTGCTGTGGTGCTGGGTGACATGACCTCTCTGTCTGGGTGGTCCTGCCATGTGTTGTTACACCAAATATAATGAATCTTTTTCTGCTCCACAAACCAGCTCCCAAATAATGACACAGAGACTTACTAAGTATAAAAGCTTGGCCCCAGCTTAGGCTTGTCCTACCAGCCCTTAAAACTTAAATTAGCCCATTCATATTAATCTACATTCTTTCTTTCTTTCTTTCTTTCTTTCTTTTTTTTTTTGGTTTTTACGAGACAGGGTTTCTCTGTATTGTTTTGGAGGCTATCGGTCCAGCCTGGCCTCGAACTCTTAATCTACATTCTATCACATGGCATCAGCACTCTCCCATCTTGTACCTCCTGTTTCCTCTCTGAGTCTACTGGCTTGTCTGCCTTTCTTCTTTCCAGAGTTATGTCTGTCTCCAGAAGTCCCACCTAACCTTTCCCTGCCTAGCTATTGGCCATTCAGCTCTTTATTAGACCAATAACAGCAATATGTCTTCATACAGTGTACAGATATCCCATAATACACATGCACATTTGTGTGTATGTGTGTGTGTGCAGGTGCACATGTATTTGGAGTTTGTGTGTGAATGTACCTATGTGAGAAGGCCCCAAGATCAGCCTTCATTGTCATTTTTTAGGAGCCATCCGCATTATTTTTTGAAAAAGAACCTCCTAATGGTCTGGTGCTTGCTGCTTAGGCTAGGGGTGATTCTGTCTCCACAAGTGTTTTCCACCACACCTGGCTTTTCTGGGGAGTCAAACTCAGATCCACCTGCTTGTGAGTCAAGCACTTTGTCAACTGAGTTATCCCCCAGCGCTATCACTTTTTAGTATGTTAATATTTAAAGTTTTCTTCTTTCATGTGTATGTGTGTGTATGTATGCATGCATGCATGAATGCATGTATGTGCACATATATATGCATCTGGAGGCCCACAGTTGATGTCTGGAATCTTCCTGGGTCACTCTCCACCTTATCATTGAGGCAGAGTTGCTCAGCTGAACCCAGAGCACACTGATGTGGCTTGTCTTGCTATACACCTTGCTCTGGGATCCTCCATCCCACCTACCCTCTGAGAGTGGAGTTACAGAGGGGCTCCATGCCCAGAAAGCTTCATTATGAAAGTTCTGGGTTCTCAGCTGGTTCCTCACCCTTACATGGCAAGTGCTTAACCACCAAATCTTTCCTCTAGACCCTTCAGCAATTTTTTAAACATTGGATATCCTCCTAACCCCTTATGTTTTAAATTAGCTAAAATATAGTAATTTCCTTTTGTCATTTTCATACATACTTAGTTTCAGTTTGAGTGCCCTCTCCTATCCTCCTTGAAAGACCAATCTGTATGAAGCATAATGAAGTCAGTGTTACTATATGCTTGGAATCCTGTTGCATTTATAAGTATGTTTTTTATCAATGAACATTTTTTATTTCTTAGTTGGAAAATCAGAAGTTGTATATATGTTGTATAATGCATTATTTTGGTATATGTATATTGTATAAAGTAATTAACCTATTCCTTATCTCACATCCTTATAATTTTTGTGATGACATTTAAAATCTATTTCAGCAGTTTTTAAGTGGAATGTGCTGATATTAATTATAGTCATTTATGGTACAGTGGGTCTCCTAAACTCGAGCCCATGTGTAACTGGAACTTTCTTTTCTGTCACGAACTACTTGTCTCCAGTCCTCACTCTTCCACTCCCAGGCCTTTCCCCCTTACATTCTACTCTGTTTCTGTTTCCTTTGTCAGAGTTCCAGTGCCTTGTCTTCCATGCTTAGTTTTCTTTACTTTAGTCACTGTCCTTAATTCATCTCAGCTATTTCAAATGACACTTTCCTTCTGAAAGCCAAATAGTATCCCATTGTGTGTGTCTGTGTGATTATCCTGTCTACTTTATTCATTTATTAAGACTTGCTTAGCATTTGTTTAAATAATGATGTTTGAATAATGATGCAATGAACATGAGCATGGAGCTGTTTATTTGATACCCTGACTCAATTTCCTTAGTATACACCCAACATTAGAGTTTCTGAATCATATAGTGGTACTATTTTTAGTGTTGCTTTAGTTTTTTGATGAATCTCCATAGTTTCTTCTATAATGGCTTCCTTTATGCATGAATTACCTTTTTCATATCCATGCCTACACTTCCCTTCTCTCTCTCTGTATCTCTGTGTCTCCGTGTCTCCCTCCCTCCCTTTTTCCCTCCCTCTCCCTCTCCCATCTCTGTGCGTGTGCGTGTGCAAGCTCTCACACATGTACCTGTGTTTGTCTGTGCTCCTGTGTGCATATGTGTTTGCATATGTCTTCAGTCACTCCCCACCTTGTGTACTGAGACAGGATCTCTTGCTTGAACCCAGAGCTTTCCAATTCAGAGTGCCTAGCTAGCCATTTGTTCAGGGTCCCTTGTCCCACTCCCCACAAAGTAGTTTTGCAGGTAAGTCACCATGAGTATTGGTGCTTGCTTGAAGGCTACGGTCCTAATTCTTGAACGGCAAGCACTTGGCCTGTTGACAGACCCCTCTTCTGTACTTCTGATTAAAGGCATCCAATTGAGAGACAAACTGGCCTTTGAAATACAACAAAAAACAAGGCATAGATAGGTAGACAAGATATAACAGAAGGTAGACATATTGAAACTGCATTAAAATTCCTATTTTCTCCTGGAGATATTTATCAGAGATATACTCTGTTTATCCCAGATCAAGTCTATTTTACATATATACATATTTTACATTCATATATGAACATTTATATTCTAATTTTAGGCCAAGTAAATGAATATAGTTAAAACTTCTGTTTTGAAGGAGGAGATTCTAGGTAGAGCTGTCTCAGGTAGCTCTGGTTTTGATCCTGTTGCATTTCAGAAGTTAGAATATTTGGCTATTTTCATCTCCTGTCCTAGTTGTTTAATGGTGGATTATTGACGCCTGCCTGTCCCACCTTCTGTCATATAGTGATCAGTAGCACTATCACTTTGCCATTTTATAATTATGACTTTCTATTTTTAGAAAATGATGAAGTAAGTCTCAAAGAAATTTTGGAGAAGTTAAGCACACAAAAACCAGACCCTGTATTGGCAGGTGGGTCAGCTGACATCTGATTCCAAGTATTTGTCATAGTTTTCATCGTGTTAAGATACTGTTTTGAAGAAGCATTATGAAATATAGCTTGAATATAAAAATTATGCTTTTATGTTTAAATCGCTTGCTTTGGTGAAGTGAATAATTTGTGATGTCGTCATCACAATCAAGATAATAAACACATCACAGAAAGAACATGGAGGCAGATTTTCTCCACATACCTGATAATGTCACCTGCCTTCTCTACCTTCTTTCTATTTATTATCCCTAGGAATCACTGGTCTTTCTGTCACTTAAGAGTTCGGTTTGTATTTAAATCCTTTTTGATGGTCTCCTTTATGTGGCACAATAGTGTTAAGGTTTATCAATGCTTGACATGCTTCAGTAACTCATTCTTTTATACTGAGTACTATCCCATTTTATAAGTACAGTGTATATATTATGATGTCTTTAGTTTGGGGCTTTCCACCTAAAAGCTGCTGTAAACATTCATGTACAGGTCATATAGGCATGCTTTTACTTCTGGTTAATTACCAGTAGGTGGGTAACTGGGTCATATTATGAGGTATGTTTAAGTTTTTGAGAAACTGTTGAACTGTTTTATAAAGTGGTGACAGCCTTTTATATTTATTTGCATTGGTAGTGGAAGTATTTGAGCACTGCAGTATCTCCATGCTTGCTCACTCTGAGGTAGTAATTTAACTGCTCTCACAAGTGTGAGTCATTCATCACTGTGGCTTTTCTTTGCATATTCCTAGTGAATTATTATGTTGAATATCTTTTCATTTTCCTATTTTCTCTTTGTATTTCTTTGGTCTTGTTTTTTAAACTCATTTTAAAGTTAGGTTGTCTTTATTATTTCTTAATTTGGCATGGATATAAGATACAATATTAGCAAATATTTTCTCCTAGTCTTTTGCTTGTATCTATTTTCTTAAAAGTGTCTTTAGAAGTTCATTAATCTTACTTTTTAGTAATCTAGTTAATCACCTTTTTCTTTTATGGATTGCACTTTTGGTGTCATATGTAAGAAATCTGTGCCTTGCCAAGTGCTTAAAGGTTTTGCTTGTCAGTTTCTTCTCTCCCCTCCTCTTTCCCCGACCCCTCTTCTCTATCAGGTCTTGTTATAGAGCCCAGCTGACTTCAGACACTGGATGCTCTTGCTACGGCTTCTTATGGGCACGTGGCCTTCATGCTCAATTACTGTGTGTTTTCATCTAATCATTTTATAATTTTACATTTATATCATATGGTCCATTTGAATTATATTATTAAACACTGGGATTCTTTTATTTTTAATGGTATACCCAATTCTCATTTATTCATTGTTCATTTTGAAACCAAGTCTTATTCGATTTCCAGGCTGGTCTCCAACTCTTGAGTTAAGTAGTCTTTCTTCTTCAGTTTCCCTTAGTTTTTCATACTGAGACAAAAACAACTGGTCACCACAGGGAAATACTCCAGGATGATGGAGTTTTGGGTAATTTAGTTAGTTTTAGAACCATGGAGACAATGTTGTGTTATGCATTTGGCAAGAAGCCTAAATTATTTGTGTATTATTGTTCATCACAGAGAACATGAAAACATTTACAAAGAAAAAATATGAAGCGACTTTGAGAATCTCTGTTTGCTTTCAGATATACAAACAGCCCTTAATACTGTCAGGTTGATGAGCTCTGACAAAATTCAAATTGCCAACTTAAAGGATGCTTTCAGTGACCTCAATGTTCCTTTAAAACCTGAGGATCAGCAGATGTTAGAGAAAACACTTGATGCTGATGGTATGTATAACCACTGTAACCCCGTCTGCCTCAACAGAATACTTCTGAGAACAGTCATGAAACTTAATAAAATACCTTTGTGTGTTTGAGTTTTTGAGACAGTATCTATGTAGTCCAGACATCTTGAACTCTTGATCCTGTTGCTTCAGCCTCTTGAATCCTGATGTTGCAGCTGCTCAGTGCCACTCTGGCTAATAGAACATCTTAAATAAATTTAGTAAGCATGTTTAACACCACCCTTTAAAGTATCATTTGCTTATTCCACTGGGTTAAGGCACATTTGATTTGAACATGTGGTGAACATCAAGGAAGGTAAGGTGACTCTCTGACAAGGTTGGAGTGACTTGAAACTGTTGGGGAGAATAAGAGGGCCTTTTTGCTCTGGTTGAGATATTTATGACTTGGGGTTGAGTGAGAGCTTCCAGACAAATGGACATAGGATTTTCAAATTTGGAAGCTATTGTATATATTTGGAAAAGTAATTCCTAAAATTAGAAGGGAACTATACAGGATATGAGGGGAACCAGAAGGGTAATGGGAGCAGAGTGAATGTAAGCAAAGTGCATTGTAGATTAACCAATGCATGGCATGAAACTAGTGTCAGTTTGTATGTTGAACATATGCCAATAGATGGTAAAATTCAAAAGTTGAAAACATAATAAAGTGAAAATAAAAGCATGGCAAAATAAAATCAATTCACAGGACAATTTTCTTTTATTCATTATTAAATGAGCTTGGGGATTGCTTCATTAGTTATATTGACTGGTACACTAAATGGTGTGACATCAGGGACATATTGTCATCTATGTGAATAGAACCAGTTCAAGTTTTGTAGTGTGATGAACCTGATACTTAGTGCCTTTTATATGTCAGGGGCTAGGTACTATGTAACATATAAAAGTAAATAAAATATTTACATTTAGAAAACATTTTAGTGAGAGAAGATATGAAAAGTAGAAAGGTGGTGTCTAGAAGTGCAGCTCCATTGGTAAAGTGCTTGCTTTGTGTGCCTGACGCCCTGAGTTTGATCTAGCGCTGCAGAAACCACGCATGGTTCAGTGTTCCTGTAATCCCAGCACTCAGTGGGTGGAGGCAGAAGGATCAGAAGTTCAAGGTCGTTTTCTGCAATACAACATGAAGCTTGCTGCATAAGACAGCATACAATGAGAACCATATCCACACAGGATATGATGGGGTAGTCATCAGAGAGTTTTTTTTAGAAGAGATGGATTTGGAACTTGAATTTGAAATATGAGTTGAAATTAGGTAAAATTAAAAAATGCAGGGAAGGAGTCTCAAAGGAGTTATTCACAAAATGTAGACATTAAGGAGTATTAAGGGACTTCAAACAGTTCATAATATATCTGAGGTCTTTTCATATGTAAGATACAGGAAGACCATCAGGTTTTGACACATATGAAACATTTATCTTAGGAGATATTGTGGACAGACAGTTGAAAATGTGCAATAAGCATAGTCCAGACTGCAAATAGAAACTTAGAAGTCATCCACATATAATGCATATTTACAGGACAAGTAAAGATGATGGGTGAAATGAGATTAAGGCCAGGGACAGAGCACTAGGGCATGCTCTCAGTTAGGTAGTGGTGAGAAAGGAAGGGTAGTTATAAGGCCTTAAGAATTAACCAGAAAGATGGTAAAGACATCAAGAGGGGCCTGTATTAACACAGGAAAGCAAAGTCAGTTTAAAGGAGAGAAGTATTAAATTAGACAGGATCTAGGAAGTACTCATGAGCTTGGTGGTAAGTAGTTGGCTGGTAAACTTAGTAAGAACAGGTTTAGTGGTGGTTGATGGAAGCTAGTCACTGGTAGTTGGAGCTGTGAATGAAGATATGAATAAAACCATTTCTTTCCAGAAATTAGTCTGTTATAGAAAGGGAAGGAATAGAGTAGTAGTTAGGGGGGATGCAGGATGAAGAGAAGTTTTAAGGAAAGTAAACAGGTGAACTGGTTTTGACATGAGTGGGGTTTGAATAGATGCACAGTGGATAGCACTCTGAATAAGTCCATCGTGCAGAAAACTGTATAACATGATTTAAGGGGCAATAAGCAAACTGATGTAGCTCATTGTGGATATTCATCATGCTTCTTAACTATTAATTTAATCTTTGTTCTGCCTTTCTTTTTTATAGAAAATGGAGACATTTCCCAAAGGACCGCTCTTTTAGCGTTGAAGAGCAGTAAGCGTTTACAGGATTTTAGAGGTGAGTGTAATTGAGAAGATTTATTCACATTTAGACTTTAGGAAAAGAGCCATAATTGTTGAAACTGATTGCCTATTTACATGAAAACATAGCTAATTTTTTCATATTGAATAAAGGGAAAACAGTAGTGTAAGGACTTGGACGAAGGTGAGCGTCTTACATTCACATAAGTCTGGCTTTCAACAATTCTTATTAATCTCTTTCTTCTTCCTTCCTCCCTCCCTCATCTTTCCTAAGGAGTGTTCATGTAGGAGGCTTACAGTAGGCAGGTTGCTAAAAAGGTCTGAGGGTGAACAAATCAGTTGATACACATACCATTCTTCTCAAGGCTCTTTATTCTTCAAAAGGAGGTCTCTCCATTCCAAACAGTTTTCTTCAAAAGTTTCTCTCCTAAAGTTCTCTCTAAAATTTCTCACTCTATAAGCTCCCTCTTAAAGTTCTTTTCAGAAGTTCTCCTTAAAAAATTCTTCTAGATCCCACAAGGTTTCCAGTTTATAAACCTACAGACATAATTAGCAATTCTCTGACAATAGCAAAGATATGGGCATGTATATCTCTCAGAGCCAGGAAGTCAGATAAGGTCTCCACAAAAGTGACTTGTAAAGCATCCAGGCAAACTTAAAAGGTGGGGGAGGGTTAAATGGAGTAAGGGGCTTCATAAGATCCAGAGGCTGCAGATTTTACCACTGACGCCCTAGTGAGAAGGAATTTCCTTTCTCTGGGCCTTTTTGAGAATATAAAGCACCCAGTATATATTCTATATATCAAGATTATATAGCCAAATTCATAGCAACAGATATTCTGGAGTCTGTATTTCTTGCAGACGTTGCAAGGCAAGTTTTCTCCATCAGAAGTTAATTCTGGTGGGTTGATACCTGGAATATTAATTGCTACTTTTAGCTTCATTCTTATGTATTATTTTTTGAGCAGTGTGGTTTTCCCAGTACCACTCACTGAGGAGACTTTTCTTAAGTAATTCTTTAGCACCTTTGATGAAGATAATTAATATTTTCTTGACTGTTCTTGGACAGACTACTTACAGGGAAATACAGGTAGTACCTGTACCGGTCATAGCATCTGCCTGAAATATTCCACAGGGATTTGTTTTACATTTATTTTCTTTATTTGGCACTAATATCCTTTGAATGTATTAATACATTATTTGTACTAGTTATTACTATATTAGCACCCATTCAAGTGTTTGTTTTTAAATAAAATGGAGATAGGTATGTGGGAGCAAATTCCCCTTTACGTTAACATTAGTTTCCAATTATTAACTGAAACTTAATTTCTTCTATGATTTTATCATGCATTTAGTTCTATGTCATGTGTATTAAATGAAGGTTAAATACATATTTAGAGCCAGTGAGTTGGGCTCTAAATTGAACTGGGCTATTTTGTCTTTAAATGAAAAAAAACGCAGCTATCTATACTAACTTTTGAATCACAGTTTAAAGTTTGTTATTTAGAATTTAATTGTTTCTAAACTGAAAATATTTCCTTTTTTAGAGGCCAATGAACTTGCAAAGGCTCTGGACAGAGTCACCAGTAAAAACATTAGTATTAATGATATGAAACAAATTTCCAAAGGCCTGGGACTTCATGTACCAGATGAAGAATTACAGAAGTTGGATGCAAACATTTCTGTTGATAGTATGTTTTTCTTTTTTATTATCTATCTATCTATCTATCTATCTATCTATCTATCTATCTATCTATCTATCTATCTATCATCTATCTATCTATCTATCTATCCATCTATCTATCTTCTATCTATTGAGTTAGGGTTCTCTGTGTATCCTTGGCTGTTTTGGGACTCTCTCTGTAGACCAAGCTGGCCTTGAACTCACAGAGATACACCTGCATCTGCCTTTCAAGCCCTGGGATTAAAGGCATGCACCACCGCCACCTGGCCAGAGTCATTTATTAAAATTCCACATAAAACTGTATTTAGTTTCCCTTATAAATTCAAGGACCTGGGTGATCTGGAATTAATTGTAATGAATTCAGCAACAATTGATTTTCCCTTTGAGGCTGGATGGAACTTTTCTTTCTTTTTTCATTTTCTGTATACTGAGCATTCTAGGGAAAAATAATTTTTCCTTCTCCTCCCATCTCGTTACCTTTTGAGACTTGAATAACAGGCACTGGTCAGAGGCTGTGAAGCTGTATCAGTCCCATGAGACAAATCTAATTTGATTTCCCCAGAATCCTCAAAGAGTTAGGTTGGTGATTTTCAGTTCCTGCCATTGTTTGCTTACCGTTCCCTACGTCCTTGTGGTGCTGTTTCTCTTTAGGTTCCAAGTATATGACAGATAAAAGGCAAGGGACTGTGCACATCCCTGTATACAGTTTAAGTGGAGGCCTCTTTAGACACTGTGGTTGTTTCACTTTCAGTACTTACTTTCTGGTCGATGAATTGTTACCATGAAAATATAATCATTAGGTAGGACTTGTAATGCCAAAAAAACCGGAGACCGTAATGTCAGGGGGAGAAGCACTCCAAAGCATTGGCTACAGCTTTTGCTTTGGAGTGTGTAAAACTCATGTAATATGCTCATTGGCTCTCCCACAGAGAGACTTTAAGAGTTGTTCTAACCATATCGCTTTTCAGTCATTCTGAGTTGTGCATCACAGAGCCAGAGTTAGAAACACGTAAGAATAGCTTTGGCTTTGAACGTTAAATAAGCATGAACAACTTTCGACCAAAGCTGCTCATTCTTTCATTTCATTTTCAGAGGAGGGGAGTACAGATTTAAAAGACTGGCTGACTAAGCTGAAAGAAACACCACATTTCGTTAAAAGTTCAGGTAAGTGGGAATTTGTAAAAGATACATTGGGAGGAGTAGGTTCATTTTTATTATTTGTGCAGTTTCTAGTTTTACTAAGCAGCACACATTTGTACAACAAATGTACTTTGGCTATGGAGTCATGAGCTTTTCTTGATTTATGTTTTCTGGAATATCCATGTGTCCCTAAAAAACCCTGGTAAATACCCCAAATCTAACTGGATGATTCATCTTTCTGTCCAAGTTTGTGATGCATGATGGCTGCATCAGTTGGCTGTCAGCCATTTTACTGAAACCTTGGGGGAGAAAGCCTGTTGTTCTCTCTTCATCCTATTAGTTCTTTCTTAAAACAGGATTTTTATCACGAGATTCACCATTAAGACATATATGGGAAAATAATAGCACTTATAAAAGTCTCTCATGGGATTCTCTCTATTAATCCACTACCCTAGTCATGGGACATTGGATGCAATCTGACTTTAATGTATTTCATTAACTGCTATCTCCATTTTTCCTTCTTTTTCTTTTTTAAATTAAAATTTTAAATTTCATTTTACATTCCAACCAAAGTTCTCTCTCCCACCCCTCCTCCTGCCCCCCACCTCTCCCCTGGCCCACCCCTCATCCATTCCTCCCATCAGATAAGGGCTCCTATGGGAAGTTCACAAATTCTGGCTTATTAATTTGGGGCAGGACTAAGTCCCTCCCCCATGTTAAGGCTGAGCATGGCATCCCCTCATAGGGAATGGGCTCCAACAGGTTAGTTTAAGCACCAGGGATAGATCCTGATCTTACAGCCAGGGGCCCCTCAGATAGCCCAAGTACGCCATCTCCTTTTTAAAGAGATATCTTTAGAACTTATGAATTTTCAAAGTTTAAATGAATTGAAACCAAGATGTAAATCTACAGCTATTCTGAACTCCCTGGGTCTGTTTGAAGTACCTCGTTTTTTGAGAAATGTTGAGATAGTTTAATGTGTAGTCTTTTTCCAAACTTGAAGCAGAACTGCATTCAAAGTTCAATTTGGATAGCTATGAAAGTAAATTATTTTTTAGATCCAGGATTTGGGATGTGTTCAAAGTTCTATGTGCTTTCAACAGACAAAAAGTATTTTCTCCTTGATTCTTCAGAATGTGGCTGATAAGATTTTATAGATACATTGTTCATAAACCTCTTGCAGAGTTATTGTTTATGAAATGATGCTTAACAAAGCTTAAGGGGCTTTTGTATCTGGAAATAATTTATAGTATAATTTCAAAAGTGGATATTACATTTTGTTGACATATTAATGTCATCTTACTATTATTTATGTGAATCTTTGTGTATTGATACATGTGAGCAATTCATTTTAAGGAAAATAAATACTGGAGAGTAGTCAAACTATGACTAGGTTTCCTGTTTAAAAAGTTTTAAATTACATTTTATTTACTTATTTATATGTGTGTATTTATGGGTGCAATGTATGTTTGAATGTTAGAGGACAACATATGGGAGTGAGTTCTCCCCTTTACCGTGAGGGTCTGAGGGACTGAACTCAGGTCATCTGGCTTGGCAGCAAGTGCCTTACCCACTGTGCCAGCTCACTGGCCACCAGTTTTCCTCTTTTTGGCAAGCGAATTACTTTAGGAAATCTTGAGGAGCATAAGTAGGTATTCTGAGATTGCTCTTTGTATAATATTATTTTTTCAAACTTTATTTAAATTATTAGATGTTTAAGAAAATTGGAATATAAAGTAATACGTTTCATTAATGGAATTTTCGCAGATACTTAGTTCTTATTGCTTCTCTTCTATTCTTCTCTCTAATTTCCTGTAATCCCCTTTTGCTGGCCCCCTCCCTTCCTCCAACATTTCCCTTTCTGTGTTCATGATACATGTATTCTATTACCCTTTTCTTCCTCCCCATTCCTTCAGATTTCTTTTGTCCCTCTCATGGTCCCCTAACCTGACATATATAAACATACCATGTATATATATGGTATGTGTAAGTGTGTGTATAAATTATTAAAATTTAAATATCTACAATGACTTAGTTATCATAGTGGCTAAATGTTTTGCCTATAGAATTAAATACTTTGGCCTTTAAACTTGACTTCAAAATGAATAAGTGTATTTAGGGGTAGAACAGTCTTTCCAAAGTTATTTTCCTTTCTTAATTCATAAATCAAGGAAAATTTGGTAATAACCTCCTCATTTGAGGGGTGGTTTAAATTAGGAGATGTTACACACAAAGAACTTCTCATAGTTTAGTAAGGTCAGACTGTAATAAGTGATAGACATGGTTGTTATTAGTCAGGATATTTTAAATGCTTTTGAAATTACATTGTGTATTTTTTTGTACCTAGAAATGCTAGGTCTCTTGAAAACTCTGGACTCCATTAGGAGAAATGAGACAAGTCCTGATGATCTAGTCTCCATTTTGAAAAACGCAGGGGTTGCCTTACCCCAAGATGTGATTGAGGCAGCACTGAAGAACGTGGCACCCAGGGGTGAGTACTTAATGTTTCTAAGTACCTTTACTCGGTGACATGAGTCTTGAACTTTCCAAGTGTTTGCACCATGGATTAGCCTAGACTTTCGTCTATGTACCACCTAATGAGATTCCAGTCACTGTTATTCAAAGTCTAATTATTTTCAGCAATGCTGGCAAAGCCTAATATGCAGGGTTAGTATATATCTGAATGATACTGTGAATTTGCCTTTCGGACTGAGTGTATCTCCATGTTTCAAAGCCAAGCCTATAAAGTATCCAGTGGAGCAGTTGCAATAGTTGCCTGTTTGCGTTATCTTATCATTGACTTTCCCCATGTTCTCTGGTCTTTTCCTTTTAGAGGATGGGACATTAGATTTAGAAGAGTTTCTGAAGCATTTGATCAAGTCACAGCTTTCATCTGCCTCTGAAAGTAAGTTTTGTTGTTTTAGTTGAGTGGAGATAGATACTGACGTGTTGTAGGTCTTTTGTGAAAAACCCCAGAGGCCCTTTTCGGTTAGTCATAAGCTCAGTTAACACTGTGAAAGGCCTGATTTCTAATGCCTCTGTGCCGTACATGTTTAATCTGTAGTACAATTGGAAAGGACCTTAATAGCAGCAGCTGTTAGTTAGCTCTTCTTTCTAGTCTGGACATCAGAGTCTTGATGACTGTAGTTTTCCACTGAGGGCCCCGTGAATGTAAAAGTAACATTAGTTAAAATGAATGGAACAGTACCTAGAGTTAAATTACTTGGTTGTAACCAAAGTGTACTCATAAGACATATTAGCATATGACAAATCATGAGTTCTTAGTGCTAATTTACAATTTATAGAGAAAGGTTTTATTGTTGATATTAAGACAATTTTCTTTGTATTTTTCTTTTGATATTTTAACTTTGATTTCTTTGGTATTTTTGTGCATAGGCCTCTTTTTTTCTGTTTTTCCCAGTAACTAAATTCAGTCTGGTAGAATTTTTGACAGTACTATACAGTGTGTCACGGATTTTATTTTATTTTTTCAGTGTTCATAGTATTTGTGTTGTTTCAGCCTTCTGAGTTTTCTGATGAGCTCCTGTTTCTCATACCTACAGTACTGAAAAGAACAGTGGGATGAATAATTTTGACTTTAAGCTGCAATTATATCACCCTTCACGTGACTTCTTGGAAGTTCAAAGTTTACTTATTTGGTTACTGCTCATGACATAAATTTGACCAGGCAAAAACCATTATGGAGAAATTATTTTTTTGTAGAAATGCCATCTTTGGAGAATTAGAAATATACTTCATCTCTCTCTCTCTCTCTCTCTCTCTCTCTCTCTCTCTCTCTCTGTGTGTGTGTGTGTGTGTGAGTGTGTATGTGTGTGTGCATGCATGTATATGTATATGTACATGTGTGCCAGTGTCTGTGGAAGCCAGACGAGGGTGTCAAATCCCTTGGAACAGGTGATTTAGAGCTGTCTGACATGGGTGTTGGAAACCAAACTTTGGTCTTCTGCAAGAGTAGAGAGCAATCTTGACCACTGAGCCATATATACCTCCAGCCGTCCCCTCCATCTACTTTTTAGAAATACTAGTAACAACAACAAAATAAAATATTACCATACCGCCTGAAAATATTGCCTATAATGTTAATAGTGATTACATTTAAAAAAATGTCTTGAAACGTAAGAAAAAATAAGCTTTTCTCTCCAAAAGACCAGTGTACTGCTTAGTACAGAAAATAAATAGCTTGAGGTAGAATTTATTTTTGTTTTTTCCTAGGAGATAAGGTTGGTGACAGCAAACTAGATGTTTTTCAAAGTAATGTGACCCTAGCAACGCAAGTTAGTAAATATTGTCAAAATCTAAAGCTACGTACTAGGAATGGTTCTGAGAAGTCGTCTTATTAATGAAAATTTGATACTAAAATTATTTTTAAAATGGCCATCAAGAGCTGAAGAGAGCAGAGGCCATCATACATGAATAGGTGCAGAGTCCACTGCAGGGTCGCCAAGACAGCCAGCAGGGTTACTTGAAATCCCTCCTTGCCAACTTAAGAACGTGCTCAGGCATGTGACAGAACACATAGAAATAACACAAAGCAAGACAAAGCTGAAATAAGAAAAAAGTAGAATTCCAATTCGTTAAATTCTCCCAAATGGAAAGCCTCCAGCATTTGCTGTTTGAACATCAATTCCCGAGCTTACTGGAGCTTCCATGACAACAGTGGACAGGTATGGGCATCAGTCTGCTCTCATCTCTGGCTCTGCAGGTTTCCTGATCTGAGGTGCTTCAGGGTCTCTCACTGTATTTCCTTGGGAGGGGTCTGTGTAGAATTTCCTTTGATTCTGTTTCCTTGGACAAAGCATCTATTCTGACCCTCACTTGGATTTATCATTATTTCCTCATAAGAAGTTGAGATCAGGTCCTTGACAGGAGTAGATCAGTAATGGTGCCATTTCCTCTCAGTGCGTTGTATCAAGAAATTCATGACATCAGACCCTCCTGTTACGGATGCACACTTTGTTCTCAGACTGCATCCTTTATATGTACCCCTTGTCCATTACAAACATTGAGAAAATACGAGAGAGTCTTTGGAACTAACTAAATATCTTTTGGGGGGGGGTTCAAGACAGGGTTTCTCTGTGTAGCTCTGGAGCTTATCCTGGCCTTGCTCTGTAGACCAGGAAGGCCTGGAACTCACAGAGACCACCTGCCTCTGCCTCCTTAGTGCTGGGATTAAAGACTTGCACCACCAACGCCTGGCCCAAATATCTTATTTATCATCAAACTTGCACATACTGTGTTTAGTCTCTTTTGATAATTTGGGCTTGAATTTATTTTTACCATCATGGTAGCCAAATGTTAATTTTGTAACTCCATCATTTATTTAACAGTTATTAATTGCCCTTCTAATAAAAGATGTTTTTTCCCTCATGCTTACTTTTTATATTGTCAGTGGAATGTAAGGAAACATTTGTACTTCATTTATTCATCTGTCTTATTTTATTTATTCTTCTTAGTATGAGATCATAGAGTCCCTACCATGGGCCACACTCCATCACTGTATGTTTTTATTTTAATACTTTAATTGCTTTGCTTCTTTTAATTATTTAGCATTCATTTAGTGTGTGTGTGTGTGTGTGTGTGTGTGTGTGTGATGGCACATCTGTAAAAGTACACAGTTTGTGGGAGTTGATTGTCCCCTTCCACTATGTGGGCACTGGGGATCAAAGTCATTCTATCAGGCTTAGTGTGACCTTTAACTATTGAACAAATGCCTTTTGCATTTCTTTAATTTTTTAAAGATTTATCACATAAAATGTTCTGCATATGGTATAACTGTATGCCAGGAGAGGGTACCAGATTTCATTACAGATGGTTGTGAGCCATCATGTGGTTTCTGGGAATTGAACTCAGGACCTCTGAAAGAGCGGGCAGCACTCTTAACCCCCAAGCCATCTTTCCCGCCTTTAAAAGGTATTTTTAATTGCACCACTTCCACCTTTTCATCCCTTCATCTCGTAGTTACCCTTCTTCAAGCTGATCCCATGCCTACTCTCAGGTTGATAGCCTCTTTTTCTTTTATTGTGTGTGTGTGTGTGTGTGTACAAATATATATAAATCCAATCTACTGAGTCCTCTTTTGTTGTTTGAATGTGCATGGTTTCGAGGCTGACCACTCTGCATTGAACAATCAATTAGGGCACTTATCCCTGGAAGAGGTTAATTCTTACAGCCTGTAGTTCTTTGTCTAGTGATGGGACCCTGTGAAATTTTACTCCCTCCATGATAACATGTTCATTGATATTACATGCATTTTTAAAAAATTATGAACAATCTTCTGTGTTAGAATTTAAAACAAAAGGAATAAGTTTTAAAGGGGATACTGAGCTAATCAATTTGTATATTGGAATACTCACTCATTCTGGTTCCTGGGTGAGGCATGAATTGGGAAATAATTAGATTGAAGGCAGTCTTCAGTTGGAGTTTGGGAGGTAAGAAAACAAAGTAGAAATGCTCTCTTTTTCTTTGCTCTTTCCTGAACCTTTTCCTGTGGAAATTGGAGGATAGGGAAATAATGTTTTATACCTGGCAGCTCACTGGATAAATGGGCAGCTCTGCTCCTTGACTTGACTTGCCAGCTGCTTTGGGGCTTTTGACTCTTACCTCACCAACACCTGTTTCTTTCACCTTGTCAGAAAGAGAGCCTTGTTTTCTTGCCTGTGGCTCTGGAGCTGCAGGACTGTCTGAGACTTTTTTCAGACAGCAACACATCTTCTCTACACTCTCATTTCTGTGATTTCTCAAAAAGTTGATATATACTGGTAGCTTTTAAGGCTCCTAATGGACTGGAAGTCACAGTCCATAGTTCATAGTATAAGCTATTCACAGTGGTAGCTCACTAAAATTGACTACTTGATTTTTTTTGTGAGATAATAAAGAAAAATACACAATGCCTCTATTTTCTTATACTTGCTAAATAATGTTTCCCTGTGGGTTTATTCTTATGTCTTCTTGATAAGTTATGAAAGGTACTGAGAAACTTGTATGTTGATTTTAAAGTATGTTTATGTATTTGAAAAATGTGTGATCTTATTATCTCTATATGTATATGTGTGTATATGTACATGTATATATATACATTTTGGAAAAACATAGAAAAACACATTTATTTAAAATACCCATTTTTTCTTAAATACTAGTTCAATAGTTGATTTTACATGTAAATTTGTCACTAGATCTTATTTATTAGACCCTTAATTTCTGTTGGCTACTGTATGTTGGATAAAGCAGCTATTTTTGATGCAACATGACATTTGTACTATTTTCTTTGCAAATAGAATCCACAAAAATGAGAGGTGCTAATGAAAAATTACTTGAGTAATTGTTCATTTAATAAGTGAAGACTGTAAATTTTGAACTTTAAGGAAATATACTTGTAGACTTAGCTGTTTGTATGGTCACAATGAATCAAATGATCATATAACCAAGATTTTATATTAAATTAAAAATTTTCCTTTGAGGCTGGGTGGTGGTGGCACAGGCCTTTAATCCCAGCTCTTGGGAGGCAGAGGCAGGCAGATCTCTGAGTTCAAAGCTACCCCGGCCTACAGAATGATTCCCAAGACATCCAGGGATACATCATTTTTTTTATACTTTTAATGTTTTCACAGTTCTGTGGGTTGAGCTCAGGACCTTGTTCATGGTAAGCAAGTATTTGCTACTGAACTATATCTCTAGACATTTATTTAACTTTATAATGATTCATGTTATAAAGTCTAACAGAGACCCAGGGCTGGTTTTCTCCTATTTCAAATAGTATGTAGGACTTACGTAGACATCCTACTTTCATGTGATTTCATATTTTATTTCATTCCATCATGTCATGTTTCCTTAGGCGAAAAGATTGATACTAGCCCTGTGGATGAGGTTTCAAACAACATGGACATAGGACTCACCGACGAGTTGGAGCAGATTCTGTTTGAACACCTGCCAGCTCCTGGTGAGGTTTTAAAACGCTCATAGTAGTTCATACTATTAGTTTATTCATTCTGAGGTTTCCCTGTGGGAGGTTCTGGTACCTCCTTGAACCATCTAAGATAGCTCTCTTCAAAAGCAATCATTACAGAATTACAAAAGTCATGCTATGTACTGTTTGACGGGTTGAGGTGTAGTAGACTTAGTTGCTAGTAACTGGTTCATTCCACTGCCAGGTGAGAATTACTCCCTAAAACATAGCTTTTAAAAGGCCAGCCTGCTTTTCAAAATCCCTCCAGTGATTATTAGCTTTCACCTTAAGGTCTTTGATCCATTTGAAACTAATTTTTGTATAGGGTGAAAGATGGAGAACAGTCTTCTACATGTGGGTATCCAGTTTCTCTTGCATCAATCACCACTTGATAAAGAGGGTATAGCTTTTTCAGTATGCTTTTGGGCACCATTGTCAAGAATCAAATGGATATAGCTTCTTGGGCTTATTTTTATTCTGTTGACCATGTGTCTGGAATTTTGCCAGTACCACGCTATTTAGGCTAAATAGCTATGATAAAATACCAAGACAGAAAGCCATGTATTGTAGGAAGGAAAATTTTGTTTCTGCTTACAACTCAGTCACATGACTGAGGGAAGACAGGGCAGGAACTCAAGTCAGAAACCTGGAGGTAGTAACTGAAACAGAAATCATGGTTGGGTGCTGCTCACCAGCTTGCTCTTCATGGCTTGGTTGGCCTGCTTTCATTTACAACTCAAGGCAGCCTGCCCAAGGCTGGCACCACCTACAGTGGGATTGGCTAGGCTCCCCCATATCCATCATTAATCAAGAAAATGATCAACAGACTTGCCAATAGGCCAGTCTTACAGAGACTTTTATCAGTTGAGAGTCCCTCTTCCCAAATGACTCTAGCTTGTGTTAAGTTGACATAAGACTGACAAAAACACTATAATTCAGGTTTTCTTTCTACACAGATAATTATCAGGAATATATAGAGGCCACAGGGTAATGTTAGTCTATCCTGTCATGGCTTGTAACTTTCACTTCGCAAATGAAATTCATATCCCCATAACTTATTTTTATAGACATCCACATCTGAAAATAGAAACAGACTACTGATTTTTGTCTCTCCATATATTCAGACATACATATGCGGCTCACTGTTTTCTGTGAAAAGCTATTCCTCAAGGCTCTATAATAAGTCACAAAGTCATGTATTTCATCTAAAGACTAGAATAAAATTTGACATATTAGATTGCCCATTTCCATGTGATGCCATTGTCATTTTTAAACCCAAACTTTAGGGAAAAGATGTATAGTGTTACTTTTCTCATTTACATTGAAATAATAGGTGTAGACTCTGCTTCCCTTACTTTCAAAAGTATTAAAATCAATATCATTTACTGAGGATGTGCTGTGTGTTCTGAGGCAGGTGCCATTAGGTTTTCTGTTATAGAAACGGGCAAATGGAACTACAAGAGACAGGGGTGGGAGTGGGAGGGTAGGAGGTTCTAGGGAAAATGATACAAATGACAAAACTACTTTTTTAATATTAGAGTTTATATTTGTGTGTGTGTGTGCGTGTGTGTGTGTGAAAATTCTTTACAGATGGTGGATCAGTGGACATGGAAACATTGGTGGGGGATATGAAGATGCTCAAAGGTGAGCTGATCAGAACACTGTGCTCATCTCCATCTATATTTTAATATTCTTTTTATTGTATTGATTTGGTTCTTTTAAAGTGTCTGTTAATGGTACAAAGTAAATAGTTTTATTATGATGATTTCATGCATACATATAACATACTTTGATCAGGCTCACCATCTCTTTTATCTTGTCTTTTCTCTTTTTCCCTAATTCTCTTTTATTCCTTACAAGTCCTCCTTTTCCTTTTATGTTCTGTTCCTGTTTTTAAGTTTTATAAACTCCACATATGAGAGAAAACATGTGAGACTAATTTTTCTGAGTATATTTTATTTAGCTTAACATGGAGATCTCTAGTTTCATACATTTTACTCCAAATGAAAAAAGTCTTCATTATTGCTAATAAAACTTAATAACTGAATAAAACTCTATTGTGCATACCAGTCACATTTTTCTCTATGTTACTCCATCGATGGGCACTTGCTGGTTTTGTAACTTTGTTATTGTGAATGGCCACAGTAAACACAGTACCCAATTACAGCTGGCTTTAATTCTTTTGGGTATATGCCTAGAAATATAAAACAGGACCATATGAAAATTTTTGTGTTTTTTCCCCCCAAAAATGCCACACTGAGTTTTGTAGTGGCTAGAATAATTTCCATCCCCACCAGGGGTATGTAAGTATTCCTTTTCCCCAGTTCCTTGACATTTATTTTTAGCATTTTTATAATAATTTAATTATTTACTAAATTTGTAATGTTTAATACTTATTGAAGTGACTGAACACTAATATGCAAGGGCTTGGAGAGATGGCTCAAGTCATACATGCAAGCAAAACACCCACATACATAAAATTAAAAAAGAAAAAAACATAAAAAGCCTAAATGGCAAGCAAAGGCTAAAAATGAAAAGAAACCATCTTTTTGTACCTTTCTTTCACAATCAATTCTATAGCTTTAAATAATATATCACTGTATGTTGATGTATTTATACTAGTGACTGCCAAACCTTTTGTTGTCTGACTCTCTTATATTCTTTTTCCCCATTTTTTAATTTAAATTAGAAACAAGCTTGTTTTACATGTCAATCCCAGTTCCCTCTCCCTTCCCTCCTCCCCTGTCCCCAATGACCCCCTATCCTATCCCCTTTCTGCTCCCCAGGGAGGGTGAAACCTTCAATGGGGGATCTTCAAAGTCTGTCATATCATTTGGAGCAGGGCCTAGGCTCTCCTCCACGTGTCTAGGCTGAGGGAATATCCCTCTATGTGGAGTGGGCTCCCAAAGTCCATTTGTATGCTAGGGATAAATACTGATCTACTACCAGAGGCCTCATAGATTGCCAAGGCCTCCTCACTGACACCCACATTCAGGGTATCTGAATCAGTCCTATGGTGATTTCCCAGCTACCAGTCTAGGATCCATGAGCTCCCCCCCACAGATCCTAAAGAGCTTTTGTTTATAAAAGCTTTAGCTATTAACATTTACCAAATTAGAATTAGGGAAATCTAGGACATTTATATGATAATTTATTTTAAAATAACAATACCAAAATAATTACCTATGTACATAAATTGAATGCTTTTAATAAAAGCTTTTTCTTAAAATTTAGTGAAAAGCACAGTATATTACACTGTTGTCACTATCTGACTGAGTTACCTTATCTTCTTGAATTTGACACAATAACAGTGTGGTTGCACTGAAATAATTATAAAATTACATCTTTATCATTTGCTTTTCTATATCTTCAAAGAAAAAATTGATATTGCTAATCTGAACACCTTCCTGGATGATATGGGCATTGAGCTTTCGAGTGAAGAATATGATGACCTCATAAGCCATCTCCCTGTCAGTGGTGAGCATTTCAATTATCTTGATACCTCTCAAATATGACTTTCAGAATTAGTTATAAGGAATATTGATATCACACAACTATTTTTAATATTTGTTTTATTTATTATTTAGTTACTGTGAAAGTATACAGGTGTATCTGGTACTAAAGGAGGGAATGTGTTTGTATGTGGTTATTTATTTTACTTTATTTTTTATGAAGAAAAAGATGTTTAATGAATTCACAGCTTGGAAGGTTGGAAGTCCAAACATTAGAGTGGTAACCCTCATAGGACCCAGCTTTGCTGCTGGTGGATAACATAATAGTTAATGGCACCACACTGGCAGGAGTACATATGGGGGGGGGGATCGAGATCACTTGGAATGATGTGCTTATTTATAATTTGGACATTTAAATAAATAATTAAGCCGAAAGTACTTGGACCCTAGATGTTACAAGTTAACTCAGAAATACCATTGAGGTCATTAGGAAACCTAACATAAGCTAGAAAAGAAGACAGGGAAAGACATAGAGATAGGCAGAGAAATGGAAAACAAGAAGACAAGGTCTGTAAAAGCTTTGTTTACAAGTTACTAAGAACAATGGTATTGTAGAATTTATGACACTTAAAATATGTAGGTTAAATAGTCATAGTAGTAAAGGAAATATTCCAAGTAATTGCTGTATAGCAGTCTAATTATTTTATAATTATTTCACAAGTAAAAAAGTAACAAAGTCTATAATAAATTTTAATTATCCAATCTCCTTTATGTTGAATTAGCAAAGTCAAAGTACAAGTGTAAAGATGTAGGTTTTATTCTTGAGATTTATTTTCAATTTGCTCATTTATTACATGGATATGCTAGGAGCTATACTAGGCTCAAAGAATACAAAAAAATAAATTTACTTTCTCTAGCAAATAATGTATAATTCATTTGCAAGTTGGGTGAAGATATGAAGAAAATTACATAGTGAAGTTAAAAAGCATCCCAATATTCTTTTGGGATGATGGGAAGGAAGGGGAAGTAGAAGGAAACAATGATCGCCTTCAGGTAACTGTAAGCAATTGAATCAGATGAGGAAGATTTTTTTTGATTGCCTATTTTATGAAGTTAGAGCTATAAAAGTAGGCAAAGCTATATCTTATAGGGTCTTTATTTCACCATACAGATCATAGGGTAGGAAGAGCCACCAAAGAGTTTCTTGGTTGTGAATGGCATCATGTCTTGTTCTCTTTATTCCAAAAGTTACTGGACCATGGACTATAGATTGTGATTTAAGAGCCATATTCAATTCTAATACATTTTTCACATACTTGTCAGAGCTAGAATCCATGAGAATATCTACACTATATTCACCTAAGTGTCCGTAATAAAAAATGGAGCAATATGGGGTATTATATTTAACCTCTGAAAAGGAACACATTCTGTCATTTACAACAACGTGGTAGACCTGAAGGACAACATGCAAAGGGATAGAAACCAGACACAGAAAGACAAATACCACCTGATTTCACTTATACATGGGATCTTTGTGTGTGTGTGTGTGTGTGTTTCTCCTGCAGTTTTGTTTTCTTTTCCGTGTTTGTTTGCTTTGTTTTATTTGTTTATTGGCCTGTTTTCTAAAGAGAGAAAGAAAGAAGGCATGGAGCTGGAGGGGTGAGGAGGTGAGGAGGATCTGAGAGGAGATGAGGGAGGGGAAACCATGATCAGAATATACTATGTGAAAAAATTACTTTAAAAAAGGGAGCTTTTTTCAGATAAAAAATTTAAACTCATGAATAGAAATAGACAATAAAATAATAGGTAACAATATATTCAACATGTAATAGTACAATGAGCTTTAAAAAATAAACTTCAATTTGGCAAGAAAAGTTAATTTAGGAGCTCTGCCATAACTTATGGAACCATAACGAGTCACAGGGAATTATATACTTAAAGGTTGCTAAGAGAGGAGCCAGTGAAACAGCTCAGTGGGTAATAGCAAACCAAATTTTGAAGATTTGCTTTTTATACTACCTTTTTAAAAGTGCAGTGCTTTTGTTTTGAAGTCTGGTATCATTACTGCTTTTGCTGAGTCCTTGTATCTTTTCTCACAGCTGATAGAAAGATAAGTCAGCTTAATCTGATGAATACCATCAAGAATCTTAAAAGTGAGTAAGAGGCATGAAATGGAAATCTTAAGCTGTTGTGATAATATTTCAGTTAATTGAATTTTATCTATGATTATAAACAAGCATATCCATATCATACAATCTTGGAGAATATATAGAAGAAATAAAAAGGACAAAAGAAAATCATCCAAACTTAAAAACCAAAGTAAAATATTACAATGTTTATCCTTTAGTATATTTTATTTGATTTTCTCATATATTGTGATTGAGAATTTGACTTAGTGTTTCTTTTGTTCATACTATTTTGGGTTATAAAGTGATAATGAAATAATTTATATCTGTTAATACCTAGTTTCTCTCACAGCAGAGAATCTATACAACTGTAGCATTGAACATATTCTAATATCTCTTTTAAGTCTATTTCTAAATCATATATTTATTCTGCTTTTCATTTTTAGACCTGCATAGAAACACTAATTTTATAAAGCCTCATTAATCAAAAGTTATTTTTGTAGCTGAATAACTAATTGGAATTCCAGAAAAAATTAATTGAGTTAGAGGGGAGAAATACCATTTCTAGTTTAGTTAATAACCAGTAGTGAAAATAATTGATTTATTTTCTTTATGATGTAATTTATTGGTAGACAATTACCAATTTCACATTTTAAAACTTTTGTTGTAGTCATATCATGTACAATTATGATCTTGAAGGAGATTAATGATATGTGGTCCTATGTATGACTTGGATATTTTTTGTATCATCTTTGAAAAGTATTTTATTGAACAGCTTTGCTTTGTACTTTGAAACTAGGAAGCAAATGTTTAGAAATATATTGTATATGCCCATATATTTTATGTGTTTATGTAGGCACACCATTGTGAATTGTGCAAAAAAATTTGTCTCGTCTCTTTTTAGGAGGAAAAGTTGACACCACAAAATTAGTCAATGCCCTGGAGAAGATTGGAGTGGAACTCACACATAAAGAATTTCAGGATCTGCAAGAACATCTGCCAGTTGACAGTAAGCATTTCTGCTGTTATGGATATTATCTAAGGGAGTTAGACATGTGCATGAGGAGTCGGTAAGCTACTGTACTGGAACTTTGTGACACATTCAGAAAGGTTAAGTCTTGAATTTATTGTTCTGTCCATCTGAGTTCAAATGATCTAGCAGTGGAAAAATATATATCTTAACCCACCCACTACCTCTTGCCATCCTTAGAAAAGAGTTTTGGGAACTGTTTGAATTACTATGACTTTAAGTTTCAAAGGCTAATTTTCATGCTTTTGAACTTTAAAATATAGATATGGAAGGAGTTGGAAAGGGTGGACAGAGGAAAGGGAAGGAGGAAAATGATGTAATCATATTTTAGTGATACAAATTCATTAAAATTGTCTTTTATAATTCTTTGGTGTAACTGGCAGGATGTCTTTGCTGGGAGTGACTTAGATTAGGAAAAGAAAACAGAGAAAGAAAAGGTAAGGACATTGGTAAATAGAAATAGAAGGAATGAGAAGCAAGAAGTGTTAGAGACAAGGAACAGAGTTAATTCAACGGTTTCTAGACTAGATATGGGGAGTGGACTGGAGGCAGGATTTTGTTCCTATTCTACCACTGCAGTGCCCTGATTCTAAGTCTAATCTTAGTTTTGTATATTTAGAGTGTATTAGTGGATTTATAGTGTAAGGCATTTTGTTTTCAAATGATTTTTTAAAATTACAGCTGATGGGAAGGTAGCTCTAAATGCACTTCTGGATAAAGTTGATCTTCTTAAAAAAGAGGGTGAGTACAAAATTATGACTAAAATAAGAAATGTTAATCTGTGTTAATGAGCTGTTTAATATATGTGACAAACAATACTTTGGTCCTTTGCACATTGAAAAATAGCATGCATTTGTTAACAATATAAACCACATTCCTAGTAGTTTGTACAACAAAATAACCCTTATTCTTTTAGCTAAAGTTTCAGTCTTGCTCTGTTTCCTTTTAGTTAGGTAATTTATTTAGACAGTCTTTACTGAGTCTTGAAGTTCTAGGTGTCTCTCTAGGTGTAAGAGATACAGTATGGAATCAGATAATGACCTTGTATTCATGGAACTCACATTTCCTTGATAAGTGGGGCAGAAAAAGAAAAATTTTCAAAAGCAGTAATGGTATTAATGAAAAAGGTGGCATGGTTGGCAGCAGCAGAGCGCCAAGTTGAATGGAATAAAGTTTCCTTCTGATTTGGTATCAAATCTCGTTTTGAGTTGGATAGATTTTAAACATAGTAAGGATAATATATGGACATTGTTTTTAGGCCATGGAGTTGTAATACTGTTTTCAAAGTTTGTTCTCTTTCCTAAGAGGGGAAGCTGGATGTCAGTGACCTTGACAACATTTTGGAGAAAATGGGAATAGGCTTCTCTGAAAAACCATCTGAGAGTTGTCAAGGTAATTGTAAACACACTATACACTGCTCTAGTGTGGGATAGTGGGTTTCTGACCTCACACTCCTGAAATTTGAGCCCCCAAGACAATTGAACACATCTTAAGATAAGCCTGTCTGAAATAAGCCTCACTTTTATGCTATTTTTAAGATAGTTTGTGTTTCTTGATCTAAAATGAAAGACACAAAACCATGGACCTTATGCTGTATTTTGGATAAGAAATTTACCCTCTATGGTTCATTAAAGTAGAGGTTGGAGGGGAGAAATATATGGACAAAACACAAGTGAAGATAATTTGGAGTTAGAAATATGAGATTAATAAAGATCCTCATTGTAGATTAAATATGGTTATGATCAGTTCAAACTTCTGGTGTGGAGCCTAGGAAATGACTTAATTGATGAAGTGCTTACTATCCAATCATGAGAATATGAGGTGTGCATCTGTAATTTCCATTGCTGGGCATGTAGAGACAAGAGAATTCATGGGGTTTAGTGGCCAGCTAGCCCATTGATGAACTCTAGGTTCAGTGAGAGATCCTATCCCAATAAATAAAATGCGGAAGAATCAAAGACACCCAACATCAACATGCACACCACACATATACATGTACATGTATACACACACACACACACACACACACACACACACACACACACACACACACACATGCAATACTTGTGGAAGATGGTGCAGCTTCTAAATTTTGCTCCAGATTGATTCGGTGGATTGGAAGAAGGGCTCATTTGGGAATCTAAAAGTTTCTGATCTTGTATGCTCTTCACAATTCATAACTTCACAGGGGATGTGGTTTTAGCTCAGTGGTAGAGCACTTGCCCAGCAAGCATGAAGTTCTGGAGGTAAAAATAATTTTACGGTTTGTGAAGCTCATTGTGGCCTTTGTGATGTGTACCTTTCCCCCTGTGGTTGATGGGAAAGTTCAATTTAGTAAGCCATGGGGTGGTATTCTACTGTTCCTAGGAAGAAGTTGAGATACTAATGCTTTAAAATATATATTTTTAGACCCAGTGCTCAGAGGCTGGGGCTATAGGATTTATGACACAAGGCCAAAGATCTAAAATTTTCTGAAACTTAGTTTTTCATATGTTAAAGTCCCTCACTTTACACATAGGCGTTGCAGTGTAGTGCATGCACACGCCTGTCAAACAGAAGGGTTGTCATTGGACACTGAGTCTTCTGGGAACTTGATCTTGGACCACTCGTATATGCAACTGATTTTTTTTCCTTCAAAAATACATTTTCATTTTTTATGAATTTTTTAAAGTATGAATCTCTAGACATTTGTTAAATTAATTACTTTCTCTCCTTGAGTTAAAAAAAAGTTTAGAGAGCTCAAGAGAAAAATATCAAAATGATGAATTTTAGGGATTATTTTTTTATTTAAAATTAAAATTAAAAAATATTTTATTTAACTTTACTTTATATGTATTGGTGTGAAGGTATCAGATCCTCTGGAACTAGTGCTAAAGATAGTTGTGAGCTGCCAGGTGGGTGCTGGGAATTGAACTCAAGTCTTCTAGAAGAACAGCTATTGCTCTTAACCACTGAGCCATCTCTCCAGCTTCTTCTTCTTTTTTTTTTTTTTTGGTTTTTACAAGACAGGGTTTCTCTGTATTGTTTTGGAGGCTATCGGTCCAGCCCGGCCTCGAACTCACAGAGATCCTCCTGCCTCTGCCTCCCGAGTGCTGGGATTAAAGGCGTGCGCCACCACCGCCCGGCTTCTCCAGCTTCTTAAAATTAATTTTTAATTATGTGTATGTCTTTGCATGGGTGTGTGCATTGAGTACAGATACTTGAAGAGACCACAGGAGGGCATTGGATGCCCTGGAGCTGGACTTATAGGTGATAGTAAACTGCCTGATGTGGATGCTGGGAATTGAACTCCATTTCTCAGCAAGAGCAGTAAACACTCTTAACCCATCTCTTCACGCCTGCTTTTAACTCATTGTTCTAGTGCCCTGATGTAGTTTAACATTATAATATTTCAAATGAGAGTATCATGCTATTTTAAGAGAACTCATTTCTCGTGTTTTTATGGGATGGGATGGAAATATGGAAATGTGACTATAATGAAAATTGGGTTGGCTATCTCTATTATTTCACAGTTAAGAATTTTGCATTGTTTGTGAATCTCACAGTGGTCTCTGATTTGTACTTTGTCTTACAGTTCACCTTAGCATACCACTGGGTGAAGTCCCACACATCTCAGGTAAGATGATACAAAATGACTGAATACTAATGCTTTAACATATATTTTTGCCAAGCATGGTGGTGCATGCCTATAGTCCCGGGACTCAGGAGGCTGATAGAAATGTGACTATAATGAAAATTGGGTTGGTTATCTCTGTTATTTCACCGTTAAGAATTTTGCATTGTTTGTGAATATCACAGTGGTCTCTGATTTGTACTTTGTCTTACAGTTCAGCTTAGCAAACCACTGGGTGAAGTCCCACACGTCTCAGGTAAGATGATACAAAATGACTGAATACTAATGCTTTAAAATATATTTTTCTTTATTTTAATTTTAAATAGCTTGCTCTACATGTCAATCCCAGTTCCCTCTCCCTCCCCTCCTCCCGCACCCTCTACCATCCCCCCCATCCTCTCACCCCACCGCCAACTCCCTTCGCATAGGAGGCATCCAGAGTCCACCATTCCACTCAGGGTAAGGTCCAGGCACCTCCCCAAGAGTCCAGGCAGAGAGAGCAACCCTCCCTGTGCCATGGACACACGATGTCTGTTAGTATTCGAGGGACAAACTCTGATCCACTGCTCAGGACCCCATAGGCAGCCCAGGCCTCCTCATTGACTCCCACACTCAGGGGGTCTGGATCGGTCCCATGCTGGCTTCCCAGATGTTGGCCTGGGGTCCAAGAGCTCTCCCCTGTTTGGATCAGCGGTCCCCGCTGGTTTCGCCAGTCCATTCCTTGTCAATTTGCTCTTCACTCCTCTCTCTCTGTCGCTGGGTTCCTTGGGTTCTGTTCAGTATTTAACTGTGGGTGTTTGCCTCTACTTCCATCAGTCACTGGATGAAGGCTCCAGGATGGTTATAGACATCAAGTTCACTATCAGGAATGGGCATTCGAGGTGGTATCTTTACTATTGCTTAGCTTGCCAATTGGTGTCATCCGTTTAGATCACTAGAGGTCACAATAGTGCCTGATCTGTCTTCTAACCTATGATTCCCTCTTCCCCCTATCCTACCTCCACCCCCCCAGTCAACCTTCCTGTTCCTCCACGACCTACTCTCTCTTTCACTTCTCCCCCTCTCTATTTCCCAGGTCCCCCTCCCCCACATCCCTCACTTTGTTCCCCATCTGTTCAGAGGATCGTGCCTCATTTATCTTCTCTTGGGTACCATGCATATCTTTTAGGTTCTTTCCTGTTTCCCAGAATCTCTGTCAGTGGAAGTGCAGACTGGCACTCTCCTGATCCATGCCTAAAATCCATATATGAGTGAGTACATACCATGTTTGTCTTTTTGCGACTGGGTTACCTCACTCAGGATGGTTTCTTCCAGTGCTATCCATTTACCTGCGAATTTCAAGATTCCATTGTTTTTTCTGCTGAGTAATACTCCATTGTGTAAATGTACCACATTTTCTCTATTCACTGTTCAGTTGAGGGGCATCTAGGTTGCTTTCAGGTTCTGGCTATTACAAATAATGCTGCTATGAACATAGTGGAGGAGATGCCCTTGTTGTATTAATTTGCCTCCTTTTGGATATATGCCTAAGAGTAGAATTGCTGGGTCTTGTGGTAGATTGATTCCCGTTTTCCTGAGGAATCTCCATACTGATTTCCAAAGTGGCTGTACCAGTTGGCACTCCCACCAGCAGTGGAGGAGTGTTCCCCTCTCTCCACATCCTCTCCAGCATAAATTGTCTTCGGTGTTTTTGATTTTAGCCATTCTGACAGGAGTAAGATGATATCTCAAAGTTGTTTTGATTTGCATTTCCCTGATGGCTAAGGATGTTGAGCACTTTCTTAAGTGTTTCTTAGCCATTTTAGCCTCTTCTATTGAGAATTCTCTGTTTAGTTCTGTACCCCACCTTTTAATTGGATCCTTTGGTGTTTTGGAGACTTGCTTCTTGAGTTCTTTGTAAATTTTGGAGATTAGCCCTCTGTCAGATGTGGGGTCAGTGAATAACTTTTCCCATTCTGTGGACTGCCTTTCTGTCTTGTTGACTGTGTCCTTTGCCTTACAGAATCTTTTTAGTTTCATGAGGTCCCATTTGTTAATTGTCAATCTTAGTATTTGTGCCACTGGTGTTATGTTCAGGAAGTGGTCTCCCGTACCAACTCATTGAAGAGTATCTCCCACTTTCTCTACTAAAAGTTTCGGTGTGGCTGGATTTATGTTGAGATCTTTGATCCATTTGGACTTAAGTTTTGTACAAGGCGATAAACATGGATCTATCTGCAGTCTTCGGCATACCAGTACCCAGTTATGCCAGCACCATTTGTTGAAGATGCTTTCTTTTTTCCATTGTATAGTTTTAGCTACTTTGTCAAAAATCAAGTGTTCATAGGTGTGTGGGTTAAAATCAGGGTTTTCAATTGGTTACATTGGTCTACCTGCCTATTTTTGTGCCAATACCAAGCTGTTTTCAAGACTATAGCTCTATAATAGAGCTTGAAGTCAGGTATGATGATGCCTCCTGAAGTTCCTTTATTGTATAGGGTTGTTTTGGCTATCCTGGGCCTTTTGTTTTTCCCTACAAAGTTGATTAATGTTCTTTCCAGGTCTGTGAAGAATTGTGCTGGAATTTTGATATGGATTGCATTGAATCTGTAGACTGCTTTTGGCAAGATTGACATTTTTACTATGTTGATCCTACCAATCCAAGAGCATGGGAGATCTTTCCATATTCTGGTATCTTCTTTGATTTCTTTCTTTAAAGACTCAAAGTTCTTGATATACAGGTCTTTCACTTCCTTGGTTAACATTATCCCCAGATATTTCATGCTGTTTATGGATATTGTAAAGGGTGAGGTTTCTCTGATTTCTTTCTCAGTCACTTCATCGTCTGTATATAATAGGGCCACTGATTTTTTTTGAGTTTACCTTGTATCCTGCCACTTTGCTGAAGGTGTTTATCAGCTCTAGGAGTTCCCTTGCGGAGTTTTTCGGGTCACTTATGTAAACTATCATATCATCTGCAAATAGTGAAAATTTGACTTCTTCTTTTCCTATTTGTATCCCCTTTATCTCATTTAGTTGTCTTATTGCTGTAGCTAGGACTTCAAGTACAATATTGAAGAGATATGGAGAGAGTGGACAGCCTTGTCTTGTTTCTGATTTTAGAGGAATTGCTTTGAGTTTCTCTCCATTTAGCTTGATGTTAGCTGTTGGTTTACTGTATATTGCTTTTATTATATTCAGGTATGTTCCTGTTATCCCTGATCTCTCTAGGACCTTTATCATGAAGGGGTGCTGGATTTTGTCAAAGGCTTTTTCAGCATCTAGTGAGATGATCATGTGGTTTTTCTTTCGAAGTTTGTTTATATGGTGGATTACATTGATAGATTTTCTAATGTTGAACCATCCCTGCATTCCTGGGATGAAGCCTACTTGATCATGATGGATGATTTTTCTGATGTGTTCTTGAATCCAGTTTGCTAGTATTTTATTGAGTATTTTTGCATCGATGTTCATGAGGGAAATTGGTCTATAGTTTTCTTTCTTAGTTGTGTCTTTGTGTGGCTTGGGTATCAAGGTAATTGTAGCCTCGTAAAAAGAGTTTGGCAGTGAGCCTCCTGCTTATATTGTGTGGAATACTTTGAGGAGTATTGGAATTAACTCTTCTTAGAATTCTGCACTGAAGCCATCTGGGCCTGGGCTTTTTTTGTTTGGGAGACTTTTGATGACTGCTTCCATTTCATTAAGGGTTATAGGTCTGTTTAGATTGTTTATCTGCTCTTGATTTAGTTTTGGTAAGTGATATCTATCCAGGAAATTGTCCATTTCCTTTACATTTTCAAATTTTGTGGAGTACAGATTTTTAAAGTATGCCCTGATGATTCTCTGGATTTCCTCCGTTGTTATGTCCTTTTTCATTTCTGATTTTGTTAATTAGCATGCTCTCTCTCTGTCTTTTGGTTAGTTTGGACATAGGTTTGTCTATTTTGTTGATTTTTCTCAAAGAACCAACTCTTTGTTTCATTGATTCTTCTCAATGTTCTCCTGGTTTCTACTTGATTGATTTCAGCCCTCAATTTGATTATTTCCTGGTGTCTGCTCCTCCTGGGTGAGTTTGCTTCTTTTTGTTCTAGCACGTTCAGCTGTGCTATTAATTCTCTAGTATGACTTTTCTCCAGTTTCTTCATGTGGGCACTTAGTGCTATGAACTTTCCTCTCAGCACTGCTTTCAAAGTGTCCCATAGGTTTGCATATGTTGTGTCTTCATTCTCATTAAATTCCAGGAAGTCTTTAATTTCTTTTTTTATTTCTTCTTTACCCAGGGACGGTACAATTGAGCATTGTTCAATTTCCATGAGTTTGTAGGGTTTCTGCGAATTGTGTTATTGTTGAATTCTAATTTTAATGCATGGTGGTCTGAGAAGATACAGGGGGTTATTCCAATTTTTTGTATCTGTGGAGATTTGCTATGCTTCCTATTATGTGGTCAATTTTAGAGAAGGTTCTATGTGGCGCCGAGAAGAAGGTATATCCCTTTGTGTTTGGGTAGAATGTTCTATAGATGTCTGTTAAACCCAGTTGGGTCATAACTTCTATTAGTTCTTTTGTTTCTTTGTTAAGTTTCTGTCTGGAGGTCCTGTCTATTGGTGAGAGCAGAGTGTTGAAGTCTCCTACTATTAGGGTATGTGATTTTATGTGCAATTTGAGCTTTAGTAATGTTTCTTTCACAAATGTAGGCGCCTTTGTATTTGGGGCATAGATGTTTAAAATTGAGACTTCATCTTGATGGACTTTTCCTTTGATGAATATGAAATGTTCTTCTTCATCTCTTTTGATTGATTTTAATTTGAAGTCTAGTTTGTTAGATATTAGGATTGCTACACCTGCTTGTTTCTTGGGTCCATTTGATTGGAAAATCTTTTCCCAACCCTTTACCCTGAGATACCATATGTCTTTGATGTTGAGATGTGTTTCTTGTATGCAGCAGAAGGATGGGTTCTGTCTTCATATCCATTCTGCTAGTCTGTGTCTTTTTATAGGCAAGTTGAGGCTGTTGACATTGAGGGATATCAATGACCATTGATTGATGATTCTTGTTTGTGCTTGATTTATTGGTAGTGAAGTTATTTTGTGTAGTTTCTCCTCCCTTTTTCTTTTGGTGTTATGTAAAGTGGGATTATATATTGCCTGTGTCTTTGTGAGTGTAGCTGTCTTCCTTGGATCTAAGTTTTCCTTCTAGCACTTTCTGTAGAGCTGGATTCATGCACACATATTGTTTAAATCTGGCTTTGTCATGGAATATTTTGTTTTCTCCATCTATGGTAATTGAAAGCTTTGCTGGATATAGTAGTCTGGGCTGGCATCCTTGTTCCCTTAGCGTTTGCAGGACATCTGCCCAGGATCTTTTGGCTTTCATCGTTTCCATGGAGAATTCATGTGTAATTCGGATAGGTCTGCCTTTATATGTTACTTGGCCTTTTTCTTTAGTTGCTCTTAATATTTTCTCTTTATTCTGTAGGTTTGGTATTTTGATTATTATATGGCGAGGTGACTTCTTTTTCTGGTCCAGCCTATTTGGTGTTCTGTAAGATTCTCGTATTTTCATAGGCATATCCTTCTTTAGGTTAGGGAAGTTTTCTTCTATGATTTTGTTGAATATGTTTTCTGTACCTTTGAGCTGTATTTCTTCGCCTTCTTCTATACCTATTATTCTCAGGTTTGGCTTCTTCATGGAGTCCCATATTTCCTGGATATTTTGTGTAAGGGATTTTTTGGTTTTGAGATTTTCTTTGGTTGACGACTGTATATCCTCTAATGAGTCTTCAACACCTGAGATTCTCTCCTCTATCTCTTGTATTCTATTGGTGATACTTGCCTCTGTAGTTCCTGATAGTTTACCCAGCTTTTCCATTTCCAGCATCCCCTCATTCAGTGTTTTCTTTATTGTTTCTATTTCTGCTTTCTATCCTTCAACTGTTTGAGTTGTTTCCTTCATTTGTTTGGTTGTTTTTTCTTGGTACTCTTTAGATTTTTTGAGAGATTTGTTTATTTCTTGAATTTTTCCCCCATTTCATGGATTTTTTGTTTTTTCCTCTATTTCTTTAAGGGATTTCCTCATTTCTTCTTTGAGGGTCTCTATCATCTGCATAAAATGATTTTTAAGGTCTGTCTCCTCTGCTTCATCTATGTAGTGCTTTTCAGGTCTTGCTGGCATTGGTTCACTAGATTCTGGTGGAGTCATGTTGGTCTTTTGACCGCTGAGTGAGCTCTTATTCTGTCTTCTTCCCATTTCTTCTTCCAGTGGGTGCTGGTGGGGTCTTTCTGTCTCCACTGGTCTCCTTCCTTCCTGAAGCTGACTGGGATCGCTGGAGTTTGGGGCATGGAAGGGCTGATGTCTTTCCTTGTGGGTGGGTCTTCTGGATGCCAGGAGTGGCCCCGGAAGATCTAGGGGGTGGGGGTTGGGCAGAGGATAGGAAGTGTCCCCCTGGAGACCCAAGCTCACCTAGCTGTTTTAAAATATATTTTTGCCAAGCATGGTGGTGCATGCCTATAATCCCGGGACTCAGGATGCTGATAGAAATGTGACTATAATGAAAATTGGGTTGGTTATCTCTGTTATTTCACAGTTAAGAATTTTGCATTGTTTGTGAATCTCACAGTGGTCTCTGATTTGTACTTTGTCTTACAGCTCAGCTTAGCAAACCACTGGGTGAAGTCCCACACGTCTCAGGTAAGATGATACAAAATGACTGAATACTAATGCTTTAAATATATTTTTGCCAAGAATGGTGGTGCATGCCTATAATCCTGGGAGGCTGTGACTAGGAGATTGAAAGTTTGAAGTTTTCTGAGGCTTAGCTTTTAGATAAGTGATATTTGTTGTTAGCATGTATATGCATGTATGTGTTTATATGTGTGCATGTGTGTGGGTACATATGGAAGGTTAGAGGGCAATTTTTATGAGTTGGTTCTCTCCCTCCACTATGGGATCTGGAGCTCAAAATCAGGTCAGGTTTGTGTAACAAACATGTTTATCCACCGAGCCTTCTCACTGGCCGGGATAAACTTTATGTGTTGAAAGTTACCTGCCTGGAAAACTCCAGACAGATGTGGTGAAGGCCCCTTCTTGTTAACCACATTTCCTTAGCCTCTGAATGTGTAGTTTATAGACCAGCTAGATGATGGAGAGGGACTTTTGGAGAAGATATTTTCAAAAACACTCAGTGATTTCGAACGGAGTTGGTACAACCACCCAGATTTATACAGCGCGAACTCTCTGAGTGTCAGGATGCTCTGGGATGGAAGGCAATCTCTGAGATGGAAAGGCGTCAGCAGGGCTACATAAACCACAACAGTTAGGATTCACATAACTGTTGGAGCCGGAGCTGGACCGGGAGACAGAGTCGATCTAATGAACTTCCAAGAATGTTGGAGAATGGAAGAACTGCACCACCAAGAGGTTCAAAATGAAGCAGCTGGCACTCATGCAAGAAGAGGGCAGGCACTGTGAGGAAGGAATGCACTGGCAATGATACGATGCCCTGCAGGAAGGAGTTAGGGGAAATTTCCCCAGTGTGAGAGCAAGAGATAAAGGTGGAATAAAGAACTGTGGTGGGGACAAAGAGCTACGGAAAGCGCTACGAACGTAAGCACCAGAACTCCAGCTCCTGTGCTCCAGGACGTACTCCAGCTCCACCAGGACCGGCCACTCTGATGCCGTATGGAAGGAACCTAGGGATTCATCCGACCAACAATTGAATGTTTTGACCCTGTTGTTAGAATAGAATGGATTGGAGTAATTGGTGGAAAGTACTACTGCATTCCACGGTACAGCTCCTGGAACTTCGTTAGCTCCAAACAAAAGTTGCCATTGCCAATAAAGTTGCAGTGTTTACTCTCCTACAACTAGAAGCTCTCCACTTGGACAAGCTATAATTCTACCAGGAAAAACATCAGGGAACCCCCCATAGATGGTTCTTCCCTGCTTACTACTCTAGGCAGTATGTGTGGGGACAAATGCACAGGATTTTAGATTTGTTGTTTAAAAATATTTCAGTCTCTGTTGTGTTTTCTGAATTCTCTGTTTTCTTCAAGTTCTTTGAATTTCCTTAAAAGAGCTATTTTAAACTTATTTTGGTTTGTATGCATTTATCAATGTGTGTGTGTGTGTGAATCAGAGTGTGATGTCATGTGTCTTCCTCAAACTTTCTCTCTTTACCTCATCCTTTGAACCTGGGTCTGTTACTGAACCTGGAGCACACCAGCTGGTTAGGCTGTCTGGCCAGCAAGCCCAAGGGTTATTCCTGTCTCTGTCTTACCTAGGATACAGGATATTTCTGTCTACCCTGCTGGTTTACAAACATGTAGGGCAGTGTCTGGCTTTTAGGAGGGTGCTAGGGATCCAAACACAGGTATCATGTTTTTGCTGCAAGCACCGTATCTACTAGTCCATTCCCCAGCTCCTCGCTATAGATTTTGGTGCCTCATCTTGTCCATTAAACTTGATCATGGTTCTCTGCAGTTCTTGGAGAATTGGGACCTGCATCATCATCTGCACACTGAGGGGCAAACATCTATTCCAATCCTCATAACATGACTTTCCTCCTTCTAGAAATCCCAGCAAGCTATTTGTCCTCTGTGCCTGTGATCAATGCTCCTATTTCAGCAAGAAATGTGCCCCAAATCCAGATTTACTGCCAGTCCACACTTGCTGTATTGTCACTGTTTTGACACTAGAGACTGCTGTAAGCCCAAGTTTATCCCAAATCTGCAGTTGTTTTTAATGTTAGACTGGATGAGAAAAGAGCAGTCCGTCCCAGGGTCAGGGTGGCTCAGATGCCTTATACATAGCCATTGACTTGTGTTGAGATAATTCCCTGGGGCTTGGCTTTATCATGAGGGTCCAGTTTTAGATCACACCTCCCTCCTCTCCCTAAAGAAGAGAATGATTGTCTTTGTGCTGTGCTGCCCCAGAATTTGGAAAGTAGGAGCTGGCAATCTCACAGCTACAAATACTACAGCACTGGGTCACATGTGTTCCCCACAACTTGCTGAAATCATAGTAGTGTAGAGGAGGGAACAAGGTCTATTCTGCTATGACCTGACTGTTGCTATGATTGTGTACAGATGTGGCTTGAAAAATCCACAGGTAGCCAGGGCTGATGCTTTGCAGAAAGAAGTCCATGTGATTGGGGCTGTTGGTCTTTGTCCGATACGTAGGCAAGTTTGGAGACTTTATCCAGGTAGGGAACTGGAGATGGTGAGGTCTGCTCAGCATTGGCTTTCAGTTACCCAGCACCGAATTCCAAGGTAAAGTCCTGTGTTTACTTCTCTGTCCCAACCCCCAGCAATTGGTTAAGGTGTGTTAGCAAAGGTTTGAGGAGGGGCATGGTGGAGGTATTCCCTTGGTTGCCTACTAAGATAGATCCAGGACTCGGGCCTTGACCCTGAGCCCAAGTGGCAACAAGGCTTTGTCCAGTTCTATATTCTAGTTCTGAAGACCATATTTAATTTTGTATCCTTTCCCAAGTGGGAGGCATCTCTTTCCATGTTGTGCTTCTTGGAGTTAGGGAAGGGGTGATATATCACTTCCCTCCTTCCTGTCTTCTCTCACTTGATTTCCTTAGCTCTTGTGAAGGTAGTTTCATGTGTGAAAACTACTCAGACTGGCAATTCTGTAATAAAATGGAGGAGGAGTGTTATTCTGAAACCATCTTGCTCTGCCTTCTGCTGAAGAATTCTTAAGCATCTTTCTGGGCTCTATTCCTAGCCTTTCCAATGAGAGAAAAATTAATTCCAGTGACATTTAAAATATTCTAAGGAACATACCAACTCAGTTCACAGATAAAGAAAGGGAAATGAGTTTCTGGGGCCTCTGTGAGATACAAATATTTAGTGTATTTGTACTAGTGTATTTGCACATTTGTGTGCATGTAGGTGCTTGTGTGTGTGGAGACCAAAGGTCAGCCTCAGAAATTGTTCCTCAAGAGCCACTGCGTTTTAAGACAGGGTTCTCATATCAGCATTGACCTAGAAGTGACAAAGCAGAGAAGTAATCAGTGACTGTGGTTATCACAGCAATGGATGTAGCTTTTGTTAAAATAGAGGATTAGTCCTATATTGACTCAGACTAGTTATCACAATGCATCCCTCACCTGCTGTGTGCACGGCAGTTCTAGGCCTTCTCAGGTAAGTAACTTAATCCTCACAGGAAAAGATCATTGCATTTCATACAATGGAAACAGGCAAATCAAGTTAAATTCCTGAAGAAAATTCTATTAAGTAATGATAGTAGAGAAAAATACTCAAGCCAATGTGTTCTTGTTCCAGTCATAATAATTTTTCTTTTCTTCTTGGCAGAACTTTCTATTTCTTTTCATAGAAATAATGCACTGGAAGGTGATTTTGTTACTTTCAGAAATTTGTGGTATGTTTCTTTTTCCACAATAAGAATTGCTGGGAGTAAGCTTAATTCTAATCATGCTGAATCCTGTCTTCTGGCCAAAAAGTTAAAACTCATATGCAAGAATGAGAGACATTTCAGCATTAGTAAGAACTGTCATGTGTTTTTTTTCTTTTTTCTAAGGGGAAAAAATAGACATCAGGGACTTGGACACCATGCTCCAGAAAATGGATATTGACCTCACCAAAGAGAAAGTGGAAGAGCTGAAAAGAAGCCTCCCAGTTGATGGTAACTAATTTTCAATATGGAACTTCTTGAAGTTTACAGACCATTATTTCTGAAAACTAGTTAATTTTATACTGATAAAAGTGATGCATTGTCTCAGAAAACCTAGTTATAGACTGAGAGCAAAGGTTGTCTTCATTTTTAAATCCAGATCTAGTATAAAGCATTTGCCTAGCCTGCCACTCTCAGGTCGCCTTCCACAGCTGTGAATGGCTGGGAAGCGGAATGAATCGAGTGGAAGGAGAAATGAACAGGAAGTCAAGGTGTGTCCTTTCTACACCTCTCTTGGGCTTCTGTGTCCTGACTCCGACCTCTACTCAGGTTTGTCAGGGAGCACCAGGTACTTGCCATAGTCCCTTTCATTAATGAACCAGCCCCCACCCCCTCTCACCTTTGCCCTACTCTACCCTATCCACTCCTCCCCCGTTTCTATTCAGGAAAAGGCAGGCCTCCCATGGGCACCAACAAAATATGGCTTATCAAGTTGCAATAAGACTATGGACCACTCCTTGTCGTAAGGCTGGGCAAGGCAACCCAGTATGAGAAAAGGGTCCCAAAAGCTAGTAAAAGTGTTAGAGACAGCCCGTTCCCAGTGTTAGGAGTCCGACAAGAAGACCAAGCTACACAACTGCAACGTGTATGCAGAGTGCCTAGAATAGTCCCATGCAGGTTCCCTGGTTGTTATTTGGTCTCTGTGGGGCCCTATGAACCCAAGTTAGTTGATTATATGGGTTTTCTTGTGATGTCCTTGAATCCTCTGGCTTCTATAGTCCTTCCTCCCCCTCTTCCTCAGGATTCTCAGAATTTGGTCTAATGTTTCACTGTATGTCTAGGTCTGTCTCCATCAGTTACTGGATGAAGCCTCTCTGATGACAATTGGGCTAGGCACCAATCTATGAGTATAGCAGAATGTCATTAGGCATCATTACATTGACATTTTTTCTCCAGTCATGTTTGGTTCTATCCTAGGCCTCTGGGCCATGCAGACACTGTCCTCCAGGCAGTGTCAGGGGTGGGTGACACCTGTGGCATGGGTCTCAGGCTGGACAAGTCATTGGTTAGCCACTCCCACAGTATCTGCAACACCTTTACCCCGACATATCCCATAGGCAGGGCAGACTGTAGATTGAAGGTTATGTGGCTTGGTTGGTGTCCCAGTCCCTCCACTGGAAGTCTTGCCTGGTCACAGGCGACAGCTGCTTCAGGCTATGTATCCCCTATTGCCTCATTAGTCTTTACTCATTCTGTTACTAATGGAGCTCTCTCTTGTCTTTGATATTAGTGTCCATTTTGGAGTTGAAATTTTGGTCCTTCCATTTTCATCTCATTCTCCCACCTTCAGTCTTATTCCTGTCTAATTTTCATTTTACCTGCTGTCTCTAGAAAATCCTGTCTGTATTTATACCTTTACCAACTAGTTACATGCAGATAAATTTTATGTAGATCTCTGTTCTGTGTTATGGGATGGGATATGCAAAGGGCTGATAAGACATTTCCATTGGATATTACATAGAAAGGAAGCTTTGGGGCATATTTAAAATGAAATTTCATGGTTTTCTGCCTGCCTACTAGTTCTTCATTCCCTGCCTCATGCATGCTCTCACCTAAGTTATTAATGGAGCATGCTTTATTCTTGCTCTCTCATATCACTAGCTATCTGACTCATTCACTCTTTAATACCAGTTCTACCTCAAATTACCATACATAGAATGGAAAGGTGAATGCAGCAATATGTACAAAATAAGTGCAACAGATTACTAATAGTCAAATCTAGATAGTGAGCATAAGTTGTTCACTATATGCCTCTTTCAACTCTATGGTATACTTGTAACATTTCAAAATAAATGATTTTTAAAAATTTATAGTCTCAGGCCACCAAGATAGATCAGTGGATAAAAGATGCTTGCTGCCAAGCCTGCAGGCTGAAGAAAACTGACTCCTAAAGCTATCTTCTGACACCTGGGCACGTCTCATACACACACATATACATACATACACACACAGAGAGAGAGAGAGAGAGAGAGAGAGAGAGAGAGAGAGAGAGAGAGAGAGAGAGAGAATAAATGTATAATCTCCTGAGGATTTTTGTTAGTTTCTTGGACTTTACCTACATTTAAGCCCACCTTTGTATTCATGTTTAACAGTTAGAAGCTATGATTGACATTGTGAGGGAACAAATGATGTTTTGGACAAAGATTGATGACATTTCTAGAGTTAAGAACTTCAGAGAATTAACCTGCATAAATGGGAATATTTATCATGCTTGCAAGGAAGTATCATAGCCCAGAAAGATCATAATTTTCCCAGGTTGGCTCAGTGGTCAAGAGACAGTTTACTAACAACAATCCTTGAAAATGAAGGATTATGCAATTAAAGTTAACCTAAATAATGATGCATTACATAAAACTGTAGCTACTTTCTGAGTCATTATTTAAAATTTATTCGCTTGAATTTATGTTTTCTTACAGCTCAGGGGAAGACTGATTTTGACTCACTGGTGAATATACTGCAAGTTGCCTCAGGTCAGTGAGAAGTTGTGTAAAGGCTCTAAGTCTTTATACTAAGCTATAATTTATTTGATAAAATTTTATTGAGATATGAGATAAAATTATTACATAGGCACATATAACCAGCTTTAAGTTTATCATCAAATGAACTTATCTATATTCCTACTTAACCTCCACTTAGGTGATGAGGTAGATAACCAATAATATGGAAAATTCTTGTTTCACTTCTTAGTCATTTCCCTTTGCTATTCGGAGGTAATTATAGTTGACCCTCACACCCATGATTTCTACACAGTGATTCAATCATATGATCATAAGCATTTGAAAATTTGTGTTAAAAGTAAAGACTTCTAGTGACTCAATAATATTATTCTCTCACATGCTAATATTCCCTCAATTATTTATATGGAATTTACATTTCATTAGGCATTACCAATAACATAGAGTTGTCTGAAAAGACAAGAGATGTTATGTATTGGCTATATGTAAATGCTGTATCATCTTACATAAATCTTAAAGATTCAGATTTTTATAATATTTTTTAAAAATCACTTATTTTTGATTATCATATAATAATTGTGTTTACTTATGATAAGTTGATACTTCAACACATGTAAACAAAATGTACAGACCAAATCAGGGTAATTAATATTCCAATCTCTTTGTAACTTCTTTATATTTGGAATTTTCTGATTCTTATAGTTACTCATAATGTATAAAATATGCTCTTGTGAACTATAGTCACTGCAGTGTGTAATACTAGAATTTATTCTTTGTATTTGTTTTGATACCATTATTAAGCCTCCTATTATTTTGCCCCTGCTATTTTTCCTAACTGATAATCTCTATTCTACAATCAAATAAACTATTTAAAACCTTCTATTTATAAGAAAGACGTGCGGTATTTGATGTCCTCTGTTTCTATCCAGCTTGCTACAAGTGACAGCATCTCATTCTTTATGCCCAAGAATTTTCTGTTCTATATATATGCTCCATCTCTTTATCCATTCACCTGGTCTGTTTTCATACATGGGCTGTTGTTAAATAGTACTGCCACAAAGAGAAGAAGAGAAATATGTGCACTTCTTTGAAACAATGACTTCATCTCTTCAAATATATGCCTAGATTTTTTTTGCCAGTACCATGCTACATTGGTTACTGTGGCTCTGAAGTATTTCTTGAAACCAGGTTTTTATGGTGCATTGAACTTTGTTTTTGCTTTTTGTTTTTTATGTTTGAAACTGCTGGGCTATTTGTGGTCTGTTTGCTTTCATGTCAATTTTAGCTTTTTTTTAAAAGTTCCGTGAATAATGCCATTGGTATTTTGCTGGAGATGGCACTGAATATATACATCACTTTGAGTGATATGAACTTTTCAGTCTTATTGTCTTCTAATGCATGTAAATTCTTTACTTCTTTTGTCTTTTTCAATTTTTTGCATCAATGTTTGATGATTTTCATTGTGGAGGCCTTTCATTTCCCTTGTTAAACTTACTCCCATGCTGAATCTGTCACTATGAGTGGAATTGCTTTCATAATTGTTTTTCCAAAAAGATTATTATTGGTTTACAAAAATGCTATTGATTATTTTGTATGTTGGTTATGTATCCCACAACTTGGATGAATTAGAAGAAATTCAGTCATTGTTTCTAATACTTAGCTTCATTTTAGGCCTTTTGCATATAGAATTGTAACACCTGAAAACATGTGTAATTTGATTTTAACCCTCCTATTTGTAGGATTTTTATTTTTTCTCTTGCCTAGTTACTCTAACACCTCCCAGACTATGTTGAAAATAAACAGAGGACACAGATTCCATTGTCTTATTCCAGATTGTACATGAGCTTTCTGTTTTTGTTTTTTTGTTGTTGTTGTTGTTGTTCAGTACAAGCTAACCATTGGTTTGTCATAAACAAAGCTTTATGTGAAGTGGGATCCTTCTATTTGAAATGTTTTACCATGATGGAATGCTGAATTTTGCTAAATGCTTTTTTTCCTTGAATTTATTGATATTTGACTAGATGATTTTTTCTTTTTATTCTGTTGATATAATAAATATTCTTTCATTTACAGGCCAAACCCATTTAATCATGGTGAATAATCTTTTTGATGTTGGATTTTATTTGCTAATCATATTTTGAAGAGTTTTGTAATGATAGTCATTTTAGAAATGTTGGCCTTTAGCTCTCTGTTTCGGCTGTTATGACCTTGTCTTGGTTTATGCCAGGTATAGAATGAGTTTAGAAGAGTTGCCTTCCTTATACTTTTATGGAATAATTTGAGAAAAGTGATTATTAGTTCTTCCTTTAAGGTAGACTTTAACATTGAAGTTGAATAGTTCTGAATTTTGCTTTGCTGAGAGACTTTTCATTACTGATTCAATTTCCTTAACTCATCTTTGGTCTGTCTGGGTTTCTCTGTTTTCATGACTCAGTTTGGCAGGTCATATGTGTTCAGAAAATTTTCCATTTAAGTTTCCTAGTTTATTGAAATGCAGATGTTCGTAGTGGCCTCTAGTAATTCTTTGCAATTATCATATCATTTTAATGTCTTTTTTTGTTTATAATTTTATCTGAATCTTTTTTAACTTGGCTAGTCTATGTAAAAGATTTTGAATTTTGATGTCTTCTGTAAAAAAACAATTATTGATTCTACTCATGTTTTGTAATTTTTTAGTCTGTATTTTGTTTTCTGTTCTAATCTTTGGTTTTGATTTTCTTCCCTTACTTTTGGAGTTTGTTTGTTCTTTCCTTTCTGAGATGATATGCTTGATTAGGTGTTTATTTGAAATATTTCTCTTTGATTTTGGTGTTGGTACTTACTGGTGTAAACTTTCTCCTTCATAGGCCTTTTGTTTCATTGCTGTGTGCCATGAGCTGTGCTTCTACTTTCACTTTTAGTGATCCACTACTTATTAAATAGCATGATAAATAATCCACGTATTTGAATAATTTCCAAAGTGGCCAGTGTTCTAAGTTTCTGATTTTGTCCTTTTGCCATAAAAGATAAGTGATATGATACAGTTTTTAGGAAATGTATTGAGAGTTGCTTTATGATGTGATGATACAATTCTTTCTTGAAGAATATTCTGTGTTGACGAAAATAATGGGTACTCTTCAACTGTCAGATGAAATACCCTGTTGGTGTCATTAGGGCTAAGATATCATCTGACTCGTGTTTCCTCATTGATTGTTTTGTTCTGAATTGTTTGCCCATTGATGAGCATGGGTATTGAAGTCTCTCCATATTATCATACAGCTATCTACCACTCCTTTTAGATAGAATAATGTTTGTTTCATAAAATTGTTAGCTGGATGTTGGCTATGTATACATTTTGAATTGCTACGTATGTTTAAAATGATCTCTTGATCATAATATTGTGACATTATTTGTCCCTTTTTCAGTTTTAAAATTTTAAAATTATTATCTTATGTATATGGGCATTTTGCCTGCATATGCACTTGCTATATATTTGTCTGATACCCACAGAGACCAGAAGAGCATATTGGATCCCCTGGAACTGGAGTTAAAGATGGTTTAGAGCCACTCTGTGGGTGCTGGGGATTGAACTTGGGTCCTCTAGAAGTACAGCCAGTGCTTGTAACCACTCAGTCAGATCTCTACCACTGTGGTATTTGTCTTAGAGTTTACTTTGTCTAGATAGTGTGAAAACTCCTGCTTAATCTTGACTTCCATTTGTGTGAAGTATCTTTTTCTCTCCTTTTATGTTTAGTTTGTGCATATCTTTACTGGTGGAAGCAATTTCATATAAGCAGAATATTTCTGGACTTGGGTTTTATCTGCTTTGGGTTTAAATCCATGTAACCTGTCAATGTTTTTGAATCAGAGAATTTATTTCATTTAAATTCATGGAAATTATTGCTGGATAACAACTTAAATAGTGCAAGTTAATTATCGGAAGCAAAGCAGCAGGGGTGGGTTTAGATATCTGTCCTCTGTGGAGTTTTTGTCTCTCCAGTATTGCTGGTACCTACTGCAATGAGCCTACCGGGACTCTCTCTCTTTTTCTGAAATATTAGTCCTCTGATTAGAGAACAAGAATTATAGCTTCTAGATTTTTTTCCAGTCTCTATCCTGCTGTCCTGTTCACAGGTATTCATGCCTATAGGGCTCCCATCTCTCCTTTGCTAGATTCCAGTGATAATTTTCTCAAAAGGTGGCTATTTGCTGTTGTCATCTCTTTATTTACTAAGGAGATGAGCACTAGACATCTGTCTTAGTTATTGTTTCTATTGCTGTGAAGAGACACTATGACCATGGTAACCATGGTAACTCTTTTTTTTTTTTTTTTTGGTTTTTTACGAGACAGGGTTTCTCTGTATTGTTTTGGAGTCTATCGGTCCAGCCCGGCCTCGAACTCTCAGAGATCCGCCTGCCTCTGCCTCCCGAGTGCTGGGATTAAAGGCATGCACCACCACCACCCGGCCCATGGTAACTCTTATAAAGGAAAACATTTAATTGGAGCTGGTTTAGAGTTTCAAAGGTTTAAACCATTATCATTATGCTGGGACATGACAGTATGCAGGCAGACATGTTACTGGAGAAGGAGTTGAGTGTCCTACATCTTGGTCCACAGTAACAGGAAGTGTACTGAACCAGTTGTAGCTTGAGCATAGGAGACCTGAAAGCCCACCCTCACAGTGGCATACTTCCTCCAACAAGGTCACACCTACTTCAACAAGGCCACATCTCCTAGTAGTGACATGTCCTATGAACTTATGGGGCTCAATTACATTCAGACCTCCACAGCATCTCTATTCAAGAGTTCAGAAACTACTTCCATAGAGACCTAGAGACTACTACACTGAGTCAGACCACAGAATTATTCATTTTCCCAATTTTCAACTCTTTATAAATAGAGTCCCAAATCTATAGTCCACTATTTCTAATTTGTCAATTACTTCTATTAGCCTGCTAATTTTATTGTTCATTCTTTTTAATTAGTCCATTATTTTTAATTTCTAATGAATCTCAGAGAATATCATATCACATGTTGACTTTTTAAGTTAAGCATTATGCATGTGTTATTCTCTGAGCTTCATTTACATTGTTGCATATAGTCATGATTATTGACTTTCATTGTTGTATATTACAAATAAACTGTAATCAAATAGGAATCTGTAAGGATTTTATTTGCTACATGGAATGATTTTTAATTAGATTATTTGCCTTAGTACATTTCTGTAATATTCCATTATAATTTCAATTATATATTTGGTATGTATAAACATACAAAAATTTGTTCTTGTATTCTATTACCAAGGATTTTTTTCCAGTTTGAGGCAGTTATAACCCATATACTGAGAAAACTACCCTTTTATATGCATTCTGATGAATGTATGTGTTTGATTCTCTAGTCAGATATTTTTCTTGTAATGTTAATGTTGTTAGATTTTGAGATATCCTGATCTATAAAATTAAAATAGAAAAGTTTTCCTTCTTTTCTGTTAGCTGGAGGACTTTGTGTTTAATTGCATTAGACATGAAACACTGTGAGACATTTCTATTTGGGAAGATTTAAACTACCAGTTGAGAAAAGATAATAAATATAAGACTAGACTATCAAGATATGTCTCTTCCATCATTGCCAAATAGTGTTTTGTTAGGACTTTATTCCTTAATTTTAAATAGTGAAATCACTTGTATAATGATCATAATGCTGTCATAAGTATTTTAGTATCTGTGGGATTGGTAGTGATGTTTTCTTTGTCAATGGTGATAGCCCTCATTTGTGTTTTCTTTAACTGTCTTTTTCTTATTTCCATTTTTTTCAACACTCAGCTTTGAGCGTCATCAGTTCTTCCTGTTTAAACTTTCTTTTTTGTTTTGGTAATCCTGACTTTCCTTCTATTGTCTATTTTCTACTATTTTTAGAGGAGAGTGTTTGCTGTTCTTTTCTATTTTTTTAAGAGTAAAACTAAATTATTTGTCTTTTCATCTTTTTAGCAGATACATTTAAAGCTAATTTTTCTCGATATGTCTTTGTTTTAGACCACACTTTGGTCATTAGATCTAACACATATTCTTATTCCCACTTAGAATGTATTTGATGTAGGTTTATTTACAAACATTCTCTTTACTTTTTAAGTATATGGAAATTTTTTTAAATCTTTCACTCTTGATATCTATCCTAATTACACATATATTACATAATATATGTATAATTTACATATATAAATACACCAAATTGCATATATGTTTGTACCAATTTTACAAATAACTTTTAAGTAGCTTGAACTTTAACTGTTTCATAACCATCATTGTGGTGTTAATTTTCTAGAATTAAAATAATTCTCTGTATCTACAACTTAATGCTTATTGTTTCCTTAAAAATTTGGGATTATAATAATTAAGAAAACATTTCTATTTCTCTGTTTTTACTCTGGAGGAGGAAAAATTTGTGTCAGTGATGTGGAAAATGCCATAAAAGATATGGAGAGAGAGAGAATGTCTAGAGAACAGCTGGAGCAGGAGAAGTCATTTCCTGATGGTGAACATTTCCAATATTAGATTAAGTTTCAAAACAGTTGATATGTCTTGATAGTCATGAATGGAGTTATTCAGCATTACCAATGTCTGTAGAATTATAAGGGAGCTATGGTTATACACTTAGAAATTTGCATTATCCAATTACCTATGATAATTATGTAATTTATAAATAGAAGATAATACTAAATATCTAAATCTCAGATATAACTAACTTTAGTATTTAGATTGTCACTTAGTAAAACATATACCTGTTTTTTTCAAATCATAAATATTCATCAGAGATAAGGAATGCTTATGATTATACTTCATGCAATTGAGTTGTGCTGGGTTAAGACCTACAGGGAAATAGAAGGAGGAAGACAGTTATGTGAATATACTAATAGCGGAAAGGTGATTGTAGTAGGAAAAATATGAATCAGGAAGTGTTTTAGCATGACTCTACTTGGTGTTAATAATTGTCTCAGGTGCTAAAGAATTGACACAGTTACCATAGTAAGAATTTGATCTATATATTATTTTTGAGGTGGGTACATTCTAGGAACATAATAATTTCATAGTTTGCATTTGTGCATGTAAGACATTTTGTTTACTTTAGCATAATAACTCTTCTTGGCCATCATTTGGGATATGGATTTCCTAATAACTAATCAAGATGTATATAATAGGCTACAACAATGTGTGAAAGCTATTGAAAGTGAAGAAAACACAGATTAAGAACCTAAGAGGTGGAGAGATGGCTTAGGAGTTAAGAACCCTGGCTGTTCTTCCAGAGGACCTGAGTTTAATTCCCAGCAACCACGTGGTGGCTCACAACCATCTATAATAAGATTTGGTGCCCTCTTCTGGCCTGTAGGCATACTGTATACACAATAAATAAATTAGGAAAAAACTTTTAGATTGGCTATCTAGCTGCTACAAATAACCTTAGTTACTTTTTAATTCTCTTTTAACATGTAGTTTTTCATGTACTTATTTTCAGTAGTAAAGTAATCAAATAGACTTATTTCAGTTTACTAACAACTCACTCAAACCCTTAAGGACCTTGCTTGAGGCACCTTTTATGGTAACATGATAAGCATGGTACAAAAGATGTATATTTACTTTATTTTGGCTTGTATTTTAACCTCATTATTACTGTGTCTTTTGAAGGGATGCAGGTGGATGTCCGTGATCTTGACAGTCTACTTGGAAACATGGCTTTCAAATTAACACCTGAGAAATCAACCTCAAAGTCTCCAGTTTATGGTAAGTGACTCCATAGCATTGTACCCGCAAGAGAATTTGGGGTTTGAAGCTGATGTTTTCGATAGTGTTTGTTTAGTTTTGGTAAGACTAACTTTCCTTTTAATTTAGTAGTGTAAAGTGCTGCTTTTCACCATCCATCCATTCATTCATTTATTCACCAAGTTTTTGCTGGGCACTTAGCTAAACATGGCTACTTGTATTTGCATAGTACTTACATTGTATTAGGTAGTAAAGTTTATCTAAAGATGAATAAAATATCTAGAAGGATGCATATAGGGTGTAACTAAATATTGTACTGTTCTATATAGGGTTTGAACATCCCTGTCTTGTTTTCTGCTGCTGGTCCTAGACCAATCATCCAAGGAATGGCTAGACTTATAGCTACATGGTCTTTTGCTTCACCCATAATCCACAGGTCATTCAAATTCAGGAAATGCCTTCAAGATCCACTTGGCATACACAAGAGCTATGTCTCTTATCTAACACTAAAATGTAGTGTGTGTGTGTGTGTGTGTGTGTGTGTGTGTGTGTGAGTGAACTGTGCCAAATTCACAATATTTCCAAAAGTATTTCTTTTGCTTTGAAGGAAGAGATGATGGTGTCAACATGAAAAAAATTTCTAAACACAAGGAAATAGAACCTAAAATTCAGAAATCCTCAGAATGGGTGAATGACCCGCTGATTGAAGGTGAGACTATGAAATGACAAGTTGTTTTCTTCAGAGGGATTTATATGTTCATTTAGAAGATTTTCTACAACTCAAATCTTTTTTATTATTAAATAGCTAATGTGCTAGCTTTAGTTTAGTTTTTTAAATTTGTGACTTTCATACATGAGTACTATGTATTTTCATCATATCTACCCTACCTTTCCCCATCCCCTCCTGTGTGTCTCCCCAACCATCTCTCATATTAATGTATTTATCTACAATTGTGTATTGCATAGATATGTATTTTTGCACATGAATGACCTACTGAGACCAGTCAGTGTTGTCCATGTGTACTTGGGTGTAGAGTTGACCACTGGGGCATAGGTAGCCTACCAGGCATCCTTGTCCTTGAAAAAACTGACTTTAGGTAGCTCTCAACTACCTAAAGCTCTTCAACTGGAGATGGGCCCTGTGTGCCTTTACCTCATTTGTAGCAGGAATGTAGACTGGTATACTCTTGTACAGGGATCATATTGTTGGGACTTTCCTGGGTACAACATCCCTGTCAGGTCATGAATACACTGTTTCACTCCTAGTCTTGTGGATCTGTAAATCTTTCTTGTTCCTCTTCTGTGCTATTCCTTGAGGTCTGGGTATAGGGATTGTGTTATCATTATTCCATTTGGGAATAGGCACTCAACAGTTACTTATTCTCTGCACTTGGGTTCATTATTCTTTGTAATAGCTTCTGTCTGCTGCAAAAGCAGCTTCTTTGGTGGAAGAGTGAGAGCCATAGTAAGATATAAGTATAAGGAACAGTAGTTGGAAGGCAATTAATCTGTATCTGGTTTTAACATGGTTGCAGTAGGCTCTCCTCTAGAGCCACTGACCTCTCCAGCCACAGATTCTTGGTTAGGCTGGAGTTCCTTCCTATTATATGGACTTTAACACAATCAGACAATTTGTTGGTTACTCCTGATATTTTAATGCCACTATTGCACCATTAGGTATTTTTTTTTTACTGGAACACTTGTTATTGCGATTTGAAGGCTCTGCAGTTGGGTAAGACTACTGATAACATTTCTCCCTCAGCAGCTTTTGTAGCACTTTCCAACACTGCTAAAAGCTAATTGTCACCAAGTGTTGGTGGAATAAACTTTTAATCCTAGCACTCAGGAGGCACAGACAGGTGGATCTCTGTGAGTTTGAGGCTAGCCTCATCTACAGAATGAGTTCCAGATCATCCAGAGCTACTCAGAGAAACCCTATCTTGAAAAAAAGAAAAACAAACCAACATGAAGCTAGACACCAGTGAAGAAGGCTTTTACGTCAGTAATAGCTTGATTTCCCCAAGCCCTTTACCACACCATCCTATTTCCTATTTAACTAGAGAATCCCTCCAAAAAACTTCTAAGAAGCATTATTGTTTTATCTTAAGAAATGCTAAGGAATGAGTACTTTTAATTTGAGAAATCTCACCATAAATGAGACATAGTGAATCTTAACTCATTGTATTGGTGAGCTCAGCTAGGGTTACCCATATAAGACATGGACAAGACTGGGCCTGTCACTATTTCATCATGCCTGGGGAGAAGCCCATGAGACCCCACTCCTCACTGAAGGGAGCCTGTGGGTTCTTAGTGGGTCTAGGGGATGGCTGACATTTTCCTCACTGGTGAAGCCCCTGATAAGTTGCTCATGTTCCAGTCAATAAAGTCCTGTAACAAGTATTCTTCCTGCAAGCCTTGTTCCAGAGCCACATCAACCCCAAATAACACAGAGACTATATTAGCTACAATGTTGTTGGCCAATGTCCAGGGATTCTCATTGACTAGTTCTGTCTTAAGTATTAACCCATAACTACTAATACTGTATATTTCTATAAGGTCTTATCTTACCTAGGAAGCCAGCCTCATGTGTCCTTTCTTCCCGGGATCACATGGCAACTCTCTACTCTTGACTACATTTCCCAGACTCATCCTCAACTCCTAGTCCTACCTATCTTGCTTCCCTATTTGACAACAGTGCTTTATTTATCTAACAATAAGACAAACATATACACAGAAGGACTTCCCCCATCAAACTCCCACTCATGCAAACAACCTTAATTAAACTCAGTGGGGGAAAATACTGGGTAAGTTAGAAGGGGGTTTGTAGAAGGTTTCTGTGCAAGAGACTGGTAATTTTTGGGGTGGGCCATGAATTTGCCCAAAACTACAAATTCATCCCCTCAAAAATTCTCAAACATATGCTATCTTAAGAACTCTATATCCATTCACCTAAATGTATGCAACATATGTTGGTGCAACATAACCCAGAAAGGGAATCCAGGATAGACCAAACTAATGATTTCTCCAAAGTCTAGCTTTAATTGATAAATTTATTGGGGTTACTAAGAGGAGTATGAATGAGGAATTTCTTAGAGGACCTGGGATGACTTAAAAAGCATTAGCTTCATGGAAAAGCTCACCCCAGCACAGGTGAGTCTCACAGAAGCTGTGACCTGGAACTCTCTGCATAGTTTGTAGGTGGCTGTGAGGGTCTGGGAGATAGCCTCTCAGAGTAGAGTTGATGGAGTCTGATTCCCTAAGTTGTCAAACTGAATAGGAGCCTCCAAGAATCATGTCGGTTCCTGCTCTCCCAGACATGTGATATTTTGTTTGCCTCCTAAATCTGAAGAACCTTCCCCTTCCTCCCAGAGGGATATCTCAATTCTGAGGAAACCTCCATACAACAGAGTGTCCATATTTGTGAGTGTACGTACATGCAGGTGTTCACCCAGAGGCTAGAAGGGAGTGGGGTATAGTTCTCTATCATTCTTCACCTAATCTTTGAGCAGGGTCCCTCTGTGAGTCGGAGGCTTCCATTTTCTCAGGTGGCCTGGAAGCCAGCAAGCCCCAGATTCAGAGCTGGCTACAGGTGTTTGTGGGTACCCAGCTTGCTATGTCAGTACTGGAATCTGAATTCTGGTCCTCAAGACATTGCAACCAGAACTACTTATATTTGAGCCACCTCTCCAGCTGTAACTTCTGTCACTGTGATAATCAGTTCCCAATGACCAGAGAGGAGTCAGGGGAATAAGAAGAGAATAAGATGGAAAAAATTAAATAAAAAATCAGGTTAAGAGACATACAGCCCAGACTGCAGTGAAGGATGAACAGTTACTCCACAGGAAAGAAATCTGGAAGCTCAAGTGACTAGTAGTGGTTTCTGTTATGTTTAAAAGTATGAAATCTGTGACTTTTGTACTCTAAACCGTAAAATACTCTTGTGTTTTGCTCTCTCAGGTTGTCCCAAAATAAGCTAAAAGGAAATAGGTTTTATTTTAACTATCTTATTTTCTTCTGGAGAACAAGAAAATCCAAGTTATAGTTCTGATAGTCATATAAAAATATTAAATTATGATACAAAGAAATAAATTGTATATCTTACTTTATTAACACTTGCCAACCAAGCTAATAATACCAGAAATGGATGTGTTTTTAAAAAAATATTTGTCTCTTTTACCTTCCATTCCTCTTGCCTTTCTGAGGAGGAAAAATTGATATGCGCAGTTTGGACAACATTCTGGGGAAGATGAAGACTGAACTCTCAAAGAAAGAATTCAAGAGATCGACAGACAGCCTTAAGGGTGAGTGTCACAGAAACAAGTCCTTTTGAAGAGTCTGTATCTGTGACCATGCATATGAGTTTTCTAGAACTAGTGTCCTTTGTATCAAAGGGCATTTTGGAAAACTTGGGGAAGCACTTATTCCTCAGATGAAGTTGAGTTTTAGTTTTCATTAAATAAAAAATCTTCAGGACTAGCAAGAGGGCAGAATGAAAGTATCTTCCATTCATTGTTTCATTTGACACTTTCCTTCAGAAAAAAACTTTGTCTTCATGTCTTATATCCTGAAAATGTTTGGATTTATTTGTGTATCTCTATATGTGTTGTGTGTACTCATGTTTGTGAATGCGTGTGTGTGTGTGTGTGTGTGTGTGTGTGTGTGTGTAGATTTGGTGTAAATGTTTGCATAAGCCTATGGCAACCAGAGGAAGAAGACAACCTTGGGTGTTTCCTCAGATGCCATGGATTATTTATTTTAGGATCCTTAGAAACATTTTTCAAGATTTATTTATATTATGCACATGGTTTTGACTGCATGTATGTGTGTGCCTATGGAGGCTGGATAAAAGCATCAGAACCTCTGGAACTGAATTTGCTAGAGCTTCCACGTATATGCTGGGAATGAAACCCTAGTTCTTCCAGGCAGGTCTCTCATTGGGCTGGAGCATGCTGGGTAGACCAGGCTGGATTGCACTGAGTCCCTGTGACCTGCTTGTCTGCCCCTCCCCAGTGCTGAGACTGCAAGTGTGTACTGTTGTGCCTGTTATGTGTGTCCTGGGGATTGAACTCAGGTCGATGAACTGAGTTCTCTTCAACTGTGTCTTCTCCTGTTATGCCTCTTAATTTATGTCTTATATTCCTGTGATTGATCTTAGACATCAGAGCAATTGATAGAAACCAAATTATTCTTTATTACTGGGGCATTTGACCAAGGAAGTGCTTTGCTTCTTACACTGGGTTTTAGAGATTGTATGCGAGACATGTCCAGTTGTCACAGTTGTTATGTGGGTAGGTGCTTATTAGCATTAAATTTCTCATGTATGAGGAGTACTGGATACCCTGAATTCATGTGACCTTTTAGCGCAATGAAAACTGTTCTGTGGTAAATTAGAGTAATGTGCGTTGCAATTGGGAACCCTATGCACTAAGCTGGCTGCTGTTTCTGTTTCATTGTCCGATCACTACAAGTTAAACCTTGGGAGTTAATTCTCACTCAGCCTTCTCCAACTTGATTCATAGCATTGCAAATGAGCATTGCCCTTCCTTTATAAAATGGGAAATTATATCCTTATTTTCATTGTATGGATGTTTTGCTTTCATGTATGTCTGTCTGTCACTTATGTGCCTGGTGCTCGTGGAGGTCAGAAGAGGTCATTAGATGCTCTGGAACAGCAATTACAGGTGTTTGTGAGCCATTGTGTGGGTATTGGGAACTGAACCTGGGTCCTCTGCAGGTACAATCAGTGCTCTTAACCACTGAGCAATCTCACCAGTCCTGATAATGTGAGCTTTTAGCAGAGACTGTGCTGGGTTTTATGTCATCTTGGCAGAAGCTGGCTCACGTGGCAATTTTCAAAGGTCTGGGTTCTGTGTTCAAGGGCCAGTGACTCCCTCATAGTTTACATTAAGCACAGATAAGCAATCACATTAAACATTTGATTCAATGTGATGAATTAAGATATGGTGACTTGATTGAAAAATTTTAAACTGATGTAGTGTACATTCTATAATAAAGTGTGAGGTGTTTATATTATCTGAGTTTGTTGTAGTTATTGAGTTTTGGGCAAACAACTACATAACTAGAGGCAATAACAATATTAAACTGTGCAATTTATTGTTTTTAAATTGTATTCAAAGTTGAATGACTGCCACTGTAACCTACTGTTAGAATATTTTCATCTGCTACAAAAGAAAACTCTTGCCTTATAGCCATCACTCTCCTGTTTTCTTACACCGCCTCCCCCTCTCAAGCCCAGGCCTCTGCAAGTCTTTTTCCTCTGCATGTGTCACCTATTCTGGATGTGTCCTATATTGGAGTATTACAGACTTTCATGACTGGTTGATTTCACTTAGTGTATCTTTTGTAGGCTCATCCATATAGCAGCACGAGTACTGCATTCCTTTTTATTGCTAAGTCATATTCCTCTGTGGATACAATTCCTATTGTTTTTATGTATTTATCAATTGATGGAAACTTAGATCATTTTATTTTTTGTCTATTGTGTTGTTTTAATTATTTGTGTACAGTTTTTGTATGAAAATATTTTCATTATTCTTCCACATGGAATTGTTGAATCAAATGGTAAATGTGGCTAACTTTCCAAGGAACTATACAATTGTTTTTTCAAATGTTCCATATTTACCTTCTTGCTAAAATGTGTGGAGGTTTTCTGATTCTTTTTATTATCTGTCCTACAATTTGAGCATACTAGCAAGTGTGGAGTGTGTAGATACCTGTTCCTAAATTCAGTTAGTGTTTTCGCAATAATGTTTTTATTATCTGTCTCTCAATTCTGGCTTTTCCTATAGCAAAAGAAAAGACTGATGTCAGCGAATTAGTGGATATGATAAAAGCTGAAAAAGGTTAGTGAGAAAATACCGTGAGTCTAAAATCCTGTTTCTCTACCCTAATTTTAACATACTGAGTTATTCAATCATCTGTTTATTATTCTTTTTAACATTTGTATTATGGAAATTCATATCTAATGTCTTAGGACCTTATTATATATTGCTTAATTAAGCAACGCTTTATGAAATGGTGATGGCATCTTCTTTACCCAAGGAAGGTTTTGCTATTACTGCCCTTCCTCATGCATAGGCCCAGAGAAAGCATTATCTGGGATAAAACAATGAATTTTGGCTGGGTATGGTAGTGCATGTCTCTGTGTATTCAAGGCCAACATGGTATGCAAATGCAAAGTGATTTCCAGAATGACTAAGATTACTTAAATGAGACCCTGTCTCTGAATAAATAAATAAGCACAGGCTGTCTCATAATTACAGAAAACAATTGGTCCTATACACTACAGCATCATTAAATAATGTCATATATTACTAGGAATCAGAAAGTAAATCACATTTCCATGGTTATTACTAACAGATGGGTAGGCATCATTGTGCTCTTACTGTTCATACAGCAGTTAGTACTGGGTAAGCGTGAACATCAGTGTGTGGTTAGAGTTCTTAGGTCTTATTAAAAAAGTCTTATTCATCTTATTCATCTATATTTTCTGCCATTAGAAGGAGAACCGATTGGTGTTACTCAGATAAGAAGCATCCTGCACTTAAGGGACCTATCTAGAGAAAGCATGGATCTAACAAATAATTCTGTTGATGGTAAGAATATTAAATTGCATAAAATTTAAGATAATTTGTAGTTATACCTGTTCTGTGAGAATGTTCATCTATCTATTTTACATAAAAATGCCATTTAGTTACTTGCCAAAAATTTTTCAAAAAGTTTTTCATTTTTTAGAATAAAGTTCTAATAGTTCTCCTTTAAAAGAAAGTTCAACTGCATTATTGAAAAGTACTCTGTCAATCACTGATCCTGCCATTAGCCAAAAAACTGCCTTTTCTAACATTAGAAACCAGTGATCAGGCAATCTCAGGATTAGCTAGGAGGAATGAAAGAAATAAATTGAATGGGAATAAATTAAAGAGGAGAAATGAAAGGAATTAGATAGGAGGAATGTTAAGAGGGATAACATAGATGAATGGGTGGAGAGGCCCCATAGAAGGGTTTTCCATTCTAAAATAATATTGTTTATTTGCAATTGTGTCTATCATTCTGAATTATGGCTTTTAAAATGACTCAATGAATCGCTTGCAATCTGATTTGTACCATTCATGCAGATATTCGAGAATTCTACCAAAAGAAATTGGCTGATAGTGTGGAAGCCATTGAAGGTGAGTGAAATGCATACAGGAAAAGTGGATGAATTTGAGATCCCCGAGTTTTATGTTTGTGCAACTTTTTAATAATAGGATTGTGATTTCTGCCACCCTTGTCTGTAATCTTACACTATGTGCACATTTCTTCTAAAAATCTGGATGGAGTTTTGCAGATATCATGTGTGTTCTGTAGTGGAAGGAAAGGAAATAATTAGATACCATGTTGGCTCTTTAAAAAATAAATTAAAACTTTGCATACATTATTATATTGGTTGATAAATGCAGTCTGGGCACTGAGGAAATAAAAACAAATGATACTTCTTGTTCAAAAGCCTTAGATTTGTTAACTATGAATTCCTAAGCAGTGCTCAACCAGCTAGCTAACAAAACGCAGATCAGGAAAGTTACTTTGGGTGTCATTCTGGTGTTGATGGTCATTCTGGACAGACTCTACAGGGCCTTGGTCTTTGTGGGTTAGGATCACTGTAAGGCTCCGGATGCAATGCCTTGAAGTAAGAGAGTAGCTAAAGTTTGCTTACTTTTTTTTCTATAGGAGATGATACTGATGTTAGTAAACTGGAGTCTGTTTTGCAAAATTTGGACATGAAACTTACAGAAAATCAAATGAGGGACCTAAAGGAAAATCTGCAGGTTGATGGTAAGATGTAATTAAATTGCTTGTGAGCATCTGACAATGGTAGCTTTTTCACACAAGTCCTTAAAGTTCTTGTTTTTCAGCAAGTACTACTTCAACAAGCATATAATAGTAAGTTCCATCTTTCGATATTAAAGATTACATTTCAGCAATTTCATTTATCATTATTGATAATATGATCATATCTGCTATTGTCCTGAAGATTTGGTGAAAAGATGAATGTGAAACTGTTCCTTGGGGTAGACATAAATAGAAACAATTTAAATACAGAAAAATTTCAAGAAGTTAGAGACAACAAGAGTAAAAATTTAAAAGTATTATTTATTTATTTGTTTTACATTCCTCCTCTTCTCCTATTCACCTCTCCTCTGCCCCCCCCCACATTCACTCCTCCTCCATTTATATTCAGAAAACGGTAGGACTCCCATGGATATCAACAAAATATAGCTTATCAAGTTTCAGTAAGACTAAGCACCTCTCCTTGTTGTGAGGATGAGAAAGACAACCCAGTATGAGGAATTGGTACCCAAGTCAGCCACAGAACTTCTTGTGTTCTCATAGCAGTCCTGTCCCAAAGAACCAAGGCGCCTTCCCTAACATAGAGTGGTTCTCAATACTTGTGACTGAGTCCAGTGAGCAGAGGGGATCTATTCTGATTGGTCTTTATTTCCCAAGTTTAGCAACTTTACATTTTTTAAGTCTTCGTCAATATAAGTAAACAATGGTTGTTTTCTTTTTTTAACAGATAATGGAAAGACTTCGTTCAGAAATTTGTTGGATACTGTCACATCGGTTGTAGGTAAGTAAGAAATTTCCAGTGCTGGGAATGCAGCTCAGCCACAGAGCTAGCCCTTGCTTACCATGTGCACACCCTGTGTTCAATTCCCAGAACCACAAAAACAAAACAGAAAACGTTCAGTGACTCCATCTGTTGCCATGCTGCTTGCAGGCTTAATTTAAATTATCTACATTTCAACAGCAAATGTTTCTTAAACACGTCACAACAATATTTTAACAAGTTTTAATTCTCTGGAGTATTTCCTACAAACTTTGGTGTGTCTATGATATAAAGTGTAAATGGTCTTAACACACGAGAAGGTGAAGTAAAATAAAAGTAGTCAGTTCCTAATGAAGAGAAACCACCCAAACATTCTATGATGAATACAATATTCTGTGTAAGCCTGAGATTCTTACCTATTTTTCCGATGTTTGAAGCAAAAGATTTAGGTATTGAAGACGTGGAAAGTGTTCCAGAAGATGTGGAGTTAGAACACAGGGATCAAGATAAACTACAACGAATGAAAAGTCAGCTAGTTGACGGTAAGGACTCGCACTGCGGTGACCTCATGGACTTATAATTGAGCACATTTGTGAGGAGAAATATAAAGGGTTTTAACTTTTCAATATTTACCTACAATTATATAAATAAGGTCCTTGCTTTGACATTACATGTTGGCTTATGAATAACCTGTCTTTGTAGCCTATCAATCTGCTAGTAGGACAAAGAATTGTCTACTCTTAATTTATTGGGCTTTTTTTCTAGACATGTTTTCTCAGTGTAGTCCTGGTTGTCTTGGAACTAGTTCTGTAGATCAGGCTGGCCACAAACCCACAGAGATCTGCCTACCTCTGCCTCCTTATTGCTGATATTAAAGATGTATTCCACCACCACCTAGCTCATATTAATTAAATAATTAATCAAACACATATCATATAAATATAAACTATAATATCTAGACTATATTGTAAATACTATATGTGATATCATGTGTATACATACCTAACTATATATATATATAAGCACATATATATATATATATATATATATAGTTTCTATACACAATTAATTGAGACAAGATTTCTCTATGTAACAGCTCTGGCTGTCCTGGAACTCCCTCTGCAGATCAGGCTGACTTGAACTCTGAGATCTGCCTGCTTCTGCTTACTGAGTACAGGGATTAAATGTGTAGGCCACCACCACCTGTATCTTCTCAAAGTTTTAATTCAGTGATAGAATATCCTTAGATAATAAGGAGGAATGGAGGGATGTGAAACCAAAATGGATGAGAACTTTAACTGGAAGTTTAGAGAATAAGAAATCATTAAGAGTGTTTTCTGCAGCATACCAGCTTTAAATGGTTTTTCTCCTGTACTGTTAAAAAAATTTTTTGGCAGTTCTCCAACTTTATTTTTCATTCATCAGGTTAGTTCTCATCCACATTGACTGTCTGTAAATTTTTTAATGTGGTAACAGGCACATAGGTTACCAATGTGTACAACTTATTTGGTGAGTCCTCATCCTTGTTACGTTTTCTGGACAAACGTACACGGATTTGGTATGGAACATTCCTTATTCGTTTGGCCCAGACGGCTTTATTGAGCCTGGATCAATGTGCACATCTGGAGTCTCCATCTCTTTCATGGCAAATTTCCAGATTTCTTTGAGTGCCCAAGGAGCACGCTTCTTGAAGCCCACGCCATGGATGTGCTTGGGAATGTTGATGGTGTATTCTCAGGTCACCACCTCGTTGATGGCAGAACGGCTCTTCTTCTCGCCACCCTTCTCTGCGGGAGCCATTCTGCCAGGCCCAAGTTGGAAAGCTACTGTTAAAATTTTCATTGAAAATAGATTCTTCTCTCATTCTAGTGCTAGCCTTAAATGTAAATGACTGAGCAGAATGACTGAAATAAGTCTTTCTCCATTCTAATGTATTACAATTTTATTTAAACATGACTTGAAATAATTCTGTGGCAGATCATAAGGTCTGAATTTCTGAAATCATATTTTTGTTGTGCAACCTAGCTAATGTGCCCACTGCTCTTTGTGACTGTTTCTGTCCCTAATGAAAATATTTCTGGGAGCAGGTTGAGAGATGAGGTGAAGTCTGAAAAGGGAGTGTGGAAGGTCTGGAGAGGGTTCAACTACAAGGCCAGATACCACTCTCAGAGGACCCAAGTTCAGCTCCCAGCATCTGCATTGGGTGGTTCAGAGTCACCTGGACCTTCAAGGGATCTGACACCCCCTTCTGACCCCTGCAGGCACTGCACTCATATGCACATGCCCCTCCTCAGCCATGCCTGCACACATAACTAAAAAGAAAGTAAGCATTTTGATAGTGAATGACAATCACAAAGGCAGATGCATATGAGATCCATATGATTTCTTTACATACCATATTCTACATTGTTAAGAGAATCTTTTTCTTTGCTAGCCGCTTTGGTTTATCTCCCGCCAGTCGCCTGGGCTCTGCCGCGCCAGCCTGGTTCTAGAGCCGCATTAGTCCCAAATAAACACACAGGAGGCTATATTAATTATGAAGCTGTTGGCCTTGCTTGTCCCTTACTGGCTAGCTCTGCCTTAAGTAATTACCCCATAATTGATAATCTAAGTATGTTTCTTACCAGAGAATAGTTCCCAGCGTCCTACCCCCATGGCGTCACATGTTGACTCTCTTGTCTTTCTCCTTCCCAGAATCCTCCTGGACTCCTAGCCCCACCTATCTAGATTCCTATTGGCCAGCAGTAATTTATTGACATACACAGGACTTCCCCAACATCTCCTCTTTTCTGTTTAAACAAAACGAAAGGTCTTAACTTTAACATAGTCAAATTGTATATGACAGAACAGTTATCAAGTAAGAACATAGTTACAATATTTTAGCAAGATTTAAAGAAAATATCATCCATCCCATCCTTGTGAGTCCAAAGTCCTATATGTAGCTTATCTTTTATCATAACTAAGGAAAACTATAATTATAACTATCTGTCTTCAACTCCATCAAAGACCACAGAAGGATAATATATAAACACTAGGATTAACAGAGATATCTTACTGCCTGGACAGTCACCCGAAGTTCCTCTGTAACGTTGGGGCATCCATCTTCAGCCCATAGGCCACAATGTGTCCAGAAGATTTCTCAGCAAAGCAGGAAATTTCAAACTGTCCATCTGCGTTGGCAGTCTGTCAGTCATTTTTCTTTGTCCTGCAGAACGTCTCCTAGACTCTTCCATGAAGCAGGAACCCTGTAAGACTGAGTTCAGCAGTCACTTTTCTGTGGGTCCTGCATGTCCAGATTATACAACAACAGTCAAACAGTCTAGGCAAGAGCAGTTTCTTGCCCAAATGGCTAATATTGCCATGTTGAAAGCAAACTCCATAACGAGTTTCTTCGATGCCCATTTTCCTCTCAGACATAATTGGTGCTGCCAGGAGCAGACATTTCTCATTGTCAAGAAAAACCCTAAACCATTTTAAATGCCATGTTCTGAAGGTCTTTGAGAGGTTTGAAGACTGTTTATGTCAAATATATTTCTGTATATCTAGAAAACCTAACTTACCTAACTATAAATTCTATTATAAGTAACTATCTATAGTCTGTATTCAATTATGCATTACATTTTAGAAGATCAGTATAAGCACAATACTTAATCAAGAGGAGAAATATAAACATCACAAAATTGACCTTGAATTTGTATCAATAAATGAAAAGCAATACCCATACCATAATTCCCCTTTTTACCATTAAAAAAAATTGGCTGTGATCACTAGCCAATTATAAACAATCCCATTTAAATGAAAACAAAGATTTATAAACAAGATGGGAATTGGGACGTCGCTCATTCCAAACTGCTTCCTGCTGGAAGGGGGCGCTGTTTATACCATGGGGACAATGATAAAACTCAGAAACCTGTATACGTCCGTATTTTCGGGGTTTGTAAAGCTGTATCATCTTAGCTGTCTCAGTCGTTGGAACACCTGGTCCACTGCTTCCGGGGGTCTTGGTTCGTGAAACCACAGAAGCCTGGAAGGAATTCTCAGCTTTTCATTTTCTGTAGAAACATAAGCAAATTCTCCTTTTCCAAGTAACATATCCTTATACTTAAATTTTGAGGTCAAGGCATTTTCAAAAGATATAAGTTGTATTAATTTAGCAGCATTTATAAGCAAGTGTACTTTAGTAGCAGTTCCTTCCTGAGCAAGCAAAAAAACTGAAAAACACAATACCGGACAGTATCCAGACTCTCTGTATTTTTTCCATCTTTGCACGGCTTATTTATTTATCTATTATTACTTTATTTATTTTACTTTTATTTATTTTTCTCTGAGACAGGGTTTCTCTTTGGAAATCTGCCTGCCTCTGCCTCTGGAGTAAATCCTACCGGCGTGCGCCACCACAACGCCGGCTTTTTTATTTATTTACCACTTTGTCGTTTCATTTTCTCTCTCAATCTCACATATATTTTTAAACACACTGTAAACCTTTAGAGGTTTTTCTTTATCCAAGTCTGACTTTACTGTAAATCTTTATGTTTTTCTGACCACCTGTCTTATCTGTAAAACCGCGGCTGTTTTAAACTGCCGGTTTTTCGTCAAGATGGCGGGCGTAAGCGTGATTCCAGCTTACCACCTCAGTCCATGCTGACCTCCAGCAAAAGCTGCCACTTCCAGCTGTACGTACACACCTTTCAATCGTTAGTAGAGTCTCTTAAAACAACCTTGCTGTTTTTTTTTCTTTTTATGGCGAGTCAGGAAGACTCTGGTAAGCGAGCCACGTGAATCTCGGCTTGTCAATAGCAAAACAGAGCACACCTGAGAAAAATGCTGCTACCAAAAATCTGTGCTTCTCTCCGTTCTTCTGTTTCTAAAATTCCTTTAAATCTTTTGTTATTTTTCGTGGAAATTCATGATCCCACTCCCGATCACCATTTTGTTAAGAGAATCTTTTTCTTTGCTAGCCGCTTTGGTTTATCCCCCACCAGTCGCCTGGGCTCTGCCGCGCCAGCCTGGTTCTAGAGCCGCATTAGTCCCAAATAAACACACAGGAGGCTATATTAATTATGAAGCTGTTGGCCTTGCTTGTCCCTTACTAGCTAGCTCTGCCTTAAGTAATTACCCCATAATTGATAATCTAAGTATGTTTCTTACCGGAGAATAGTTCCCAGCGTCCTACCCCCATGGCTTCACATGTCTTTCTCCTTCCCAGAATCCTCCTGGACTCCTAGCCCCACCTATCTAGATTCCTATTGGCCAGCAGTAATTTATTGACATATACACAGGACTTCCCCAACACTACATGTTAAAGTATAGGTCCTTCCATCTCCATATAATAGACCATATGAACAGATCTTTCAATATTGATATGATGAGCTGATTCATTAAATTTCCTATTTTATATTCTAGATTTATGTTCAATACACTCTTTAAATTAATTAGTTAGTTAAGTAATTAACTGTCTATGTGTTGTGTATGTGTGCATGTATTTGGGGGGGGGAGTGGGAACCTGTCTTTGTGGGGCTACTGTCAGAGTTAGCTGGCTTGCCTGGTTCATACCTGAGAGGGGAAATATGGATTGAGAAAGGGTAGGTAAAGACATTAAAAAAAATAGAGACACAAGATAGAGTCAGAAGGACAAACCAATAAACACTAAAAGCCCCTAGTTTATTCTTCAACATTCCTAAGTACCCAACCAAAAGGAGGGGACGTGGAAAAAGACTTCTATTATCATGTATGAGAAACAAATAGACTTACTTCCCTTAATCCTTCAAGAATCTGGTAACCATGCCTGTTATCTGTCTTCAGGGTCAAGAGTAAACACACCTGAGCCCAAGTCTGTTGTTATTTAGACATCTGCTACCAAGGCAGAAACATCCTACAGCAGCCAAACCTTAGACCTTTAGGTCTTTTGACTTATTAAGGTCAGTTTTAAACTCTCTGACCTTAAGACAAGATGGAGAGCAGCCATCTTTATGGGCCCCAACAGGGGTAGGTGTACTTGCCCAAGTGGGCATGTGTAGAGACCAGAGATGGGTGTTCAGGGTCTTCCTTACTCCCTCACACCCTCCCGCACGCACGCATGTATTGCGTGTGTGTGTGTGTGTGTGTGTATGAGAGAGAGAGAGAGAGAGAGAGAGAGAGAGAGAGAGAGAGAGAGAGAGAGAGAGAGAGAGAGAGAGAGAAAGTCTCAATGAACCTGAGGCTCATTGATTTGGCTGGACTAGCTGGCCAGTGATCCCCTAGAATCTTCTTGTCTATGACTACCAGCTTTTAGGTTATGAGAATGTGTTGTAGCTTTCACATGGGTTCTGAGATTCAAATTAAATTCCTTATATTGGGCCTAGAGAGATGGCTCTGTGGTTAAAGTACTGGCTGCTCTTCATAGGACCCAGGTTCAATTCTCATCACCTTCATAGTAGCTTACAATGCAACTACAGTTACAGGGAATCTGACATCTTCATACCAATGTACATAAAATAAATTAAAAGAAAATTCTTATGTTCTTTTGGTTGTGATTCTGGCCTTTGATGGCTGAGCCATCTCTCCAGCCCAAAATTCTTATGGTTTCCAATCAAACACTTTACCCATGGAGCCACCTCTATAGCCCATGTAGTCTTTTTAAAAAGTATTGATTTTATTTGTAATTATTTATTACTATTATTGTTATTATTATATTATATTTGAAGCAGCATTTCTGTATCCCTGGCTGGCTTAAAGCTCTTTATGTAAACTAGACTAGCCTCAAACTTGCAGTGATCCTCATAATTGTGTCTCCCAAATATTGGGAACATAGGCATGCACCACCACACCAGCTTTCCAATATCTTTTTTATTTTCGTCAGGAGAGAAAATGAAAGTCTTTGTCCAAACTTGTAACTTTTTTTTTTTTTGGTTTTACAAGACAGGGTTTCTCTGTTTTGGAGGCTGTCGGTCCAGCCTGGCCTCGAACTCACAGAGATCCACCTGCCTCTGCCTCCCGAGTGCTGGGATTAAAGGCATGCGCCACCAACGCCCGGCCAAACTTGTAACTTTTAAGAGCACTGATTAGCTATTTTTCTTTTATTAAATCTATATGTTATCTTTTCACAACCCCATTATTTCTTTATACTGCTGTTGCTTCCAAAACAGAATAATAAAAATTTAGAAGTCAGTAATAGGGACAGATTGCATACCTACTTATGTTTATTTAAGGCTTTTTACATTTGTAGCTGATGTGTGTTGTGTGTATGGATGGGTACATACAATACAAGTGGAACTCAGAGGATAACTTGTAAGAGTCAGTTCTCTGGACAGTGAGGGTTCTGGAGTGTAAAGCAACCTAGACAACATGTAAAGTTCCAGAACAGCATGGGCTACAAGGAGAGACCTTGTTTCAAAAGCAAAACAAAACAAAAAATAAAAACAGCAACAACAGAAAACAAACAACAAAAAGAACAACTCATTTCTCAGTTGTAGAGCTATATATACAGACACAGCAGTCAAGTGAAAAAACGCATGTCAAGAAGTCATACTTTGGCCGGGCATTGGTGGCACACACCTTTAATCCCAGCACTCGGGAGGCAGAGGCAGGCGGATCTCTGTGAGTTCGAGGCCGGGCTGGGCCGACAGCCTCCAAAACAATACAGAGAAACCCTGTCTCGAAAAAAAAAAAAAGAAGTCATACTTTGTCAGCTCCTCACAGGTCTTCCGATCACATCCCAGCACCGACCACATCCCTCAACAACAAAGATAGCCCCTAAGTTCCATTATATTGAATACTTTCTTTGTTTTTTACCATGTACATTTCCATCATTGGATGCTATGTTTTCTTACTTTTAACAGTATAAATTGGGTTATACATACATATATATATACATATATATATATTCCATTATATTTAACTTTACACCAACCCTGCCTGTATAAGATACAGCTGTGTTTTCATTTTTTTTATAATTAGGATTCCTCCCCTCTAAGAATAGTGATCATACAAATATCCTAGTGCTCTGGAAACATGAGTTTCTAGAGTGCATGTTTAGGACTCACATTGCTAAGGCTTATGTACATCAATTCTGCTTGGTCGGAAGTATTTTACTATATTGGTTGTATCAGACTTAACTGGTGCTTCTAATCTGTTCTAAAACTTGATACTGTCTTTCAAACCTCTGCCAATCTGATTCATGTGTCACTAGTGTGCAGATGTGGCTTTAATTGGTATTTTTCTAATTACTAAGAAGAATGAGTATCTCTTTGTGTCTTGTTGGCCATTTGAGTTTCTTCCTTATGGAAGCACTTAAACAAGTGTTTCAATGAGTACCTATCTTTCTTTATGTTTTGTTATAAGAAACATTCATTTTGTAAGGATCCTATGTTACTATGTATTAGAAATACTTTCTTCCCTTTGTTAGCCTTTTTCTCTTGGTGGTATCTTGATGAATAAAAGTTCTTAATTTTACTGTAGCAAAATTTAATTAGTATATTTTGCTATTCCTTTTTGATGAAGTCTACTCTGAAGCTTTTTTCTTCCGTTTCCTTTTAAAATTTTTATTAATTCATCCTTTCACCAGTAGCTCATCGTTGTGCCTAGAATTAGTGAATATAAAGTAAGATAATAGTCCTTAATAATTTTTTGCATGGGTATCTAATTATGTCATGTGTGATGTGGCATGTCTATAATCCCAGCTCTTGTGAGGTTGCAGCAGGAGGCCCATGAGCTCAAGGCTAGCTTGGATGGCATTGAAAGAACACACATTCCTTTCTCTTACTCTTTAGGAATTTGTTACTTTAAAATTTTAGAAAAACTTGGTTGACATATTTATACATATTAATGAGTAAAATGTGATGTTTTGCTTCATGTGCACATTGGATAGTGATCAGCTAGCATCGTGTTCAACTTGGACATACATATACATATACACACATACATATACATATGCACACACGCACATACATAAGATACACAAACATACATACATAAGGCTTAGGCTGTCCCTTGTTGATATCCATGTCATCTCTGTCATAAATTAAATACCCATAAACAAATGAGAATCACTTAGTCTCACTCTCAATCGGAAGGTTTAGCTAGCCCTTTAGGATTGCAGGAGTCAGCTGTATATGTTTTCCTTTGCTCACTTAGCTACATGAGATTATCAGCATCAAAGACCAAAATGGGATTGAGAAAATGCCTTCAGAACGTATTTATGGTGTTCTTTCCTACTTTCTGTTAGATTGGGGAGTGGTCATTCCTACTTTGTGGCTTGGAAGAATACACTTCAATCATTTTTTCCAATATTCCAGTTTCAGCAGGATGGTTCATCTAATTAGCAGTAGAAACAGAATTTGATGATAGATTTTAATTAGCAATAGAGGTTTTGAATCATGAAGTTCAGAAAACTAGCTCAGAAACTATTTCAGAAAACCACCCATCATCACCGCTAGCTATTTACTTTAGCCTTTTTTGTGGATGATTTGGCAGTTGCTCAACTCAACCATGTAGAGCATTTCAATTCTAGTTCCAACACCATTATTGACCCTACTTCTTATATATAAACAGGCTGCTGAGCCTTGATCTTTATGAGATTTATAATCATAATACACAGTGATATTAATGGTATTAATGATCACATTACAGCATCACTGATTTTCCTCATATTCTCTTTTTCTAAGAATGGATTCCTGATTCCAAAAGTATGGATACTCTTATACAAAGTGTGGGAGTCAACCTTGCAGAACAGGAAATTAATAACCTACTACAAAATCTGCCAGTTGGTGGTAAGCAGTTGACATAGATTTAGATTTTTTCCCTCAGAGAATATGCACTTCTATAAAAGGATCTTTGAATACTGCCATTCACATTAAGAAGATACAAAATATGAAAGAAAATTTGTCCCAAAAGTGAATGTGTTTTTTTTTACTTGTGACCTTTTCTTTTTTAAAAAAAATTTAAATTAGAAACAAGCTTGTTTCACATGTCAATCCCAGCTCCCTCTCCCTCCCCTCCTCCCCCACCCCTAGTTCCCCCAGTCCTCCTACCCAATTCCCACTCTGTTCCCCAGGGAGGATGAGGCCCTCCATGGGGGATCTCCAGCATCTGCTGTTTCTTTCAGGGCAGGGCCTAGGCCCTCCCCCAAGAGTCCAGGCTGGGAGAGCATCCCTCATTGTGGGATGGACACCCAAAGTCCATTTGTATGCCAGGGATAAATACTACCCAAGGTCCCATAGATTGCCTAGACCTCCTCATTGACACCTACATTCAGGGGGTTTGGATCAGTCCCATGCTGGCCTCCCAACCATCAGTCTGGGGTCTAAGAGCTCCCCCTTGCTCAGGTCAGCTGTTTCTGTGGGTTTCACCAGCCCAGTCTTGACCCCTTTGCTCATGGGTCTGACTCAGTCCCATGCTGGCCTCCCAACCATCAGTCTGGGGTCCAAGAGCTCCCCCTTGCTCAGGTCAGCTGTTTCTGTGGGTTTCACCAGCCCAGTCTTGACCCCTTTGCTCATGACTCCCCCCTCTCTATCACTGGGTTCCATTGACCTTTTCCTTAACTTTATTTTTATTTTGGGTGAGAGTGTGATCGATGTCATTGCTAGACTCAGGCTGAATTAGAGAAACACAATGCTGTTGAAGAAGGGAAGGATATACGCAAGATGGAAGGGCTTTTAGTAAAGCAAAAGGGGGGTGGGAAATAGAGAAAAAGAGAACGTAGTCAAAAGGGAGGAATTTTAAATAGCATTTTTTCTCTGCATTTCCATCATCATCATTATCAGGGTCAGAAGGGTTGAGGAGACATAAGAGATGTTAGCATCATTTCTTAGGTGAGGTGGACAGCGTTCTCCAAACATCTCACAAGGACCCTGAGTTCAGGCCTGCGTGAAGAGCGGGCTCATCCTTGCTTTGCTTGCATTCTCACATTCCTAAGTGAAACTCCATGGCCCAAAGACTATGTTCCCAGACACTTGATCTCCTTTGGTGAGCTGGAGAGCAAGTCTAACATTTAGTTGAATAAGGGGTAAATTAACTACCAAATCAAATAAGTGAAAGTTAAACATGTTAAGCATGAGAACATTTCAGTGGGGGCTGTCTCTATGAAACAGAACCCAACCAATTTATGATTTGAGACAAATTAATACTCATTCATGTTGTTGAAGTTTCATCTAATTCTGTCACTGGAAAGGATAGGAAGTGTTCTTTAAAATGTATTCTTGTTCACTCATCATTTTCAGTCTGCCAGACAGAAAGTCCTTCACTTGCAGTGAGTGATGCAATCACTAGAAAAGCTAAGTCCAGGTGTGGTTCCATCAATATCTAAAGCAGGAAATTATTTTTAAACTATAGGTCCACCTGGAATTATGATAGAGTTGGTCTTTCTCATACTGTCAGCATGAACAGACTTATGAGGAAAAATATATACATATTATGTGGAAACATCCTCTATTTGGCCTTGCCATTGATTCTAATTCATTTTCAAACAATTTAAGGTCCACTAAGGCATACGAGGAAAAATTGATAGACAAATAATGGACATTTAGAATGAGTGTGCATTTCTTCTTCTAAATCGACGATATAATTTTAAATGTATTGCTTATTGGTATGAGGTGAAATGTTTGTAGTAAATTCTCCTGAAATACGAGGGCTTGAGCCTAGATCCGCAATGAAGTGAGAGGCACAGAAGGACCTTAAACTTCACTTTTACAGTAAAACTTAACACATCAAAGAGATGCAAGTTACTAGAGAAGGCCACATTTATCTGCGATGTACCCTGCCCAGACATATATTCCCATTACATAGTCCTGCGTGTTGTTGAGTCTTGCCTCTTTGTTTCTGAAAACTGGCAGTGAGTCAGTAAAACACATGATTTTCGCTTTCCTGACCTAGCTGGCTCTGCTGTAGAGATAACTTGTAGAATATTCTGCCTCAGTAGGTCCAGGAGAAAAAGAAGGATCTGTTTGGGGTAAATTTAACCACCTGTGAGCAATATACAAATTTGCATATAGTAACCCATTTTTCTTAACATATATTTCTGTCACTGATATATGCATGTAATATGTGTACAGATATTATTATTTGACTTTTAATAATGGTTATTTCATACTTTAATTCAGTAAATATTTATTGAATTATTTTTATATAATGCTATAATATATCACTTGCAATTTCAAATAACTTACCAATACTGAAGATATTTAGTATTTTTCTTGTGGTAAAATATAACATATGATATAGCAAAGATCATCTATTTGTAATGTAATTGTTTTCTAGTGTATTTCATGCTAATACCTTCTAGTTGCTAATTTTATAAATTTCCATGGACTTTTTATTGTGAAAACATGCTTATCATTAGAGTTGAGAGAATGACTTTAAAATTATAAGTATTACACTCATAAAAATCAAGTTATCTATGAAGTTACTTAGATCTCAGTACAGTAAGAAATAAGTTAGACAATGATGAATGGTAGACTCAATTTTAAATTTTGTTATTTTTTTAGAATAAAAAATAGTTGATTCCCTACAGTCTAGGAATTCCCTACCAAAGAAGTCACTTTAAGTTGTACATGTTTGTTATTGGAGTTTCACTTTTTCCTGTGACAGTATATAAAAATCCAATGTTTTAAGTATATTTATAAGTAGTGAGTTTCCTCCATGTTACCTCATCCCTTGTGTTCTCTGGGGAGAACATAGCCTAAAACGCAGCTGCTAATAAAAGCTTTTGGATTTCTTTAATGCTTCAAATTTCCAAGTGAATGTTATGTATACACTTTCTTACAGTTCAGGGGGAAGTGGAAACAGACACGTTTGTGGGTAAAGCAAAATCTTTTACAGGTAAGTAAGACACTCTGAATGTCCTTGCTAACCAGCATGGGTGATGGGAAGCACCTGACAAGGAAGACTGGGCCAAGTCTGGTTAACACACTGGAAGGTCTCCCTTGTTCCCAAGTCCCCTTGGCATCAGCTGCCCTTCCCCTCCTCCAGCGTTTGCCTATTTTCTGAGAGCTTCCTGTTGTTTTCTAGATTTTGGATGTGACCAAAACAGCTTTCCTTTTTCCTCAACTTTTGAGAGTTTCGGTGGAGAGATGGTTCTGCCCTGTAATCTACTCCACTGTTTTTGCAGTAGCTGTGGAGAAGAGATTCTCTGCATAGACTATTTTCAACTGAAACCTCTATCGTCCTTTCTGAGCTGATACAAATATGCAGGTTCCAACTTTCCACCCTTATGTGATAAAACACATGACAAGAGCTTAGGTCTCTAGCGATACAACTAAAATTCTATGTTAGTGTGAGAGCTTGGGTAAGGAAGCACCAAAGGTTATTTATTTAAAAACAATGAGTAGAAAAATTAACATTGTACAGGGTCAAATTATTATTATTAACACCATGAAGTGAAAACTATGTTATTCAGATCAAAAGATAAAGAATACAATAGATGATGATGGAATACATACATTTCCATCTGTGATATAATACATTGTCTAGTTATTAAAACTAATTGTTTTTATTTGGGGAAGACCAGTCAAGGAATAAAAGTTCTTTATGGCAGGCCAGAGAGATGACTTAGCTGTTAAAGGCTAGGCTCACAACCAGAAAAAGTTCTTTGTGACTTTTTGTTTTTTTCTGAGACAGGGTTTCATATAGCCTATGCTATCCTCAGACTCACTATGTAGCTGAGGCAAGCCTTGAACTCTTGATCCTCTTGCCTCTCAAGGTCACCTTGTAAGTGCTAGGATAGTAGCCACCTCCACAGCGGAAGACCCTTGTTTTGTTAATATTAAGGGGTTATATTATATTTGTGGTTCCCCATAGTGCTACATAAATAAAGAAATGTATTTCTTTTTGCCCTTACATTTTTTTGCATAGGGGGTGAAAGTGAATTTTTCACTATTTTGTAAAATAATTATTCTCTAACAGTGATTTTGTGTTTTCAAAGGAAAAAAGATTCATAGCAATGACATGAAGAAAGTTCTGGAAGACATGGGGATTGATGTCACAGATAAAGACCTCAAAAGCCTGCAGAATTTGCTGCCGTTTGATGGTAAGCTGAAAACATGTCTAAGACCTCCAGAGAGCTTCTCTGCAGAGTTTGCATGAATAGTCTAGATTTGTGCTTATTCCTTCTAAAAACTCATAGAAATAGTAAGGATACTGTCATTTAGATTTGTCTGTCATTACCAGACCCTTCAGTATAAGCTTTATCATCTGAGCACAGAAAACAGTCCCCTTTTAGACATTGACATCAATGGAACCCTAAGAAGATGACACAGGAAACTGTGGGTATGAGTAAGAGGAAGAAAAGACAGGAGGGGAGAGGAGGGAGGAGGAGAGGGAACAGGAAGATTACCGTGGGAGGGAGGACTTGAACATAATAGAACTTCTCTCAGCTGCCAATCTCACTGAATCTATGTGAGAGTGTGTGTGTGTGTGTGTGTGTGTGTGTGTGTGTGTGTGTGAGAGAGAGAGAGAGAGAGAGAGAGAGAGAGAGAGAGAGAGACGGTGTTCTTCCCTGTTACTCTGTTTTATTATAATGATATCACACTCATAATTAAACATAGATGTCTTACTGAAGTAATGAAAGAGTTGTATTCACAGCTCTGTTCTGACATGTTAGATAGTGTGCTGCCTATGAAAGGTATCTATATTCCTTTGTGCAGATTGTCTATTCAGTTATTTCCATCAGATTTTTATAAGTATTATCAAGATTACAACCTCTCACAAAGACACCCATTCTCCACCACACACAAAATACTTCTGAGCTAGGTATGGTCATGTATACCAAAAACATCTAGCATTTAAGAGACAGAGGCAGGGAGTCATGAGTTCAGAGCCAGACTGGACTATACAGCAAGGTTTTACTTACAAAAACATAAATAAAACAAAAAAAACAAACCACACATACTTCAGTCTGGTTTACACAATAGTTCCAGGCCAGCCAGGACTACAAAGTAACACCTTGCTAAAACAAAACAACAATAATCCCAAAAACCTACTTATAGGACATCTGTCCAGAAACTGTCTGTACAGCTTCCAACTGATGTCACTCTAATTATCTTTGCAACCAACAGTATTTCAAAATATGCCACATAGTCCTCTTTCTCCCAGCTTTTTAAAACTCCACTTGCCTCAGCCTTCTTAAATATACCATAATATAAAAGCTGGTCATGGTGACTTGTAACCCAGTACTTCATGGGGCAATTACCCAGATCTCATTTCATGAATTATTTATAAGGCAGGTGCCTGATCAAGGGAAGATTAAGGAAGATATTCCATTTCTGATTCATCCTTCCGCGGGCGTGTGTGTGTGTGTGTGTGTGTGTGTGTGTGTGTGTGTGTGTCTGTGTCTGTGTGTCTGTGTGTCTGTGTGTCTGTGTCTGTGTACAGAGGACAATTCGTGGTGAGGAATTGGTTCTATCCTTTTACCATGTTGATTCCAGAGATGAAACTTAGGTCCTCAGGCTTGGAGGCAGATGTCTTTGATCAATGAGCCATCTCACTGTCTTGTTTCTGGTTTTTATATTGGTTATCAAATGCTCTCATATGTGATAAGTGGAAGTTCAAACAGAAAAGTCTTATTCACCTAAGTGCATCTTCTCTTCTGTCTTCATGACAGTAACAACTAAGACCTTTAAATTCAGATTGCGCACAATGCAAAAATATACTTTACATGTCTTATACTCTTTTTTCTGATTTTCTATCCCTGTGCATTTTCTAAGGAGGAGAAGTTAAGCTTGATAATGTGGACGCTGTCTTGAAAAACCTTGGAGTGAAGCTCACACCAAAGGAGCAAAAAAGATTAATGGAGAATCTGCCATCTCATGATGAGAGTTGTAAGTCCCTTAGTGTCTTAAAGGAGAACGTTGCACCTGCAAAGCAAGGCAGAAACTTCTAGTCATGTGACCATGAATTCCTTACATGACTGTACATGCCACTGTCACATGTGGAGATCAGAGAACAGCTTGGAGGACTCGGTTCTCCTTCCACCATGGTGTGCCTTTACCCTCTTTCAAATCTTAATGTCACAACACAAACTAGTACAGTTGTTTTCTTCACTAGTAACAATGTCACAAGGACCAGACTAAGAATTGTAGTCTAGACACTAAGAATTAATGGGAAGCGATAGTGTCCTGAGTCTACTAATTATTCCATTCCCATTTCACAGTGTTTAATAAAAAATATTTATGTTCACATTTTCATGAGCTACTTGCTAAAAGCTCAGTTCTTTACCTTCATTTCAGAATCTTCCCGAATTCAAAAACCCAATGTCTAGTGTATCCTGTGTGTAAAGAAGTTTTTGTCTTGATAGTGCCTCAGGTCTTTAGATCCCAATTAATCATATTTAACACTTACTGTGTCTATTCTTGGTCTTTTGGCTAAGATCAAATATAAAGTGTCCAGTTCTACATTTTCACAAGGGTAGGGTGTGTGGAAGGGCCACACTAAATACTGATGACATTCTCTCATTTTTCCATTACAACTGGACTCTTTTCCCCTCCAATCTGTGGAGTTTAAATATAAAATCTGTAGTTTATATTCTTGAGTTTGATAAAGAGGTAAAGATAAAAGGTAAAGATGAAGACTTAATGGGCTTTGGTTTATCTCTATCTTCTAGTTTGTTTTATATGTGGCATTTTGAATTTAACGCCCAATTTTGAATTTTCTTGTAGTTAATGGAAAAATTCCATTCAATCAACTGATAGATGCAGTGACGAAAGTTACAGGTGGGAATTAATTCTAGTCATTGTCCCTTGTTACTATACTAAATTATATTTTGATGCTCTCTTCTGGCTATCATGTCTTTTTGCTCTATCATTTTACTGTTCCAGTTCAGAAACTATTTCTGTTTAATTATCTAGAATGCTAAGTGACAAACTATAACTTCTTAGGCCAAATAATTGGGGGGGATCATTGTATTGTACCATACCCACCATTAGCTTATGTACTCTTGATGACTAAATAGTTGTGGTGCTGATTTCATGTTCTATAAAGGCTAAACTATCTACTATCTTTCATAAGGGTGCTGTTTCTCCTCCTCCTCCTCCTCCTCCTCCTTCTCCTCCTCCTCCTCCTTCTTCTCCTTCTCCTCCTCCTTCTCTTCCTCCTCCTCCTCCTCCTCCTCCTCCTTCTTCTCCTCCTCCTCCTCCTTATTCTCCTCCTCCTCCTCCTCTTCCTCCTCCTCCTCCTTCTCCTCCTCTTCCTCCTCCTCCTCCTCCTCCTTCTCCTCCTCTTCCTGCTTCTTCTCCTCCTCCTCCTCCTCCTGCTTCTTCTTCTTCTTCTTCTTCTTAAGACAATTTTGGTTTATCCGTGAGGTGGAAAATTAAAATTATTTTAACAATCTTTTATACTCTAAGTAGTCCCATGAATGCTAAATTATATTAACATTGTAGCTTTGGGTTTCCCATATTTAATATGTGTCAGTGTAGTAACGTGATAGAAAGTTCTGTATTCTCTAAGATATACTCTAAACTAATTTTTTCTGGTTGTAATCAAAGCTATCAGATTTAACATTGAGTCAGATAGCCCAGAGAACACAGAACAAAGGTTTTGTCATAGTCAAAATGCTGTGAACACACCATATATTAAACCATTTTAAGATAATACAAGAAACAAGTGGAGATGTGATAAGTTAATGAAGGTGGGGTGGAGTGCATGAAAGGGCCACTCTCTCTCAATCTAGGATGTCTACTGAACTAAGGTCCTGAGTCTGTCAGTTCAGTGCCAGTCCTCCTTGTTACTCATTTGGTTATAAGGACCTGAGTGCAGAGTTAAGCAAGCAGGCTGGGAGATGAATAGTATTCTGATCAAGATTTTAAAAAAACTCTTTTCAGAAAAATGCAGAGATATGTCTGGTAAATAGTAGTGGGTTGCCAACAAAAATACAAAATAGAAATCTGAAATAGAAAATTTTCTTAATTTCTTAGTAAAATTAAGTATGTTCTGGAGCAAAACCACCTCACCCTGAACTAACTTATTCTAACTTATTAAGCATTTAAATAAAGCAAAAGATAACAGCATTCATAATTAAAGAAAAGTCGAATTGCTGAATTTGGATCTATCTGTGGTATTACAGATGGATAACTTAGACTCCTGTGGCTTTTTTCCACAACTAAAGAGACTGCATTGTGAAGAACAGTTGTTTTTGTAGTGACTGATGATATGACAGTCACGTGTCACTTTGTTGTAAAGCTTTTGAAGCTGCTTATTAATAAGTAAATGTTTTTGTTTTCCAAACCTAAGAGATTTTCCTATCACATACACATCCTTATCTACATTCAGTTTCTTTATTTTCAAGGAGGAGAAGTTAATGTCGAAGACATAAAAAACACTCTGGAAAAAATGGGACTAGAGCTCTCAGATGAGGAGTTCTCCCAAGTAGAGAGCAAGCTTCCAGTTAATGGTAAGCATTTAAAGAACCAGTGTAGCCCTTAAGAAGCCACATGAAACCCTAATGGTTTGTAAGCTAAGTAAAATCACACTTTTCTTTTTAGAAAAGTAATTTGAGCAGAGGTTTTCTCATGTGGGTGAACAATGCTATTCCTGGAAGAAATGGGTTATCAGATGAACATCTTAGTGTCAGGCTAATGTCCCATTTAATTTTTTTAAAGTTCCATAACTACTTACATTTGGAACCTAAAAAGAAGAGAGTTTAGACACTGCCATGCAGCCCCACACCTTAGAAAGAAATCCCAGTGGTTTCATTACCGTTTGGACTCATCTATGTCTTCAGTCATTTCTCCAATATTAAAAAAGGGACATGTCTACTATTATTTTCTTATTCCAGTAGGAAGATATCTTCAAAAATTGCAGACTTATATGTAAAGGTGAATGGTTGAGAAGTCCTAAAAGAAAAACGAGAGCAATTAGAAGGAGAACAGGAAAGAAGTAAGACACCTCTGTTTTACTGTTGCAGAGCAGAGTGCTTGCAGTAATTCTCCCAGGGTCTAGGAAGCCACACTCAGAACTTTTTGCAGTTTGTATTATTTTTTTTGTCTTTTGCAAATAATACATGCATCTTTTGTGGGGTGAATCTTAAAGTTAAGGCTTAATTGGTTAATTGTATCATGTGACCTGGTTTCTGTCCTTACAGCCAATGGCAAAGTGTACCTGAACAGGTTGCTGGAGGGTGTGCTTGCCTCTAAAAGTGAGTATGAAAGACTCATGACCGTGAAGCAGCTTTCATGTTCTCCAGATTTAGAATCCTTCAGTACACTGATAATATTTAGCAAATATAGTTTCTGTGTGTATTTTACCAAATATACTCTTGAACCACTCTTTTCATTCAAAATGCTTTTAAATTAATATTTTAGGAAATTTATACAAACTAATGGCTACCCCAAGGCATTTTTGTGCATGTATCTCATTCATTTTGCCCCAATCTTTCTTCCCATTGGTCCCCCTTGCGTGCTGTCCTCTCCACCTGTTCCCTTCTCTTCTCCTTGTTGGACCCTTATCACATATACTTCATGGTCAGCTCTTTTCCCACCTAGCTTAAGATCTCTTCCTCTGTCTCCCTCTCTAGTTTGTGACCCTACGCACACACATACCCAGATACCTATATTACACAGATGCATGTGTGCACACCTGTACGTGCATGTATACACGAACATTTAGGGAAAGCAAGGTAAAATCAAATACTGCTAAATGTAGAGAAGGAGAAAGGAGGAAAAACTGGTAGAGGCAGTTGGAAAAAAATGAGAGTCTAAAACAGGAAAAGAAAAAAATGCTTCCAAATTTTAAAAAATGTATAAACTTAACCACATGAATATTTGAAGAAGAATGAAAAAAATACATTAAAACACAATGAAGTAAAAGCCCTGTTATGTAGCATTAGTAATATGTAGTAGCAAAACGCCAGGAATCATAAGGGGAAAAAATAAACAACAAAAACGACGAGACAGGAAATGTTAGAGAACCTTACTCTGGTCCTCAAAAGTTCCAGGTTGACAGAGGTATGCGTGGGAGGGAGGGAGATCAGCAAAACTCATGGACTCCTTCCCCGGCGCACCCCATGACCTACACGCTGCTAAGTCTGCATTGAGCACTCTGTCTTCCACCAGAGTTGTCCTCACCAAGGTAGATTCTTTTTTTCTTTGTGTACTAGGAACCTCTGCTGGACACACCTACCTTTGCATTGTGTGGTTTGGGTGGGTTCTCTCACCCTCCTGAAGCTCCCATGATCATAAGAACGCTGGTGATTTAGCCCAGGGAAGCTAAATCTGGAAGCAACCACAGCACTGAGACTGTCACCAGGTGGAGAACCTGTCTTCATACTTTGAGGTCCTCCTGAGTGTTGATCTCCTTCACACAGGGACTCTGCTGTGGGTAATGCAGTGCACTCCTGAGCTTCAGAGTTCTGAACCTAGACAGCAGCAAATGACAGATGAGCTATTCCGGAGTTCATCTCCTCCTGCCCTCAGAATTATCTAACTCTAGCCTCATGATTAGCTGAGGAGATCTGCTCATGGCCGAAAGTGGTGGGCCTAGGTCTTCTGCCCCTTCTCTGTGTTCCTTGAGCTTTAATGCAAGAGCAGGGTTGTGGATGTATCCACTGGGACTGGGCATCACATGAGTCTTTGATCTCTGCATCTGTTGTGGCTTTAGGTAATGATCTCTTTGCTGTAGAGAGAGGTTTCTTTGAGGAAGGCTAAGAGCTATGCTTATCTATGTGTATCAGGGTTAGGTTTTGTTTTTTTTTTATGGTTTTATGAGACAGGGTTTCTCTGTATTGTTTTGGAAGCTGTCGGTCCAGCCTGGCCTCGAACTCACAGAGATCCACCTGCCTCTGCCTCCCGAGTGCTAGGATTAAAGGCGTGCGCCAACACTGCCCGGCTCAGGGTTAGTTTTAGAATGCATTTAGCAACTATGCTGCTCTGGTATAGTTATGGTAGTAGTCTCTCTTCTAAAGCTCCATGACTTCACTAGACCAAGTAGCTGTCTAGTTTTCTAGTACCAGGTATAATTCCTTTCTTTTTGTTGGGTCTATGTCTAATTAGACAACTGTTGGTTACCACTAAGATTATGAGTGACACTATAATAATTATAATATATGAAGAACTCAAAATACAAAGAATCAAGAAAACAAATGACCCATTTTTTAAAATGGTCTATGGGTCTGAACAGACAGTTCTCAATAGAAGAAATAAAAATGGCTAAGAAATAATTTTAAAAGTGTTCATCATCCTTAGCAATTAGGGAAATGCTAATTTAAACAACTTTGGGATTTCATCTCACCACACTCAGAATGCCTGAGATCCACAAAACTAACAGCTGGTGAGTGTGTAAGGAAAGGGGGAACCTCAATCACTATTTGTGGGAATGTAAACTGATGTAAACACTTTGGAAATATAGTATGGAGAATCCTCAAAAATCTAAAAATGAAGGGTTTTTTCTAGTTTTGATACATTGGTTATTCTTAAAACAAATGAAGAAGATTATATAGAATATAGGAAACACAAATCAGCAGGAACAAATCAAAGACTAGGTGTTAAACTGGACAAATACAGTAGTAGAAATCTGATGATCAGTCATATTTAAAAGGTACTTAATGCCAACAGAAGTTGTGAAAACCTAAGTAAAAAAAGCAGCATATTATCACACACACACACGTCATATTTTTTTAAAAATTATAAAAAATCAAACAGTACCACGTCCTGTCAATAAGAGTAAACAATGGAAACTCCATGCATCACTAGACTATGAAATGACTCATCACTTTGAAAAGAGACTAGGTAAAGTCACAGAAATTTAAATATATGCTGTTCTGCAGCTGTTCCACTGAAGTGTGTGTGTGTGTGTGTGTGTGTGTGTGTGTGTATGAGTGGGAAGGGGATGTCTACCAGATCATTTGATCATGTACACGCACACACATACAGTGTTATTGCAATCAGCACTGTTTATTCTAACAAAAACTTGGAAACAACCTACATATTCATCTAGAGAGCAGGTTGATTAGTGGTTCATTGTTATTATAGAACAATAGGTAATAAAATGAATGAAGAGTTCCATGTTTTTATATGAGCAAGCATGAAACTACAAAAGAACACAAATGAAAGTGGCAGGAGGAGCTCACGACGTGATGCCTGTAGGCTTTATAGCTGTGCAAACCACCTCTCACATATGCTTGCAAACTGCCTCCCACACGCATGAGATATTCGCAAAAATTTGAGCATGTTTAAGAAGGTGGATTCCCCCTAGGAGAAAGGATGAGAAAACAGAAGGGATAATCTTTCTGTTTCATCACTAAGTCAATCATATCACCATAAGGATTTTGCAAACCCATAATACTTTTAATTTCACAAAATATCAGAGGAATGCTTCAAAATTCTTAGATAAACATACTCTGGGGACAGGACTGTGTGATCTTTTCTGGACTGGAAGCAAGAATTAACCCTTCTGTTGCCTGCATTTATGGGACTTTCATTTTCTTGTTTCTGTAAGTGGTATAGGACACACACCATAACCTTTGGCAACTAACTATACTAAGTGAGCCCATGACCTAGAAGAGTTCTAAGGTAAAGATTTTAACTTCATACTGGTGATCCTGTACAACCAACCATACTGCTCTGTGCTTGAGACTGACACAGCATGACAGTAATGCATAGCTTCTGTCATATTTTGTAGTTATTCGATCTTATTTCTATTCCTCTCTTTTTCCAAAGATAGGAATGTGGATGTTGCTAACGTTGACACAATTTTACAAAACATGGGCATGGATCTCACGGAAATGGAGAAAGAAGATTTGATAGGGAAACTGCCTGTTGATGGTGAGTGTGTAAATCTAAATGTTTGTGATAACTTGAGAATGGGTGCATCTGCACAGAGAACTCTGAAAAAGAAGATGACATTTATAGCAACAGACATAAAGTAATATTCTCCCTTATGATTTGATTAGTCTGTTCCAGCACGCCTTTAGTTTAAATCCAAGGGGATGCTGAAAGAGCGGATAGAACTGTTACTAGGACTAGAAAAAACTCAGAGAAAGTTGGGGGAAAGTGATCCAAGGAAGTCTGGAGGGCGTTAAGTTTGGGAAAATAGAAAATAGCAACTCAAAACTAGACCATTTTAACATAAGGGACAAACACTACAGCCATACAATTACACTTTCTCAGCATAAAGAATCTTCAAACAATCAAGCTATAATATTTGGACTGCTACCTTATTATAAAGCCACATAATGTCCCACTTCACAGCCCAAACCCTGTGATCCTTTGCCATAGTCTCAATCAACCTCTTTAATAATTTAGAAGCAAATTCTGAAACACAGTTGAAGCTGAATTAGTGTTGAAGTGCAGTAGGTCAAAGAAACTGATTAAAGAATTTTTAAAAAGCCATTCATGAAAGAGAACATTTTTGTATCATTCAATTAATGTGAAATATCTAGAAGGGGTAGCAGAGAAGAAGTGGGGTGAAGCGGTGGCTACAAACTAGTGGATTGAGGTTTGAGGTGATGAAAGTGGTCCTAGGTCATGATCATGGTTGCACGGCTCTGTGCACACCAAAAGACTTGCAACTATTTAGAGTATAATTCACACACCATAAAATGTGGCCGTGTAAGATGTGAATTAATCACACATAAGTCCTTCAAAAATATAGATGGTAGCCTGCTTTACTTTCTAGTTAAAGTAGAAAACATGGAACAAAAATTTTCCTCTTTGTCGATTTAGTGACACTGTAGACAGCTGCTATTCTCTTCTAGTCACTTTCATTTGTCCATAGGATGATCAATAAAAATCTCACATTATTAGGGACATGTTTCAGTTAATAGTCTTAATAGTTTTTCAATTACATAAAACGTGTTTAGATATTTTATTCACAATTAGAAAAACAGAAAATTATGTTTTACAAAAGACACAATTCTTTTTATTTTTATAACAATCTTATGAGTGGTGCAATTGGTTAGTGTTATACAGAAAACACTTCTTAGTCATTTTTTATGCAATAAAGGAAAAAACATCTGAAATTCTAAGCTGCCTTAAATTTCTCAGCAAATTCTAAATGTGTAACATTCTTTCATTGCAATTATTCTTAAATTTGTTTTACAAATAAATATTGAGTTCCTGCTTTATGAAATATGTTAATCATTGGGGTGACTATTTACTTCTGTATGACAAAAGGGTAACAAACTGGAGACAGAAAATAACTCATTACATAAGGATATCCTTTTAAAATCCAAATTGAAACATTATTATGATAGCACATGCAATTTGTAAATCCTGATGCTTGTTCTTGATGTAACCAGAGTTTCCAGAATTAACAGTTTTCTGGGGCATAAGAACCATCAAGCAGACTCTATGAAAGAAGGTAGTTTAATATTGTAATCTATCCCTAATAGTTGCGAGTTATATTTCTTATCCCACAATAGATTGTATTCAGAAAAACATGGTATAAATTATCAAGTCTATTAATATTACCTTGTTTCTATTTCATACTTGAGTGCCAATATGCACATATATATTGAATATATATGGTTTTTTTGCCAGATAATGAGAAGGTTGAATTGAGAAAGTTACTAAATTTGTTGAAAGCTTATACTGGTGAGTATTCACTTTGATGTGTATTAATGTTTAAAATCATTTCTCAATTTATCCAGTCGGTATATTTTCTCTTAGGACTGTTTCAACTAATAGGTGCTCTAAAAATCTTATTTGGAGCTTTGTCTTAGATTTAATAATAAAATTTAGATATTTTATTTTTGGAGAGAAATTTGAACTATTTTTCATAAATCAACAGTATTATTTACTTTATCAGGATTCAAACAACCCTTGCCTTGATGTGCATAGTAAAACTAAAACTTTTATTGGAATCCGTGTATGAGTACCACTGTGAAAACAAGGCTCACATAAATTAAAAATCCCCTGTTAATTTCTCCTTCCAGAATTATAAATCTCTCATTCTAATTTGCCAAGAATTCTTAACCAAAGAGTACTGCTCAGCTGGTTAGGCACACACAAAGTCATTACTAAGAGAATATTCTTTTCATAAAGTTAAGGAACACTACTCTGTGGTTTCCCCCATGGTTCTCTGTAGTTGAAGGTGATTTTTGCAGTGTACTACTTGAAGTTGAAGATGAGGTGGTAGAGATGAGGTTCTCATGACTGGACATAACTAGATTGTTCTTCAAATGGCCAGATGTTAATGTTACTATTTTTCAAAAGGAAAAAAGATCAATGTCAATGATATACCAAGACTTCTGAGAGACATGGGGATTGAACTCACTAAGAGTGAAGAGAAGATGTTACTTCATGCCCTCCCCATGGATGGTGAGTCATATAAATGCTTTTTCAAGGGACTGGATGCCTACTTGCATAGTTTTCTAAACTTATCTCTTCAATTATCTCCTGTAAAAATGCTGAAAATAAATGGGAAAATGCATTCTCTGTCATAGAGCTTTAATCTAAGACTCACCAAGCTCTTCAATAATTCTGCCAGCAGAATCAATGTCATTGCTTCAGTGTGACCCACTCTGATTGTTTGGGCCCCTCAGTACATAACAGAGAGAAGAATAAAGAGAATGAGAGGCCAGGCCATATAAAGGAGCGAAGGGAATCAAGAGAGTGTCTGCATATCTCCTCATTGGTTTTATAACTATAAGTATTTTTGTCACTAAGATAATTTACTTTTTAAAAATTATTTTTATTTCATAGGATGTTAGGGAAGATTTCTCTTTTTAAAAAAAAGCTTAAAAAGCTTACTTACTGGAACTTGCCAGTTGCTCAGTAACTATATGACTTCCTTTTTCTTTGGAGATAAATTTTGCTTTTTTTCTTATAGATGATAGAATGGTATATCAAAACAGAGTGCTGGAAGAAGTGAAGTCTATGAAAGGTTTGTATAAAGTGTGATCGGCAGAAAAATCTGCTAGCAAGTCAACACATGCATTTTATAACAGTAGGTTCTAATTGTGCCTGTGTCTTTATATGTAGATTTCCCATTTCCTACACACAGTTCTTTGATAGTCATCATCCAGATTATATCATTAAAAGATGTCCATTTTTGAACCTTTTTAAATTGCACCCTCAAATAATCATTTAAAAATCTAGCTACACAAGGAATGTAATATGGAAAATAATACCCTTTTTTCCTGCGAGTTCACCCTACAGTGATTTGGAAGGATTGTTAATTTAATTTTATTTCACAAATAAAAAATTCTTCATTATATTTTTATACATCATTTCCCCCTAAAGCCAATTAACAAAGGATGAAGAAGGAAGCAGGGATAGTGGCTGAGCTGCCTTTTTCACTCCTTTCCTGACAGAGAATAGGAAGGGAGTGCAATGCTATCAAGTTTTGCTTGTTGGTGTGTGATGAGAGAGGTCTCTTTCAGACTTCCTAAATAATGTCAGTTAACAATGTCCCTTGAAGAATTTTCTGATGATGAATGTGTTGTCAGTGATATTCAGGGGGAGAAAGTGGGTATAATTTTTACTACTTCTCAAACTGTACTGATGAAGCAAAAATTGACTATCGGAACTTAAGCTGTCACTCTCGGGTGTAGCCATGACCTTGCGTTAGAGGAAGGCTTACCCAGTGTTTTCCTCCTGTGCCCCATACAGACAGCTCTGTCTTTGATATGCTCTTGCTTTATTGGGCAGGTCATTATTAAAACACATAATAAGCACATATCAAAGCACATAATCACAGTCCCAAGCAATGCTTCAACCTTAGGATAGTTCTGTTGTAAAGTCTTGGCTTGATTGTAGCTGATTTACTGAACTAACTTTCAATATCCATTCACTAAGACAAAAAATATGCATGTATACTTTTTGTTGTGTTAAATATAAGATCAAAATTTTAGGCCTGGATATATGCATATTTGGAGCCATTAGCTGCTTTCCCCATAATTCCATTTTTGTTTCTTTCCCAAGGAGGAATGGTTAAAGTCAATAACCTAGACACTGTCCTGGGAAGTCTAGGCATTGAGCTCACAGATAAAGAACATGAAAGTCTGACAGAAAATCTACCACTTACAGGTGAGCGTTGTGTACCACAGTGGATGTCACTTTATGGTGTCATATACCACAGTGGATGTCACTTACTGGTGAGTATTGTGTACCTCAGTAAATGTCACTTAGTGGTGAGTGTTGTGTATCACAATGGATGTCAGACAAGAATTGATTGTGGGCTTGGAAAAAGGAATATATAGTGATATTTTATATATAACCACTATTTTTCAAAGGTAAGGGAAAAATCAGTTCCAATTTAAGAACAATGTATACTAAGGTGTTTAAAGAAAAACAAATTCATCAGAGTGTCTTTGAACATTAAAGTCTGGGCCACTGTAAGAACCATACGTTTAGAGAATTTAGAAAGCCACTTCAGTAGTGTAAACCACAGATGTTTTTCTTTTTTCTGAATGAGGTTGTACTATGCAGCCCAAGCTGGCCTTGAACTTATCATCTTCCTGCCTCAGCCTCTCCAGTTCAGAGAGAACAGTCCTGGACAGTCATGTAGGCATTTACAGTCTAACTGTAGAAACCAATCACCTGGTTTTGGTGTGATGTCCATGATTAATGGCTGGTAGTTGTTTATAACCAGGCTAAGTTTAATTTTCTTTAGTCTTTTTTTCTTCCCAAATATATCAGTTAAATGGAATGCCTTTAAGTTTCAGCTTATTAGTATAAGGATTCTGAGTTCAGAAACAATCAGGGACTAATGGCTACCCATTTCTCTTATCTTAACAAAAGAGTAAACTAATTTTTTATTTTAAAACAATTAAAATTAAAAGTGAATCATGTTTAAATACAATAGAGTTATTCTCTCTAGTACAGGATGAAATGAAAAAAGGGAGATATAATAAACCTGAAATACTTGATAACTGAATGAAAAGTGAGCTGAATAAATAGAGTGAAAACAAATTAAATTCTGTTTCTGATTGGAAAGAATAGAAATCTATTAATAATTGCCTAAACCATGTGCACATCCTGTGATTTCAGGGTAATCAGCACATCTATAGAAAAAATCACATGACTATAACTAAATCTAATTAGTACAAGTTATTTAGGACCATGTTCTAATTACCTTCCTTGAGATAACTATGTTTTGTTCCCAGTTAAGAAGGTGTATGTGCATGTTTGCATGCAGGCACATACAGGCCAAAGGTCGATGGCAAATGTCTTACGTAATCACTTTTCCTCCTTCTAAGATGCAGGTTCTCACTGGCCTAGCGCTTACCAATGAGAGTAGACTGGCTAGGGACCCTCCTGCCTCTTTCTCCTCGGTTCTAGGACTTCAGGCTCATGTGGGTGCTGTGGACATGAACTCGATTTCCTTAGGCCTGTGCAGCATTACTGACTGGATCATCTCCCTAACCTCACCAACCGAAAACTGCTGATTCTTGAAGAAGCCTGTCATGAGCTGCCTCCTAGGCACATCTTAAATTCTGCAGTAGGGGAGTTGGCTTAAAGAGTGGGAGTTTCAGGACCCCTCCCTTCTCCTGAAGACCTCAATGTCTCTGTCAACACCCTATGCCAACCTTGTTCTGAAGCTCTAGTTACTGGGCATCATGTCTCTGTTATTTTTCTACAGTATTGTGACTCATAATCATATATTTAAAATGCTTGTCTAGAAATTTTATGATTAGTTCATGCATTCAACCTTCCTTCAGAATCCTTTGAGTGAAGAATTTGTTTGTATTGAGAATCTTTTATTTAGTTTTTTTTATGACATGTGTTTAGAACAAGTTTCATGGTGTAAGAGTGAATAGAAACTCAAGCTCAGAAGAATGATGTTTCAGATTTAATGTGTTGCAATTTGATATTCTGATGTTCTTCTTAAGTTTAGCATTGAATTCATGTTTCCTAATAAGACCTATTATGAAAATAGAAGAAAGCTGGGGCTTAGAGTTGCTTTGGGAAGGTTCTTCCTAGGACACACTCTGGGTCAACTACTCCACACTTTGTTGATCCTCAGACCTCCCTCTTACCGCTATGACCTTATGGCCCCTCACACCAGAGATTATGGTCTTTCTTGGTAGTGAAATGATGTCATGTGCCCATGACTCTAATTTTTTCCCCATAGATGGTAGAAACAGTTATCCAGACTATAAATACATTAGTAACAAAAGGTTAATAACGTGTATCATCCCTTACCCCATATTATCATTTAAAATAGAATAACAGATAAAATGTAGCTAAGGGTGGGTGGATATGTGTAGTTGCACACAGAGGCCAAGGCAGAAAGATTGTAAATTGAGCCAGCCTGAGCTACACATGGAAAACCTTTCTCTCTCTCTCTCTCTCTCTCTCTCTCTCTCTCTCTCTCTCTCTCTCTCTCTCTCTCTCTCTCTCTCTCTCTCTCTCTCTCTCTCTGTATCTCTGTCTCTGTCTCTCTCTCTCTCTCTCTCACACACACACACACCACAGAGAGAGAGAGGTGGTAAAAATCACTGAATCAGTATAAATCCTGGAAAAAACTTGGAGTTTGCACTAGAAATATGGATTTCCAGAGTCCCATCCATATCATTTCTGTGAACATAAAACTTAGAAAATGTTTTCTTTGCCAATCATCCTCCAAACATAAAATGGATTCTTGTTTTTCCTGTACACAGAATTTGGATTGATTCAGATTAAGTTGTGATAGGCTTCCATTCTTAATTTTTTAATCTCTTGTGCTAATTATGATTTTTCTTGCAGCTGATGGAAAGATTCATCTTGACAAAGTGCTAGAAACAGTGGAAGCTATTACAGGTTAGTTTCTATAAATCTAAAGTCAACTTTATACCAAATTATATGTTTACACTGTACTGTTATTTTGTATTGGCTCTACTATGTTCCTTTTCTTCCATGTTGGTGAACTACCTGCAATTGAAGTTTAAAGCGTTTGCATTTCAACATTATTTCAGTACAAATGTCTGAAAGAAAAATTCTTTTGCATCTGGTATATTTATCATGATAGTCATTATCACTGACTTCAAAATCTAAATTAGCACAGAAAATTATAAGCAAATTGTCAAAAAGATAAAAATGCTCTTACTGGGAAACTAGAAAAGAAATAGGATTCTGACAAAATTAATGGATTTTTAAACCTACAATATGCTAACCTACCCCTTGTATACTGCATCTTTATGCCTATTATTACACCAAGTGAAAAATTATGTTCCTGTCCCAACTGATGAGAGTTGTGAGTGGTGGCAAAATTTATGTGCCCCCATGTGACTGTTGTAATGGAAGAGACCCCCACATGTGTTTGGAGGTCGGAAAGTTTTCTCTGCACTAACATATGCCTGGTTCTATGATGTTGAAGGAGGAGACATTGGAATCAGTGATATGGGATATGTTTTGAAGGAAATGGGGATAACTCTCACAGACCAGGAATACAAAGCACTGCTGGAACAGCTCCCCATCAGCGGTAAGCGCTTTAAATACTAACGTAGTCTTGATGTAATGTACGTTTTTATTGCTTCTGAGAATATCCACAAAGATTTTCTAAAATGCATCAACAATACTATCAAATTTCAGTCAGATGAATTCTCATGCCTATGTAATTATAGATAGATAAAACAGGAGAGAGAGAGAGAGAGAGAGAGAGAGAGAGAGAGAGAGAGAGAGAGAGAGAGAGAGAGAGAGAGAGAGAGAACAGTGACTTGTTAAAATGAAACATTTGAGCCGGGCGGTGGTGGCGCATGCCTTTAATCCCAGCACTCGGGAGGCAGAGGCAGGCGGATCTCTGTGAGTTTGAGGCCAGGCTGGACCGATAGCCTCCAAAACAATACAGAGAAACCCTGTCTCGTAAATTAAAAAAAAAAGAAACATTTGAGATCTATAACTGCACTAGAAGGTTTACAGTGAAGGAGAGAAAATAACCTTTAAAAGGTAAAAGGTATAAGAGGGGGCTGGAACAATAGCTCAGTGGTTAGGAACAGTAACTTCTCTTTTAGAGGCTCTGGGTTTAAGTTCCTGACAAACACGTGACATCTCACAACCAGGCATTAGGGTTTCCAATGCTCTCTTCAGACCACTCTGGACATCAAGTACACTTACATACATTTAGGCAAAGCATGCACACACACACACACACACACACACACACACACACACACAAAATAAAAATAAGTAAATTTTGGGACTGGAGAGATGGTTTAGCAGTTAAGAGCACTGATGGCTCTTCCAGAGGACCTAAGTTTGATACCCAGCATCCATATGACCACTCATAACCATCTGTACCTCCAGTTTCAGGGATATAACACCCTCCTCTGGCCTCTGTGTACATCAGGCATGCATGCTGGCAAAACACCCATACACATAAATAACTTTAAATTTTTAATTATTCTCTAAAGACTCAACTTTTAAAAGTATCACTGTATATGATATCCAAATTTATACAGTATGTAAGCTTGTATAGGATAAAAATTATCAATAATTTTAAAAGAAATTAATAATCCAACTTCATCTTAAAAATAATATCCATGGGCTGAAGAGTTATGTAAAATGCTTGCCAAGTGTGGTGATTTGAAAAACTGTGGCCCTCATAGGCTCATATTTGAATACTTGGTTCCCGGTTGGTAGAACTTTTTGGAAAGGACTGGAGGTGTGTTGGAGGAGGTATGTCACTGAGGGTAAGCTTTGAGGTTTCAAAACCCCATACTATTTCCATTTAGCTTTCTCTGCCTCATGGTTGTGTCTCAAGGTGTGCGCTCTTAGTTACTGCTCCAGCACCACGCCTGCCCACCTGCCTGCTGCCATGCCCCTTCCCATGATGGTCATGGGCTCTAACTCTCTGGAACTGTGAGCCCCACATTAAATGATTAATAAGTTACCTTGGTCATAGTGTTTTATCACAGCAGTAGAAAAGTAACTAAGACAGTGTGTTAGCATGGGAACCTGAGTTCAGATCTCTAGCGCTCACATAGAGAGCAGGGCGTGGCAGCCTGTGCTACAGTTTCAACACTGGGAGAGTAGGGACAGGCAGATCCCAGAGACTTGCTGGCCAGCTAGTGGCAAGCTTCAGACTCGGAGATCTTGTCTCAAAAAGAGAAAGTGGAGGGCTGGCAAGATGGTTCAGAGGGTAGAGGCTCTTGCTATCAAGCCTAATGAGCTGAGTTCAATTCCCACATGGTTGAAGGGGAGAACCAACTTCCCACTAGTCACTAATTTCTTTTACCTTAAATTATGACTTTTGCTGCCTTCTTGACTCTCCACATGATTCATTTGTGTGTGACCTGATTTGTGTTTCTTGTAGCTAATGAAAAAGTCCACAAGAACATGATAATGGATGGTTTGAAATCACTTAATCGTAAGTAAAGAGAATAATTAAAAAACAGGAGACCCATTGTTTTTCCTAAATTTTAATGCCATCTTTATCTTCCTTTGCAAATGTGTTTGTTACCAAACAGGCTTTACATTGGAGGGTTTGCTTTTATTCTTTTTATTATAGTCCTATTTGTTGAAAAAGAAAGTTGTATAAGAGGAAATTATTTAGGCAATTTGGGTAAGAGTTGAAATAATGAACCTTATAATCTTATAAACACAACAGAACTACTTATTAGTGAAAAGATGACTCAGCCTGTTTGAAAATTAATAGTGGGGCTAGTTTTTGAGCCCAGTAGTAGAGTTCTTGCTTGCCATGTGTAAGGCCCTGGGTTCAACCCCTACTTCTAGGAGGAGAAAGAGAAAGGAAGCCATTGACTTGTGTTCACCTTGACATTATTTAATTTTGAGACTTTATGCTGCCCCATGGGAGTTCTGTCAACTTAGCACAGTTTAACCTGGGGAAATATACTCCACTTTTAAGCCCATTATTGACCTTTCTGTGACCTAAATAGTCTCACTAAAACTGGAGACCCTAATTGAAATGAGTAACTTTGGAGTTAAAATCCATCAGATTTGACTAATTCTTCTTGATTTTCCTAGGTGGGTTTGTTAATGTCGATAAAATTGAAAATAATTTGAAAAATTTGGGGTGGAAACTCACAAAGGAAGAAATTAAGGATCTGAAGCAAAATGTGCCTGCCGATGGTGAGCGTTTAAGACATTTTTAAGTGAGTCAGGAAATCTGGAACTTATATGAATGCATCAGTTTATCAGGGCACAGTTGGGCTTTTTTAAATAGGAAAGAGAGTGATGATCTCATGTTGTTGTCATTCCTGATACAGTTCTTGTCACTTGAGTGGGAAGTTGAATTTATTCAGGTATTCTACTAGAATAAGAAGAGCTGGAGGGGAGTGATAGTACAATTAAAACATTAAAGATAAGATGAGTGAGTTAAACTCCCCAGCTGTGAAACGATCATTTCCACAATCACTAATCCCACTTAATCCAGACATTTGCCACTGTCCTAGAAAACAAAGCAAACAAGGAACAGGAGAGAATGGCAAGAAGAGCACACACATTCCTTTGCCAGGAAGCCGGAGCAAAACCCGGCAGCTGGCCCAGGACGAGGACGATGAAGCATGCATGGCAGCATTGTTGGCACACTACCCTAAACACTACTCTATTCCGAGCTACCCCTCCTGGTCTAGACTTTGTCTTCTTGGGCTCCAGCTGCCACTGCCTGAGATGGTGATAACAGCTATGTGCATCAATTCCCAGAGTAATTCCACCACAAATGAGTAAAACGGGTCAATATGAACCTGGAGAAAACTCTGGGCTAAAAGTACTCATTTTGATCCCATGCCATGTCATTTTCTTTTTGCCAGTGATGGCTGTGCCCTTCAGTAGGATATATATTATCTTCAGATATATTTCTGTAAATGTGCTCATTTACTTCTAACAGTATTACTTGTGTTTTATGGATATGCTTGCTACATGTTAAATTGTCAGAAGTGCTTAAATTGCAAAATTCAAACTTGAAAAATAATTACAATTCCAGATTCATCTAAATGAATTTCTTTTCACTTTGTTCAAATCACCCAAATTTCTTAAGATATAAAAAGTGAGGCAATAAAAGACATGTTAAGTATGGAGCAGCATAAAAAGTCACAAAAATGCTTTTAATTGACAATGTCATGTCTTGCCAACTGATTTTGGCCATGCACATTGAAATTCTGTCCAACTGTTCTACCAATGACTGGCAAGAATTATGCTAAGGAAACTGTGCATGATTTGAATGTAACTGATACTGAACACATAGTTTTAAATATGAGACTTGGAAATATAAAATTATGCTTTATACAATACACATTATAGAGTATTTGTAATTGAAAAGCCATGATTCCTTAATGTAACTTAAGCACTACAAATGAACAATGATCCTTGCATTCATATGGGCTCTTCCTCCATCTCATACCTCTGACAGTCAACCGCTATGCTAAATTTTATGTTTATAGGCTCCTTGTTTTAAAAGCACTTATTTCAGAGAGATGTATAGGTGTGTGTTCCTAAACATTACTTCAAAATAAACAATGTATTTACCTTTTTATGAGTTTTATTAAAAATTTTTTCATACAGTGTTTCACAGGTTTTTCTGGAACTTACTTCCTCAATATTGAACCCCCCAAAGGCCCAAAAATGCCACAAAAATGATTCTTCATTGTTGCTGTGAATTATTTTAATTCATGAATATACCACAATGTATTTACAATTTTCCTACTTAGTGGATATTTTCATTGTTTCTAGTTATCACCATTACAATGATTCCTTTCCAAAGTGTGCCTCATGATGCACACGTCCAAGAATTTCAATAGACATATAGAAATACTGAACACATAGTTTCCTAAAAGAGTATTCTCTAGAACATCTGGGTCATGTCGTGTAGGCGCATATTTACTTTTACAAGGTAAGAACAAGTCAAAATTAATGTCTTCATCAGAAATCTGGAATTAGTTCTATTTGGTTAGTAACAGGGCTTGCTGAGTCTTGCTAATTTAGTGATGGTAGGTGTTCTCCCTGGGTAATGATCACTGGTGATGTGCCAGTTATGAAACATTTTCAAATGTTTGTTGGAGATACCAGATTCCTCTTACGTGACTTACACTACTGCCATGGAATGAGCTGCTAGTGTCATTTTATTTAGTGCTAGCAATGCTTCTCTCTCTTACTTTCTCCCTCCCTCCCTCCTTCCTTCCCTCCGGCTTCCTCTGCCTCTTCCCCTCAAGGTCACTCTCTAACATTACGCTGACATTATTTTTGATACCTTAAATACTTTCCGCTCAGAGGCATCCCCTTTATTGTGCAGACATTGACAGAACAGTAAGGATAATCCTCCAGCCCAGGAACACCTCATAGTTAAAACTCACACTTCAAAAGAATCAGCAAGTCTGCGGAAAAATAACTAAATACTAACTGAGAATTAATGATGTGAGCAAATGGTTAGTAAACTCTAAATTGAAACATCATTAAGTGTAGTATAAAAATCGCTCTAAATCCTGTTTTATCGATCTGATTGAAATAAAAGTTATTTAGCGTAAATGCCGGAGTCTTACCTCTTGAATGTGAAAGGTTTGAGTAGACCTGAATGACTGTCACATGACTGAAATTGTTACATTTTTAGCATTTTGTTTCTTTATTCTGACTCATTCTGGTGAAAAGGCTAAGGCTGAAGAAATTCATGAATGTGTTGCTAGAATCTTTTCCTCTTGCTATTTTTCAGTAACATGACACATTACTTTCTTTGAATTTCTTTTTTTAGTACATGGAAGAATTGCAATGAATAAATTGCTTAAGGAATTAAAAGCATATACAGGTGAGTGAGAATTTTCATATTAACAAACCCCTCAGACTTTATGCAGTAGTATAGCAGAAAAAATCTGAAACTATTCTATTCCTGATCTTTTTTGTTTTAATTTATAACATTTTCTTGATAAAGTGTGTGTTTTGTCTTACAGTTTGCCCTTATGCTGGTTAAATGTGTAGAACATTAATTCCTAGGGCATTTATTTTGGCAGTATCATTTACTGGATCATTAATAATGAACACCCAAACCAGATTATATCAAGTAACAAACTTGAGAGACTTTGTTATTATCTATGTCAAAAGAAAATAATATAGTTTAGCCAAAACAAACAAACAAACAGAAAGACAGACAATACACAGTGCTTTCTGGTTAAGATATATAAATGAACTAATCATAATGTGATCTAGTAGAATATTTATGTTCTTAGGTTCATTCTCAGCAGTTAATACTTACCCCTTATTGCTTTTACTGCATCTAGAAGCTTATTGAGATCAATCTTCCCCCCATCTATGAGAAAAGACACAAACAACAGGACGTGCTTAGGAGATGTTCAGATAAAATTTATTCCCTTCTCTTTTGACTCATCCTCAGATCATAAAATATATCCCAACATTTCTTCTTAAGCCAGTAATTATGACACATGATCCCTCTTGATTCTGTATACATATATTTTACTGTTTTTAATTTTTCCTCATACTAAAAACCCTTTAACATTACATTGCTTCTTAAAATAATTATTCTATAATGTTTAAGATGATATTTCATATTTTTCAAAGGACCAAAGATTGACATAAGATTTCTTCCTGCTTTGATAAACAAAATGGGCCTTGAGCTGACAGATAAGGAGCGAATGAAGCTGATAAGTGAGCTGCCTGTCGATGGTGAGTTGTGGAGATGGGAACTCAGTTTTATAGGACTCTGGGGAGGCCCTTTTCTTAATACATAGTATTGTAAACATTTTATAAATAAAGTTTATGTTGTACATAGAAAGATCATCTCACTCCTAACCCAGGACATTGGGTATAAGCAGGCCTTGTACTGTCAAACCCTCCAGCCAAAGCAATGCTAGCCTAAGAAGAAAAATAAAGGGAAGCTGCTGGCATACACGATTTTTAGGATTGTGTGAAACAAATTAAAAAAAAGAAAAGAAATGAACATCAGCATGGTTGAACCTACTAAAAGCTTCCCAGCTATTCTGTAGAACGTTTGAGCTACAGGAAGCCAAAAACTGCTGAGGGTGGTCGGGTCAGTTTTGTCAGAGGTCAAGCTGCTGATAGATTGCCCATGTTGAAGTGGTCAGCTGTATGCCCACACTTGTGGGAACCCGATGGGACTCAGCAAAATAGAGACAGGGATAGCTAGAACAGTAATAACTGTAGAGGAAGAGGACATGCATTTAAGGAAAGGGCACAGGAAGGAGTTCAAGGCAGGTGGCTGCAATAAAAATACATTGTCTTCATGTACGCAATTCTAAAATAAATAAAAATTATCTCAGGTGTTTCAATTGCACAGTCTATCGGACTAATAGTTCTCATTTCTAAATTCTTCAGGTTTTATTGGGGCATTAAAAACATATTTGTTTACCATCATGATCTTGACCCCTTTGCTCATCACTCCTCCATCAGGGGACTGATCCAGACTCCATGAATGTAGTGCCAGTGAGGAGGCCATAGAAATCACTAGGGCCTTGGGTAGTAGATTAGTGTTTACCATGGTGTATAAATGAACTTTGGGAGCCCATTCCAAATAGAGGGATGCTCTCTCAGCCTGGACACATGGGGAAGGGCCTTGGTCCTTTCCTGGATGAAATGACAGACTTTGGAGATCCCCCCAAGGAGGGCCTCACCTTCCCTGGGGAATGATGTGGGGATTGGGTAGGGGGCTGGGAGGACTGGTGGAGGGACAAGAGAGGAGGGGTGGGAGAGGGAGGTAGGATTGACATGTGAAGCATTCATGTTTCTAATTTAAATAAAAACATATATTGAGGAAAAATATCTGTTCAATAAATAATAAAAAATCTTCCTGAAAGTGAGAGGCGTGTGCAGCTGAGTATGGTTGCACAGGTTTCTAGCAGCAGCACTCAGGGGGTGCAAGAAGTTCAAGGCCATCCTGTGCTACAGTGAGCACACCTCAGACAAAATGACTCAGATAAGGAAAAGAAAGAAATTTATGTTTTTATGAGTATCTGTATCGCGTTTAATGTGTCATACATTACAGAATCTGGGAAGATCTATAAAAACAGATTGTTGAATGGAATAAAGTCTTTCAAAGGTGAGTAACAAGCAATTTGAGAATTGACGTGTAAGTTCGGCTTTGAAAGTTATCATACCACACTTTCTGAATTTACCTTCTTTATTATAAATGTTTTACCTCTATAATGACCTGTTTTTGTCTTTGTGAAAGGTCTCACAGTCTCTTATATTTTTCAAAATAAACTGTCATATTGTCATTTGAATTCTAGATAGATATACAAAATATGGCAACAATGGCAAGACTGACTCTGAGTTAGCTAAAGAAGTACAGGTGACCCCAGAGTAATCACACCCACGGTCAGAAATATCGAGCATTATTTTCCTCTAAAAGAGGAGTGTGCACATGAGGAGGTCAGAAAACAACTTTAGGGAATTGGATCTCTCCTTCTGCCATATGGATCCTAGGGGTCAAATTCAAATCATCAGACTTGGTGCCAGGTGCCTTTAGCTGATAATCCTGGTAGACCAAAGTCCATTGTTTCATTATTATTTCTTTAGCTAGAACATATTTTTAGCTCTGAAAAACTATAGACAAACATAAGATTATGGCTAAGGTTTTTCCTATCAATTAATTCAAAACAGAGGAGGAATTTGGGGAAATTATTACAGACCTAGGTGCTCTACATTTGACACCTGTTGGGAGTAACTCTCCAGCTGTAGGAAGGGTGCTCCCTGGTGTCCTAGGCCTTTTGGAAGAAGGCATCCAAAATATCCCTTGAGGAATTTAGTGTGACAGTTCATGGTGCTTCATATTTTATAATTTGAAAATGTTATCAAGTAAATTGAATGTCACCATTAAAAAATGAAGCACTGATTCCCTGGTGGCTCTCTTTTCCTATGGGCCCCATGTTAGCACCTAACTTCTCTAATCTTTGGGCCCCTGCTTTACAATTTAAAAACATTTTCTCCTCCATACACTACCAGCCCTAATCCATGTTCCACTTCAGAGCAGTCTACTTAAGTTCTCTCTGATATCATCTTAAGCAGATTATAGAGATAGGCATGTATTTTTGAACCAATACAAGTTTTTTTTTAACAATATGTACTCAAATACTGTCTTCAAGCATGGATTAACCAGGTCTATCAAGATCTCAAAGTATCAGTGGAAGCAACTAGTCCTTGTCTCAAAGTCCCACTGCTGGGTATTTCATTAATTTTCTTCTGTCATAACTTTTAGTTCAGAGTTCTAAAGGTATTCATTCATATTTAAAAGCAATATTAGTATCTAGAAATGCATTGTATTTACTTTGTATTTTAATATAATCTAATACTAAAAACATTTCTCATTTTAATATAGTTCCTCATTCTTTATATCTCTTTTTCTAAGGAGGAAAAGTTAGAGCAGATAAAATCAACACTGTTCTAGAAAATCTTGGAATCACACTCACAGAAAAGGAGCTTGATCATTTGAAAGAAAATCTGCCAGTGAGCGGTGAGCTCTGCAGTTGATGACCCTGCTTGTGTAGAGTGTGGCTTGCAAACTAGTTCATTGATCTTTTCTTTCATACCCTGCTGAGTTTTCTTTAGATTGTTATTTTTAATTTCCAAGTGCAAATTTCTGTGTGTGGGTCAGCTTATAAGAATTTATTAAGTATATTACAGTCTAAAGTAACAGAACAGATAGACAGATAGACATCAAATAAGGTTCTCAAAGCATCCAACAGAGACCAACTGATGAAGCCCTATTAAGGCAGTCAGCTGGAGATCTCAATTAGAGAATTCCAGGGACGAGGGAGCATCCCCTCCCATGAGGCTTCCAAGTGAAAGAACAAATGAGCAGAAAGTGACATTATCAAAGCAGGACTTATAAACATCTGGTAGAAATGGACTGAGGAAGCCCCATTAAGGCAGCAGCTGGAGTTCCCTAAAACAAGCTATGTCCCCTAGGGTGGGGCTTTCAAATAAAAGCTAGCAAGCATATGCCTGTGGGTTAGTCTAAGGTGTGAATTTTTTTTGACAATTTTTGCTTTACAGATGTGAAACTGTATTGAGTACATACACAATCTGGTTATTTTTCCATTTAAATAATCCTATTACTATTGAATGTCCTTTTTATATCTTCTAATACTCCCTGCCTTCAAGCTGCCTCAGTAGATTTGGTCTGGTTTGGGGCTCACATGGGTCTTAAGCACAGCACAGTAATTAGCATGTACATGGTTCATCTTTCATCCTATCTGAATCTTCATGCTTTTTGTAAACTTCATTAACTAAAATTTCCCTAAAAATATTTTTTCTTTTAATTGGCATCTTAGTCCACGTATTCATTGTAATTAGTGTTTTAATTGTAGAACATAAATGTAAGTACAAAACCACATAAGGCTGGGCAATGGGTGCACTTGCCTTTAATCCCAGCATTAGGGAGACAGAGGCAGGCAGATCTATGTGAGTTCAAAGCCAGCTTGGTCTACACAGTGAGTTTCAGGACAGGCTTCAAAGCTACATAAAGAAGCCCTGTCTCAAAAAAACCCCAAAAAAAAAACAAAAAGAAAGGGAGAGAGAGAGAGAGGAGAGAAAGAGAAAGAAGAAAAAGGAGAAGAAAGGAAGGAAGGAGGGAGGAAGGGAGGGAGGGAGGGAGAGAGGGAGGGAGGGAGGGGAGGAAGGAAGGAAGGAAGGAAGGAAGGAAGGAAGGAAGGAAAAGGAAAAAGAAAACCACATAAAACAAATTGTTTAAATCACTTCCTCATTAAGACATGGGGACAGAATGTCTTTGACTAATATGCCATGGCTTCCTAAGAGCCAATTATTAAAATTAAAGGATGGTTTTAAGAATATAATAAGGAGAATTTGCTTGGGTCAAGTAAGTTTTATTTGCATATTTATCTCTTTGACAGTGTTTGTGTCATAATATCTATTCTTATAGGTGATGGGAGAGTTAATTTCCAAGACTTGATGAATGAAGTAAAAATTGTCACAGGTGAGACATGATTTTCAATAAATCCAAGACTGTCACTCTCATCACTAAGTAGTAACAATCTTGATTTCTCTATTTTTCTTTTTCGCTCTTGTTTATATCTAATTAGTCACATTATAACTTTGAATTGTCTGCATTTTAAGGGTAATTCTTTTTAACTGTTCCTTGTTAACTGTAAGATATCTTTCCTCTATATTTTTTAATTAATGTAACTCCATTTCTCTGTCCCTTAAAAAATACAGAATTATAAATTATGAAGTAGTATTTGGTAAAAATATAATTTGAATAACAAAGCCATTCAACATCTTACTATAAAATTATTTTAATCAATTTCTAAACAGTTAAAATATCAAATGAATTCTTCTTATTATGTGCTATATTTTATGTCTGTTTGAATTTCCTAATTTACTAGAACAAAGAGAAGTGGTTAGGTGAGGCTTGTGCTTTTTTTTCATTTAGCAATTGGAGTTAACACTGAATAGTCACAATCGTTCATTCATTCATTTGTTTTCATTTTAGTTTTTTAAAATTATTTATTTCTTTTTATTTTATGCATATTGATGTTTTGCCTGCATGAATGTCTGTGTGAGGGTATCAGATACCCTGGGACTGGAGTTACAGGCAATTATGAGCTGCCATGTGGGTGCTGGGAACTGAACCCAGGTTCTCTGGGAAAGCAGCCAGAGCTCTTAACTGCTGATTCATCTCTCTAGCACCTCATTTTACTTTTTGAAACAGGATCTCCCTAAATAGTACAGGCTGCCCTCAAACTATATCAACCATGCTAGGCTTGAACTTTTGACCCTCTTGACTCTACTCCTGAATGATGGAATTAGAGGCATGTGCCATGGTACCTGAGACAAAAGTTTTATTTATTTACTTTTTTATGTATATGGGTGTTTTGCTTGCATATATGTCTGGACACCACTTGCATGCATGGTGCCCAGGGTAGTCAGAAGAGGGCACCAAATCCCCTATAACTAGAGTTAAAGACTGCTGTAATCCACCATATGGATACTGAGCATCAAACCCAGGTCCTTTGGAAAAGCAGCCAGTGCTAAGCCATCTCTCCAGCCCCACAAATAATTATTTTAAAATATCTAATCTTAGAGTAACTTATGAATTTGTTACCTTTTCTTTTTTTAAGGAGATGAAGAAAACATCAAAGATGTGAAAAATATTCTAGAAGACATGGGAGTACAGCTCACACAACAGGAATACACAGAACTGTTGAAAAATCTCCTTGTTGGAGGTAAGCATGTAAGCAGCACTTTATCCATCAGGAGAGCATGGGCAGATGCTCACCCATGAAGACTTTACTAATTTTAATTCTGATGGACAGGGGAACAGTAGGAACAGGTGGTCCAGATATGCTCTTTGAGCAAGGTCAACTGGGCATTTTAACTTTTCTTCAGTTCTTTAGATAAATAATCTTTTAGGAAAATTAAAATTATAGCCTCCAAATACCCCTTATAATAAAGAGGAATAGTACTCTCATTAGAATCTTCACTGATTAAGTGAGTTGCACTTCCTAGAAGAACAAAAAGCAAACTGGCTTTTAAAATATTTCTAGAGGGGATGGTGACATGGCTAAGCAGTAAGGTGCAGTAGCTGCACTTGCAGAAGACCAGGGTCTACTTCCCTTCACCCACATGATGGTCCACAACCATCTACAAATCCAGTTTCAGGGGATCTAATGTCCTCTTCTGGCCTCCGCTGACCACACATGATACACAGACACACATGCAGGCAAGACACTCACATACATACATACATACATACATACATACAGATAGACAGACAGACAGATAGACAGACAGATATATATATTTTCTAGGGGATACGTCCTTAAAATTCTTAATATTGAATATATATAATAACTAACCCTGTTATAATAACCAACCCTCCTTTAACTTAATACTTGCACTGTCATTACTTAGGTAGTTTGCCCTATATTTTTGTTGTGATTGAGATATCCTAGGTTGTTTCCATTCATGTTTTTCTGCTAGTAGTTTGATAGACAAAAAGTCATGTGTGTTTTATGTACACATATTGCCCATAATTCTGTGGCCATCCATGGTCAAGGTACTAAACACATTACTTCCGAATTTTCCTTATGCTCCTTCAAAAATTATTATACTTAAATGTGTGTTTATGTGTGTATGTATGTATGTGTGTGTGCCTCATACCATGTTGTCCATGTCTCCTCCCACCATGTACCATGTGTGTTCTGAAGGCAGAACTCAAGTAATCGATCTTGACAGCAGATGCCTTTACACTCTGAGTCGCATCACCAACCTTCCTTGTGTTCTTTTATTATCTTTAAATTTTTAGACTATCAAACAGGCAAAGAAATATTCTAGGGCAGACATGTCCTTGGTAAATGTAACTGTGTTTGGTTGGGAATCCTACCATTTACCTAAAGGAAGGATAGAGCCCAGAATATTTAACAAACTCATAATTGCTGCAGAAGAATTCTCCCTCCACTTCCCAGTGCCTCGTATTGCCAAATGTCTGGTAATCTATGATAATCTATGTTAAAAAACTATTGTCATCATGAATTTCCATATATTTATAAATAGTATTTCATCTTTTGTAAAATGCCATCTTGGGGATCTGGTCTCATATTCTGCTAGTTGACATCTATTTTTCTTTTTTCTTTGTAAAAGTTCTCTGTATTCCATGCCAGGAGCAAGCAAATGATTTCCTCAAAAAGCCAGATGGCAAATATTGTAGGCTTCACTGCCTCTGTCAAAACTGCTGTTGTAGGCCAAAATTTTCTATGGTTAATGGGTTAAAAAAGAAAGGTATTATAGCTGTCCACCAGTAAAACTGTGTTTCTAAAGCAGGCACAGGAAACGTGGCTCTGCAGCAACACTTGCTCTCCTGTTTTAAATGCTAAGTTCTTGTTTATGTTTTTAAATTTTTCCTCGACATTGGCACAGCTTTACATTTTCATTGTGACACACATGCTCTTTAAATTTATGTGAACTCCTTTTAAGATTTGATTTTTTTATGTATCGTTACTGCAAAGTCATAAAAATATCCTGCATTTTCCCCTGAAAGCTTCAAAATTTGCCTTTCACATTTATATCTATATGAATCATCTGTTTTAAAAAATCTGATAATCCACTGCATTAGGTCAAAAATATTAACCTTGCAAAATGGAAAGATGTCTCAGTAGCTAAGCTAAGTGCACTTACTGCTCTTGCGGAAGGCCCGGGTTTGGTTACTAACACCCACATGACTGCTCACCATCTGTAACTCTGGTTCCAGGGGAATTCAGTGTCCTCTTGTGAGCTCCATGACCACTGCCCTCATGTGGTGTACATTCAAACATGCAGGTAAAACCCTCCAACATATAAAACATTTTTCAGTGTTACCCTCAATACTCAAAACACGTTTATCTTCCTCACTTCCACAAAGAAGTTTGATCCCAGTGAATAAGGCAAAAAAAAATATAGAAATGTCCTGGAAAGATATAAAAAAGATGATCAGAAATTAAGATGTTTGTTTCAGTCATAATTAGTACTAATCACGCTGAACTAATAATAATAGTTAACTGACTAAGGTTAACTGACTCCAAGTCACCCTACATTGACTTAAATTATGGCTTTTCTTACAGTTGATGGGAATTTCTACCTTAATAGACTGATGAGTGCCCTGACGTCTCTTAAAGGTGAGTGAAAAGCAATGAAACCTGATATCAGTATTTTCTGCTTGTAACATTTTATAGTTACTGAACCACCAACTCTTTAGTCCATCACGGGTCTTTATGTCTCCTGTTAATCTGTGCTTGCTGTCTGTGCCTCATCTACAGGCACCCAGTCCTTTTGACTGTCTAGCAGATAGATGCACCATGTACTAGAGCTTTCAAGTCTTTGGTGCAGCAGAAAAGAGTGGGAATCTGAACAATTACTAACAAAGAAAATTGTTAGCAATTTAAAACTCTGTTGCAGAGCTAGAAAAAACTCATGGAGATATCAGAGAAACAAATGATCGTTGCACTATCCAAAATCCCCTAAAAGGGATTTTATTGTTTCATTCTGGGGATAGATATTAATATCTCTAAACCCATTTAAAATATGACTGATTCTAATAAAAAAGACTCAGAAAAGAAATTTTACTTTCCCTGTATTGTAATTTTGAGCGTCTTAATTGACCTCTGTGGGTCTTGACCCTCATACTGAAAATCTCGTAATTGCCAGGAAATAACTGTATTTGTCACAGTTGTCATCAGTTTGTCTTCATGGTCTTTTCTTTCCCTTAAGGAGGGAAGGTTGATGTCAGAAAACTGGACTCAATGATGAAAAACATGGGGATGAAAGTTTCCGAAACGGAATTTGAGGACTTGATCAAGAGCTTACCAGTGGATGGTGAGTGCGTAGGATCTCACAATCCCAAGAGTACTGGAACTCGAGTTCTTGTTTTGTTTGGGTGGTTTTTCTATTGTGGTGGTGGTAGTAGGTTTTTGTTCATCAATTTACTATTTTTAGTTATATTCTTTGGTAATATCATATGTGAATAAAATATATTTAGATCATATACACACTCCATTTTCCCCTCCACCTCCTCCCAGAGGCTTCTCTTCCGACCTCTTCCCAATTTCTCAATTTCATGCCTCCATATCTTTTATTTGCTTTCCTGTTCTGTTCTTTCCTTTTCTCTTTTTAAGGTCTACTGACTACAGTTAGTGGTGCCCATATACACATGTGTATAGGACCATCTGCCAGAACAACCTTCCACAGGCTGAATTACCAAGGAAATCTGACTCCTTCAGCAGCCATCACCATATAGCAGCAACTCAGTTAGGGTCTAGTGAGATTCTCCCCTATCCATGATGGGCTAATGATGACCTTGATCTTGTGCAAGCAGGGCTTAACCATTATGACAACTTCTAAGCTGTATTTGGCAACAAGGAAGTATTGAGAAAATCCAAAGAACCACAACAAAAGCCTCCGATTTAAAATAAGAATAACTTGTAAAATGTTCAGTAGCTTCATACAGATAATGTATTTTATTTGGCATGCTCAAAGTTGCCATATAGAAAGAAATGGCAGCATGCCAGGAAAGAATGCAAACTGGGGTTTGGAGTTGGGTAAAGACAGTTGGTAAGGATACAGCTTTCAAGGTATCTTTAATTATTCAGACTGTGGTGTAGACAAGGAATAGGGGGGACTGGTAGCAGTGTCATCTTTTTCTTTCACCATAGCTTGTGACAAAGAGCAGCAGCTATAATAAATGATACAGAATAGATATATCTGCACCCAACACTGGAGCATATCTATGTGTGAAAAGCGCTTATTAATAAAGCAGAAGACAGGAACAGACTGTAATACAGTGATCATAGGGAACTTTAACACTTCAGGTTTAGCAAATGAACAGACTTAGACAGAAAACCAATAAAGAAACACATGCTCTAGAACACATCATCAGACTCTGCTCTCTCCTTGAGTACATGGGTAGCTCTCTAGAACAGACCATAAAAACGATCACAAAAGAGGTAAAAAGATGATTAAACATAGCTGGGCATAAATGGCATATGCCTGTAATCTCAGCATTTAAGAGTCTGAGGCAGGTCACTGAAAGTTCACAACCATCCAAATGTATATAGTGAGTATCAAGGCCATTTAAAAACTTCCACTTCAAAACAGTTAAGTTACAATGAAAGAAGAAAAGAGAGGAAGAATGGGAGCAGGGGAGAATAAGGGAGGAAGGGAGGGGGAGGAGAAAGAGAAGAAAGATTGCTGACTAATTTTAGAAGAAGATAGGTCTCAAATTGATTGCCTAGAGTTATGCGTCAGGGAACTAGAAAGAATTTTAGTCCAAATAGTCCAAATTTAGAAGGATATAAATAAAGAGTATAATACTAATCAGTGAAACATGGTCTAGAAAAACAATGGGAAGTCAACAAAGCTAAAAGTTGAGCCTTTGAAAGCAGAGAATTGACAGACTTTTAGCTAGCCTAATAAAGGAAACAATAAGAAAGTTAAAATATACAAAATCAGTAATAAAATTGGAGACATTACAAGCAATATCATAGAAACACAAAAGCTCACAGAAGAGAGGGACAAATCTCTAGACACACGACCCACCTCTATTAGCATTCCTGGTGCTTTGAGAGAACACCCAAGAAGAACCAAAGCAATGGAGGAAAACTAGACATAAAAAGGTAGATGCTATCTGTCTCTCTTTATGTTGGATCTTTAAGAAGTATAATTCATAGAACCAAAGGGAAACTGGAAGCAACCAGATTGGAGAGAATTGAGGTAGGAAAAGAAGGGATATATGTTTAAAGGGTTCAAAATTCTGATTTGATAGGAACATCATTGAGTTGTACAACATGTTTACTATAGTTAATGATAGTGTACATTTTTACAATGACAACACCAATAGATGTGCCAAAGTAAATGGGGGAAATCCCATGAGGCCTCAACACTACAAAAAAGAACCACAGACAATTAAGGAATGCTGGGACTGAAAAGAATAGTATTCCCCAGGGAAGAGCACACCAACTAGTTGTCCAGTAGCAAGTGATCGGCCCTAAAAACATACATACAAATAACATTGTACAGACTGAGGACAGTTGTATTATTATATATATTCATGTAATAATAATGGAAAAAGAGGCCATGAGTTTGAAGGAGACCAGGGAGGGAGTGTGTGGGAGTGTGGAAAGGGGAAAGAGAAGGGATAATTTTTAAGCATAATTTCAAAAATTAAAAAAATAAGACCAGAAAAATAATAGTGTATATTTTTAAATTATTGAAAGTGAATTAGCATTCTCATCAGAAAATAAGCAGGTGGCTTATTTACATGATTAGTTTTCTACAATGTATACCTCTTTTAAAAGACTACACTGTACTTATATTTTCAATTATTATTTATCCATTTTTTAAGTTAAAGGGAAGGTGCTCATATTAGTTGCTTCTAAAGTGAACAAGATTACTAGGAGATGGGGTACCAGAGATCCCTAGAGAGTCATGTAATAAAATATTCCTTTGTAAGCCAGGCGGTGGTGGTGCATGCCTTTAATCCCAACACTCTGGAGGCAGAGGCAGATCTTTGTGAGTTCAAGACCAGCCTTGTCTACAAGAGCTAGTTCCAGGACAGCCTCCAAAACAATACAGAGAAACCCTGTCTTGAAAAACCAAAAAAAAAAATTCCTCTGTAGTACTTGACCTTTAAAAGATGTAAATGTATTGTTCAGCCCTCAAATAAATCATATTTTAAATTAAGATATGGGATATGCGTACACCATTTTTTATTTTACATAATTCCCATACACATTGTGAATGCAAAAATGCCCTCAAACTTATTTGCAATTTAAGGGGTTAAGACCAGGCTGGAGAAACCCACATTAACAGCTGACCTGAACAAGGGGGAGCTCATGGACCTCAGACTGATAGCTGGGAAACCAGCATAGGACCGACCCAGACCCCCTTATTGTGGGTGTCAGTTAGAAGGCCTGGGAAGTCTATGGGGCCTCTGGTAGTGGATCATTTACTTATCCCTAGTGTATGATTAGACTTTGGGAGCACATTCCACATAGAGGGATATTCTCTCAGCCTGGACACACAGGGGAAGACGTAGGCCCTGCTCCAAATGATGTGACAGACTTTGAAGATCCCCCCATGGAAGGCCTCACCCTCCCTGGGGAGCAGAAATGGGGTGGAGTGGGGGTTGGTGGGAAGCAGGGAAGAAAGGAAGTGAGAGGGAACTGGGATTGACATGTAAAACAAGATTGTTTCTAATTTAAATTAGAAAAGAGAGAAGATTATTATACATGCAATGCAAATAAATTAAGTAGTTTGCTTCCTTGTCAAAGAAGTACTGAGAATGGGCCACTTATATTGGAGTCATTTCTGAAACCTATATTAAGACATTGGTATATGTCTTTGTACTGTAGTCCCAATAAAAAACAAAACTGTCAATTAGCTGGAGAGGTGGTTCAGTGGATAAGAGCACTTGCTGCACTTGCAGAGGTCCAGGATTCAATTTTCAACACCCACATGGCAGCTCACACGTGTCCAGTACTTCAGTTCCAGGGGATCTGACATTCTCTTCTGATCTCCATGGATGCCAGTCACACATGTGCTGCACAGACACACATGCAGACCAAACGTTCCAACACATAGAAATCTAAGAACAGTTTTTAGATGTCAACTGCAAACAATCCTAGTAAGCTTGAAGCAATCTACTTTAGCTTTTATCCTGTCACTATTAAGGTTTTTATTTCTTTGAATGATAAAAGATAATAGATTGTGAATTTTTATGTTTGTCATGTTTAAATGTTTTCACACCTAGTTCATGCTTGTGAAGTATTTAAAATGTTAAAATGCTGTTTAATTTAATAGCATGAGTCATGTTTTTTGAGTCTTAGGATCATATGTGAATGCTTATTTTCTTCCAGCTGGAAAAGTTGAAATGAAAAAGTTGATCAACACAATGAAAAGCTTTACAGGTGGGTGAGTTTAACATAATACTGAAGCTCTCGTCCTGTGCTGTTTTAAGTGGCATTTTACCAGTAGTATGTGCTAGCTTTTAAGGTTTTCGTTTTTTACTCATTGCTGAAGAATAATTCTTTGGGGGCTAGGGAGACAACTCAGTGGGTAAAGGGTTTGGCACATGAGCATGAGGAACTGAATTCAAATCCCCAACATCTGCATTGAAGTCAGGCATGTAGCACACATATGCACCCAAAGTGCGGGCCAGAGACAGCTAGATCCCGGGAGCTTGTTACGGGGCCAGTTTAGCCATCATAACCTTCCAGGTTCCATGACAGAAGAATAAATAGGAAAGCAATAAAGGCAGACACTCAGAGTCAGCCTCCAGCCTACACACACACACACACACACACACACACACACACACACACACACACACACACACACACGGGGGGGCAAATGTACCATCCACATATACATTTAAAACAATAAATTATTGTAAAATTAATCTGCTGCTTCTGATACCCCATCAGCAGGTATTATATTATCAACATTTTAGCACTGAAAAGCTATTTGTTTTCTCCTAGAACTAGTTTTATTGTCTCTGGAGATACTCTATATAGGGGATTTTGTTTACTATGATATAAATACACATATATTATTGTGAGAAATAGACATATGCATAAACATATATCCTAGAAAACCATAGCAAACAGCAAGACAAAATTGGAGAGATATGCTGGCCATGGTGCTACATATCTTTAATCCCACACTCAAAAGACAGAGCAAGAGAATCTTTGTGAGTTCAAGGTCATGTTGGTCTACCTAGTGAGTTCCAGGAGAGCCAAGAGTATATAGTGAGAGCCTGCCTCAAAAACAAACAATTTTGGAGACTCAAAATGTTTTTGTTACTCTGAGAAACAATATTATTGATTTATTTTTTATTTTTCAAGACAGGATTTCTCTGTGTAGCCCTGGCTGGGCTGGAACTGGCACTGTAGATCAGGCTGGCCTTGAACTCATAGATCTACTTGCCTCTGCAACCAAGTTCTGGGACTAAAGGAGTGAACCACCACTATCCAGCTTGGAACATTTACTCTTGTCTTTTAAATCAAAAGAATTATACTTGTAGAAATGTCTAGTTTTTCTGGTTAGGCATCTAATTTTCTGGTTATATACATATTTATCCCTGCCATTTTGTCAAATCTCCAGAATTAGAAAATCTCATTTTCAAACTAACAGTTATTTAAATGTCTCCCCCAATGGTTTTACTTAGACAAATATTATTTAAAGATTAGACTTTAATTTGTATATCATGCCTTACAAGTACGGTTAAACATCTGGTTTTCCTACTGTTAACACTGCTGTCTTTTCAAAGGTAACAAGGTTGCTATGGACGATCTCCAAGACTTTCTGGGAAACATGGGCATTGAGCTCACAGAAGAGATGCTCTCAGATCTGCAGGAAACCCTGCCTGTGGACGGTAAGCCTCAAAGACACTCCTGGAGCTTCACTGAGGCATAGCAGTGAACATGAAATGAACTTTGTAGGTTTATCATAAAGCAGAAATTTCTTGTTCTCAAATTCATTTATATTTGAGGGCGATGTAATGCAAATATCTAAACACATATAATTTTTAAATTCTATGTAACATAGTGCATGTAATAATTATTAATATTCCTGTTATGAAATAAAACATTGATATCTACTATGTAAACAAATGCATATAAAATGTTATAAGAATATAAAATATTACTTTATTATAGATGCTGGAATGGTATTTCAGAATAGATTGTGGAATGAATTGAAGTATCTGAAAGGTAAGTTAGAGAATTAGTAAGAAAACAGAAATTTTTCAAAAATCTCATGGTGTAGATAGTAACACATTTTTTAGGAAATCTTGTTTCTTTCTTTCTTTTTTTTTTTTTTTGGTGGGAGAGGTGTTTGAGACAGGGTTTCTCTGTGGCTTTGGAGGCTGTCCTGGAACTAGCTCTTATAGACCGAGTGCTGGACTTAAAGACGTGCATCACCACCACCTGGTGGAAACCCTGTTTCTTATTTATAGGCCATTTCCTATTTATGCTTAATATAATTACTGGGATTTTGTTTGTCTTGGTTTTTGTTTGTTTGTTTGTTTGTTTTGTTAATTAAGCAAGCAGTAGTGATAATATTGAACTCAAAGCTTTGGGAAAAACAAGTAAGCTCTCTTGTTCAAAAGTATGGCTGGCAAAGAGGCTGGTAACACCAAGTGAGTTTGACTCACCATGAAACCTTAGGGAGACAGCCTCTGATTTTAATGTTTTGACTCCACTAACTTTATCTGTTCTCCCGAGCACAAAGTCAGACTGGTGTTTTAGTAGTCATATGCTGAATTGGAATAATAATATAAATATGTGAATCGTCAAGGTTTTTTGTTTTAATATTAGTGTATGTTCATTCAACCAAGCAATGGTATGTAATTGTTGAAATAATGTTTTAAAGTATTCACTTTTGTACATTTCCAAATTAATGTTTTTTCAAAGGCGGGAAAGTTGATGTCTATAACATAGACACCATCCTGGAAAACATGGGGATTAAGCTCACAAATGAGGAGCTTAGAAGCCTAGAAGAAACCCTGCCAGTTGACGGTGAGCACTACAGAACAGCTACATGTCTTTTGTTGTGTCCTCACTAAGCTATACAAGGATTTCTAGTTGTTTTCTTCTTCCCCTCAAAAAGACATTGGAGGAACATAAAAAGAAATCCTATTATTTTGTTAAGACCCAAAGTCATCAATCCCATCTCAAAGTAGTTAAGATATGCTTGAGAGTTACCTCAAAAAAAAGTTAAGGAACAGAACAGATATTCAGAGACCTTAATAAACAGTAGTCCTCAGCCAGTCCCTTTGGTGTTTCATCAAATCACTCATGAGCTCTGTGTCCCACATCTCTATTCCAGTCTAGGCCGAGCTTCTGATTCATACAGCTGCATTCTAACCAGACCTCACCTCTTAAATGATTCTTTAGAAACTCAGTCTCGGTATTTCCAAGTTGAAATTCATTCCCTTTCGTCTCAAGCTCACTCTTTATCTTCTCAGTTGATGACCACTTGCCTTTCATTTATCCAAACTTAACTACACTGTCATCCTCTTTGCCATTCTTTCCCTTATTCCCCAAATTGTTTTATGGGCCCATGTGTATTTCCTCAGTTTATCCCTATCTGCTCTTCTTCTAACAATAACCATATTTCAAGCCTGTACCTCCAATTGATGCCCTCATAACAGCAATATAACTGTTCTCTCCATATTGTCTTTAAAAAGATTTTTATACTTTTTCTCAATTTATTATTTTTTAAATTTTATTTTATGTGTATGGGTTGATTGTCTGCATGTATGTTTATGTACCATATATGTACCTGGTGCTCACAGAGGCCAAAAGAGGGCATTGAATCCCTTAGAACCAGAGTTATAGACAGTTGTGAGCTATTATGTGAGTGCTGGGGATTGAACCTGAGTTCTCTACAACAACAGCCTGTTCTCCTAACTGCAGAACCATATCTCCAACCTCATTTTTAAAGATTTCTTTAATTTTTAAATTATGTGTCTGTGTTTAAGTACATACATGTGAGTGTGATGCCACAGAGTCCAGAAGAAAGAATCAGATACTCTGGAACTTGAATGATAGGTGGTTGTGATCACCCAACCTGAACTTGGGTTCTCTGCAAGAGCTGTATATATTCTTAACCACTGAGCTGCCTCTCCATTACTATTGTAATTTAAGAAAAGCAGTGCCCAAGAGGAAGATGCCATGAGACAGGGTTCAAGCAGAGGGGTTTTTATTAGGGAAAGGGATCATAAAAAAGGGGAAAAGGGGATCCAGGTGGTGGTGGTGCACGCCTATAATCCCAGCACCCAGGAGGCAGAGGCAGGCAGATCAATGTGAGTTCGAGACCAGCCTGGTCTACAATAGCTAGTTCCAGGACAGCCTCTAAAGCCACAGAGAAATCCTGTCTAGAAAAAACAAAAAAGGGGGAGGAAGAGAAGGGGGAGACAAGAGAGAGGAAAGAGAAGAAGAGAGAGGAAAGTGGGGACAGAGGGGGAGAGAAAGAGAGAGAGGAGGGTGGGAGGTGGGCAGGGCTCTTTTAAAAGGGAACATAGTGAATGTGCACAGGAGGTATTCCTAGTGGCTGCAGCTGAGGGTGTATCCTGTCAGAACCCCAAGCACACGCCAGTACAGATGCCCGAATACTAGCCATTACCACTGCAGCTTTCCCCTCCCTCTGCCACATCTTCTACCCTGTTTGCAATGCATTGTCCACTGAGCTGCTGCAATGATTTATCTAAAATGCAGACCTAATTCAAATAGTAAGCACATTGTTTTTCAGGGACATGTCAAGACCTGTCAGAGAACATGTCTTTACATGACAATCTAGACTTTCCAGCATCTTCATTTGCAGGACCATCCTTTGCTTAAGAATCATGTCCTTCCACAGTCTTAATTACACACATATGCAAGAATTCTTGATCTCTTGTCCTTAATTTCGCTTAAGCCTCTTTTCTTTTTTAACTTCTCCTCAGATGATGCATGTGCTCATTTCACTTGGGAAACTCTATTCTTTAACTTTAAACCTCTAGTCAGACACACAAGTCCTGGGTGTGACTCACTAGTCAGATTCATTCTCCCATTTTGTAGGCGTTCTTCCCATTACCCACAATACATGGGGCAAGGTCACCTTGTGATGGCCAATTTTCAACTTGATTGTATTTAGAATTATCCAGGTAATGGGTGAGACACACAATGATGTGTCTGTGTGGGTATTTCCAGGGAGATTAACTGAGGATCTAAGACACCCCTAGATGTGGGTGACAGCATCCCATGGAATAAAGGGGGAAGAGGAAGACCCATGGGTCTCCTTTGTTCCTTCCTCAACCACCATAAGGTGCAATAGTCTGCCCCACAATGACCTACTCACTGTGATGGATAGAATTTTCATTTTGATTTTTTAAGTTGACATTGCAGCTGGACAGCTGTCCCAGGTTTTATATGGGGATCTCTTTAGTGGCCATCTTCTCTTGTGGGCTCAATTTCCATTAGCACTGAGAGAAAAAAAAAAAGAAGAAATAACAGAAACAGCAACAATACCAGAAACAAGGCAAATGTAGGGAAAAAAAAGCTAAACTCAGTTACACCAATTACTATACCATCTATCACCATGGAAAATGAAACAATAAAAATGTGGTAGAATAAAAGATGAAGATTAATAAAGTATAAGTAATAAGTGAAATAAAGGAGGAAGCAAGGGAATAAAAAGGGAACAATGTTAAGTAAAAGAGAAAAAAGAAAACAGTATGAAGAAAAAAGATAATAAAAATCAGGCATAAAAGTATGACTACATGATAATGATAGATGTATAAGTAAAATTGGGTAAAGGTAAGAACAAAACGCAAAATGTTTTTTTAAAATAAAAGCTAAAAATGTAGTGGAAAGAAAGTAATAGATAAATGAAAACAAGTGAATGAGGTGTTTTTTTTTTGTAAGTCCTGCTCTACGATTTTAAGTTTCATACATCTCTACATATCCTCTAAGTTAGTCAACCCAAAGGCAAAATTCCAATCTATTATTTTCATGGCATTTCTAGATGCATAGCCATACAAGAGCAAAGTATTTTGAAACTCCAAAATTATTTTCTGTGCTAGAGATAATGACAGAGTGGTTACAATCATGTATGATTCTGCTTAGGACCAGAATTCAGTCCCCAGTACCCAGGTTGGGTGGCTCTCAGCTGCCGAACACTCTGGCTCTAAGGGATCCACTGCCCTCTTCTGGCTTCCATGCGTATCTGAATTCATGTGTATATACCCCCACACACTGCATAATTAAACAAAACTTTTCCTACATCTTCTAGTGCTGGAGTTCCAGGGAAAGAGTTCCTCGTGAGCTTCTGAATTCAGTTTTCCTGGGCAAGAGGTGGGGCTACATCAGCTGAGTTGGTTGTGGGATCTGCAGCTCCACATTGCCTGACCCAAACCATAATGCACAAAGATCAGACACATAAGATAAGGCATAAACAACAGAAAAACAAAAAGACAACAACAGGAAAAACAGGACAATGACATTTAACAATTAGAGTTCTCTGTCCCAGAGTTCTATTAAGTTTTTCTGTACAACCCAGACGCTAGCTATCCATCAGGCTGACCATTCCAGGTTTCCACGACCCCCAATTCTGTGTTGGACCTATCCCACAATATCATGGAATTACTGTAACACATAGAAGGCTGTTTTAGTTACCTCCTTGTACAACTTCTGGACTGCCTAATCACCTCACACCGGGCCCCTCCAAACTCTGTCTGGCCCCCAGTGTCCTGGGGCATCCTTGGCTCCCTTGTTCAGCCTAAGTGTTTGGAACTCTGCAGACAGCACCAAGGTGCTGGGCCTCCCTGAGTTTGACCTGGTCCACAGTGTCACCAGAGCGTGCAGTCAGAGGTCTAAGGCAGGTCAAGAAACAACGGGTGGCTCTAGCTGAACTCCCCAATTAACCAGAAATAACTAGAGGACTGTGGGACATCTCCCTGGGCCCTGAATGAAGGATTTTGTGAATCTTGTCAAACCCCACTAATGCTTAGTAGGGTACCCCAAAACCAAAATCCAAAACCCAGGCAGAAAAGTTTTAAGTTTTCTATGACTTACCAAAAACAAAAGGGAGGTTTCAATTAAAAATACTTGCTACATGGCTGTTCACCATTAGAAGGGTATCCCCAGAGCCCAAATGAAAGACCTAGGCTTCAGAATTTGGGGTGGAATTATCTCGCTGGGGCCTCCATATATTAATCCTGAAATTCACCAGAAAAACAGTTCTACCATTTTGACAGAAATTAAACAAACTTTTATTGAAAATATTAAATAGTGACCAAGACAGAATTTTAGTCAGGACCATTACCTGGAAGTTTTTCAGCTAAGTGGCCTCGAGGGAAGTGTTGGTGGAGCTTATATGGGCAAAACCCATAGGCCATCATACTTTTCCATGAGGCTTTCTTGTCATCTTCCAAGAACTACAACTCCCAGAATCCCAGGAAATGGGGATTATGGGTTAACTTTGGTTCTAACCTGGAATCTATTTTAATTATTGCTGATACAGGCCGAGGGACAGCCACTGAAAAGTCAGTTGTCACTTTTAGGGTTGAATCCACTTTAGAAATTTCTCTTCCTGCTTATCAGGAACCACTTATGCTCCACCTCAACCCCCCAATGAGCTTCACCGCCTGTGGGTACAGCAAGTTCCCACTTATCTACAAGCCCACACATCTGTACATACAGCAGCAAACATCCAAGCTGAGAGGTGTCCCCCATGTGCTTCAGGAAATGGGGAGGACAAAATACTGAGTTCTTTATGGAGAGACAGCCCTGAAGAAACAAAGGATCCCACTCGCCGGTCTCAGTACTTTTAGATTCTGTACATCAATGACCCACAGTGCAGGAGAGAGGGTGTTTTAGAAATGAAGATGTACACAGAACCAAGGCTCACATCTGAATGCTGCCCAGTGTTCTATGTGGCCAGCCAGGAAGCAACACTGTAAAGAAGAAATGCAGCAGTGATGGATTCGGCGCGCTCAAGTCTGTCACAGTTTTCCAGCAGCGGCTCCTGGCTCCAAAGGGAAGGCTGCCAGCCATCACACGTTCACAGTTCCTTGCTGCCTACACCCATGAGTCTGCCTCTGACCCTCCCTCCTCATTTTGTGGCCATCTCCCATCTACTCACTGTGACAGGGTGTGTCCATAGCTTGAGACTCAAACAATAAATCCCCTCTCAAGATGGCTCCTGGCTGTAGGTTCTGAAATACAGTGAGTGACAAATACATTTCTTTTCTAGTGTTATCTTCCCACACAGGTAGAGACACTATCA